AGGATCTAGGGGAAGTTGGTGAAAGCCACTTGCCAGGTCTAAGGTAGTATAGTATTGGGAATGTCCTAACTGGTCGAGGATATCTTCGATGTTAGGTAATGGGTAGGCATCGCCTATAGTTTTTTCGTTAAGTTTCCTGTAGTCGATGACAATACGCCACTTTTGTTGACCTGAAGCGTCTAATTTTTTTGCTACTACCCATAGTGGGCTTGACCATGGGCTGGTTGATACTTTTATGATGCCTTGCTGTAGCATTTTTTTGATTTGTTTGTTCACTTCGTCTTTGTGAACTTGAGGATAACGATAAATTTTGGAGTTTATTGGTTGTTCGTCCGTTGTTGGGATGTAATGAGAGGCTGCTGTCGTATGGGTTAAGATATCGTCAGGTAAATGGAAAATATCATAAAAGTTTGTGCAAATAGCTATTATGGAAAATTTCTCTTCTGAGTTTAAATGTTCGAGTCGAAGGGTTTCTTTCAAAAGTTTTTTTCGATTTTCAGGGTTATCTGAGATTGCATTTAAAAAGACGTAACTTTGTTTAGGCAAGGGTTCAACGGAAATTTGAGGTACAGGAATTTGTTTAAAAGAATTCGAATGGTTTATAATGGTTATTAAGGCATGTTTGCCAGATACTTTTATTATCGCGTTCGGCAATAGTAAAGATGAGTCACCGTTAAGATTTTGGGATTGTATAATTCCTTCTTGAAGGTTAGAGGGATTTTTTATCTCTACTTTTATGACGTTTTCGCTTCTAGGACTCACGTTCACGAAATTTAAGGGTTGAGGAGTATTGTTGTAGATAGGAATCGAAAAGGGTATGGATTGTAAAGATAGAGTTGAGTCTTCGAAATTTATTTTACATTTATGATCTCGGAAAAAATCTTGTCCAAGAAGACCATCGAAAGGAATGTTTGTAATCGTGTCGATAAGCTGGAATGTTGTGTTGATTTTATGATTTCTTATGTTTAGTTCGATAACAGTTTCACCTAAGGTTTGTATAGGCACAGTTTTTGAAATTCCGTTTAAAGCGAGAGTATTATTTGAAAATATTTGGAATGATTCTAAACTTGAAGTTTTAATTAACGAAATTGATGCTCCAGTGTCGAGCAGGAGTTTGAGGATTTTATCAGATGATTTAGACTTTTGGGCTTCAAACAAAACATATGTTAAGTCGTTTGTTGCTAAGGAAAAGACGTTGCGTTGGACGATTTCGTTAGGATTTTGTTCGTTAGAGGATTTCGAGATTTGCTCATTTGATTCGATAAATGCAGACAATTTATTTATAATAGGATCTTCTGATTTATATACTTGGGAAGGTACCGCTGTTCCGATGAACGTCATTAGATTCTGTGTAGGGAGATCATTTGAATTGAAAAAAGTTTGACTACTTGTTGTTGAATCTGAGGATTGAATTTGATTAATACTTCCCGAAACTGGGGTGTTTGAATTTTGTTGTTGTTGCTGTTGACGTTTGTTATTATTATATATTCTTCTTCTGCATTCTTCAATGGTATGACCCGTTTTTTTGCAATATCGGCAAGACTTTTCGCCGTTTTGTGGAGGATTATTGAGATTTTGTGAATTTCGCGTATTTGCATAATTGATTGATTTTGTATGATGTTGATTATTATCGTGAGTTTTCGATTTGTTGAAACGACACTCTTTAGTAGTATGATTAGTTTTAGAGCATATTTGGCATTTTTGTTGATTGTCGTAACGAAGGCGTAACGCTTTCTCTTCGCCGATTGCTGCTGTAAGAGCACTATTTATGGTTTTAAAATCGCGATATCGAAGCATTTGAGAAATTTGTGGGTTAGTATGATAAACGAATCTATTCAATGTCATGTCAGTAATCATAGCAATACGTCCAGATAATTTAGGGGCATTAGTTTCAGTTGAGTGGATTACGGCTAGAATTCGCGAGGAAAGATCTTCAAGTCTTTGGTAATACATCGAAACATTTTCATTCCGTCCTTGTCGGATACTATTTAATTCCTCAAGCAATTGATCAAATGTTTTTTTATCTTGATATAGGTTTAATAACAATTCTGAAATTTCCGGCCATGTCGTAAGATTGCAATGAATATCTATTTGTTCTCGAGCTTTGCCACAGATTCTACTTTTTACGAAGAGTAATAGAGCTTTTTCTTGATTAACATGCGCTATCTCGAAAACCGAATCGACTTGTTTTATAAAACTTCTAATTTTATAACGATCCCCGTCAAATTTTTCAGGGATTAATTTTATTAAAAATTCGAGAGAAACAGTTGGATTTGTTGGAATACTTGTTGTAGCTTGGTTGGTGTCTACCATTTTGATAAGGGGTTTTAAGGTATTGTAGGAATTGAGATAAGAAATTTGCAAGATAAGTGGATGAAAGAATATTTCAGAGGAACTTACGTTGCTGAAGAACTACGCAGTTGGTGCTGGAGTTGCTAATTCCAAGTTGTCAACCGATTACTGCTTGCTGAGTCTTCGAAGTCTTGTTGTTGAAGTGTAGCTCGATCAGTGGTGGAGCTGCTGGTTCCAATGTCTCACAGGATCGTCGACTTCTTCTTTCTTGGGCGTTGTGGTTTGATTCACAATTAAAATCGTTACTTTTTATCAGGATGAAAAAATACTTTTCACTATAGCACTGACTCTAAAGTTCAAACCGTATCTGAAATCCTCGTCGCCAATTATGTTGTGGGTCCAAGAGTAACAAGATAGAAAAATATTCAAAGACAAGTTCTTTATTGTAAATTCGAAAATTCTATCGTCAGCTTTCTTACAATGTTCAGAAAATAAGTGTCAGGTTTAGGGGAAATGCATCCTTTATATACTGTGGTGGTCAGGAAAATGCATAGAGAGGGGGTTAAGGAGCTGGACTGCAAGGGTTTGTTTTCCGATGTGGCAGGTAGAATTTCTGTTGTTATCTGAGGATATGTATATATATAAGTAAACGTAGGTGAGTTATCCTACAATAGTATGACGTAATTGTTTCTCATTGGCTGAAGTAACATCAATCGGTTTTTTTTAGATGGTTCGATGTTTGCTATTGTTATATGATGTCATCGATTTTTGTAAGATGTCTATCCACTTGTAATTACCTCGCAACGTAAATTGTTTCCACATGTGACTTTTTAACGTGCGATTAAATCGTTCACATATAGATGCCTTAAGATTACTAAATGTAGAATACATTTTGATATTATATTGTTTCATAAGTGCTTCAAATTCTTTATTGTAAAATTCTTTTCCTCTATCAACATGCAAAAATTTTGGCACCCTTTTTTGTGATAAAATCGATTTCATTGCATGGGCTCCATCTTTACCATTTTTAGATTTTGTGGGCACAGCCCAAGCGTATTTTGAAAAAATATCAATAACAGTCAATAAATACTAATGACCTTTATTATAAGATTTATATGCTGTCATGTTAACTGAATCAGCTTGCCAAGTTTCATCAAGCCCACGTCTATCAACATGTCGTCGTGGATAATTTCTTCTAACCGGTCTATGCAGCTCTTCAGTTATTATTTTTTTCTCTTTGTTCATGATGCTGCTGATTAAAATATTTCCGAATATTTTCTTCCAATTGTTTAATACTTTCAGCTTGTTTACGATTTGCTTTTTTCAGTAAACGTAATCGATCTGACTCATGCAGTTCAATTGTTTCATTCAATTCTTCTTTCAGACGTTTACGATGTTCTTGTGATGATTCAATATGTTGCTCTACTTGAACATTAATGATTTTGATTCTTTCTCTATTTTCTTCAACAATTCTTCTTAAATTTGCTACAGTTTCGCGTAACAGACGTAATTCTATTTCAATAAATTTTTTTAAAATTGTAATCTTTTTTTCAATTACTCCTAATGATGTTGCATCACTCAAATCTACTGGTTCAGCGAGATTACACAATCTCTTATTATCCATGTCAAACTGTTGATCCACAGTTAATTTGAATCCTTCACCAGGAGGCCCACGAACAGCACTTTTCACAATATCTTTCGCTAATTGTCGTCCAAAAACGTCAACACTCATTTTTAAACCTCTCACTTCAAAAGTTCTTCAAAGAATGAGTAGCTGTGTAGAATACATCAGATTAATAAATGATTTCAGCTTCACGCAATTCCTTTAAAATTGATAAAATTTCGTTAGTATGACTGAAATTTCCAGCGGTTTGAGATGCAATAAGTAAACGAAGTCGATCTACAAGTTCATTGGGATCATCCCAATAAATATAATCGGTAGGATGATTTTGTTTATGTTTAATCATATATTGTGGTAAACTTCTTCCACTTTTTGGTATATATTTACTGATTATGTCGGTGAATTTTTTTAAATTCTTATCTACTCTGATACTTCTGTCAGGAAGATAATGCTTTCGATAGGCGTTTGTCACACTGATAATTCTGCCATAAGTGTTTTCATCTTCTTTTGTTATTTTTGATTGATCAGGTGAATTCATAAATAATAATTCCAATAGGGGAGAGCGGGGCTGAAAGTGCCGGGGGTAAATTGTACCGATGCGAATATCTTGAAAACAGAGAGAGATAGATTCACGATCGTAGTGTGTCGCGTAATGCCTAACAGTTGGGCACACGCGGCTGCCATTTTAATTGTATCAGTGACGTGGACTGAGTGGCAGTGCATGTGAGGATCTTCCAGCGCTACGTAAGTAAATATTATCGTTTCGAAACTTTTTGGGCACAAGCTAGTATTTTTCGTGCTTTTAATATGAGAGTTTTAGTAAAATGTTTGTTATTCTTTCTAGTTTGTTATGCAGTGTAATTTTAATGCTTTAAGCCGAGTGATTTTTGTACGTGAGACAAAATATCACACTCTCATAAGCGGGGTAAAATGTGCCGTTCATGTGGGGCTGCTTGTGCTGCGGCACAACCAACCTCTAAGCAACTTTTATTGTTTCAATATTGTTCATGTTTACGCGAGCACTTATAAAAGAAAGAAATAACTTTTTGACATGATACTTTATACTGCATTTATTGTCTTTGACAGAATGAGGACATACAAGCGAAAAACTCAAAGGGGAACTACATCTCAAGATCTTTTACAAAGGGCTGCTGATGCAGTCATCAAGGATGGACGTAAATTAAAAACTGTTGCACGTGAATTAGAAATTTGTCACACAACACTACAATGCTATGTCAAAAAAATAAAAAGTGGACTTGCTCCTGCGGTCGGATACAAACCAAGACTAGTGTTTAATGAGAAACAAGAGGCACTACTATCGAAGTACATCTTGAAAAGCGCTTCTATTTACCTCGGTCTTCTGCCGGAGGAAGTACGATAACTTGCGTACCAGTGTGCCGTGAAGTTTAATGTACAAAACATCCCACCATCTTGGCATACAAATGGTGAGGCTGGCAAGGATTGGTTGACAAACTTTCTGAAGAGGAATTCTACACTTTCCATAAGAACACCCGAAGCTACCAGTGCAGGACGCGCGAGCTCATTCAACCGACATAACGTGAATCAATTTTTCGAGAAACTTGGCGACTTGATCACAAAGCATAATCTTACTCCTTCACGTATCTGGAATGTAGACGAGACTGGTGTCCAAACTGTGCTGAAACCAAAGAAAATTTTGGCTGAAAAAGGAACAAAGCAAGTAGGAGCAATCGTTTCAACAGAGCGTGGAACTTTAGTCACTGTTGAGCTAGCGGTAAGTGCTATAGGAAACTCGATTTCACCAATGTTTGTATTTCCACGTTTGAAATATAAAGACCTATTTATCCGCGACGGTCCTCCTGAGTGTATTGGGGCTGGTAATCAATCCGGTTGGATGACAAGCACAGAGTTCTTAGTGTTTATAGATCATTTCATAAAACACACTAAGCCTAGTCCTAACGAGCCAGTGCTATTACTCCTAGACAATCATTCATCTCACATTGATATTGATGTGATTGAAAAAGCCAAGAGAAATTCTGCTATATTATTATCGTTCCCACCACACTGCACCCACCGTCTGCAACCTCTGGATGTTGGTGTCAATGGCCCTTTTAAAACATACTGCTCTAAAGCTAAAAATAACTGGCTGAGAACTAATCCCGGGAAGGTTATGAGCGTTTATGAAATACCAGGTATAGTAAAATACGCTTTCCCGTTAGCAGCAACACCTATGAATATATGCAACGCATTCAAAAAGACTGGCATTTGGCCCTATGATTCAAACGTATTTACAGACGAAGATTACGCACCGTCTTTTGTCACTGATCGCCCGATGCCCGAAAATCGTCCCTCACAAGGTACCGGCAACTTGCCTGTCCCTCCAAACAATCGAGAAAAGACTCCTGAATATTTTGATGAATCAAATTATGTGGGCAGCAATGTAGAGATTGAGACTAGTCAAACAATACTAAAACATGTTCCTGGGCAAAATGACTGCAGCGTTGACTGTACAAGTGAACCATCAGGTAATCAAGAACAAGAGACACGTCAGTGTTCTCAGGAGCCTATCCCTTGCTGCAACTTCCAGCTTCCTCAATCAGCTGATAACAACACAGGAGACAAAAATACAGCAATTTCCTCACCAGAGCTAATAAGACCACTGCCTAAAGCACCTCCCCGATTAATTGGACATAATAAAAGACGTAAAAGAAAGACAGCTGTTCTTACGGACACTCCAGAGAAAAATGCTTTGGCCGAAGAACAGGCTACTAAAAAGACGAAGAAAGAAAGTAAAACTACAAAGAAGGTTAAGGGGAAGGGCAAGGGGAAAGGTAAACAAACAAAAAAACCGCCTAAGAAGCCCGCTAAGAGAAGAGTTTTGCAAGATGATGACAGTTCTGATGATGAACAAGAATGGTACTGTATCATATGTTGTGATGCCTATTCTAACTCTGCCCCTGGAGAAAAATGGATTGAATGCAGAGAATGTAAGAATTGGGCTCATTTGCAATGCATTGAAGATAAAGAAAGCCTAGCATTTGTATGTCCTAATTGCTATTCTGATCAGTCATCCAAAGAATAACTAGTTTTGATATATTTTTTTGATTTCGTAAAAGGACTCAAAAGACTGATAAATAAAATAATAACTCTGTTACTTTATCATTTGAGATAGATCTTTATTATTTTTTGTGATATAGTCCTTAGGAACTGATATTTTTAATAATTGATCTCATTCGCATGAAAATAAGTACAAACTATTAACTAAAAATATGTTATTATAAATATATTATTAATACTATTAATAAAATATATTATAAACAACTGAATTTTAAAAACTGTTGATTTATAATGAAAAGTATAACGAATAAATATATTATTATGAAACTTATGTCTTTTAAATTTTAATTAATTTTCATTCATTTAAAACACCTAGCATTATCAACGGCACAACCGACCTCAGTTACGGCACAACTTGCCCCAAAGTGGGGTTGGTAGTGCCTTGCCGCCGCTGTATAAAAAAATCATTTTTTCTAAAAAACAATAAAAAATGTGCAAAATCTGTAGGTAAATTCGTATTGTAGACAAAATTTCGCTTAGGATAAACCACTACTTTTAGGTATAGTACTTGTTTTATCCAAATTATATAAGGATTCGTTAAAATCGGCACTTTCAGCCCCGCTTTCCCCTACATTGCAAAAGACCCACCGATTCCAGTGAGTTCCAGATCATGGGAATTATATGAATATCCAATGCTGCCGAACACAACCAAACACGTATGGGTCGTAAAAACATCAACTCAATTGGAAATGCCCCGCTATGTTATATTAGGATTTCAAACTGCACGCAAAAATGATGCTACAAAAGATGCAAGTCATTTCAATCATTGTGATTTAAGGGATGTAAAACTTTTCCTCAATTCACAATGCTATCCATATGGCAACATGAATCTTGACATAAGTCACAATCAATTTGCCTTATTATATGATATGTATAGAGATTTCCAAACATCATATTATGATAAAGAAGCAGAACCTCTACTCACGAAAAAAAATTTATAGATATAGCACCACTCGTTGTAATTGATTGTTCTAAACAAAATGAATCCTTAAAATCAGGACCAGTTGATGTTCGACTGGAATTTGAATCATCAAAAGTTTTTCCTGCTAACACATCAGCCTATTGTTTGATCTTACATGATCGAATAATAGAGTATAAACCTTTAAGTGCGCAAATGAGAAAACTAACATAAAATATTGTAAAAAATATACATATTATATAATTATGATTATATTATTAATGTATGAATTAAATTTTTTTTTGCTATAAATAAATTGTGTACACGAAAAAGATTACTGTTTTCATTCATTTATTTCCAGAAAAAATCTGATAGTCGGTAGCGCAAATTTTGAGAGAATATCAAAACATTGACAAAACTTTGAAAAAAAATCAGTTATTTTTGCTGATAGTGAAATTTTAATCGCGGTTGGTAAAAAATCGGTATTATCATTGAAGATAATTTATCGAGGTCGGTAAAAAAAATTGCTGCCGATAATTTATCAGTGTCGATAACTTATCGCGGTCGGTAACTTATCGTCAAAGTTATCGCGGTCGGTAATTAGTGCGGATCAGAACCCACTTTTTTGACTTGGCTGGTATTGCAGAGTGATCCAGAACTGGCCCTGCTTATCTACTAATATGAATATTAAGTAAATAGAATACTTGTATGGATATATGATGACAATATTTCATCGAAAAAAAAATTTAAAAAACAATATCAGCAATGAAAGAATTTTAAACTCGTGTCAGGATTGAGAAAACAGCATTAAAGACGCTATAATAGTCAATAATAATTGTCAATAATATGGAATTGTGTTCATAACAATTGAACATTGTTACTAACAAGTGATTATTGATCATAGTAATATTTAAATAATAAGTTTTAAATTGTTATAAACAATAAAAATAGGGATCCATTCTATATATATGAGTACTTTTAACGCACAATTTTTTCTTTCACTGGAATAAAGTAATTAACCATATCAAATGAATAAAAACAGACTCATTTCGTTTATAACAATTCCATTTGTTATAAAGAATGGAAACGGGTTCTATTCGAATTGTTTTTTCATTTTCTCTACTGGGAAGTTGGTCGTGTGGACCTTTCGGGTCGCACCCAGACCACTGCAGAGCACTGATATTCTAAAGTTGATATCAATTTGAATAACCTAGATGTAACAAGTCATAAATTATCAGCAATATCTAATATGCTAGACAACTAAAATAAACATAAAATTCTAGATTATAAGGTATCAATATTTACATATATTGGTTGTATCGTTTGTACATTACTAATAATTTATATAATCTTAAGATGTTGTTGTTGGCGTAGATTAAGTAAGCTACCTAGAATATTATCCCGTCATGATGACAACGATCCAAGCAATTGTTCAAAAATGGTGAATTTGTTCTTCAAAAATTGTCTAACTCTAAATATCTGTCACTCCAAAATAAGTCCTCGTTGACCAGTACACTCACCTATTCCTTTAGAAATAGTAACTTCTGATTCATCTGATAATAATATTGTAAGTGAAGAGCCTCGTTCTCACCGTTCAACCAGTGTAATTAAAAATTAAAACCTTATCAATTTCCGCCATCCTACGTCACCAAGATATTCCTTCTACCCTTAAAAATAAGTTTACCTTGTAAGTAAAAATATGTAACAAAAATCAGAACTAAGTTGTAACTCAAAGTGACAAGTTCACTCCTAAATATTCCTAATAAACTCAAATAAATTCAAACCTCTGTGTCCGAGTCTTGATTTTATTACATTTATATAAGGCTATGCATAAAAAAATTAGTTTTATATAAATATATAGTAATTAAATCAACAATATAGAATTATAAACAATATAGAAGTGCAATATCGCTGGCGCCTAGAATAGATAGATAAATAAATAAACAGTATAGAATTGATATTCAAATTCACGATGAATAAGTATTGAAATATTTAATCCACAGAGAAAATAGATCGAGCTGAAAGGAGTTCATAAAGAGAACGAATTCTTTCTCAAATAGATTTTTGAAAAAATTTTTAAATTGATAAAAATTTCTACAACGAAAAATTAATGTTTTATCAGGCATAACTAAAATTTTAACAATTTCCTATCAATAAAAACAATCTTTTTTTCTAAAATGTACGATTCTTCGTGCTAGTCTCAAGTGATTTCTCTGAGTTCAGAAAAAGGAATAAATAAGAATTTCAATAAAATACCATTTATTTAATCTCAAATTAATTTAAATACCATATTACACTCCAAAGCTTCAAAGTTTTTGAAATTTTTTAAATTCCATGGTTAATGACAAGATATAAAAAATTAAAGAACAAGTTATCGAATAAACAATGATTAAAAACGTGTTAATACTTTTTTCATGATAATTTTAATAATAAAATTACAAAAATGCTTCATCATGAGGACTTAACGGTCTCTCAGTATTCGATGGATTTATTAAAACATTTGTTTTAGGATTAATAGTAGTAACTTGAGCGACAGATGTTGTATTAGCATGACTAGTATTAGCCATACAAACAACGACCAACTTAGATGAATTACTCTGAACTTGAGTTTTTTGAATATTTGGATTATTAGTGACAACTTTGATCTGCTGTGGCTGAACTTGTTGTTGTTGTGATTGAGTGGTCTGCTGTTGAATGGCAGAAGTCGTTTGAGAAGTTGGAGTTTGTGATCTTGATTGTAAAATAACAAATTTCTGTCCTCCTCCGGTTGAAGCAACACTTGTATTCCGATTCGTACCAACGACAATAGTACGTTGCTGACTTGTGTTCGTGTTAATTACTGGAATATGTTCTATTCAGGCAATTATTGTAGTAAAAATTAGACTATTTATTCTATAGATTACTAATTTTAATTACCATTTTGTACAAGGCCTCGATTACTAGTGGTAACTGGTCCTTGTTGTTGAGTTGTTGTCAAATTCGAAGTGGTTGATACATTTGTGGAAGCTGATTGACTACGTGCTTTCGCTACTGCAGAACACAATGTTGGTCCAATGTATCCATAGTCTAATTTGTATTCTTCTACAAAATCTGGCGGTGATCTTATCATTTTTAGAACTGGCGCTACTGCTCTCTATATCGATTAAATAAATTATCAACTCATTCAATATTTGCTCCAATTTATATTACTATTTAAAAACTACTTTAGCCAGTAACTTTATCAAGAATAATAACTTCCTTTGTCAGAAGTTTCACGTTTTAAAATAAATAAATAAACAATTAATGACACATCGTACGTAACAGATTGAAGTCTAGTCAGCAAAATCATGAAATCAAAATTTTTCAACATGATTGAATTTTCAGAATATAATACTCTAGTTATTGGAAATAAAAAAAAATATCGAATTTACTGTTTCTTAAAAAACTTCTGTGAAATGGAGTTATTATGCCTCGATTAATCAGAAAATAATGACAAGAAAAGTAAGAAAGCGATCTTAATTTATTTAAAAATGTTTTAATCCTTTTTCAGTAGTATACGATGGCATAAAAAGAAAAATTTACCACTAAAACAGCTTTAATATGACCAGCTGCATTTTTATCAACATTCGAAAGTGTTGGGTCTTCAACGCAACTTTCTATTCTTTCAGAAATAGACTTTATTTTTGGTATTACTAAGGCTTTGATAACTTCGGGTCCCAACTCACATAATCCACATATTGCTCCGTAGAGAGTTGCCAAAGGAGTCTAAAAATAAAAAAATTATTTGATAAATTCAAGTCAATGTTTATTCAGAAATATTAAATGAATTATTTTAGTCTTCAAAATGAAATCATAAAAGACAAAGTGATCTATGAGCATATTATAGTGACATAAGATAAATAACTTAAGTTTTTATATAATCATTCCATGATTACGAATATCAACAAAATAGGTTTAATACAGTTCAATAATAAAGATAATAAACAATCTAACTTAGCTTTATGCATTAATAAATGTTAAAGAAGTAGATAATAATTTCTTAGCAAATTAGATTTTGAAAAAAAAACAATAAATTTATAATTAATTTAAATAAATAAGCTTAAAAATAAATTTTTTAAATATTATTTACTTGATTATGCTTCGTTAAAGCATGGTTAAACATCCTCGTAACTCTCGTTTGCACGTTATTAGTAGAAGTATTGAAATTTCGACATATCTGGCTCATTAATTTGGACCCAAAATCTCTCAATGCCCAATGATTATCATACTCTGGCCTCATACAAAGCTGCTTCGATACAATGCACGTAATAATCGATGGAATCAACTCGTGTAGATATTTTTCTAAGTATAAACTTGGGTTATCTAGAAGAGCTTTGACCATTCTCATCAAGTATATTAATAATGCTAAATTTTTTTGCACTACATTCACACGCACTCCTTCAGCAATGAAGGTACACATTCTTGCTAACATTTCATGAAGTCCAGGGTCTGCTGCTAAAGATTGAAGTGCTTCAGCTCGTCGACCTTCATCGGAACCAACACAAGCTTCAGTGATTTCTTTATAATAAAGCTGTTGTTCAACACTTAGTTCATGGGTCGCGAGTTGTTTAACATGAACTGTTTCAACATTTCGAAGTTTTTGACTTTTTCCACCAGCTCCAGGCTTTCCTACGGCGACATTGCTTGTTTTTGATGTCAATTTTGCTGTTGGATCTACACTTTCGAGCTTTTGAACGTCTAGAGGTTGATAAAAAAATATTTATAACCTGTTTTTTCTAGTATTCTACTGATAATTGATGATAAAATTGCTTACCTTTGGACACTGGAGGTGGATTTTCAGGTATGGTTGGTTGAACTCCATCAATACACAACCAATGAGCTCTTAGAGAAATATCCAGAGGTAGTTTTGGCCAAGATGGACCACCAGCCATTGATATTAAATCATTCAAATCTATCTCTTTCTCTTCAACAAAATGCAATTCTCTTCCTCCGCCTGAGGCAAACCTGAACGGGATGTGATCTTTCGAGAAAAAGCCATAAGTGGGCTCGATATTTTTCACTTTCAGAGCATGGTCTATATCGTGGGTAGTTAATCTTTGTCTTTTACCATGTCTCATGAATTTTGCTGCATCCTAAAGGCAAAAAAAAGAGAATCAACAGTATATCAATCAATATAACCTACAAAACATCTTTGTTTTGAAATAAATAAAAAACTACATCTTTAAAAGATGTTTTAATGTAAGATTGATGAATCATGATTAATAAACTTATTGTCGATTGATTTAATACCTGAATTATTTCTTTAAGTCTATAACTAACATCTTCAGCAAGATCTTTAGCTGCTTCATCAGGAAGATTGCCAACACCGATGCTCTCAGCAATGACTTTCATCGACTCCTGAGACAATGTAGTGCCGTAAATTGAATCGTTTTCACTCATTATTGCAATTATTTTATTATCTACTGATTATTTATAAATATTTCTTTTTTACTTTATCGCTAATTATACATTTTTTTATAAACATCAACAAGATTCTATCAAAACAATCGCATGTGAGGTACTCTCTAAGTTCTCAAAATGGCCGCCATTGGCGCAAATGAAAACCATCCAACGATCGGTATACAAAGCTGTCGGTAAATGTTGCTGATAAAGTAAATTTTGAGGATATTGAGGTTAGGTGGCGCAGATGATCATTTAAAATCCCGCCATTTGACAGATGCTTAACGTTTGTAGCATTAATTGGTGTTTTGCAGAGTTTCTTCATAATATTTATTATTTATAAAATAAGTTTTGAGTTTTGTGCATTTATAAATATCCAAAATGACTGAAGGTAAAATATTTTTGTTATCCAAGTATACTTCTGATTATTATTCTGTTTATATTGACAGAAAATATGCAAATATTTAGCTTAAATTGAGGTTAAATCTGCAATAAATGGCAGAATGTTTAAACAATAGATAATGCAATTAAATAGCAGTGTGTATATTTTTAAGTAAGAAATAGAGTTGATAAACAATTCATTAACCTTGTTTTAGCTGATCAATCCAGCAATGAAGATTGCTGGACTCCTTATAAACAGCTCCAAAACCTCGTGGAACGTTATGTGATCTTAACACCATCAACTCCAGACCCTCAATACCATGAATTTATGGAAGCTCTTCGAATTCACCGGCAAAATTTTCTAACCTTAATGAAGAATTCGGTAAATTTGATCACTAAAAATAATAAAACCATTCATTTATGGTTGTTAATTCAATCTTTTGCTTATTTTTAGCCAAAAAATGCCAAAAGTCGTGAAGAAATACAAAAAGGAGTGACCGAAGGAATAACTCTATCGGATTTAGGTCATCATATTTTATCAAAAGAACTCGTGGACGAGACAATAATCATCTCTGACATGTACGATCTCAACGAGTACATGGCTCTAGACCTTTTGTGCACAGCTCAACTTCAGATGCCACATCATCCAGGCTTAACTCGTGGATTGACAGCTATTCTTCTCTACTATGATGGAAGAAAAGCATTAACATCAGCTCTAAGAACTCTAGTTCAAGCTAGAATAGGTCACAGTTGGGTTCTAGATACTCCAGTAACATTAACTAAAAAAATAACAGAGTATACAAACAAATTGCACGAAGACGGATTACTTGATAGTGTGCTATCACTTCTGGAACAGATGGATCCAACAAAAGAACAAGATTTACTGCAACAAAACCGTGCTCTTGGTGGACCGGAACATCATCACATGGTGATGAAGCTCTACAATGAAACTAGACAAGATTTAGCTGATATTTTATATCTGTGGGCAGCACAAACATCATTGCCAACTAAAATTATCTTTAGACTTCTTGCTATGCTGAAAGACAAACAACCAGAATCTGAATGTGGTAATGGAGGTCCTGATAAAGTAACACTATCATTAATTATGGCTTTATTATATGCTATGAACTTGAGTTCACTTCACAATCGTGAAGATGGTGAGCTTATTGTCAAATCAATTCCTCTTATAGCAGAGTTTAGTGTATTTGAGAAGTTTATTCAAGAACTGATGAATCCGAACTCATGGAAAAACAATGGACTCTGGGGTGTAATTCAACTGGCAACATCTATTGCTATAGCAACCATTAAATCAGCTTCTAATATGTCTTTGAGTCAGAACATCATGAAAGAAGATGAGATCCTAGTGGAAGCAGCGCTTTCTAATCGAGCTTTTCATTTTATCACATCTGTGATATTTAAAAGTGATGACATTTATTACGAAGAGTTTTATATTCGGTATTTTCATAGCTTCATTTCGGATTTTATTACTCTGATGCCAATGAAGGTAAAGGAACTACGATCACGGGCTGATGAATCGATGAGATTCATTGCTGCTTACCAACAGGAAGGTGTAGAGCCTCCGTTGAACCTTGATGACCATTTTGAATATCTTATGCTAATGGTAGCGGAGCTTTATAAAAAAGATCCACTTAAATTAAATCTAGTGCTTGATTACTGGTATCAGCATAACGAAAATCATATATCAGTACACTCTAGACTACCAGCAAGACAAGTAGCTTTGTTTAAATTCGTTAGATTGGCTGGAGAAATTCTTCCAGCTGGACTTTTTGTACCCTATTTAAAGATGATTGCATCACTGGCTTCATCACCACAAGCTGCACGACATGCTTTCAATTTTTTAAAACCAAATGGCTCTTCAGGGTCGACTATATCATGGGACCACTTTTTTAATTCATTGAATAGGTATTATTATAACTTGAGACAAGAATTACCACCAAGTCAAGATACTATTTATCGGCAGAGAAATCATCCTAAAGGAATAACTCCTCATGAAGTTAAAGGCCTCGAAGCAGTGCTGAATGTGGTCCAAGTTGTAGCAAAGTATGACGAAATGTCTAGAGTTGCTATTTGTGATCATCCAGGCTGGAAAGTGATTCCATCATTAATCGGACTTGTTGGTTGTGCTATGCCGATCCCTCTTAAAGGTGTTCTAGTGCGTACCTTGGCTGCTTTAGCTAAATCTCCTGAGTCTTCTTACACCATTTGGCAAAGTTTAGAAGCAGCACAGATTCTCTGCACCATTCCTACCACTAGCAGTTATCAACCTCGTGGAGTACAGACAGAATTAGAGGAAATTGAATCCAGGAATGAAGAGTATCCGCTTACTAGAGCTATGCTTGAGCTTCTAGACTCTCTTACTGATTACCCAATACCAAGATTGCTTGGAGTTGGCCAAAGAAATCCAGGTTTTGACCCTTATCTACAGTTCATCATCAACACAGTTTTCTTAAGATTCAACACAAGGTCGTATAAAAATCCTGGTGAAAAGTGGCAGGTTGCTGACTTGTGTTTAAACATTTTTTACAAGCTTCTTACTCAGTATGAGCCGAATATTGAAGACTTTGTGGGTTGTAAAGTAGAAATTCAAGGTGGAGAGTCGACTTTGGTAAATCCAGAGCCAGGATATCACTTGATGACTCAACTTCATTCAAACTCTGAGCTTCTTCATGTCATTTTGTATATCCTGGATGAAGGAAGACATTATTTTGAGACATATGAACCCATCGCTGGTAAGAAATACCTAGAAAATAGTACTTTAAACTGTCTGAGGATCTTAGAACACACTCTAAAGATGCAACAATACTACATGGCTCAGCTAACTATCGCCACGACGTCTAATAAAATTCTAACTGGTTTATCAAAGCTACTTTTAGGTGTGAATCCAAGAACTGGCAAACCAGATCACATGATCAACATTGCAATGTTTGTGGTATTTAATTCCTGGCTTAAGAAACATGCCTACGTTGCTCTAGGAGTGATTCAAGGTGTTGCAAGTGAACCAGGAGCTGATTCCGAGCTCTTAGCAACCTTTACATCAACTCCTACGCTTGCTTTGACCATCAGACATGGTTTTGTCGAATGTTTAGACTCGGATGAAATCATCTCCGAGGAGGAAGATGATCATCAGACACCAGGCAACTGTAAAGATAGGATTTTACTTTTGTTGATTCAGAATATTTCCAGACCAACTCCTAATCTTGCTCATTATTTACTTGGCTTCGACATCACTAAAGACATCAGGAAAACTGTCGTTCAACAGCCTGGTATGCTTGGATTTCCACGGACTTGTCTTCATTCCATTCTAGGTATTTTGGAGTTGTCTTTGGAAAGAGGCAGAGATAAAATCACAGAAGCTTGTTACAGGTTTTTGCATATTCTTGCCGCCAATGCTAAAACATCAGTTCCTGTTTTAAGGTTTTTACGAACATCAACCAATCAGGATTTCGTTCAACGACATTTGTCCAAGCTTCCTTTTCAAGGACCCAATCGTGCTATAGAGCTTGCATGTATGTCTTGGTTGCTAAAAATAGCCGCGATTGAACTTCATATCGCTGGTGGCTCTCTTCAGAACAGTTTGGTACGAAGACTTGTGGGAAATGTGCTTCAAGATGGAACAGTTTTTCCACTTTCTCAGAAACTACTAATGGATCTTTTGCATTACATTGACTTTGAAATCCAACGGGAACCAACGAAATCCTGGGAATTTTTTGATCCTTCTCAAGTGGAAATGGTGCTAAATAAATGTAGTGTTCCTATGATTGCTAATGGAGGTCCACAGTTGATCGACATCAGAAGACTTCATGCTTTGATCAAAGAAGAACTCGCAGTAACTCAAAGCTCTGCCACAGCAACACAACGAAAATTAATGCAACAAGAATTGCAGTCAATTTTAGCTTACGCTCTAAAGAGAAATCAAACTAAAACCCTTTCCTATGCTACGGTGAAGTTTGTTGAGGGTTGGTGTCAAGCAACAGAGATGCTTTTTTCCATCGCTACTACTCAGCAGTTGCCTACAAGCCTTCGTCAGAGTTTACTTCTTAATCTCTCGCATGATTTACTACAAAAAATGACGTCTTGCGAAGCAATTAGTGAAATAAAAACCCTAGTTTCTAGCACGGTTTTAATTTTACTAGTGAATTTAAAGAATACTTTTGCTGTGCCAGATGCAGAAAACTCGGAAGTTTTAATCTCTTCATCACCATCCTACACTACAACCATGAAAATCATTTTAAATCACATTTTACAATGGATTATCAACTCTGGAGCATCTTCTCAGAAGGTCAGAACTCATCTCTACGGAGCTTTGCTCAACTTCTTATGTGTTGTTGGTCTAGAAAAATCAGAATCGACTGAAGTTAATTACAATTACGTTTCCCAATTGGATCATTCTCTCTACCGTTCACTTACAATTCACGAAAAGTCTCATAGATACTCGACAATTCAAGTAATCAATGCTTTCGGTGATAAACTGATGGACATCGTGGCGCACAATTGTTCTGGTGGTCATGATGTCTGTAAAATGTTAGCCTTATCCTGCCTAGATAAAATCCTAGAACTAGACTGTGATAATTCTTGGATAATTTACTTGTCAAGTCGAGGATACCTGAAACACATGATTGACAGTCTTTTAGAGTCTGATAATCTCCTTCGTAGCATCCTCCAACCTGAACCATCAACACTAAGACCTTTATATCTCTACGAGGCTAAAATAGCGACCTTTTGTCGTATGGCAGCATCAAGACTCGGTGCTGAAAGTCTTTTGGAAAGTAAAATCCTATCTTGCTTATCATCAATGTCAGTTTTTGATCAACATCCAGACATTCAAATTAGTTTTAAAGAAAGTACTGAGAGTTTTCTTCCATCACTTGGCCAACGTTACCAACAAATTCTTCTTCCAGCGCTCTACCTTTGTGATGCTTTGCTCACAACATTAGGTACTGAAAACCAATCCTGTGCGATTCAAGTTTGCGGATTTATTCAAAGTCATCGCGATGCCGTGGAGATTATTTTAAGAAATGCAATGCCACATTTCAATAATTTGTTTCTTAATCAAGTATCCTGTCTCACTGGAGTGATCGCAAGATCAGCAAACATTGACATGTACCAATTGGTAGAGAAAGAGCTAAACATCGACATCTCTAAACAAGACAGCTTTCCAGATAATACTGGAATGCGAGAATTGCGTGCTCATTTATTCAGACTTCAAAAACTAATGGTTTCTTTACTATCAAAGTTTAGTGACAATAAACCTCCATTAGGTTCTAATGTTCTAGAACGTGATCATCAGCTTGAAGTTCACTATTCATCAATAAAAATAGCTGCAAATGTTTTATTATACGCTAGAAACCAAATGCAACATACTCATATGAACCAGAAGATCAGAAATTTATTGTTCGAACCATTTTTAAATAAATCCAACATTAAAGACATCGCAAGACGTGAAGGAAGTGGTGTTACAATTGGTGCGATAGTCAATATGCTGATATCAACAACAAATTTACTTTACTTTGAGCTTTCGAATCTAGATTCTTTGATCAAAAAAGCTGAAATGGTAAAAGAAATGAATGCAACGGACTTAAAAAAATATTTAATTGAAGAAGAGTTGGAGTTAAATATGATAAAACAACGAGTTATTGTAACAAAGAGATTAGAAAAACAAACTAATGATAAAAAACAGAATATAAGATATTGTTCGTTCATTGTTGAACATTCTCTTTACATTTTATGGAGTCATTTAGATTACTATGTCATGAATGCGACATCAAAGTATAGTAGAACACAGATTTCTGATGTTGATGAGAATTATACTATCAGCAATGAAATTTTAGCTGATTTAAAACAAGGACTTGTTGGAGTATTTAGTGATGCTTTTGTGGCACAACTTCTTGACTTAGGTCATCATGAATTCTCCATGGTAGAACAGTCTTTTATAGAAGCATTGATTAGAAGGATAAAAAGACTTTTACAATTTGTTATTATCAAATAATTTCTTATTTTTTAATTTTGTTTGTTTTTTTTATAAGTCAAGAAGTTTTTGTCATTTCTATGTCAAGTGTTTCACTGCCGAGTTCTTAAATATTCTTTAAATTTTATATCAGAATTTGCTAATTAAAGTTAATTTCATTTGTTAAGAAAATTCAAATGATAATAAAAATTTAATAGACAATTTTAGATTTATTTTTTCTTTCTTCATATTAAACCGATGAATAATTCAATTGTTTAATAAAACATGTATCTACTCATAATTTCATTATTTCTCATAAATGTATTTGAATGTTTCAAACAGTAAACAATAAAACAAATATTTTTGTAAAATATTAAATTGCTATAATAAATATTACGTCATTTACGAATTTTAGTTTTTTTATTATGAAATTATTTTTTAATCACAGCTTCATCCCAAGGACCATAAATATTATCTTTATACTTTTGCCATCTGATGTACCAAAATGGACAAATGATATCAACAAAAATAGTAACAACAATAAAAACTAATGACAATATATCCGACACTACAACTAAAAAATACAAAGTCATGACTGTGAAAATAAGAGAAATAAAAATCATCTTATCAGCTTTCTTAATTAATAAAAAAGGAAGTAAAACAAAACATTGTACAGCAACGGTAAGTAAAGTAAAAGCGTGAAAGGGTGATGCTAGACGAGATGCTAGCATCAAAGAGCCAAATATTGATGACGTGATGGAGAGAGAATCTGACAGTGACACTGGTGGGATGCCATATTTACTAAAACTTAAATGAATAAAGAACATAAAAATGGTCATAGCGTAAATTGTGTCTGTGCTGATGGTTTCAGTTAAAGTTTTCAACACTGGTGACAAAATATAACCGAAAACCAGGAAAATAAGTGCTGTCCTGCAGTCTTTTGGAACCCTAGCTGCTAAAGTGGGCAACATGCTGATGTAAAATAAATATCCTATGATAGTTAAAGCTGAACTTGATATAAAAATAGTATTTGGTGATATCCATTCGTTATTTAACCAGATAAAAACTATTACGAAGAGTATAACGATGCTTAATTGAGTAGAAATACTGGCTCCAAGAGTTATGGCACTTTCTATCGTAACATTATTGGGTTTAATGTTTTTTCTTAATTCGTGTAGAAATGATTCATCGGTATAATTATCAGGAAATCCTCTATTTTCGTATAGGTTCTTCTTCCAAAAGCTTTTAGAACGTTTGGAAGTATAATTAAATGCCATTGTCCAATTCTTGTTATTTATTGACAAACTAGATGATTGTAATCTATAATTTTGAGGTTATATTTCATAAAAAATAGTCACATAACCTTAATTAATAATTTTTAAATAATCGAATATGATTTTACTTACGTTATAATAATAAATTATTAAAGATATTATAAATATTTATCATATTTTTAATTCATTTTGAATAATAAATAATCAATGCTCCAAAACAAAGCTATTTAGTACAAGAAAATACCGCAATAGCGTCACTACACCACCACAGAGAAGAGAGACCAGTCTCTGCTACCTCCATATGTAAAAACAAAAAATGACTGTAGACAGCGCTGTAAACATAAAAAAATTAAATTGATCATTGTATGTAAAAAAACAATCATACAATACGTCATTTATTCATTAATGTGTTCGTAGACAAAGCAAAATTAATGTTGAGTAACATTTTTTTACTAAAATCCATACGTTTAGAACGGCTAAAATGTTACAAATTGTTCAAAATTACTCAATATGAGGAAAAAATCCACTGGCACTAATGAATCAGGAATAACCAGGTATTTATTAAATAAAAATGGAGTATTATTTATCAAAAACATGTCCAAATGTCCAATCAAATTAATTTAATAATCCATTATTATTAATTAAAAAAACATTATTATTTTTTTTCAAAGATATTCTGCATACCATAGAGGAATTCCAAAAGACGGTTCACCTCATTATGTTTTTCTATATTCTGACGATGAATTTGGTGACGAAAACATACCACTGCAGCCCCAGAAACCTAAAAAATCGGTTCCGAGGAAAGTGGAGGTGATTAATGTTACATTAAAAGCTGAAGATACTCTCCAAGCTTTAGCCTTGAAATATCGATGCACTGTAAGTATTTCATTCCTCGAAAGAAGATCCTTCTCAAAGAACAAATTAAATCATTAAACATAATTATAAAATATTATTGCAGTTAGTTTTCAACTTAATTATTTTTAATCATCAAAAAAATGTTTTTTGGTAGATATCCGAGTTGAAACGCATCAACAATATCCACAAGGAGAATGAAATCTACGCCCGAAGGACAATAAAAGTACCAGTGCAGCCATATTCGATATTCACGGAAATAAATGAAGAAAATGGATCAACAAACAATAATTCAGATTCAAGAACTAGTAAATTAATAGATTTAAGTGATGCAAAAGAGTCTCAAGATAGTACTGCATCAATTGCAGTATCAAATATAGAGCAATGTAATTTATTAACTCTAATTAATGTTTCTCTTTCATCAACCAGTCAATCTCAATCTCTAGATATCAATAATTTAATACTCAATTCTGTTTGTGAGCCATCAGCATCAAAGGATAATACAAACATTGCTGAAAATGGTGAACATGATGAATTATTGATAAATAAAGAATATGATAAAGATTCAACACCAGAAGCACAAGTTATTCAATCATTTAAATGCAGTGGAGCGGATTGGGGATTGTCTTGGATTCATCTTTTAGGAGTTTCTATTCTCTTAGGTTTTGTTCTTCCGATTATTTATATTTTTTATGTTGCTGAAAACAATAATAAGCATCATGAAGTTGATTTTAAGGGAACAAGATTGCCATTAAATCCTTTGTATGATAAAAATATCGAATCTCTCAAGGACAACGTTTAATAAATCAACTAAATTATGGATTTTATTTTAAAAAATGGTGATTTTAAAAGAACAATAAAAGTGATTATTAAAAAGAAGTAAGGTTGAAAGTGGTGAGGACTAAAAAATTGGTTGTTTATAAATTAAAGAAAATTTAATTGACTGGTTTTCAATTAAATGATCAGTGATTTGATGAAATTTTGATGCTTATTGGCCAGTTAAAAATTTAATAATGTGTTAAAATAATAATAATAATAAAAATTAAAGGAAATTTATATAAATTTTTATAAATATGTGCCTTCACGTACCTGATGTTGATGGCAGATAAACATTTAGATAAGTAAATGAATAAATAATAAAATATTTTGATAATAATATGTTTTCATAAGATAATTATCAAGTTTTTGGCTTTTATTTGTTTATTTAAATCGTTGGGAAAAATAATAACATTTATTACAATAAAAATGCAATAAAATTTTTTTTTTTGTTTTGCAAATATTATTTTAAATATAAAAAAAGTATGTTTTTAAATAAGTCAAGAGTTTTTTTGTTGAAGAAATATCTTTTCTAGTTCATGTTACAACTCAATTTTATGTCAAAGTAAGCTTGTTATCAAGATTGATGGTTTTTAATCATTCGTTTTTAATTTTATCGAAGTCAGAAGTCATTAAAATTCAGTAAGAGTAAAGTTCGTAATTCTTAGAACGTTAAAAATCTATAAAAATGCTGATACAATCTTTACTATATTATCTTCTAATTGTTTCCAACAATATGGTATAATTTTAATATTCTTTCTATATAAATTTATTTAAATATTTATTTTTAAAAGTTATAACGCTTGTGTATCAATAATTAGTACTCTGACAGGTTTTATTTGCACAACTACAATATTAAAACAAAAAGAAGTATACCAATTTGAAAAAAATAATATTTAACAAACATTTATCTTTGATTTATGAAAATTATTCATTTTTTATTTATCTGCAGCAGATATTTTTTGACCACTTTGAATTACTTATAAAATTTTTTTTAATAATATTAATAATAATAAAATTTTATAAATGTGAAAGATAGAGTTATCGGCCATGTGACTAATATTACCCATTTTAATTATATAATAATATAAAATAATGGTATAAAAATGTAATTTTATAATCATAAGAATAAGTCCAACAAATCTTATGCTTTTATAAAAACAATAAATATCATTTTATTCTTTAAATAAAAATTGAGTAGCTAACAATTGTACTTTCTATTTTTTTCTCGTTGGGCTGTGTTTAATGAAAATTTTTAGATAAAAAAATATCAAATTCTTAAAAAACTATCTAATAGTACTGAACTATTATTTAATTGACAAATGATAATATTCCATTGAATGTTTAATATTCACTATATTTTTAAAACATTTTTTAATATTTTAATTCAATCCATTACATCATAATTCAGTAATGTTTTTCTCTTATCAAGATCACAAATGCTGACGACTTGGAAACAATTAGAAACCTACTGGCATTCGATTATAAGTCCGGATTACCTTGGAAAGTAAATCCTAATACTTCAAAAATCAACCTTCAAGATGCTGAATATGATTGTTCACTATATCCAACATCAGATACTACTTTTATGCGATCAAAACCTTGTGCCTATTACGAGCCATTTTCTCAACTAAGTGGTGTATTTTGGTATTGGGATAATAGTGTTAAATCACGAAATTGGAGTTTATTTTTTAATGTTTCATTTGACTATATGATATTTTCTCGAGAAAAATGGTACAAATCAGCTGTTGATATTGATAAATTAATTTTTGAAAACTTTAATGAATGAAATAAATTGAAAATGAATAATAAAACTTTTATATTTACTTCATGTAAATCAATTTATTGTTGTCAACAGTCACTTAAAAGCAATTAGAACATTTTTTGATTCATTGATATCTTTGTTGATGCGTATTAATGGTTGAAGAAATGTTCTCCATGCCTCTATGTTGAACCTAGAATGGGTGAATTTTTTTATTAGTTTACTAAATTAACAATATATTATTTAGGGAGCATTTTGCTATTTAATGATAATAATTAGTATTTAAATTGAAAAAAATTTTTGAAATATAGATTTGAGTCAGAAGACGATAAAATGTCGTTCAATTTGTATTCAGAAGACCGTCGTCACATTCATCATTCAAATATTGTTTTTATTTTAATGAACTCTAAAAGAATAACTCTAAAAACCTATATTTTTTTAATAACTCAAAATATTATGTTATTTACTGATTTTAGCACATAAATTTCATCAAAAATTCAAAAAATATTAAAAATATATTCATTCTTTCAATGAATAGATTTGTGTAGTTAATACAATGAAATTCAAATTCAATGTCTAATCGGTTAACATGAAGATAAAATTGAAAAATATAGTATGATTCTAGGGTTAATATTTTTTTCTTTTATTAATTTAATAACCATTTTAGAAAAATAAATTCCAACATTCTTATCTTAAAAAATTAAACAATAATTCTTAATTATAATTTTACCTGTATTAAGATGTTTTTTCAGAATTTTTTGAAAGCCTTCTTTGATCCTGTTCCTTTGGAAACCTTAAGGACATTAAATCTAACAGTTTTACTTAACGGACGACATTCTCCAATAGTCACTACGTCCCCTATTTCAACATCTCTGCACAAACAAAATACAAATTAATTTTTAAAAAGGCTTCTACCAATATATTTTAATGATTAATAATTAGAAATAAAAAATCAGTTGACGAAATGACTTCACTTTGTAGTCAGAAGACCGTCGTCAATATCATCATTTAAGAGATAATAATGTATTTACAATAACGATTTAACTTTAAAAGTAAAAAAAGTGAGGTTATATTTTGTTCCTCATAATTTTCCATTCAACAAAGACATATTAATTCATAAAATATAAATAAAATTGAACTTTTAATGGCAAAAACTTAAAGTTTAATGTTTATTTCATGAATTTGTAAAAATACATTTTTTGAAGTACAAACCTGAAACAAGGACTCAAGTGTACACTCATATTTCTATGTCTCTTTTCAAAACGATTATATTTTCGGATATAATGTAGATAATCACGTCGAATGACAATAGTTCTCTGCATTTTCATTTTTTGTACAACTCCAGTAAGAATTCGTCCTCTTATCGATACATTTCCAGTGAAAGGACATTTTTTGTCGATGTAGGTACCTTCAATTGCCTATGAAAAATTATTAATTACAATATTAAAAAACAATGAATTAATAAATAATAAATATGTCGATTAAATAGTATGTTTTTAACGGTACAGAACACATGAAAGAAAATACCTCTCTTGGAGTTTTGAAGCCCAAACCAACATTTCTGGTGTATCTACTAGGTTTACGAGATTTGGTTCCAACTCCCTTTTTACGGTTTAAAAAAACCGTGGGTTGCTTTTGGAATGCACGCTCGGTCTAAACATAATAATTCATCAATTTAATAACATTGAGATCACTTAAGAGTCAATAATTTACTCCAAATTTGCAACAATGACGAACAATTGGACTTCATATTGTCAACTAAATTGATAAATTTCACAAAATGATTAAATAAATTACTTCCTATAATTAAGTATGACAGTTATATTCAACAATAGTTGAAGCAAAACTGACTTTATGATAAATATTAAGAATAAAAAAGCTATTCCTTATTAACAAATAAAGCTACCAACGCTGTCACCACGTGTGAAATTAGAACATTGCTTTTTTTACATAAATAAATCAGTTTTATATATGTTTTATCGATAATTATTATTGTTTAATTATTAAAGAAGATTTAAAAAGTATGTTTTTGATTAATTTCACATTTAATATAATTATTTCGTTAATTTATTTAATATTAAACACAATAAGGTTACCTGATCCGCCATTTTGCGCTAAGAAAGACCGATCAATTCCGAATGAGATCGGAAACTGACGGAAACAACCGGTGGCCGAACGCAGTGACGCCTTCTCAGTCCCCATCGGTTAATTTCGGTACTAAACCTCAATTTGCAAAACCAAATAAAACAATACAAATTTTTTTTATGATCATTTAATCAATTAACAAATTAGTTTGCAATGTTGAAATTCCAATTTATTGATTCATTATTTAAAAATTTTCTAACCTCTAAAAAATCAGTATCATCGTCATTGGTTCGACAGTTGTGCAATGAAATCAAAAAAGATCAAAACTCGCAAACAGAAATTACTGACGATAAAAATATAATAAATGCAACAGAAAGTGATGTCATTGCTGAAAAATTAACTGATAATAATGAGAATAATCAAAAAAACGATGTCAATTTAACTGGGTTTGCTAAAGCATTTGATAAATTCAATGAACCTGAACCCAAAGTTGTTGAAAAAGAGCTCACGTTTGCAGCTCTACTACGTCATTCTCCATTAATTGATGTATGTATCTATTCTTTACTTATTCAAAAAAAAAATATTTAATCAAATTATTAATAAAAACATCTTATTTTCAACAGTTGGGTGATCCCAAAGGCAAAGTAGTTCCGGGAACAATCTTTCATGTCGTTGGGGATGATTTATACATTGATTTTGGCTGGAAATTCTATTGTGTGTGTCCTAGACCTTTTAAAAATGGAAAGTAAGGCTCAAGGATAATGATAGTATTCCTATAAAATTTTTAAAAAATAATTATAAATAATTGAAACACTTTTCAGACAATATATAAAAGGAGCAACAGTGAAGCTACGAATAAAGGAATTGGAATTATCAACCCTGTTTTTAGGCGCAAGCAAAGATTTAACTATCTTAGAAGCTGATTGTACATTAATCGGACTAATAGATTCACCAATGAAAAATGTTACTGCTAGTAAATTACAATAAACGTAAAATTTTATAAATATTAGTGTTCAATGCAAGTAATGATTACTGCTGTGTTCAAATAATACGCTTTATAAAAGCTTTTCATAGTCAATCAACTAACAATAATCATTGATGATCAATAACAAATATTTCTTTATTAACAATACTCAGGATTAACAATCATTAATTAATATTAATATTAAACAATTTGATATAATATCATTACCGATCGGAATTTTCCAGTAAATAATTAATAATATTTCTAATAACTCTGTTATTATCATTGATATCTGTTGTATTTTCATTTTCTTGGTCTAATGAGCCACCATGAAAATTTTTCTTTAATGTTTTAATATTTTTATCATTAGTATTAATATTAAGCTGTAATGTCACATCTAAATTTATTTTTTCTTGTTTACATGATGGTGATGGTGCTAATTCAGTTGAAGACGCTATTGATGCACTCATTGGAATAAATTCATCAACAGTAGTTGAATTATATTGAACCATTTTTATTGAACTATTATTCAACCCAGGAACTCTATTTAACAATGTTACCAACAAAGGTGCTGATGTTGTTGATGTATTTACATTTACAATTGTAGCATCTTGATTTAAATATTGCTCAGTAACTGACTTTGTCGTAGTTTTATTATTCAATACATTTAAATCTACAAGTGAATCATTTTGATGAGAATATTCTTCAGTAATTGATTGAGTGATGACTTCGTTGTTATTGAATGTGTTAATGTCCAGACCTGAATTATCTTGGTTGAAATATCGCTCCGTACTTAGCTTTTCAGTGGTTTCAGTGTTAATAAAATTGCTTGAAGATGGTTTTTCTTTGATTTGCGATCGATGAATTCGTTTTAATCGCTTAAAAGTCAATAAATTCTTTTCCGGAGCTAAAACTTTTAGGTCTGACAATGTTTTATCTGGTTTAAGAGTTGAAAGAACTTTATCAGAAGTTCGTATCACTTCTTGATCACTAAGCAGGACTGCTTGGTCACTTTGTTCAAAGTCCATAGCTTCATTATCAAAGACCTTCGGTAGTCTTTCTCTTTCGTTCACTCCTTTTTCGGTGAAAGCCTTTGGAATGTCAATAATAAAACGATCTTGACGTTTATCACGACCTGCTTGCTCTTCAGTAGCAGGATCCACTACTGATACACTCGATTGATTTTGTTGATTTAATTCTGAACTTACTGTCGATTTGACTAAATTATTTTCAAACACATCTGTATGACTAGGAACTGTAACATCAACGAAAATGTAATAATCATGTACTTGCTGACGTTTTTCAATTAATGATTCTACTGTTGATGTTAGATCGTCTTTTTTGAGCCCGAAATGAGTATTTAATGGTTCTAATGTACTTATTTGATCTTCTTCAACCCTAGACTCGAAACTTGAGGATTCATATTTTTCATCTTCATCAAAAAAAGTTTCTGATGGAAGCTTTACAGTGGAATAATCACCAGGGGCTGAGATTTCACTAGTGTCATTGACTTTTTCATTCTCTGATGAAGGTTCTATTGGGAAATGTCCACTAGGGCTTGAAATCGTGTTGATATCATCTTTGAAACCTAAATAATTTTCCGATGAAGGTTCTAATGTAGAGTACACACTAGGGTTCAAAGTAGTAGGGAGATCATCTGAACGAACTTCTGAATTAGTGAGGTCTTGTTGTAAATTATCTTTATTATTGTTGATTTCAAGTAGTTGTTCAGTAATTTCAGGTATTTTTCCAGTTATTTTCGGTAAAGATGTTTCTGTGGTGGTTATCAAATCAACTTGTTCAAATAAAGATGCTTTTGAGATTGTAAATTCTTGTTGTAAATCAGCAATAGAATTATTGATTTCAGATATTTTCTCAGAAAGTTCAACAACATCATCAATTATATTAGATAAAACTGGTTTTTTGGTGGTACTTAAATGAATTTGTTTAGATGAAGATGCTTCTGAGGTCGTCAATTCTTGCTGAAAATCAACATTGACATTATTGATTTCAGTCGTTTGTTGAATTACTTCAGATGAATATTCTTTTGTGCTGATGATTGAATTAGTTGTTTCATATAAAAATGATTCTGTAGTACTTATTACATCAGTTACTTTATCCTTTTTGTCTTTGTTTTTGCTAAATAACCAATTATTCAAACTATTCAACCATCCTTCTGATGGCTTTGGGGGCTCAGTTGGTATCACTTGAACTTTCTCTTTTTTTAAAATATATTTGGGGAAATTCTTTAAAGCTTCAGCTTTCGGTGATCTACAAAAAAAATATTTTTTTTTAAAAATAATATCTAAAATGATATTATATTAATAAAAAAATAATACTGACTCTAAATAATTAGTAACTTTTTTTTGAGTACATATTGACCAAGATAGAGAAAATTTTCCACGACGATAGTATTCTTCCATGATCCCTGGACATTTTTTCTGCTCTTTTTTCCGCGTGAATTCTCCAGTGAACCTGATTAAAACCATTTTTTGGAACAAATAAATATTATTAGATTTTTTTTCTTTAATAACTTCAATTCAAGTTAAGAATTTAATTGATAATGATGTCTCACATATATCCAATTTTTTGAGCAGCATTTGTGTAAGACGATACTTGATTATCAAAATGAAGTATTGCTGTAGAATCAACTGCCTCACGTTCATCATCAAATTTATTTGTTATATCTGGCTTTCCTTCAGAAAAACCTAAAACATTACGATTATTTATAATTGAAACATTCTTTTTAGTTTAATTTAATAGCTAAATAAAATAACAAACCATTGATACAATTCATCACAGGATTTGCTCTGGTCGGTCTCACACACAATTTTGCCCTTGAAAAAAGAATAATATGAAATTACTATTTGATTTTAAAAATTGTTTTTTAAGTTTTATAATGATGTTTACCCTGTCATAGCAACAATAATGTCATAATCAATAGATATTTGGTCTCGATATTTGTAAAAAAGCTCCTCAATTCCTTCAATAGCATCATAAAAGTCAACGAATTTAGTTCCAGGATCATTTTCTAAGAATGGAAATGCATATTTGCTCTAAAAAACACATAAAACTTAGCATCAAAGTCTGAAGCATCAGCAATCACTAATGATGATCTGTTAATAATTATTCAGTACGGTATAACTTCACTAATACCAAGCCGATCAACAAGTTTACAAATATTGAAAGCAAGTTTGAGAAATCTATCACTTTATATAAATAATAAAGGATTGCGCGCAATGAAAGAATGTACTAGATACTAATAAAAGTTTCATTATTAATGAACTTGTCATTAACGAGCATTTATTGTACATAAGTTTTTACCGATGGCAAAATAAATGCTGCAATATTGAGATGTATTTCTGGAGATTTCATCGAAGCAAATAGCATGTCAACAGCATTCCAATAAACCAACTGTTTTTTAATCACCTCAATTTTCGATACATTTCTACATAAAAAAATAAACATTGAATTAATTAATTAATTAATTAGTTTAAGCTTCAAAAATTGAATCGGTCTTATTAATCCATCATCTTACACAAGTAAATTATAATCCAAGACAATAAGAAGCTCAGGATAATAAACACCAACATTTTGAACTACATTATTTAATGTAGACAAAGTATTCTCATCTAGATTTTCAATATTCGAATTTGACTCTGGAATGAAATGTTGCTGTGATCGTTTTAATACATTATTTAAATAATTTACTGGGAATCGATTTAATCTAAATACATCGCCAATAATTCCATCCTTTAAAAATGATAATTGAATAATTATTTCAAGGTTTTCGATTAATTAGTTCAAATAAATGATATAGACGATCTAAAAAATTTATATTTGTTTAGTTAAAGTTGTAAAAAATCCTATAAACTTACTAGATAAAACCCATCACTATCAGAAAATAAAACTGCTGATGCTTTGTTATCAATGTCGTGATAGAATGAAAAATTGCCAATTCCTTGTATAACCTTGAAATAAAAAATTTTTATTAAAGTCTAGATATTTGAAAATAAATTTTATTTAATATAATTTTATATAATATTACCTTATAATCAGGATAAAATTTAAGAAGTTTTTTTTTATCCGTAATATCATCAATATATTTAATTGTTGGTGTTTTAGAAGTTGCTAAAATTCCTTTTGTTTTTTTAAATTCTAATTGATATAACACAGATCCATCTACTTTTTTGATGTCAATTCTCAGTAAATCTGGATTTATTTTTTTAGGTATGATATTTTCGATAATTAGAGATGGTAAGTTTGGTTTTGATTCTGTAAAAATGATAGATAAATTGAAAATAATTGTGAAACAATACCAGAAATTCCACGTCATTGTTGTCAATTTATATTGTTAGTTATAATATTTATAATAATCAAAATCTAATTAAGAAATAATATGAAGAATAAATTATTGACACAATTATAAATAATGATATAAGTCCGAAGAAAAATGAATATTTATACCATTTTTAATCAGCAATTTGCGTCAATTGAGGAAGTTTCAAAGATATAATCCATATTTTGTGCAGTGTTTAAATAATTTAACGGTTCTTCGTGCATTCTCCTTTGATTTGTCAATCATAAAAACTTTTTATCATCAACAATAAAACAAATACTATGAATTTGTGGATACTTTTACTTTCTGATTCCATCCAAATAATAAACATGATGCAAAACGATCACTGATATTTAAAGAAGGTTTCACTTTGTTAAAACTGGCGCCACGTTCCGTCGGTAAAAATATTGCTTTTATCATCTGAACACTCGAAACGTCAATGACTTCAGCAGTACCGGAAAAATGAGTCAAATGTCTAACTTCCTATCTTTCTATGATGAGTCCACATGTGTATCTAGTGGCTGGTTGTTTTGCACGTTTTCATAAAAAAAATTAATTAATTAATGAAAATAAAGTGATTAATAATAATTTAATGATACAGAAAGATAGTTGTTATTAATATCTTTAACATGGTATGTAAAAATCGGTGTTCAAAATAGTTTTTAATTGTCAACTTTATAAATTTGCGGTACCTAACCTCAATTTGCTATAAAATACCAAGCGTTAAAGCCAAGTAAACAAAAGAAAATAATTTATTTGGAGTTCATAGATGTTTAGTTTGTGTTAATTAATTTGAATCTTTATTATTTATTTATACTTTTTAGTGAAAATGTCTTTAACATGTCAATAAAATATGATTTATTTTTTGTTCAGGCAAAATTATCTGTTTTGTACGAGCACGCAGCTGGCTATGCAGTGTTTGCTGTCAAAGAATTCGAAGAAGTGGGCATGCTTTTACCCCAAGTGGAGGCTTCAGTCACAGATCTATCAAGATTCAATGGAATAATCAAGCTAACTGGCTTTTCTCCATTTAAAAATGCTCTAGCGGCCTTAGAAAGTATCAACAGCATATCTGAAGGTGTCCTTCCAGAGGATCTAAAATTCTTTTTAGACTCCTGTATCCCCAAAAAAAGCTCCAAGTATATTCTTGGAGTGTCAGATCCAAAGTTAGGCGCTTCTATAACCGAAGCTTTGGGCATAAAATGTGATCATACGGGTGTCGTTCCTGAACTAATTCGCGGCATTCGTTTCCATTTTGCCAATCTGGTAAAAGGTTTCACTCCAAAAAGTTCAGCAGTTGCTCAATTGGGTCTTGGTCACAGCTATTCACGTGCTAAAGTCAAGTTTAATGTTCATCGTGTTGATAACATGATCATTCAAAGTATTGCATTGTTGGACCAACTTGACAAAGACATTAACACATTCAGTATGAGAATTCGAGAATGGTACAGTTATCATTTCCCGGAGTTAATGAAAATTGTTCCTGAGAATTATATGTATGCCAAGGTGACCAAGTTCATCAAAAATAGGAAGACTTTGAATGAAGAAAAATTAGAAGGCTTGGAAGAAATTGTCATGGATAGTGCGAAAGCTCAAGCCATTATTGATGCATCAAAGTCATCAATGGGTATGGACATCAGTCCAGTGGATTTGATCAACATTGAAATGTTTGCTAGTCGGGTGATAGCTTTGGCTGATTACCGAAAACAATTGGCAGAATATTTGCGATCCAAAATGGCAGGTGTGGCGCCGAATTTAGCCGCTTTAATTGGAGATCAAGTTGGTGCTAGGTTGATAGCTCATGCTGGATCGTTGACAAACCTTGCAAAGTATCCAGCATCTACTGTACAAATCTTAGGAGCTGAAAAAGCTTTGTTTAGAGCCTTAAAAACTCGTGGTAACACACCTAAGTATGGATTACTTTTCCACTCGACGTTTATTGGCCGTGCCGGTGCTAAAAATAAAGGCCGGATTTCAAGATATTTGGCGAACAAATGCTCGATAGCTTCGAGAATTGATTGTTTTGCTGATGTACCCGTGAAAATTTTTGGTGAAATGTTAAAGCAACAGGTGGAGGATCGGCTTAAGTTCTACGAGACTGGAGATATTCCTAAGAAGAATATTGAAGTTATGAAGGAAGCATTGGAAGAAGCAAAGAAAGTTATGAAAACAGGACCAAGTAATGGAATTGGATTTGAGGAGATCAACGGTAATGTGGAAGAAAGTGAGACGAAGAAAAAGAAGAAAAAAAAGGGAAAGAAAAGAAAAATTGATGAGATCAATGGAGACGGCAATGGCATCTCTGAAGATGGCGTTAATGGTGTTGAAGAAAATGGTGATGCTGAAGCGCCTAAAAAGAAAAAGAAGAAGAAGAAAAAGTCTGAAGCTGATGATGAATAAATTTCGTCTTGAAAATAAAAAAACATTTTAATCGAACTGACATTGTAAATTTTGTTTACATTATATTTTTCTACAGGTTCGATATTTAATTAATCAATAATTAAAATATTCTGTTTTTTTTCTACTTTTTTGTAAATATTGTCAAATGTATACATAGTTTGTTAATTATGTATGCAGTTTTCATGCCTATTTTACCGAATAATGAATACTTAATGGCGAAATGATAAGTTAGTTAGGTTACATTTATCATCAAAATTGAAAATATTTTTTAATTTTATCATCAAAAAGTGTTTTGTTGCGATTAATAATCACTTATTACTGAAAAATAGTTGAATGAATGTATAATTATTATAAGAAAATATATTCTATAATAAAAATTTTTTCTCGAATAATTTTTTTTAATTTCATTGATAACATAAAATACATTTGAAGTTTTATATTTTTTTATTATTAAGTATGATAGTTTGTATGCGAATAATTATGTTTTTAAATTTTTTGATTTAATTTAAGATGAAATAAAGAGAATTCATTCAAATAAATTTGAGGTTATATTAAGAACTAGAAGTCGAAATTTTAAATAAAGTGATTGAATCAAAATACACATTTTTGGAGAAATACAGGTAATTATTATTCAAGAATACTCCATTATTAAAATTACAAAAAAAAATGAGTATTAATTTTAAAAAATCGATCGTTAAATGGCTGTAAAAATTTATCTGAGTTTATGTTAGTAAACAATAGTTATTCTTTATTTCGATTGAGAAGTTAAAGAAAAAGTGTTATTAATTTTCTTCCTTTACTATCCAATGGTCTATCATGAAAATATGCATCATTGTTTATTATAAATATTGCTTTAGCAATAAATAATTAATGAAATATCAATAAATTAAATAATATTTTTTTGGTAACTGTATCATTTTTTGTTTTAATAATATAAAAATGTATTGTTACCAATAGTTTATTAGAGAATAAAATCCGGATAAACATTTAATTAATGTTACTTATAAACAAAACCGTACCGTTTTTGTTTTTTTTTTTTTTATTTATTGTCAATTGTTGAAAAGAGAATATTCATTATATTGTTTATAACTTCATTATAAAATAATGTATAAATAAACTGTACATAACTTAAAATTACAATTGACTTCCTTGTTGGCACAAATTAATTATTTTTATTAGTTTTAAACATTTTTCTCGATTATAAATAAATAGTTACTAAATGATTAGTCAATATAATTATGAAAAAATTAAGTGTTTAAAATGATTAATTGATGAAGATAAAACATATATAGCTTCTTATATACTTGTTTTAACTCATTTTTCGGCTTTGAAAACGGATTTTCGTCGAATAAGTATCCGGAGTACAAAAAGCATAAAGAAGATCCTCAAGATTTTTTAGAGGGCGTTCACATTTTAAGTTATGATCACGTGATAATCCTTATTGGTAGTTAAATATCAAGTAAAAATTGCAATTGGTTGACTGGAACATCAATGATGAAACAAGCTTATATTTGAGTACAAACTATCAGAACAAGTGTATATATACGTGTATGTATACGCCTAGTCGATGTATTCGCTTCGGCATATTTTTACTTGTTCTTTGGGGGGAAATGAATGTTGAGCCGAACGTTAAGCTAGTTGGATGAAATTCAAATATATTTGAATTATATATAATCTAGTAATAAATCAACAGATAAGCCAATTGCAATTTTTACTTGATATTTAACTACCAATAAGGATTATCACGTGATCATAACTTAAAATGTGAACGCCCTCTAAAAAATCTTGAGGATCTTCTTTATGCTTTTTGTACTCCGGATACTTATTCGACGAAAATCCGTTTTCAAAGCCGAAAAATGAGTTAAAACAAGTATATAAGAAGCTATATATGTTTTATCTTCATCAATTAATCATTTTAAACACTTAATTTTTTCATAATTATATTGACTAATCATTTAGTAACTATTTATTTATAATCGAGAAAAATGTTTAAAACTAATAAAAATAATTAATTTGTGCCAACAAGGCAGTTTCACGTTCATATATGGTTATGTATGATCACAAGTGATTATCTAAAATAATTGTCTAATAAAATTTTAAAAAATATAACAATGGATATTTTTTGTTATTTATGTGATAAATGAATTCAAAATAACGTCGTGATTGTTAGTTAATTATTTTTAACAATAATTCATTGATTAATGTGGAAAGTACAATTTTCTATTATTGATGTTATTGGAATCAGTAATCAGGAGTGAAATAGTAAATAATTAATTAACAAATAGCATATTTATTGCAAAATGAATTCATAGAAAGTTTAATTGGGTATATCGTCATAGTTGATTGATAAATAATAACTTAAATACTTATCTTACGGTTCTCACCAATTAAAAAATCATAATAAACAATAGTTGATTACAATTAGTTCACAGACATTACACTGAAAAAAAAATTCACTCTTTAATAAATTAAACATCCTGCTGAGTAATTACAATAAATCATTTATTTTTTACTGTAGAAGTTGGGTACGTAAGAATTAAATGATAAAGGCTTTCTATGTACTGATGAAAAAAATTATCATGATAACATAAATGCTTGTTCTGAAATTAAATTTCAAAATTTACAATCTTTTAAGGAGATTGAAATGTTAACAAGCAATAAACATTCATATTTGAAATTCAAAGCTAGAAGCATAAAAAAAATTGATATCATTACAGAGAGTAATATAATTATTTTTTTGAATAAAAATATTAATCAAGAATATTGCTACTAAATTCATTTGAATACTTTTAATGTAATCAATAATTAAAAAATAATAATAAGTAACTCAACTGGATGATTATCTTATTCATAATATTGTTTACTTAGCTTGTGTATTACTTTCAAATTATTAATTGTCATGAAAATTACAAGATTCTCTATCTATTTTTATATTAAACTTTTTTAGTGTATTTTTAAATTATAAGTTTTTAAAAATAATTCAAAAATACATTTTCTCTAGAAAATACAAAACAATTAAAGAATTTTGTCTTATAACAACGAAAATTGTTAATTAATAATGATTAATTTTTTCATCTTCCAGTTCATTTGTATAATTCACTTATTTCCTCAATAGTTTATAAATAAAAAAATCCCGAAGCAAAATACACTACCATATAATTTAATACACAGTAAAGATTAAAAAAAATTTACATCAATTTTGATGTATGAAAAATTATTCAACAATAAATGGTAGAATTAACAAACAATCTTATATAAATCAATGTCATAATTGACACTAATTCTTTAATAAAACCTTTTGCTTCCAAGTAAATTTTTTTCTCAGTGTAAAAAAAATATATTTTATTATTTAAGAAGGATTAAACCCATCTTAGGGTTTTCACAATATTTAACTTCATTAATCAATGACACAAATGCATTATATTTATACAGAACCTCGTTATTATTTCCTTTTTGTTAAATCAATTGATATGTTTACATTAATCCTATCATTAAAATACATGATGTAATATATTATCAACAATAACATGATTAATATAATTAATTTTCAATTAATTATCATTTTTTATGTTACTTGCTGTCACTTCAGATGAATGATTTGTAATTTATCCATTTTTCCTGCACATATTCTGATCACCTTATTAGATTACATATTCAAAATTCTAGTTATTTACACATGCCATACACAATGTTTAAAAAAAATTTTCATTGTTCATTGGAATGATTAAAATTGGATTTTCATGTTAAATAAAAATCAATTTTAGTAGCAAATTAAACAAATAAAAATATTTTTCTTTATATCTCCCATTGTTTTCCTTTTAACATTAATTATTGCATCGTTTGTGCTTCATTAGCTAATTCATTGATTAACTATTTAAAATTTATAACAAAATTATTGAAAACATTCATTACTTAAATTTTAAATTATCATAAAAGTATGTTTTTTAAATCTTTTTTTTTTATTAAAAATATTTTTATCAAACTTAACTTCAAAAAAAAATAAAAGTATTTATTATAAATCCAATTAAATGTTTTTCTAGCTAAGTAAAATATCAATAATAGCAGTATTGAAGCTGTTTTCTATTATTAATCAAAAAATAACTGATTTTTTAATTATTACTGTTGACTATAAATCATATTCTGCCTTTTTTTTAAATTTAACATCTCCTGAACATAGTGTGAACTTAGTTTCGAAGATTTCACGATCTTAATATTAAAATATCTCATAATTCGTGTCAAGGAAGCACACGGTATTGTCAGGTTATGACTAATATCATTCTAAAATCGATTTTTAATCAAAAATTATCAATATTGATACTATCGATTTTCATCTACATAACAATTATTTTTTTATAGTTTATTTCAAGAAGTTCTCCACCATTATCGTCTATATCTTGAATCGTTGAATTTTGATGAAAAATTAAAAAATGCTCTCAATATGGAGAATAAGTTTTATACATTCGATAATTAGGATTATTTATTTATCATTCTGTATTTCATTGAAATGGCGAAAAGATATTTTGACTGGTTTGTTGAGCTGCCATTGGTTGCATTTTCATTGTTGGAGCTAAAAATTAATTTTTAAAATCAGTTTATTTACTTTAACGTTTCTATTAAACTTTCATTCATTAAGCTTAACTCCATTGCAATTAAATATCTAACCAATTATTCGTGGTTGATGTTGTGGGCTAGTTGATGCCAGCTGATTCATTGATGGCGCTGGACCTGATTGTTTATTTTTACTTCCCATCAAATTATCCAAATCAATTTTCAATCCTGCTCCCGCCCATGTCGAGCCAATCTGCGTTGTAGTTCCAGTGGTAGTTCCGGTCGTTCTATCAGTAACTGGAATTGGTAACAACAATCCTTTACTTCTATCTTCATTTCCAAGAATAAAAAAAAAAAATTTTTTCATGTATAACAAGCCTTCATTTTCATTTCAACTTTTAGAAGTATTAAGCTTACCTATATTATTGTTAGAGTTGAAAAGATTTGCATTATTAGCTTGAGAACTGGCATTAAACGCATTAAATCCATCAAAGTCAGTTAGTAAATCAGTTGCTGAAATAATAGAATTAGAAATAAGTAAATAACATAAAAATAAAAATCAATAAAGTAACTGCTAACTAACTTGTATTGTTGTTATTTTTAACGGTTTGGTTCCCAATTAATGTATTATTGCCCATCAAGTCATTTCCGGTGATCGTTGTTGTTTGAATTGGATTAATAATACCACCAAAATTCCCCTGATTTCCCATTAGATTACCGGAAATAGCTGTTGTCTGCGACGTAACCCAGTTATTATCATTGCTTATCGTCAACTCGGAATTGAAAGCAGACGTAAAATCAGCAAATTCATCATTGCTACTATTATTTTTATTATTTTTTCCACCAAATGCTGACGAAAAATCTCCAAAATTCGAATTTAGGTTGTCAGTTTGTGGGAATGGATTCGTGTCACGAGGATTAAAATCATCATCATTATCAATAATCACTCTAGAGTTGTCATCATTAGCATCAAATATATCATTTAAAAGATCATTTTTGGAAGTTAGTACCCCTGATGCTTGTTTAGTTGAACCTGACAAGTCTTTACCATAATTGGCAGCAGCACCTAAATCAACTTTTTTGACATTTTTTATCGATTTTTGTGGCGAATTACTCCCCGTCATTACCGTAAATTTTTTTAGTTTGTCTAGAGTATCAATTGATTCTCGAATATCTTTATCAAACTTTTTCGGTGATTTATTGTCTTCGTTATCAGAATCTTCTCGTTCGCCATCATCACTATTATTAGTATCCTCGAAACCTCGAGTTCTCGATTCTCGATCCCAATCGTTGTAATTTTCCGTTGGTTTTGTAGTCCATTTTGGATTATCTGACCAACGATCAGTTGAAAAATTCATTCCTATTGCTTCACTTGACATTCCAACATATTTGTCTTTATTTTTCTTTGCCTTTTTCCTTTCTTCACGTAATTTATCATCATCTTGAATAAAATCAATTAGCTCTCGTACTTTATGTCGAACATTTATTCCCTGATCTTTGCCAATTTCATCGATATAAGTGTAATTCTCTAGTGATCTTAAGTCATAAATATGTTCCCGAGATGATGTTACTACTCTTTCAGAACCATTCCGCACCAAATAATTAAGCAGAAGCAAACTCTACAGGAAATAAAAAATAATTTAGGTTATATTTAATTTATTATTTTGTTTAGATAATAAATAAAATCATTCACCTTGTATGTTCTACGCCAATTACGTTTATTCTCTTGCAACATTCGTTTCCACAACATGGACATAACTTCTGGAAATTGTTCATACGTAAATGTCGCTTGTGCAAGTTCTTGCATCATAGCACCTGTAAAATGATATCGATTATAATCATTTTAATTTTCAATAATACTATTAAATAATAAAACAAATTTCCAGTCAATTATAAAATCATATTTACGTCTTTCTTCAATTAAATATCAATTTATTTGTAATAACTCTTGATAAATACTGTCTTTATTTTGAGGGTAATAATCTTATTTAAGCCAAATTTTCAATCATCACAAGACAACAACGACGTTGAAGATAACAATAGATAAAAATAGATAATTACCTGTAGGACCCCAAGCATCGTCATTCGTTGCTTCTCGAACTTTAGCTTCGGTCTCAGTATAATTCATGACGACATTAGTCCTAAAAGCAGGAAATTATGAGATAACAAAATTATTGGATAACAATGAAAGAATGCTAAAGTATTATTTTTCAATTAAAAAAAACCAATATAGTCATTAACTTACGCCTTGTCCATAAGCTCCCGCACTTTCCACATGTTCATCATTATGACGACAATATTGTTTATTGTTTAAACAATTAAATTTTTCTAAAATTATATCTGTTTTAAAGTGTTTATCTTGGTAAAAAGGTGGATAATATCAAGTAAAAGAAAGAATTTCGTTAGAACAATGAATTAAAAAATAATAATAAAAAAAAAACAATAACGTGTATGATAGTGAAAACAGTAATTATTCCGTGATCAACAACCTGCCGTGAAGGTGAGGAACGTCATCAGAAGGTTGCCATGTTTTTACCTTCCACGTTCCCTGAAAATCCCCCACTAAAATATACTTAGCACGCACTCACACACGTATTCCGAATCCTAGAATGCCACCACACACTTGGAGATATCAAGAGAATGGTTATGATGAGAAAAGAGTGTATAAAAGGTGTAAAATAAATTAAAAAATGGCGGATAATTATAACCTATGAGATACCATATGATTGAATAAGAGATTATCAATGCACGTTTTAGCAACGTTTTTTTAATTCAGTAATAACACTTACAAAGACACAAGTTTTTGAAAAGTTTGTACGAGCGTGGTAACGCTCACTAAATGAGAACTTGATTACACTCTAACCATTTTCAACTGATAATTTGGTATATCTTCGGTTGTCCTGCCCCTCTCTTTCACGGCCATGCAATTTGCGGAATGAGAAAATCACTGCCTCGCCATCTGCACACGTTGTTTGCAGCCGCAACAAATTATGTTACCGACTGAAACCCCCACCATATTAAATTTCATGTCGTATACGAAGAGAAAAATTGGGAATTTAAAATAAAAAAGTTTTTATGTAATTTTATTCGTTAATATATTATGTCATCATCGATTGTAAGAAATGTATGTATTATAATGTTTATCCGAACAATATTTTGTTCATTGTAATAAATTAAATTGTAATTTTCAGTCATTGATTACAATGCTTTATCCCAAATATTGAGGTTATAAAAAAGGTTTTTTGGAATTTTTCCAAAATAATTTTATATAATTACAGGCACTCTATAAATTCAGAAAACCAACTCGATGGGATAAAGGTATTGGAGCTAAATTGCCAGAGGCTTACAAAAAATTCTGGACAGAATGGAAAATAAAGGAACCAACCGCTGTTCATTATATCAAAGAAGAGGGTAGATGGAAACGAAATGAAGTTACAGGACAGCCGTAAGTATTCAGAACATTTACTAGCATGGAAGCATTATTAATAAACATTATTGACATTCGGTCATAAAAATCTAAGCATTCATTTCAACTTTATACAATTCATTTATTCCTCTCACCGTACATTACCGGTGTCTACTCTCTAATTTTTTGTTTTTTCTATCAAGACGATTGTCATTCTGTTCATTTGTAGTCATAGTATTTGTAATTTTATTGTTGCCGTTTAATTTAACAAAACTATTAGATATTGATTAAATTAATTCATCTTTCAGCGAACGAATCGTAAATATTGCTCTTCCCCTCCTTTATCCCAAGGAATTGGATGAAGGAATTTGGGGTGGAGAAGCAATAGTTGAAGGTTATATAAGGAAAAGTGAGAAACTTCCAATTGTTCCTAAATTCTTTGTTCCAAGATTATTGAAATCTGTTGTGTACAGTGAAGTACTAAATACTTATATGAGAACAATCATAACACGTAGAACTATTGATTTAATTCATGAACATTATGGCTTTGATCATTATCTATTAAAAGTAAGTTTCAGCCAAATAACCCAGTTTTTAAAAACAATCTTTAATAATTAGTTTTATAATTAAATTAATTTTAAAATCATTTTTCTAGACACCAGCTTGTGATTTACGGTCTCAATTAGCTCTAGGTTTAAAAAGAAAAATACTTATAGCTCTGGCTGATAAAACTCTTTATCCAGATGATCCAGTGAAACGTGAAGAAGTTTATGAGAAGTATAAAGAATACTTGAAAGCGGTAAGATATTTAACATTAAGCTTATAAGTCATCAAAATAGTCTTCATTTCATTGATAATTGGTGTTTTTAGTACACGAGAGAAGAAATTGAATGGTATGGATTAAGTTGGGTGGAAGCATGTGAAAAATACATCAAAGAAAAAGAAAACGCCAAAGTCGTTGAACCCTTGAAGAAGAAATACCGAATTGATTTGATAAATGAATTGAAGAAAATCAAATTAGGAGAGCAAAAAGAAGCTGAAAAATTGGCTTCTCAATCGTGGCTAGAAAAAGTTAATCCTTTTGCAAGGAGTGAAAAGAGTTAAAAAGATGATTGAGGTATGTAGTCAGGTGATACTGAAAAAGTATTTTTTTTTTATCTCGAAGAAGAAATTGGCGATTAAATACCATGAAAATAACTTTAAATATGAACAATTGTTTGTTTCTAGAATAATTATTTGTATTTAAACATTCAATACATCATACAGCTGTCATCTGACTTTTTTAACATAGTTAAGATACTTGAAATGTATGTAAAATATTTAAAAAATAAATCTTTATTAATATACTTCATACAAAAGAAATTAAAATGATAATTTGTAAAATAACGAAGAAAAATAAGTCATTTGGAATTATTTTTTTTTCAACTTTTTCAAGGATCGTACTTTTAAATCCTGTAAATCTGTGAAAATTTCTGAATATCCCTAGTAATCAAATCAACGTGAGACTGTCGTCAGACTTGCATATTTCAAATTACGTTTGTCATTTACATACGTATCTGCCATTTTTCTGGCTACTAAGGCACAGAAGTTATAGATTTCGTCATAAAATTTCAAAATTATTAAAGTATTCTAGCACAATAATACAGTGTAGTCCGTTTAGTACAACTTCGCATATAGCAACCAACCGTTTTTAGCGACGAAAGTTTAGGCATTCGTTTGGTTTATGTATATAAAAAACAAACTTTTTTCGGTTCGTTTAATACGACTTCCGGTTAGTACGACGTAATGTCACCAGGTCCCTTGGCAGTCGTTATAACCGAATTCTACTGTATAATAATTGATGCAAGAATATTAAAAAAAATATCAGCTTGTGTTATTACACCAATTATTGTGATAAGGTGTGTTGTTCAATGACAAATACATTACATTTTAATCTTTTTATACTAAATTATGTTGATTGTTTATGATTGTTAGAAGAAATTTTTTAAACAAAGTAACTATCAAGAAAACTGACAATGTTGATGCCAGCAGAAAAAAAAGCTGCCAAATAAAACTCGATCATCCAGGAATAGAATTTATATTTGCTTTCATAAAATCTTTTCTTCGAGAAAATATCAATTCTAAAGAAAACTATCTATTAACAATAAAATAGAAATATTATGCAGAATAAAATCTAAATTTCATTTAACAAAGTTTAAAAAAGAATAAAATTAACATTAAGCAAAGAGACTATTAGGTGTTTTAATCTTCAATTTAATTAAAGATTTTCAATTATCATCATTATCAATGCATTAATAATATTAAAACCTAGTGTTTTCATCGATTTTTTCGTTATCCGTTAGACGGTGTATTTCGCACAGATTGACGGGAATATTTCGTGTAATATTTCTGCTGTTCAGCAGACATTGTTGCATCCATGTAATTTGTTGCGTCGATGGTCATTCCTTTTAAAATAACGAATCCTCCGTATTGATCATGAGCTCGATATGCGAGACCAAGACCGTCAAATGCTAAAAAATTACTAGGAGCTATAGATCTAGCATCCATGAAAGGAAGTGTACTTTGACCAGCATCATCAAAAATCGTTGACTGCTTGAATTTGATGTACTTATTGGGTTGGAGATGAGGAGGATTTTGTACAGAGTTATCTAGATAAACTTTTTCTGCTCCATCTCCTAGTTCTTCCCTGAAAGAAAGAAAACCGAATGTTCAGAATAGTTAATTCATATATTTTAAAGACTGATAAAATTTTGTTACCTTGGTTTAGCGTATGCTGGTGGCAATTTGGGCTGAGTCAGTGGTTCAATCCATCTTGATGGATTGTCGTCAGTAGGGGTTAGTTTACCAGTTAAATAATCAAAAGGTGTGACATGGATTTCTAGTTGAATTGGACTAACATTTCTTGATGATCCATCATCACTATATGTAACTGTTTCATGATTCAACCTTACTCCTGTTACGACAAAATTCGGCCCTGCTGATATTTCATCAAGATACAATGTTTTATGATCTCCTTGAATGAACGTATAATCGACGTCGATATACAGATGATGGTAATCCCAATTTTCTTTTACGAGGAAAAATAAGCCCTCCGCGAACTCGGGAAAATATTCAAAGTCCTCAAGAGGAACCCAAGATGATTCATTTTTGTTTAACTGACCAATTGGAAGCAGTGGTGCTTCTTCAATTTGGATATGAATCATTTTGTTTTTCAAGACAAACTTAACGTCTGATAAAACTCTGGAATTATCAACAGGTACATTTAATGTTCCTTCACAAATACTTCTTTGGAAATTAATTGAAAAAAACATACTTATTTTCATCAATGTTGGTAATTTGTTTTCGTAAACTAAACGTTCTTATAGCTTTAGAGTCTTTTAAATTTTCTTCACATTTACATATACACGTATCACATCGATATATATCACGCAATTCTCCAATTACCTCTTCATAAGTTCCATTGGAACAGGTTGAGTAACTTCCATACCATCCATTAGCGTAAGATCTTACCTATTCATAGCGTTTCAAAGAACCTTTAGGCTGGTGATTAAAATAAGTCAATAAATATTTTTACATAATTTGGAACAATATCTCTGGTTTTTTTCATCCACTTACATATTCGCACATATCAACTTGACCACCAATCCAACCACAATCATGAATTTTTCCACGGCAAGGATGCTTCATGCAATAGTGACTAGCATAATCATAACAAAGATTATACGATGCTGGCGAGAGTGTCGGACATGTAGTTGCGCAGTTCTTATCTACTTGATATTCATTTATTACAAAAGCTGTGAACAGTCCTTCGAACTCTAAGTAATTACTTCCTACAAAATTTAAAATGTTTTAGTCTTATTAAGGTAGCTCGATCATGAATAGTCGTATCATGTTAAAAACAATGATGTTGAAATAGGATTGCAAAATAAACATTATGACTTTCAGGAAAAGAAATGATGAAGAAATGAAATAAAGCTTACGATCAGTAAGTGATTCAGGATCACAAAGGTAAATTTCTCTCGAAGCTTTTCGCATAACCTTTCTGAATTCAACCAGATATTGGTCCAATCTCATAACAAATTGACTCTTAGCACGTGCTATTTCTCCAATTGATTTACCTAAAAGAAACTTTTTAGTAATTCAGTACAAACACTAAATTGATATAATCGAGTTTAAAATTAATATTGACTATTTTTTAACTCCCTTTTCAACCTAAAACCAAACATAGTCATCACAAAAGCTCTCATTTCGGTGATTGATATTAAGTTGTAAATTTGTAACAGTCTATTTTGGAATGAAATAGGTGAGCCACACTTCTCTAGAGGAGACATCATCTGAAAATCATCGAATTTGCTGAGTAAAACAATCAATAAAATAATTTTATATACAAAGTTTCTTACTGTTCTTCTCTGTAACATGTTTCCCAAAAAGCCAACCCGAGCTAGTGCTGTTTCTTTCGGCACTATAATGGTGAAAATTTTTTTCAGTACATTTGGAATGTTTCCATCACGAGCAGAAGTGACAATATGGACAAAGTCTAAAAGTGTATCATCGTCATATATCGATATATTCTGAGAGTACGCTAGAAAGTCGTCATATGTCTCATCAATTCTAGTGAGGAGCTGTTGGAGATCACGTATATCAGTGTTGATATTGTCTTCTAATGGAAGTCGGGCAATAACTGTTGCTAATAAATCATCCAATTTAGTGTCCAGATTCTCTATCTGCTCAACAACACCATCTATTTTATCCAGTACTGTATTTATTGGATTTACAGCTGGATTAAAAAAATTTTTGAATGGAATATTTCCGGCTGCTATATCACCAATATCGTGAGCAAGTCCTATGAGATCCTGAAGGTTAGTGATAATAGGAATTGAAAGAGGTTCAACCCAATTCGGTGAATGAAATAAAATCGCAATTATAAAAATAATTTTTATCATTTTGAACAAAATTCAATGTAATTTGTTAAACAGCAATTGATACTTATCGGTTGGTTTTGACTAAATTGTTAAGGTGAACTACATTTGACTAAACTTTCTAGAACAAAAACGTTACATATAAATCAACAGCTAAAAGATAATACATTGTTATTATCATTCCAATTATTTTGATAAATGATTTTTTCAATGAAAAATTGTCTGTATAATTACACTCATACGTACTACAACAATTAAAAACAATTAAAATTAGGTTTAATTTATATAATTTATATGCATTAAATAAAATTGGTCTTTTGTCAATAGTCCAGTCAATATGCTTTGTAAGAGGCTGAAAATTTAAAGTTTTTTGAATATTAACTAATTTGGCTTCGAAGCTCATTTTTAGTGATAACAAAAAATGAAAAGCATTTGTGACCAAATAGCTTTCTTAAATTAAATATCTCGAAAACAACGCATTGGAGATCGTGACATGTTGCATATAATTTGTAGAGATTTTCATGAGGAATAAAATAAGGCCAATCTCAGCTCTTTACAATTGATAGTTCTCGTGAAATTTAAGTATTTATACAAAACAAAATCGTTGTTTTTTAAACAATTGACTGTAGTTTATTAACAAGTAATCTTTTTGAAGTTTAGCTTTTTTCGATTAGACGTTATATATATTCGGAATATATAAAACAAATTGGCATTAATTAAATGTAATAACTCTTTGAGATGCAGAGTAACTTGAGGAATGAGAGACTGCTTTTTGACATAGCTACGAACAATACTAGTGTACCGTAATCAGGCTAGAATTCTCGCAGCTCCTATGCAGAAAGTGGTCATCCTTTAGTCACTCCGAATCCTGAGATTCCTGAGATGTTTATATATTAGAAATAGTTGAAATTACTATGGTGTGTTAATTTCCCCTTGAACAGCTCATAATTGAGTGCCTTTTTATATTATAAAAGAACTCGACTATAAAATATTAAACGAAAGATAAACACATAGAGAAAATGAATTAAACCCATCAAATGCTAGAGGATTAATAATAGGAACTTTGGATCTTAATTTTATAAAAGGAATTATACTTTGGTCGGTATCAGAATAAATCAAATATTGATTGAACATAAAGTAATATTTAATTGAAAAAAGTATTACTATAGGTATATCATTAATATAACAATCTCTATTTTGATGAGAGCTATACATTAAGCTGTTTGGATAATTTAAATTTATGAATTACTCATTTCAAAGATCTAGATGATTGATATACATTTAATATCTCTTTTTCAATATAACATCCCGTTAATAATGCTTTGTCTTTCATAGTTTCCAAAATACGTCGGCTGTTCCAAGTAAGTTGATATTTTCTTTTAATTACACCGGCCCCGTAATAAAACCTCTACTTTTAAACCTGAAGAAGGTAAAATTGTTTCCTAGACAATCATAAAATAAACTCTATTTACGAAATACTGCACTCAATATCACCGTCTCTAGGCAAACAATTCAACAGAGACGCAATAGCACGTGTAATATAAGTCATAGTTCCAAAGCTTCCACTTGGTGCACTGTCATAAAAGTGCTGGCAAATAAACGCAGCACCACCACACAATAGTGTTCCCATAGGAGTAACTTCCCTCTTCTCTTTTGGCTTTGCACAGCAAAGTGTCGCATCTCCATCAACTTTCATTTGATCTTCCAGAAAAATAGCATTTGCTTTGTGCACGAGATGTTCGACAGCTATTAAACCTCCCAAAGAAGGTACGACGTTATATTCCGTGACCAGAGTCAAGACCATCAATGCTTCAACGATCAACTGACGATATTCTGGTTGAGGAATAGTATTTAGGACTGTTTCAACAGCCAAAGCGAATTTTAGTTCACCTGAGGTCATCTCTTGAGTCAAGTTTGGAGGCAAAACTTTCCCTTCTATCACTAGACCTTGACACCTCTCTAGAACCTGCCAAACTCGAGGATAAAAATCTCTTGGTACCCTATTCAAAGCACCATCAAGCCTTCGTCTTCGGAGCCATTGGCCTTGCCGATCTGGTTCCATGTCATTGCCTTCAGTACTATCAACATTCAGGAAACCTCCGATTTGTGATTTCTTGCTAACTCGATTAGACTTACAGCTGATCACTGAGAAGTTACCTCTTCCTACGCTGCTGATAGCAAACTCTTTACCACTCATGATATGATGTAAAAGATTTTTCATTTCGAATGGAGATAAATTTAAAAGATGTTCTGAGGCTTCTTCTCCAGTGCAAATCAACGTTCGAGACAATTCCGTGGCCATTACTTGGATAATTAGACCAACCCGAAGTCTCAACATTTCATGGAAAAGTTGTGGTTCTGTTCGGATAAACATAGCGAGGTAGACTAGTAATTCTTGGGTTAACATTGCTGTTGATTCGTCATCTCCATAGGCTAGATGAATTAATGCACGTAGTTCGTTCTCAGGTAGAGGAGCTACAATGGTGTGCTCGTTATTTGGCGGCATTCCAACTGTTACCTGTTTTTGACGAACAAGTAGATCTGTCACAGCTTTTGCTAGATCTTCAACCCGCTTTCCTAACATTCCTGCGGTGTGGCGGACGAGACCCCACATTTTCTGCTGACAAGCCTTCTCGTAGACGCCTTTTAGAAGGTCTTTTACAAGCACTGGGTGTCCATTTTCTAGCATTCCTGTGTTGAACTGAAGGCCTTGTGAATCCACCTGATTAAAAATAAAAATATTTTATAACTGAATAACTATAATAGAATATTTCTACTCAATTTTAGAGAATCAAGAAATTAAGAATCAAAGAAAATTACTTGGTAGAAACAACCAATAGTTCGGAAATCAGAATTATGAAATTTAGATTTTTCAGCATAACTCAAAATTTCAAGAAATATTCTTTTAATTATGAAAAGATTATGTATAATTGTAATAATAGTGCTTCCACTTCAGGCAAGGGGTGAAATTATCAAAAAACTATCCTTTCCTAACTATCTTAACTCAGTTTTTTGTGATTACACCGTAAACTATAAAAAATATGGCAACAAGTTTGGAATAAAAATTTTTTACCTCATAATTAAAGTTGAAGCAATATTTTTATAATCGCCAATAAAGCTAATAAATTTATGATATAAGTTTAAAATTTACCAAATATTGCAGAATATCACCCTGTTCTTCAAGGCTTTCAGTTTCTCTTAACATAGCCATCAGTTCTTCCACCTCAGTATCAGCATACTGAGTCTCCGATGCATGTCTGATCCTTGGTTTTGTTGATGACTTCCACACCATCACATCTTCAATTGTAGCTTCTGGAGATGGTGTACGTAGCGATTGTTCTGCTGTTGGAACTGCTGCAGGCGCTGTTGTTGCTGAACTTGTATCTGTTACTTCAATAAAAGGGTTCACTGTGAGAATTGTTGATGGTCTACGGTCTTCTCCAGTCATTCCAAGGATTTCCGCTGCAATTCCATTTCATTTAAGCATTTATCTCATTCTTTTTTCATATTAAATAACTTAAATCATTTAATTTTGGTTAACTATCTCTATTTACAATTAAAACAAAACAAATTCCCGAGAATTTTGTTTGATTTAAATGATTTTATTAGTTGGAGTAATGAGCAAAAATAAAGTGTGAAACAATTGGAACTGCTGCTGCAGAAGCCATACGCATGTGATCGAAATGATTTATTATAAAAAATTAGGATTAATTAATCAAAAAGATCAGGAAAATGATCATGAATTGATATTTTATTAAATAAATTTTTTCTATTTAAATTAAAAAATTTTTCTCAATGTTCCAACTTACGTTCTACAGCTATAGAGCGTGTTTTCTTGATAGCTCCTTTGACAGACATACGTCGTCGTAAATTTTTTCCACTTTTTACGGCTGCTCGGTTTAAAAGATCAGTGCGGTGAGGGAAAGATCTCATTAGGTGCTCTTCTAGGTATTGTTGAACCTGAAATTAATTTTAGAACATTACAGTAATGTTAGTAATCTTTTCGTTATTCTCATCCAAATGTTTTAACTTAATTGCGAATGGGAACTCTGCATATTATAAAGAATTGAATACTTTATTATTTTTATTTTGTTGTTTTATTTTTAACTATCGTGTTTTAAGTGTATTTATAACTAAAATTATTATACATTATTATTTTGGCTTATTGGAATCCTGTTATTCGTTACAGTTATCAGTACAAAAAATTGTTTAATTAATTATTAATAAACTACTGGAAAATTGTTAATTAGCAAATAGAAATAATAAATTATTTGATAAATTTATAATTTCATTATGTATATTAACGATTATTCAGTAATTGATATTTTCATTTTCCAAATTATCCATCACAGAATTAAAACCTGATAACCCTACAGAAAAGATATTCATGCCGAACTGTAGTTATGCTAGGTTTTATTATAAGAATAAATATCTTACCTGTGGATTTAAAGTATCCGGTCTTCCATCCTCCGAGCTACCTAAGAAGCTTAAGTTCGTGATGCAAGAAGTGCTCAAGAAGTCATTCATATTTCCTAAAGACACTCTGGTACCATTGATATACCCACTTTTCAATTTTTTCATCGTGGTTATCATAGCAAGAGGTATTTTTCCTTGATCTAAAAGAGAATGGAACAGATAAATAAATTGTCCATCATAAATAATAAATAAAAAATATATATTAATTGTTTTCTAAAATAGTGCTATTGGTTGAAAACAATACAATACAAATTAAAGGGTGGATATAACAAATAAAATTAGTTGAATGAAGTAGTTAGAATGGTCATACCTAAGTGGTTATGAGTAGCAACAATAGTTATAGTAGGTCTGCCGAGCATTTGCTTCCAACTGATGCCAAGAAATGCCAAATTGGTCGTAAAGGTGCTGACAAGAAAGGCTGCGTCGTTTGTCACGTAGAATTCCTCAGCATCAAAGTTCTAACATGCAAAAGCACATCCCTACGTTTTTTCAAACATGTCATACAAATACACAAAATTCATTATTGCTTCATTTAAACCATTAAACAATCATTTCATTAATTAATAACACTCATTGTCACTATTGAGTTGGATTTCATTTGTCGTAGTTACTGTCACTGTTTCAGAAGCTTTTTTTTATCTCCTAATTTATTTGTTTGATAAATCTACGAATTAAAAGCAATCAAATCATGATAAATGGATCCATGCAAGTTTGTACTTTTTTTTCAATTTTTGTATTTAAGGTGGGGAATTAATTGTCGCATAGTTTAGAGACTTTTGTTTACCTAAATGTACGCTTTTGATGGGCATTACAACAAGTGGTCGACCTAACATATTCTGCCAGCTAGATTTCAGGAAATTTATTTCACCTTTGAATATGTCGATCATGAGCTCATAGTCCGATGCGATGTAGAATCGAGTCATGTCAGTTAACTGCATGGATTTGTATTTAGCAATATTGTTTTTTGAGATTGAAAAATATTTGTTTGAAAAAACTGAGGCAAAGTCAATCTAATCAACATCTTATTTTGTTATTAAATATTAAATTAATATTATGTGATAAATAACATCGATTCTTAAAACTTCTTTGATCTTTTTTGTAAGCATTACTAATATCATACGAGCTAGATAAATTCATAAAAATGATCAATTAACTTTGCCTTTTTTATTTTTTGCAATTACTTCACTTAATAATCACCTGTGGCGTAAAAGCGAATACTTTGTCATTCAAAGAATAAAGTTTGCTTGTACTCAGTATTCCAACATCTCTAGATTTCCTTCCAGACAATCCCAACTTTTTATTTCTCCCTAGAACCAAAAAAAAAAATCAGCAGTCAATATTTTCACTAAAACTTTTTATCATAACATTTTTGTCAAACTGAATATATTAACACATTACCTAAATATGTGTATAAATGACTTAAAACTTTAGCAGGTTGAACTTCAATGGGTGCTACTTCAGCAATAGTTTGTACATGAATATCATGTTGAGCAATTTTTTCTCTAATTTCTTCATCCTCAGCCAATATAACCACCTGAACAACAACATCAGGTTTCTTTTCGCTGCACAATCTCCTGTTTAGCGGATCCAATTCTCCAACAGCTAAAAAACCTTCCTGCAAAAGCTTCCCGAGGATATAGAGCGACTGAGCCCATTTAAAAGGACAACGTCCTAAAGCTTCCCTCGGCTGACTTCCAGGCTCTGCATACTCAGCTCCAACGTTATCAGCACTTACAGCATACAATTCTGGAACTAACTTCATTCCATCCTCAGCTTTAATCATAATACTCTCTAGAGCTTTGGTGTAATCATCAACGGCACTTTTATTCTCTTGGAAGCAGTAGTCAAGTATTAGGTAGCAGAAGAATAAAGGCCATTCGCATTCGATGTTCTCAAACATCCTGAGCTCCCAGGGTTCATAATAAAGTCGATTAGGATCTTCTTTAGGAGTGCGATATCCATCTCTAAGGAATCTCTTGCAGCCGTACTTTCCTTGAAGCTTCCTGGTGATCGCTTCGCGTGTGAGTTGGATTAGATTCAGTTCATCCACTGCAAAAGCAGGGAAACTGATGATGGAGAGTAGTCCAGAGTCCAGCTCTTTGGAGTTTGATTCCCGTGGGAGCATTGATTGCAAAACAGCTTGACATTTTTGTGCTTCATCAGCTAGAACATGGATCACTGATGTGGGACCACCTCTCGCACCAAACAGGTCTAATTCATTCATGGCTTCCATTGCTGCTTTAGCCATTCCAATGCTGCTGGCATTCAATTCTGGTAGGCCATGATTTGTTTTGTCGCCTCTTTCCCAAATGCCGTAGTCAGGAGTGCAATATGCTGATTCGATGTAAAATACTAGATTCTGAATGAATGCTACCTAAAATAAAATAGGGAATTGGTCTAGTGAGTTACAGTTTCGTTGAAGAGTAAATTCATTCATTTTGAATGTTAGTTTCAAAAAGTATCTTTAGGTTTATTTAAATAGTATTGCCCATGATAAAACCTTCCAAGATGTTGAAGCAAAAGTTTTCAAGTTGAAGGAACAAGCCAGTTTATATATGAAATCATTTAAAAATTCAAGTATTGTAGATTTTGTTTCAGGAAATTTAATGAAACAATAGAATTTTTGGAGTTGAAATGTTTTGCTTTAGGCTACATTAAAAAATTATGGAAGCTTTCCAGAAACGAATTAATAAAATTTTCACTGGTTTATTGAGTGAGTTAAAATTTTATTGAAAAATGAGTTATTTCAAATCTGTTTACTGATTGAATCAATGAAGATGATGAAGGTTTATTTTGGAGTAATAGTTGATGATGTTGAACATGTCAATATTAATATTTTGTTGATTATTTATCGATATCTAGGATTCAGTGAGTACATGTGGAAATGAATCAAGAGATTTTTAAAATAAAAGTACAATCAAAAAGGATGTTTCTATTACACTGAATTCAACCAGTAAAATTTTATTAATTACCATAGGTCCGTAAAATATATTGCAATCAGTAACAATTCACTGAAAAAAATGAAATGTTCACTGATTCATTTGTAAAAATTAGCTTTAGACCTAAAAAATTATTAATAAACACATAAACTATGACATAAAGATAGCATAATTATTACAAAAGGTTCTTCCCCATGACATTTTAAATACTACAGATACAAAACAACCTTTCGAATTAAACTCACCTCGTCTAAGTTGAACACAATTTGTAATCCAGATGCAGTCATCTGCGCTAAAACTAACAGATACAAAGACACAGCATCAATTTGCAAGTGTCCCCACTCATTATCTCCAACAACTGTTTGTCCAGTGGCTGAACTGTATTTGGCATGAAGAGAATCCAATGGATTTTGAGTTATTTTAAATTTCTCCACCTTCTCTTTCTGCTGCATCATAGCTGTCAGCAATCCTCGCATTAGCTTTACACAGCTTTGCTCTAGTTCGTAGGTTTTTGCACGATCTTCATCAGCATCAGCTATTTTTTTGTAAGCCATTGATAAACCCCACACTGCTAGAATGCAGTAGACATTGTCTCGGATCCAAGCATGGTCCATTTCATTGCTGGCTGGAAATAAACCTGTCACTGGATTTTGGTGGTTCATGATGATCTTGTGAACCACTCGTTGATAGTAGTCCAAACGGACTCCTGAATTGCTTCGACTTCTCATGTTTAAAAAGTATTTTTGTTGTTAAAAATAACTATTTCACTTCGGTATCTGTTTATTAAACCTGCAAACAAAATAAATTAAGTAAATAAAATAAACTGAAAAGCAGTTTTCAATTGATAAACCAAACTGTAAATGAGAAGTAACTTAATAAAATTAGAAGTTAATGGTAAAGAATGGACTTATGTATTATAAGTCAGATTAATTGATTCAGAAAAAAAATATTTAATGCTTTTACGGCCGAAGATTGCTTGAAAAATACCATTTAAAAACACAATGTTATTTAAGGTTATAATACTCACCAGAAATATGCGTAGAAAATAAAAAATTGTTGATTTTTTATTGTAAATAGTTAAATATCAAATAGCACATTGAATGAATCGATGCCGATTCATTGTAAAATATTTAAAAAAAATTTATTTACATCTATATTTAACAATTTATTGTCAATTATTTGTACGTATTATTCGACATGAACCCACAATGTTAAACGAATGTCAAACGAACTGAGGACAAAAATAACACCGCGTGCGATGGGTGAAGTTGGCGCTGATTGTTGTCAGCTGACTTTGGTACTTGTTGATCATTTAAATATGTGTGATGAAGTAAAGTCATCGTATATTTATATATAATAATTGTTTTACCAAGTAATAAACCCAATAAACATATCCCTAGTAGCCATTAGGAAACATACTGCCGTCAGACTTACGTATATTGTTGTCTTTTGGTTTCTTAACGTAAGATCAGCATAAGATCAACGTCAGGCGTCAGATGCTGCCACAGAAAGAAAACAGACGCACGTAAGTCTGTTGACAATTTTAACGATAGATCTTGGCTACTAGGGTAGTTATTTTAACGAAAAAAAACATTGTTGAACAACATTCAAACGAAGTCGTGTCATAATTGAAAAAAATTACTTACAAAAATGAAATCTACGAAATTAATAATAGTCGATAGATAATATTTATTTATCATGACATGTTTCTATATTAATGCTTTTAAAAATTGTTTATGTTTGACTAACAATATCATGAAAAATTGAAGAGTAATGATAATTGATAGAGATTGAAGGAAAAGGCGAAGTTGAATTAAGAAGAAGAAAATTCTAAAATATATTTAATGAACTAAACTGAAGACATCGAGGCGTCATCATTATTATAATTATCAAATTTACTGTAGATTCGTTCTCTATTTGATGGAACAGACTGAAGGTAATACTTGTTTATATTAACAGTCATTGATGAATCCATGTAATGGGTCAAGTCCATGGTCATCGCTTTGAAAAGAACAAATCCTCCGAATTTCTCATGACCTCTGTACATGAGACCAAGTCCATCAAATGCTATAGGACTAGAAGGTGTAGTAGGTCGAGAGTCCATGAAAGGTATTGTGCTCTGACCAACATCAGAATGAATAGAAGATTGTTTGAAATCAATATACTGATTAGGTTTAACATTAGGTAGACTTGGTGAACTCTCCCACCGATAAACTTTTTCTCCTATTTTTAGTTCTTTTCTGGAAGAAAACATAATGATTGGAATGAATCTAAGTACTTGGGTAGTACAAAAAATTCCCATACCTTTGATTCTTATATGCTGGCGGCAATTTGGGCTGAGTTAGTGGTGTGATCCATACTGATGGATTCTCTTCAGTTGGCATCAATTTGCCATCGGAATAATTAAAAGGCGTGACATGAATCTCTAACTGAAGAGGGCTGATATTGCCTGCTGATGCATCATCACTATATTTTTCTGATTCATGACGCAACCTAACACCTGTCAGAACGAAATTTGGTCCACCTGATATTTCATCGAGATTCAATACTCTTTGATCTCTTCTAATAAATGCAAAATCTGTGTCTCGTATCATAGGGATATATTTGCCGTCTTTTATTTGGACCCAGCCTCCACCAGTGATATTGGATAAATATATAAAATCTTCTAAAGGTACCCAAGACGACTCATTCTTGGTTAACTGACCAAGAAGCAGCAGTGGTGTTTCTTCAATCTGGATGTGAATCATTTTATCTTTCATGGTAAATTTAACATCTGATACAACTCTGGAATCATTAACCAGTACATTCAATGTTGTATGAAAAAATGCCTTTTTAGAGATTAACTAAAAGAAACGTACTTGTTTTCTTCAATGTTGGATATTTGGAGACGTAAACTAAAGGTTCTGACGGCTCTAGATGAACCGTAAGATTCCTCACATCTACACATACACGTATCACATGAATATCCACGCCAGAGACGTCCGTTCACTTGGTGGTACGACATGTTCTCAGCAACACATTGACTCCATTTTCCATACCATCCGTTAGTATACGATCGTACATAATTGTAGCGTTTTAAATAATCTTTATTCTGTTGAATTTATACATGAATAAAAGATAGTATACTGAGCAATGCATACATATATTGATTAAATTCGGGTAATCAATAAATAAACATTTCAATAAATGTAAATATCACTATTTTTAATTTACTAACGTATTCGCAGATGTCCACGTCACCACCAATCCAACCGCAGTCATGAATCAGGCCTTTGCATGGATGTTTAGTACAATATTTTAGTCCATTGATATCGTAGCAACGGGGATGAATCCACGAATAGATATCCCTGCAGGTTGTTGTGCAAGACCACTCAAATTCCAAATTCATTTCATATTCATTTAAAACGTAAGCAGTGAAAAGCCCTTCAAACTCTACGTACGTCTCTTCTGCAAAGTTAAAAATAACATTTGGTGTTATTCAATATGTATTCTTATTGAATTACACTTTAAAAACTTTATGGCATACGATCGGTAAGTGATTTAGGATCGTAGAGAAAAATTTCTCTTGAAGCTTGCAGCATATTCTTTTGGAATTCATTAAAGTATTGGGCCAATCTCTCAATGAAATCATTTTGAGCCAAGTCGAATTCAACGCTTGATTTGTCTAAAAGAAGTCATCACGGTAATTGAAAATAAATGAAATTAAGTAAAAGATATATGCCAGTCAAAAACCTACGGTTTTTAAAGTGAAATTTTAAGAAAAATGCGAATTAATTATCAATAATTTTGTTAATGATAGACTATTTGCAATTATGATTAACTGATAATAATTTTATTTATGTGCCCAGCGACTATTATCGGCATCTCCTCTTTGCGCGAATTTTTGTGTACTTTTTCTGTCTCTCTCGCTCCATGGACGAGTAAATGGACAATTAGAAAAAAAACAAAGTGCTAAAAAGATTTTTTTAGCTCGATAGATTTACACTAATTTTAAAACTGATACAGTGTCTCACACAAACTTTTACACTAAAAATATTTACCTCTTTGTAACTCATTTTTCATCTTATAAGCTAACGCAGTCATCAAGAAAGCTCTTATTTCAGTGATTGATATCAGATTATAAATCTGTAGAAGTTGATTTTGGTAGGAAACATGGGCATCGTACAGAGTTAATGAATTCATCAACTAGAAACCAATTAATGCCATATACTTAAGGATGTATGACACTTTTATAAATTTAATTTTTAAAGCTTGAATTAAAAATATATAATAAAGTAAATAATACTTTATCGATTTCCATAAAAAAATATACCGTTTCTGATATATTTTATGAAATAATTGAACTTAATGGTCTTATTAAACTACGTGTTATTTATATCGGAAGTATGTAAAATTGGAAGCTAATTACAAAATTTGCTATGTTTCATCCATTTCTATGGAAATATACTTTTATAAGCTTTGAACGTTTTTCTCTGTATTTATACAGCAAAATTAGGTATTACTGGGTTTATTAACTTCCCAGTGGGAAGTTATAGTAATGGGTCCGATTTTGCGAATCCCGAATTTTGACATATCTCCACGTTTTAAGGTCCCCAGAGTCGAATACGATCGTTTTCCAGTGGACGTCTGTGTGTGTATGTACGTATGTGCGTTCGAAATTATTTTTCGCCTCGATTATCTCGAGAACAAAAAATGATATCGATGTGGGACCAATTGCATCCGACGCGTAATTATGTAACTTAGAACTCGGTCCAGCCATTTTTTTGCAGAACCAAAAAACTAGCAAAAATGGAAAATGACCTGAATTTCTCAATTTATAAATGATACCATTTTTTAGACAAAATTTCGAAATCTTAAAAAAAATATAAATATTAAATGATTAGGATACTTGTATGAAAATATGGTGACAATATTTCGTCGGAAAAAAAATTTTAAAAAACAAAATCAGCAATGAAAGAATTTTAAACTCGTGTCAGGATTGAGAAAACAACATTAAAGACGCTATGATAGTCAATAATAATTGTCAATAATATGGAATTGTGTTTATAACAATTGAACATTGTTACTAACAAATGATTATTGATCATGGTAATAGTTAAATAATAAGCTTTAAATTGTTATAAACAATAAAAATAGGGATCTATTCTATGTATATGAGTACTTTCAACGCATAATTTTTTCTTTTACTAAAAAAATGTTACAAACCGTATGACATAAATGAAAATATCCTTTTTCGTGTATAACAATGAAATTTGTTGTAAATAATATAAAAAAAGATCTATGAGGTATATTCGAATTCTTCTAACGCACAATTTTTTCTTTTACTGAAATAAAGTAACTAATCATATCAAATGAATAAAAACAGACTCATTTCGTTTATAACAATTCCATTTGTTATAAAGAATGGAAACGGGTTCTATTCGAATTGTTTTTTCATTTTTTTCACTGGGAAGTTGGTCGTGTGGACCTTTCGGATCGCACCCAGACCACTGCAGAGCACTGATATTTTTTTTTTAAATTAGATAAAAACTTTGGCAAAATGGAATAATGGGTGGACCGCCTTGTTGAATACGTTGCTGACAGTAGTCGTATGGGAACTTTAATTTATAATAAATAATTGTAAATCAGTACAATTTAAATTATTACTAATTAATTGTTAGTTACAATTTTAAGAAAGAATTTAGGTACGCATGATTAAAAAAAAATCTATTTAAAAATTTTTTAGACGTACTGCAGGATTTGACTAGACATACATCTTTAAAACGCACGTTGTGTTGTTAAAAAAATATGGAGTATGTTCCTGAAAAACAGTGGCAGCTGAGCTCGGCCATAAAGCACTTTATAAACCAGAGGTGGGCAAACGTGCCTTTTCAGAGTCAAAGTGGCTCTTTAGAAATAATTTTCGGAGCTATTGCTCTTGTAAATAATAGTGAGAATGGTATAAGACTTCACGAGGTAAATCTTTTTATTGCTACTCGGCGAAAGTCAAAGTTTTCCCATCTTTATTATAAATATTCTAAATCAAGCCTCATACCTTTCTTCTCTCTGCGAGAGTCTCCAAGAAGTTCATTTGATTGCTAGTTGTTTTTTTAGGTTCAATTATATTAAAAATTTTGTTAAGGATATCAGGAATTAAATTAGGTTCGGTGGAGGTAATGAAGATGATCATCTTTTCGACTGTGTCATTGTCAAATCTTGATATATTCTTGGAAAATAGGAAGACGTTATTATATGTACTATTAACAATGGTGATGTAATTTTAGAGACGGTTTATACAATCTATGAAATTGTCCCTCAATGAAATTTGAGCAATCATTGTTGCCAGTATGGTATTTAATTCTGTATCTTGATTCTCTATTCGCCGGGTGATACCGTTAATTTTTTCCATTACGTCAGTCATTGGACCCTCTTGAGTAAGGGACAAATTCCGAAGTGGAATATTTTCTGATACTATATCACCAACATCGTGAGCAAGCCTTATTATATCCTAAATGTTAGTAATGATAGGAATTTCAAGAGATTCAACGCAATTCAATGAATAAAATAAAATTGAAACAATGATAACAATTTTTATCATTTTGAGCACACTTCACTCTAATTTGTTAGACATCAATTGGAAACTATCGACTAGCATTTAACTATTAGTTCAAGTAAACAATTTTTAGCATTATTTTTTTTGCATAAATTATAATTAACTTGACAACTTAAGTAACTATGCATTATTGTTATCACACTAGTCGTTTGCAAAATGTGTGCTGCATGATAAAAGGTTGATTAGGGTTTTATTTACGATATGCCAAATTGTTTTACCTTCAATATTTTTATGTTCAAAAGATTCAGAAATTTTGTTATTTTGCCCGTAAATGCCTTGAAGGCGGATTGCATTCTACTTTTCTAAATCCTGACGACACTGATGACTTCATTGTTTACAATATATTAATAAACGCCCGCTGCTACTTTCCATGCAGAATTGTCTGTTAGTTTGAGCCCAACTAGAATGACGTCACGAAAATGTTGTCGAAATGTTAACTTAAAAGAGTTAACGACCCAAGTAGACACAAAAAGAGTAAGTCATCAAATAGATAACTTACAAAAGTTAAACTAACTTTATCTGGAAATGTTAATAATATGATGTCGAAATGCATAAATTTTTCGATATCTTTCAAAATATATCTTAATTTCAACGAATAATAGCTGACTTAGAAGTCAAGTATTGAAGTTAACTTAAAGGTAACATTTAAACCGTCAGGATTTAGTTCATTCATATAGGTGGCGAAAAGATGACTTTTTAGACAACTTTAAGACGTATACGGAAAGTTGACGTAGATATGCATTATAACGCCATCTGTAAGACGCCTGCAATACTCTATCTTCTTTTTTGATTAAAAAGTCATGTTTTAGTGTGGAAAAAAGATAACTTTAAAGTTGTGGTATCGATCGTATTACGTGAAATCAAGAGATACGGTAGTGTCTCGTGCGCCAAACATAAATTGCCGCCATTTAGCCCTTACGTCACGACGAGGCACTACCGTGTCTCTATACAAATTATGGGGAGCGTGACATCCGTCCCCAATAAGATGTCAGTCAAAGGCATTTTTACAATCTTTAAAATTTAAATCTTTAAATGTATAATCTTACTGATTATCAATCAAATTCTATGATGCCCAGATTTTTTATCTAATGATCATTTCAAAAATAAGCTTTATTCTTTTAATCTTTTAAAATTGGTTTTTTTTTATTTTCAATCATTTATTATTCAATCAAATTATAGAAATTTTTCTTTTTTTAATGTTTATTATTTCGTTGAACAGTCAACTTAAGAATTTAGGACTGGTAAATTATCTTGCGTCGATATAGTAGAAAAAAATTCAACTAGTGTCACTGTTTTCTGATAGATGATAGTAATTGCACTGTTTTCAATCAAAAATTCAAAATGCTTATACAAAGAAAAGTCTTCTTTCTGGCTCATGTAATGTTATGTAATTCCTACTACATAAATAAGGATGTTTAGGCTTATAATCTAATAATAATAATGAATGATAATTTAAAATAGCCATGTAATTTCAATGAAGATAATACGTGAAATTACAAGAAAGAAACCAAGTCATCCAGTTATTATAGCAGAAAATCCTGAACTGATAAAAAAGTTATCAGTAATAAAGAAGGAGCATTTTTTTTATATAATCGAACAAAAATATCATCTTTATTAGATAAATTTAACAAAGAATGCATAAATGGAAAATATCCTGCATTATGAAGCATAGATAACATTGGTTTGGATACATTAAATTTAGAAGTAAGTTATAAATTGTACAAAAAAGCTTGTTAAAAAATAATATTGATAAAGTATTCATCATTATTCTTATTATTAACGTAGGAAGTGTGGTAATTTATTTATAATGTTATTTTTGGATATCCAATGATTGTATCAAACTCAATAGAGTTCAAACTTCATCACGAATTATGTCTACAAGTAATATGTTCATTTCTGTCTCACTTTAGTAAAAAAATTCAGTATTTATTATCGTTGATATCGTATTTTAATGGTAAGATAAAATAAGATATAACTCATATATACAATTTTCCATAAAAAATAATATCATCCAACAGGAACAATGTACTCATTTACTACCAACATTAATGGCTACAATTTATTTACTCAAAGCTCTTCAAATTGTTCATAATAATTCTCTTAATATTAAATATTAATTTAATATGAAGAATGTAATGTAAAAATACAAAGATAAATAATTATTTTTTTAATGATTTTGAATTTTGAACTGTTTAATAGCAATTTTAGTTACCAAAAATAAATATTATATTGATCTTCTTGAAATGGAGCATAATTTTCTTTAAAACCAATTACTTATATCGATATTTTCCATCGTTAGAGATATACCACATCAAGTTATATTGAGTTAATTTCTTTACAATATCAATTACACAATTCAGAATAATAAAAAATACTTTACTTTTAAATTGAATTTTTCTTTAATATATTTCCTTTTTTTGTTTTATCAATCATTTAAGTTACTGAATTACTTGCTATTTCTTTAGTTAGTTTGTGTTTTAATTGACTATTAGTAAGACAGTCTTCTAGTATTATCGTAATTATAATAAAATAAAATATAGTATTTGTATCATTAATTTACGCTTAGCATAACTTTTCTAATGAAGTTAGTTTCTTCCATCGTGTAATTAAATTTTTTAAACAGGTTTTTTTTTAATAAAATTTTTATTTCAAACTCCTTTTTTCATTAATGACATATTTTTTAAAAAAACAAAATAAATTTTCACACAAATAAATTATATATTGAAGAGAAATAAAATCAAGATCCTATGAAATTTTTATCATTACTCAACTTAGTTCACCCGACAATTAGTTTTAACACAAAAACGTAATTTTTCCCATTAAGTATTTTTAATTACTCAAATAAAAATATATTATACGTGTATATAAGTTACATAATAATGAGTATATTTTTAAAAAAAATAACTTAATTTGTTTTTCTTATTCTAAAGAAATGACTACACGACAAAATTATTCTCGAGCAATTCAACATACAATTGACTTGTGCATTAATAATTTACAAGAGTCCTTGAGAAATGGAAGGTACTTATATAATTTGTCAATTTATTCAATCATTTTATATTAAATTTGAATAATTTGTTATAATATCAATTTATATATAGGATGACATTGTCAGAATATTTGTGGGCAGTAGTTGAACGCACAAATATTCGACGGGAGCTGAGACAACGTGGCTCATAATTTGGAAGTGTAGAAAACTAAAGTTAGAGAGATACCAGCAAATGTATGTTTTCTTAAATATAAATAAAAGTTAGACTTATAACTTCAGGAATGATTTTTGAATTCTTTAATTGACCCTGATTATTTTATTTTAAAATAATTAAATTGACTAGTGATTTATATTAAAATTTATTAATAAATTTATATTCATATTATATTTATATTCTAATTCAGGTAAATTGAGGTATTCATTACAAATACTGATTTATTTTTATAAAAACTTAAGTAATAAAACTTTTTTTTCGTTGCACGAAAATTGTTTATGTTTATTAAAGAAGAGAAGAATACTGACAGACATTATTTTGAAGTTTTTCAACTTTTTAATAATTCAGTTTTCAAATTTTTTTCACTTGGATTACGTTATTACGTTAACATTAAGATAAAAATGTTATTATCATTAGATTATAAGCTTAAACATCGTTATTTATGTAGTAGGAATTACATAACATTACATGAGCCAGAAAGAAGACTTTTCTTTGTATAAGCATTTTGAATTTTTGATTGAAAACAGTGCAATTACTATCATCTATCAGAAAACAGTGACACTAGTTGAATTTTTTTCTACTATATCGACGCAAGATAATTTACCAGTCCTAAATTCTTAAGTTGACTGTTCAACGAAATAATAAACATTAAGGCTGGGCTGAAGTCAGAAAGGCGACTGATTCCCCCTATCCAAATACATGGGATCGGGAAATTTCTAATTTCTTCGCCAATTTACCATTATTTCTATAAAATTAGGTACCAAATTACAGAGGAATTGATGCCGGACTGACGTAAACAACAATTTTTTGTATATAGTGAATATTTTTATTGAAAAAATTAGAAAGAATAATGAAAAAATTATGAATTGACTTGCCGCGCTTAAATTTCAAGATGGCGGCCACATCATTCAGATGAAAAATCACTAATTATTTCATTTTTATACGTTTTTCGCCCAAAATTCGTGTTTGCGTCAGTCCTTGCCACCTGTCTGAATGTTAAAAAATCAATTCATAGTATAAAATTGAATAATTTAGAAATAATTAGAAATCTTGTATTCCAGATGATATTCTCCGGAAAATTAGTTTGAAAAAATTCTGATAGGTGACAGCATTATGCTCGCAGATGACCTCAGTCATCCATATTGAAAAAATGCTCAATCCGTATCCAGAACTGATGGTGCCCTGCATTTTGGCGAGTAAATTCTGTATGTGTGTGTACGGGTAATATATGTATGTGATGTAAACATAGTGTATCACTTTACAATGCCCTACACTTTGATGACTATTGCAGTTAGGATAAATAAAAATGATGATACTCATTTAACATTAATTAATATAATACCTGAAAATAACTTCAACAAATATTCATCCATTATTATCATTTTTATTAGGTATAAATGTTAATCAAAAAGCTCAATTCCGAGTCGGCGTATCCAAGCATGTAGTATAAAAACAAATACACATAACTCAATATCGAGATTATGCTGGCCATGTGGTTAGAGCGTCAGAGTTCTATTTTGCCGGGCAGGGTTCGATCCTAGTCATAATCACTTTTTTTTCTACTTTATTCGTTAGATTAGCATGTAATTATAATATTGACATGCTATAATTAATCTTTTATAACAATTTGATTTTTTTTCTCTTTATTCATTGAATTTATTGACGCTAAGTCGAAAAATATTTGAACAGAGCCATAAACTTTCTTTTTGTATAAATACATTGATAATAGCCTGTGTTTAACAACTTATACATCTTTACATGTATTAACAATGTTATGTTATTAACAAGTTAATCATATTATTATTAACATTGAAAAGTAGTTTAAACAATCTGTGGCGAGTTTCGGCACTTTCCCGGCAAGTTCTACCCCCACTCTCTGTGCCCAAGCCTGCAGCTTATAATTTTTAAGCATATATAAGCGTACTGAAACCATAACAGCTCAGTGGTTACAGCATCGGTCTTTTATTTTGCTAAGCAGGGTTCGATTCCAGTCATGGTAAGTTTTTTTTTCTTTTTCATTTGTTAGATTTGCATGTAATTATAATATTAACATGCTAAAATGAATTCTTACCAACGATTTGATTTTTTTTTCTCAATTATTTATGTAATTTATCGACGCCGAGTCGGAAAACATGAACAGGGTTATAAACACTTTTTTTACTATATCTATACGAACGCAGCTTTTTTTTAAGCAATTTAGAAATATTTAGAAGTAGTTGAAATAATCCACGGGGATTTCCGGCACTTCGCCGGCAAGCTCTATCCCCACCTTTCGTACTCAAGCCTGCATTATACAATTTATAAACATAAACACATATATGTAATACTCCTATATTGCTAGTCGGTATAGGGAGAGAGACTTAAACATTACGGTGCAGACATATATGCGTTTGTCTCACTTATTATACGCTGCGACTTGTGCGCATGATTGTGAATGGAGCGTGCGCATTAGATAACATTTCAATTTGTACAAGAAATGAGATATAAGATATTCATTTTGCATATGAAGTAGCGTCTGTTTTACATGCTACATCCAATTTTTTATATATTTTAATTGACTCCATGTAAAATGTCAAGTTTGTATTATACAATTAAAAGGCGACGCTACTAAAGGCACAATGCCTTTATTATCGCAAATAAAAAATCGCGGACCATATATAACACCATCAAAGGATGTAATGGCTATTTGCAAAGTTTGCGAACAGATTATCAGAAAATATCAATCGGAAATAAGTGAACCTTCAATTAAACAATTTTTAATAAATAAAATATTTAACAACATAGGGATGCAATTTGACAATAAAATCATGAATGAACACATTTTGGATAATCATCGATCGCAACTTTGCAAATACGTTATTGAATTATATTTAAATACTCGGTTACATTATGAAGCTAAAAAAATGTCCGAGAAGGATCATTTTATAAAACAAAAATATACAAAACTCGTATTATTTAAACACCAATAAGTTTAATAATGTATAATTTGTTATACTGGTATGTGTAAATAATAAATTATTTATTGTTAAGTATTATTTTTTTTATCTTAGTTTTTTATTTCCTTATATCCTTTAATCAATTCCCCATTTTTTCTGAAATGCCTGTTTCAAATATGTTGTTCATTTGAATGAAGCTGCTTATAAGAAGTAGAATATGCAAACTTCATTTTAAAAAAATTAAATGAAATCTTTTGTCATTAACAAAGAAAAAAAACATTTCTATTAGTAAATTGTTTAAAATTAATTTCAGAGCTCATGAATGCTACATTTTTTATACAGTAAACTTTAAAATTATTAAATAAAGATATTTAAAATCCAATAGCTTGTATACTATTTATAATTATCATTATCACATTTTAATTGTATTTAGTGTATGATAATTGTCATTAAAATATAGACAGGAAAAAAAATATTTTTTAAATTAATAATCATGAATATTTATTTATCATCATCACATTTATATATGTATAATTAAAAAATAGGAGAGCAATGTTAACTATTGTGGCGATGTACAAAAGTGATTAGTATGTAGTTTGTAAAATCTAATACAAAAATAATAATTTAAAGGAACAATAATTGACTTAATTATTATTTTTCGCATTTATTACATGTTATTTTATTACTGTGGATGTTGGGTCAAACTCAAGGAGTTGGGGCAGCTTAGGGAAAAGACTTTAAAATTTTAATTCTTCAAAAACTTTCAATTGTAATTTTTATAAAACAATTTAATTTATACTGGTATTTAAAAATATTATTTATAGTCATCGAATTGAATTAGAATTATTGAACAATAAAAATTAATTTGTTCTTACAACTTTAGATTATTTTATTTATTATAAATTTATTTACAAAGAAATAATGTATAGAAATACCTTTGAAATTAGATATTAAATTATTATATATAAATGATTTAATTATTATACATGTTTAAACAATTATTAATTGAAGTTATTCTACTAATAATAATAATAATAGAGAAAAGAAAAGAATGAAGAGATTTGAATACCCGAGACTCACTACCGGAGTCGGGAGCTTTACCGCTGAGCTACGAAGCATACAGGAACTTATTTACTATAACTCAATTTTAAGTTGTGAAAGGGAGGTGGCTTGCCCTTATCCAATTGCCAACTCTTCCTCTACGGTAGTGACGCTTGCGCACAGCAGTTCAAATTAAAAGAAAGAGACAGACATATTCATTTTCTGTCTCACTTCATAGGCCACGCGCCCACTTACGGGAACTAGCAATATAGGAGTATTAGATATATGCATAAACATGATGTTAGAGATAATATGTTAGCTCTGTAGGTAGAACACCAAGCTTTCATTTTACCGAGTAGGGTTCGATCCCAGTTATAGCCAATTTTTTTTTCATTAAAATTTTATATAAATACAATAATTGGTTGTTTATATTAGTTCAAAATTAATTCCTATAGTCTTTTGGAGACAACATTTTCTAAAAAAGAGAATTCATAGTAACTCGTTCCTCACCCTCAGCTTATTTTCAGAAAAACAAGTTTTTTTTCGTAATTAATTGGAAGAATAATGTAATAAAATATATGAATTGATTTATAAGTATATAAAGTCACTTGAACAAGAAACAGAAAAAAAAATTGCCTATGACTGGGATCGAACCCTGCCCAGCAAAATAAAAGGTCGGGGACTCTAACCACTGAGCTATTATGGTTCCAATTATATAAACGATGCTTGAAAATTATAAGCTACAGGCTTGGGCACAGAAAGTGGGGGTCGAGCTTGCCGGCGAAGTGTCGGAACTCGCCGCGGATTGTTTAAACTATTTTTTATTGTTAATAAGTTGTTAAAAAAGGCTATTATCAATGTATTTGTACAAAAAAGGTTAATGGCCCTGTTCAAATATTTTCTCATTTGTCATTGATTAATTGAAAAAAAAATTTTACATAAAAATTGAAATTTAAAACTCATTTTTGGCATGATAAAATTGCAATTACATGCAATTTAAATAAAAAAAAAATTTTCCGCAATTTGAATCGAACACCGTTCGGTAAAATCACTGTCGAACTTTCTGACTACAGGGCCAGCATATTTTCATTTACTTTTTTTACGTTTAGATATCATAAGCTTCAGGCTTGGTAACAGAGGGTGGGGGATGTGCTTGCTCGTCAACTGTTCGAACTCGCAGTCTTCTCTGAAAAATAAGACGGAGATAGATAGATGTATTCTGTGCTCTGTCTTGCTCGGAACAGATTATTCAAAATGAAATTTCTTGGTGCCCTAAGGCTCCCGTTTTTGTAGTGCATCCCTGAAAATTATCATTTTTCGAACGATTTCTCTGTTACCTACTCAATTTCAATTGATATCGAGCTTCGGCTTTTCGCCGCACAACGTGAGGGCGTAAAGTCAACTCGGGAAACTTTCTGACTTCAGCCCAGCCTTAAATTTAAAAGATTGTAAAAATGCCTTTGACTGACATCTTATTGGGGACGGATGTCACGCTCCCGAGCTCGATAGTGTATCTACGGTTTGTTATCTAATATTGGTAATAATTGTAATCGACAATACAACTTTTTTCTTATCAGCATTCACTGATGACTACTAAAAATACTAAAAGAATATGGAGATAAAATCCGAACTTTAAATTACTTTTTCACGTGCTACAGCTGAAAATGATACGTCAGCTCCATTAATTGAATTCAAATTTATTGTTAATTTTATTTTGTTTATAATACGAATGTGATTGTTTAATCTTGTTTATGCTGTGTTTACGAAGTGTATTTCTACTGAAAACGCCGCACTAGAATTTAAATCGTTGACAGTATCTGTCACGTTTAACCTCATTTAACGTTTTTATCCATGTTTTGGCCAGTTTAGTCATAATAGACAGAAATGTCATGGATAAAAGAAAATACATCAAATATTTTACAATTATGTGCTATGAAAATAATCAAAAATGGTCCAATTCCAAGACATGTTGCATTTATAATGGATGGAAACAGACGTTATGCTGATAAAAAACGCTTCAATAGCCTAAAAGGACATACAGATGGGTTCGGCTTCAAGCTTTAAAAAATTTTAATAACATTAATTATAAATTTATTGAAAAGGTTCCAATGTATATTATAAGTATATTATACTCAAAAAATTTTAATCCAATTTCGATGAGGTTTTGATAAAAAAATGAAAGAATTAACTACATTGTAAAAAATATTGGAGCCTTGAATATATATTTTTTAGAAAATTACACTTTAAACTATTCTTAGGATTTGTATCAAATATTTTAAATAAACTATCTACAATGTTTCATGAATCAGAAAAAAATTTTGTTGAATAAATAGTTAATAATTTTTTTTTCACAACTTATAATAATAATTGTTCAACTTCATACAGATTCAATAAACTAGCTCATACTTTACAATGGTGTTTAGATCTTGGTATTAAAGAAGTTACTGTATATGCCTTTAGTATAGAAAATTTTAAACGAAGTCATGATGAAGTAAATGGATTGCTAAAGCTTGCTGAAGAAAAGTTTACGAACTTATTGGATGAACGGTGAGAAATTTTCCAATTAAAAATTTTCAGAAAAAAGATTGTAATAATATATTACTTTTGAATCATAACTGACAAATGTATAAAATAACCATTAAAAATAATAATTTTAGTGATAAACTGATGGAACATGGTATAAAAATTTGTGTTATCGGAAATTTTACACTAATACCTGATAAATTGAGTAAAATTATGCGCCAGTCAACAATAATTACAAAGGATAATAAACAAGCTCTTTTGAATATCGCTTTTGCATATACATGTAAGTTTATTGTATATGAAGAAATGAAAGAATACGAAAATCAAAATTTAATATTCCCAAAGTAAGATTAGATTTGTATTACTTTTGATCTTTCTTATTTCACAAATAATTTTACATTAAAATGTTTGATTTTTTAAAAATCTTATTAAATTTAAAAACAAGAAATATCTCTAACTTAGATAAAAATTGATGTCAAAGAAAATGAATTAATACATCTTAGTTATAATTTCTAAATAATCAATTGATAAACAATGTCATGTTTAATTTTTATCTAAGTTAAAAGTGTTCATTTCTTTAAGATAAATTTTTATTGAAACAATTAGTAAAATTAATATAATTTGTAATAAGTTTGCTTTTTTCATTATTTGATCATAATTAATATTAATACTTAAAAAAATTGTTATAACAGCTCGTGACGAAATCACACAAACAATTAAGTCTCTATCAAGTCTAGTAAATGTGAATCAAATTTGCATTAAAAATATTGATGAAAAATTATTTTCAAATAATTTATATACTTATCAATCTTCAAATCCAGATTTATTGATACGTACTTCAGGAGAAGTTAGATTTAGTGACTTTCTATTATGGCAAGTAAGGACAATTAAACTATAAACATTAAAAATTAGTTTAATTTTATCTAAAAATTGTATAAATATTAATAAATCTTATGATATTTTCCAGATAAGTGATTCTTACATTCATTTTACAAAATCACTATGGCCCGAGTATACTGTATGGGATTTTCTTAAAGCTATTTTTTTTTATCAAAGATATTGCGTACGTTGATAATAAGTTAATATGTTATTTTGAATTTTTGTGCTCTATAAATATTCAATATTATTTTTGATGTATTTTCATAATTTCATATTTTCGTTTACTATTTTTTAAAATGATTTTTCAAATTAGTTAATTGCAGATTAATTTTAATTTAATACATTTTGATTAAAGAAAAACATATTTTCAAAAATCTAATTCGGTCTACCCATATACTACTATCAATGTCTTTTGTGGTACCCTTAAAGACTCGATTTTTTGAATTCTTTAAAACCCACGTTTTCCATTTAATGAAGCAGACTCATTACATAACTTCCAAAAGTGAACAATAAATTATTCTAAAGAACAATAAAATGTAAATTAAAAGAGCATTATGTTGGAAATTATTAATGTCAATAAAATATATTCACTAGCAATTAAATCTTGTTAAAGCCTCTAATTTAGTTTAAAAATCTATACTTAGTTTTCGTTAATAATTTTCTCGACAAAAAATTTTATCTTACATTACCATTAAATTTATTATACAGATATTCATAAATTAAACGTTAAAATTGTTGAAAATTTTTCAGGATATAAATAATGCAGATACGATATCAACAACAAAACTTTGAATTTTTAACTAATTATCAAAGTTTTGGTAGATGGTATGGTAAACTATATAATTTCAATAAAATAATTAACAACTCCTACTCAATCACGATTTATTTTTATAATCTTCAAATTACAAAGAATATAAATATCAGTGAGTAAAAATGATAACGAAAATGTTATCTAAATACTAAATTTTGAACAATTATTGTATATGTATATATATACAAAATATATATAATATATATAACATTAATTTAATCTTGATAAATAAAATCAAATTTTTCAAATTATTATCAACTCAGTTTTATTCACTAACGATTCATTGTTATCATAAATATTTCTAAATTACACAAAAAACTAAACAATAAAAATAAATTAAATCTTAGTATAAAGAAGTATATGTGATATATTTTATAAATAATAGTTTCAAAATTTAGGAACGTCAATACCTTTTTTTTGTAATTTTGAATTTAAGACACGTGATAAATGATTGTAATTGACTTACATTTACCTATTTGGATAAAAAAACTAATGAAAAATCACTTATTCTGTATTAAAATTATCTTTATTAGTTAAGTATATATAATTTTTAAAAATTTCACTTTACTGCATTGAAATTTTTTTTTTTTTTTGAATTTTATTAATTTTGCTACTAAAAACATTCTTGTCTTTAAACTTTCTCAGGCGAGTACTTTTTTTAAAACTTAAACAATTTTGAGCCTTTTTTTCATTATTTGATTCAACCAATTGTCCATCTATGTTACATGATATACCATTACATTTTGAATCATCTACTTTATCACTTGTTTCATTATTTTTTTTAATATGAAATTTAATATCGTTATGTTCAATATTAACATGTCGTTTGAGATCACAATTATTAGAAAAAGTCATATCACAGTTTTGACATCTAACTATTATTTCATTTCTGTGCTTGGTAACATGTAATTTGAAATACCAATCAGTAAGGAATCTTTTTGAACAATAAGAACATTCAAAAATTTTATTTTCAATTTGTTTTTTATGATTATCAAAATATTTTTGTGAACTAATTTCTTCGGCTGGTGGTTTCAATTTTTCTCCATTATCAAAAGACTCACGCTGAGTTTTATGAATGTTGGTAGACGTTAAGATATTTATCGAATTTTTTTGAGGTATTTCGGATTCTCCAGCAGGATGTTTAACAGCTAATCTTTTTTCATTTTGAGTAGAAGTTATATTATGTATTTTAACAAATGATGATGCAGATACAGAATTATCTGGTACAATACAAAATTTGGGAATTCCTTGAGTATGATGTCTCAATGAAGGTTGTGACTTGAGATTTTTAATAGGAATAACTTTTACTGGCATTAAGTAAGGATTTTGAGGTTGTAATATAGAACTTTTTAGAGTTGGGGTTATTACTAAATCCTTCAGTACAAGAGGATATACTACACTAGTTTGAGGCATTGCAGTAACAATTGAGTAATTATTGTCATGATTCTCCTTCGTTGTTTTTGATGGATTAAAGTTACTTGTATGAGATTCAATATCAAGACTAATTTTTTGTAAATGAGAATTTAATTTGGTAGTTAAACCATTAGAAACTTTCGAAGAATTATCTACATTCTGTACTGCTGAATTCAATAAAGTATTTGTGACTGTATCATCAAGTTTTCTGCATGGTGGCATAGATAGTATAATTTTAGGTATGACAATAAGTTCAGAATTCTTCTTAAGCACTTCTATAGCTTTAGCATGACCTGTTAACGGATCACTATAATCGTTTCGTTTAGTTCTTATAATTTCCATTAATTGTAATTCTCTTTCTTTCATTTTCTCTCTCAATATTTGTGCACCATTTACCCGATTATGTTGATATTTATCTTTTCGTTTACAATTTCTGTGATATACTCGAGCTTTACGTGTTTTTAAAGATGTTTTACAAATATCACAAATATTTGATTTGTCACACCGATAAAGATATATTACAGCTCTTCGACAACGATCATGTTCAATACTCAAAGAATCACATAAAGGATTTTCACAATGTTTAGAAACAGCTGCAGTTATTTCTGATTCATCAATGTTGACTGCTAACATAGATAATCCCTCGTGATCAATATATTGATGAATATTTATGTCACAAACAATATTTTCACAAGGTTCACAATGACCACATGATTTCCGTTCTCTTTTTATTGGTGATAAAATAATTTCAGATTTACCTTGTTTTTTTGAAGGTAACAAATTATCTTCTTCATCACTATATTTTATTATTTTTTGTGATTCTAAATTAGTACAATTTGTCATTTTTTAAATATTTTTATCTCTATCAATATTAAAAATTTATTCTGCATTTGACATTGTAAAAGGAATAGTTTTAATAACAAAATTGAGTTGGTTGAGAGAATATTTAGATGGTTCAGACTGAAAAATCTGCAATGTAATATAGAGTTACGATTAAATATTATATCATATGAAAATAAAATAATATTAAATGTAATTTACCTCGTCTAATTTATTATCTTATGTATCTTCAAAAATAATTCTAGAATTATTAATACATTACTAATTTAAGTAAAGTTGTATAAACCATAATATAAAATTTACACGTCATATATTCCGTAAACACCAAATTTTGTTGACCCAATGAAATCATCAGCATAAAATAAAAATCATTAATGATTTTAAAATAGCATTAACGAAATGTTTGGATGTTCAAGTAAAGAAGATGCTTTTCAGCCTGACTATAAAGAAAATAATCTTGTTTAGTTCAATTGAGCAGAAGTACCCAATAATTCGGTTCAATCAAAAATACCATTTAATTTATTGTTGAAAAAAAAATAACTGGTAAGTTTCCGACCCGTAAATTTCACCATCTGGTTGTCTATCCGATGTTGCCAATCCACCTAGGGACAAAACACTATATCTCTAGCATGTTTTGGCAAGTAATTTTTTTAACATAAGTTATTATTAATAGAAATTTAGAAATTTCTACAAATAGAAATATTATTTTTCTTATTTAGATAAGTTACATTATATTTAAATGTAATAAAGTAAGCTTGCCAACTGCCACAGATTTACAAATACAAATACACACTGACTTTACTTTACAGATCTTAATTTCATGAAATTTTAGTACATTGTTACGATGACTATAATGAAAATAATAATATTATTATTATAAAAGTGTTATAGCATATTATTCAGTTTACATTTCATGATATAATAATATCATACCATAATATTTTTCTCAAATGTTTACATTATTATTTTATTACAAAGATTTATGCTCTTTGATTTCGATGAATATTTTATTTTTAAATTTTCGCAGTATCGCCATTTTAAATAGTTATATTTCGACGATCGAAGAATTGGTTAATTAACAGATAAATTAACCGGTAAAATGATTACAAACAAAAATATCGGTAAGTTTCCAGCATTACACATGGATACCGCGTACATATAAATAATAATAGTATATTTTTACACTGGTAGCTTTTAATCAACAACAGAAATTAAAGGTTAGGATATGTTACAATTTAACCGAATCAAAAAGTTGTTTATTAGCTACTAAAGTTGTCTTAAATAATTACAATATACACAGTTTTGACATTATTTATTAACTCTTGATACAACTATCATTTATGTAATGGTTAAAAAAGTAATGTAGAATTTACATTTAAAATTTATTCATATTCTATATATAACTAATAAAATGTTTTTTTTTGTTTACTTTCAGTAGAAATTAATATTACTAAAGAAACAATTATGTCTCTAAATAAGGATAATGAATTCACAAGTGCAGAAGAAACTGTAAAAGTAAATACAACAAATACAAAAGAACCACATTCTATAAAATCCGAAGAAAAAAATGAATCTACCAGAAAGAGAACACGAAATCATAGTTCAGATTCTAACGGAACGAGAGTTTCGCGTAGCAGAATCAATAGTGAATCTAGTAACACATCTAGCGAAAAACGAAAAATCGAATATGAGACAGATCCTACAGTATTATTACGGAGACAAAAAGAAATTGATTATGGAAAAAATACCATAGGCTATGATAGATACATACAGATGGTTCCCAAGTAAGTGTGCATGACAATTGTTTTCAAAAATTGTTGATATAGAAAAATAGTTCAAACGAGAATATTGGAATGTCTTAAATTATTAATTTAATACAATTAATTGAAATAATTATTCAATTATATTACTAATATTTGATAAAAAATTTTTTTAAATAGTTTATGTTTACAAAAATTTTTAATACTTTATTCTATAATTAATCTACATTAGTTAAAATTCCTTAGCACAAAAATTTATATCCAAAATAATGATAGAATTAAAAAAAGAAACATAATAAATGTTTTGATAAGAAAGTTAAAGTATAATTCATCGGTCACTTAATACAATTATTTCATCTGTATGATATTAATAGTAATTAGTTATTTTAAATTACTCTATATAAATATTAATATAAAACAATATAAAATATTTTATCACCTTTAAGAGACCAAAGAACTAAAGATCATCCTAAGACACCACCAAAACATGCAAAATATAGTAGAAGAGCGTGGGACGGCATGGTAAAACTTTGGCGTAAACAATTACACAGTTGGGATCCACCAAATGAAAATAATGTTAACATCAACCAATCTACTCAAGATTGATTGTAAACCATTTATCAATTTTCAGTAACATATTTAAACTTTATTGATAATGTTTTTGATTTATAATTTTGAGCTTCTTTTTCTGAATAAAATTTTTTAAAAGTATCATCAATAAAAGTAATATAGTATAATGATATTTGTAAATGTATTAAATACCCACTATAAATTCGATCTTTCTTCTAATAAGTATATTATTTTAATAAATTTTGTATTTCATTTAATTTTTTCTCAATATTTGTTTCCATTAAACACACTCGCTGAATAATTCTTTTTTCCATTTCCTTTAACTTTAAATCAACATATAATAAAATATTAGGATCGTAACTATCATTTTGATGAGTAGTTTTCCAATTATTTGTATTAATATCGTATTTTTCATGCTCTTTATGGTCATTCAGAGAATCTGCTATTAAATTAATTATCGAATTAAAATGTGAATTTTTTGGTGGAAAAATATTTTGTGATTCATCGAGAATAAGTTTTATCCCATATAAAAATATAGTAGAACGATTATTCTTGATCCGTGTAAACTGAAAAAATATACAGTAATAATTACTCTTTATTAAGCCAATTTACTAGCGAGTTAATTGAATAATAATTTATTAATACATTAAAAAGTAAAACAAATACGATAAATACCTTTATACTAGTTTCATACGTTGATATGTTAAAGGCTATTTTTGTGTAATAAACAGTAGAGCCTTGAAATTCGTCTATTAATTCAGGAAATACAGTAAAAGCATATTCACCGTTTTCTCGAAAAATTTCTAAAACAGAAGCTTCTGATACAATACCAATACATTTTATTTTTTGTCTATTTTTAACTTTTATTTCTATGTTACAAGCTTCACTGTCAGATGATTTTGGTGTTATTTCAATGCATCGTTCTGCATCTACAATATCTTCTAATGTCATTCTATCAAAATATAAAACACATTTAAATGCATCCAAACATTATTATTTATTGCATATTAATTTAGCAATATATTTTTTGTAATTATAATTTTAGTTTCTAATTAAATAAATTTTTATATATGATTTTCAAATACCTATCTGGAATATCAGCAACTGAACCGAGTGACACAACATTTTCAAATTTTTTAGAACTATCGATGGGAATCCAATTACAGGATATTCGTATCAAACTGTCAAGATTAATGCTCTTCAATGAATTTTCTTTTTCAGTTTTCATACATACTTCGCTTTTTCTTTGCATTTTTAGTAACTGTTATCTAATGCAATATAATATTTTCTAAAAAATTTTCAGAATAAATCATAATCAATTATTGAAACTTCTAATGAATATTGTCGTTTTTCACAGTGAAAGCATTGTAGACCATTATGCACAACACTTAATGGACATATTTACTTACCTACCTACAATGATTGTAGTACAATTACATTATTAAAACACTCATGCGTTATTATTGGTATTTCGATGAGTATAGTAGGTGTTGTGGTAGATACAGTTAATACTACTCGAATGTAGAGTCCCTCAAAATAGAGTCTGGCAAGATGACGCCATATTGTTCAATTCCTGCCTAAAGTCCCATAAGAACTTGAGGGACTTTAGTCCTGCCAGACTCTACTCAAGGGACTTTAGGGACTCTACTCAAATACATCCTACAGTGTGCTCGCTCAAAAAAACGGTAACTAATGGGTACTTTAAATTAAAATTTTTTTCTAAAAATTATAAAACATAAACTTAAATTAAATTAAAACTACATAACTAAATATAAGTACTAGCTATTAATACGGGAACGTGTAAAGATTATATTATTAATGAGATAATTGTACAAACAATGTAATTCTAATAAAGTTTGAATAAAATAAATTTTAAAAGTTATAAGTCAAATAAACAACGGTACATACATCCTAATTATACAGATTTTGGTCGGCCATATGTAAACAAGTAAAAGTTAGAAATATGAAAAACAATCTGTCAAATCGCTTTAGACTTTTAATTTCGGTTATTTTACTTATTCTTCAACCAATCGTCCTCATCTCGTTTCATTCCATAGATTGTTGTTGCGCGAATCTTTTCCTGTAGGTATTTCATTCTTTTATCTACTTATTTTCCTAAAACTAGTGCGCAAAGGTCCATATACTTTTATATACCTATATTTTTCCGCTCGAGGCGCCTTAAGCAGTCAAGTTATATATGGTCTTAACTATGCTCGAAAATATTGATTCGTTTAAATTTTTAAAAGAGATTATATAAAAATTTTTAAAAGTTATTTATAATTTTAATTTAAATTAATGTTTTTACGACAAAATTCATTGGAAAGCTATTTTTCGAGACATTTACACTACAAATGGAGATTGCTATGAGATTTTAAATTCGAAAAAATCACCGATCTACATTAGAATTAAGTATGCACATCCATGAAAAATTTTAACCAATTCTCTCTTACTCTGTTACATCTTTATTAATAATAAAGAGGTAAATCTTTTCAATCGCTGGTTAACTGTAAATCAGAGTATGGTAAAAATCATACTAAATATACCTTAAAAAAGCAATTATAGTTGCACCTGGAATAATGATTTTTGTAACTTGAATCTTAGTCTTTAATAAACAAAAATATCTTCTTTTTTAAGTGTATAAGGTGGGAAAAAAATTACTTCAAACTTCTGTATTATAATTTTTAAAAAAAAATCGAATAACTGATAATGGCATGCGAGGGTTAAAATAGTTCTACACAGATCATACTTGCCTATTTTTAGATTCACTTAAATTAAAAAAAAATAAAGGAAATCAAGTGTGAATAGATTTATGTAAATCTGTATAGGTCTATTCTATTTGCTCTTAAAAATAAAAATATTATAAATATATAATTTCATTTTAAACAACATATTTTAAGAATTATAATATTTTAAAAATTAGATAATTATTAGTTTAGGAATGTGTAATGAATAAAAACCAATATATTACAGAAATTTGAAACGGTTGAAACCATATAGTAAAAAAATTTCACCAATTCCATTGAAGGGTACCATCAGCATTTAATTGAATTCTCCCAGTAGCTAAATACTGAAGAGCTTTAGGGAAAGTTCGATGTTCTGCATTTTTAACACGTTCTTGAAGAGTTTGTATCGTATCATTTGGTAATACTGGCACACATTCTTGTTCAATTATTGCTCCAGAGTCAATTTCAACCTAAAAAAAAAGTTTTATAAAATGACAGGCTTTTTTATATAACATCAAAGAATGAGAACATTAACAACTTACATCAACAAAATGAACAGTACACCCAGATACTCTCACGCCTGCTGTCAAAACGTCTTTATGAGCATTAGATCCTTTAAAAGATGGTAAAAGTGAGGGATGTATATTTAACAAAGATCCTTTCCATTTTCGAACAAATTTTTCCGATAAGATTCTCATAAATCCTGCTAAGCAAACTATTTCCACTCCAAATCTGATTAATTCTGTGTCAACGGCAGTATCAAACTCCTCACGAGATTGAAAATCGGTATGTTTAATTACTTTTGTGGGTATTCCAACTTTTTTGGCTTTCGCTAAACCTTCCGCATTCTCTTTATTAGATATTACTATAACAATTTCGGCTCCAATATGTTGATATGGATCTCTTGTAGCATCGATCAAGGCTTGTAAATTCGTACCACTGCCAGATATAAGAACTCCTACTCGTTTGATTGGTTTTGAAAGATTTTCAACTAATGTAGAAACATGTTGTTTCATAATTTTCTCCATAGATTTAGTAAAATTTTTAACAAAAACTGTAGAATTTGTTAGTTGATCAATAGCCTCATGTACATGGCCAATTATAACTGGTTCTTCTAAATGTAGTAAATTCATTACTTTATCTTTGTCTTTTTCAGCACATATAATAACGGCTCCAATGCCACAATTAAAAGTTTTCAACATTTCTGTTTCATTTATTCCGCCATATAGTGCCAACCATCCAAAAACAGGAGGAATTTTCCAGTTTTCTGCATTTAAAGTGATGGAACAATTATTAGATAATACTCGAGGAATATTTTCTAATAAGCCACCTCCTGTTATATGAGCGAAGGCTTTTATCAATTTCGATTTAAATGCAGGAAGAACACCACGACAATAAATTTTTGTGGGTTCTAATAATTCCTCTCCAATTGTTTTAGAATATAAGGAAAATGGTGCAATATCATTCAAATTTTTCCCAGTAATTTTCAAAATTTTTCTTACCATACTAAATCCATTGCTGTGAATACCACTTGATGGTAATCCAATAACTATGTCTCCAGAAACAATTTCTGATGATTTTGGTAATAAATCAGATCTCTCAACAGCTCCAACAGCAAATCCAGCTATATCATAATCATCATATGAATACATATCAGGCATTTCCGCAGTTTCTCCTCCAATCAAAGCACATCCAGCTTGTTTACAACCTTCAACTATACCAGCAATTACTTCTTTCGCTACTTCAACATTTAGATGCCCACATGCTAAGTAATCCAAAAAAAACAATGGTTCTGCTCCATGAGCAAGAATATCATTAACACACATGGCAACTAAATCTATACCAATAGTATTGTGTTTTTTGTATTCTATTGCTATTTTTAATTTAGTTCCAACACCATCAGTACCTGAAACTAAGATTGAATCCTTAAAAGAAGCTGATTTTATATCAAAAAGTCCACCAAAGCTGCCAATAGATCCAAGTACTCCACTACGCATTGTTAAACTGGCTAAAGATTTTATTTTTGTTACTAGCGAGTTTCCAGCTTCAATATCAACACCACTGTTTTTATATGATAATTGTCCTAATTTAAGAATAGTACGAGCGATTCCTTTGTGTGCAATATCTTTCCTATATTGCTTACCATCAAAACAAATTTTTTCAGCTGCTATTGTAGCTTTTGCTGCTGCTTCTTGGAGAGATGATGATAGGCAAGTTGCGATTAAAACTCTTCCACCATTAGTTAATAATTCTTTTTGATCGGAAAGTCCTGTTCCACTATGAAATATATAATGGTCTTTCAAAACTTCTATGTTCTCGATTCCTTTAATAACTTGACCCTTTGATGCAGATTCAGGGTATCCTCGAGAAGCGCAAATTACACCAACAGCAAATTTGTTAGCTAACCAGTTGATGGTTAGACTAGATAATAATCCTTCGCAACAAGCTTTCATAATCTCATAAAGATCTGAATTCAGAAGCGGTAAAATTACTTGAGTTTCCGGATCCCCAAAACGGCAATTATATTCTAAAACTTTTAAACCAGAGTTTGTGATCATTAAGCCAACGTACAAAACACCAACGTATGAAATTCCATCTTGTTTTAATCCTTTGACTGTTTTTTCTACGATTTCTTCACTTTTTTTGTAATCAATGTCATCTAATAAATAGCAAGGACTGTATGCTCCCATTCCACCAGTATTGGGTCCCAAATCACCATCGAAAATTCTTTTATGGTCTTGAGCTGGTGGCATCATACTAATATTTGTACCTAAAAAGTAAAGATAATTCTTATTTATACATAATATAAATAGATGTATTGATATTACCATCAGTAAATGCCAATACGGATACTTCTTCGCCTTCTAAGAGCTCTTCGATAATAATATTTTCACTGGCTGAACCAAATTTTTTATTTATCAGCATTTCATCAACTGTTTGACATGCTTCTTGTTGATTAGCAGTAACAATAACTCCTTTTCCTGCTGCCAAACCTGTTGCTTTAATCACAAGAGCTTTAAAAGGAGAATCAATAATAAATTCTTTAGCTTTTTCAGCTGATTTAAAAGCTTTCCATCGGGCTGTAGGAATTCCATGTTTGTCCATAAAAGACTTAGACCAATCTTTATTTGCTTCTATTTGAGAGGCTAATTTTCTAGGACCGAAGCAATGAATATGATATTTGCATAATTCATCGGCTAAACCATTTGCTAAATATTCTTCCGGACCAACGACTACTAAGTTTACTTTATGTTTTTTACTCCACTCTGCAACTTCTTTATTATCTTTAACGTTTAATTGAACTAATTGGACTTTATTAACATTCGCAATTCCACTATTTCCTGGTGATACATAAATTTTTTGTACCTAAAAATGTAGAATTACAATAAAAATAAACTACTCGTAACTTCAAAGTCTTTAAATGAAATTTTTATAATAATTACCTGTAAAGATTGAGAAATTTTCCAACAAATGGCATGTTCTCTACCTCCACCTCCAATGACTAAAACTGTAGCTCCAATGGTCATTTTGAAAGCTTATAGAATTTTTTAAGTCTCTAAAATATTTTTTAAATGAAATTAGATAAAAAACATTTGTAACTAATTAGGGAAGTTTAAATTTGTAATGAGTAAACTTTGGAAATATAACATTATCAAACGTATTATTCAATTATTTTATTAATAATAAATAAATTTAAAGTTTTTGTTATAGAATAAAATGAAATAAATTTCAAATTTTTTAAAAAAGCTAACCTTCAAAAATGAATTAAAGAATTGATTTTTATGTTATTATGAAATGTTTTATCATTAAAATAAAACTATCAGATAGAATAATTGATAAATAATTAAAAAAATATTATATAAATGATGAAATACCTTGATATTTGAAAAAAATTAATAGTTAATGCACGTTAAATACTGAAATTATCAAACACGTGTCTAAGTTTAATAAGAAAGTAAATTAATTGAGAGAATAAAAAGAATGTTCATTACGTTAAATAATCTATTACTCCATGACTGATTATACTCAACCAAAAAATCAAAATACATATGAAGCAATTATTTTTAATTTATACAATCTAATCAAATATATTACCAAATACAACCCCACTCATAACTTTGCTAAAAAGACGTCAATTAAAGTTTATCAGGTTGATAACTTATTTGAACTTTTATTACATTATATGTATCTTTTTTATTAATATGAGCAATTTAATATTTAATAAATAATCAGCTCATGAAAATAAGTTGTCACTATAAATTTAATATAAATTTTAATTCAAATATTAATTTTATTTTTATAATCGTATAATAATTATTACATTGTTTAAGTCAATAAATTAAAAATAAATTCATCAAATTTATCAATAAAATGTTAAGAAAACTTAAAACATGTAACAAGCAAGTTTCTTTTTTTAATGAATTTTTTCTACCAAGTGCTGTTACAATTACGTAAATATTTTCTTTAAATTGTTTTGAAACGTTAGACTTCTAAATCATTAAATAATGCTGCAAAATATATCTTTAATTGGTGTATGGAATAATATACAATTTGAATATAATAAATATACATGAAAACATTAATATTTACAAGAATTTTACAAGATCGACTATTTTAAATAAAAATTCAATAGTATATTACTTTACAAACTAAATTACAACACAAATAATTATTAGTCTAACTAATATTATTGTTGAGAATAATGTACATTTTTCTGTTACGACTCTAAATTTTGATGATACTAATTCTTTACATTCCGTATGTATGTTAACATATATACAAATTAACTATTCGATTTACAATGATATTGACAATAATAAAAATTTACGATATAACAACGATCGTTTTTTTTATTTTGTACATATTTTTTAATTAGTTAACAAAAATTATTAAAAAACCATAGAAGAATTAGTATTTTTATAATCTAGAAACAATAAAAAATGTTCATTCAGTAATTAAATTTACATTACTGGAAAAATGTAAGACTATAGTGGTGTTGCTAGTAAAGGTATCGAAAATAATGGACCATCTAAAAAACAAAATGCCTAAATTTATATAAATTATTGTGTTTTGCATAAATTATTATTTTTATTATGGAAATGGTGGTAAGAGCTACGGTATACATATATGAATTACGAGTATTAGTTGAATAAAAAAAAAAAGATTATTTATCGGAGATTTTTTAGCCCTGGAGGTAAATTATTTCATTAGGCTCAAAAAAACTTTCAACAAAATTATTATTTTTAGTTTTTTATAATATATTTGTTAATTTGAAATTTTAAGACTAATGAAACAATACGCTCTTAGCAATAATAGTTTTAATTACAAAATGACGTAGCAATCAGTCGTTTTTCGATTTATAAGAATTTTCTAAGAGCAAGCAGTTTATGCACGATTATTAAGAAAATCTTACTGACGAATTTGATATCATTTGAACAAAGCTTCAGGCAAAAATGTTATAGAATGTAAGTTGAATAATTTTTTAGTATCATAAAAAAAGACCCCTATTGATATGATAAATATAAACATATGTTTTAATACCATCAATCGTAAATATAAATTTTAATTATTTTAAATTAACAATTTTTAAATATTCTGTAATAAAATATTTTCTATGAGCTCAATTGATCTTATGATTTTGAAATGATTCCCGCAAATAAATTTATTTTAAGTTAAATAAGATGTCTACTCATATCTGAGTTAACTTCACTCCAATCTGTTTACATGGAAGTTGTAGGTGTCGTGATGATCGATAACGACGAAAAATTTCATGAAGTGACTTATTATTGTTGTTAATTTTAATTACCGATTTTGGTATCAGTATTATTTTAATATCAGTTTTACTTGGAATTTTATTTTATATCCATAACAAGCAGTATGATAATAATTACTGGCATATCATAAAAAACCGATTCGAAAAATATTTATAAAATGAATGTAACAAAAAGAAGATAAAATATGAAATTTAAATGGCATTTTGTTTTTATTTTAAAAATGTCAAATTTTTGATAAATAATATTGTAGTTCTCATGTAAACATAATAAAAAATTTTTGTATTATATTTTTATAATCTAAATTTGACATTTAAAAAAAGTTAAAGTTGTTATTTTGAAAAAATTTTCAAAAAATTGTTATTTTTAATCTTATAAGTATATCAATTGATATGAACTTGTAATATTGCAAATAAGATTTAAATAACTATAGGAATAATACATTGATTATTTTTGATGGTACTTTTAAATTTTTAAAACATAAATGCTGATCATAATATCAATAAAGATAATACAAACATAATTAGAAAAATATTTTACCTGAATATCGAATTATAATAGAATGATGAAAAAATTTTAGTTAACCAATAACAAAATATTATAGTGGTTTTCGATTAGTAAGCTGATCGGCACATTTTTTGGAATTTATTCCACCATTACCAATATAAATCATATAGATCAAAATGCTCTGTTTAACTCGTATCTGTAAGTTGTAAAATTTCATAACTATTATAATATATATTATATAATAATCATTTTATTAATTAATTAATATAAAAATAAATTTCTCGTAGCAATATAATTATTAATTAAATAGATTTTTAATTATTTTTTACAGTGAAGATTCTAAAATTGATTGAAATTTTATTTGTTTCAAAGCTAAATAATTGTTAAATTTAACAAAAATACTTTTATAATTACCTTATACTTTACTTGTAAAAACATCAAGTCATCAACATAAATGGGTTCTTTGCTTTGACGTGTCTTCCAGAAAATTTTGTTTCCATATGCGACCATCAGCATTCAATTAAAAAGTTTTTATTTTCGAATCAACCGTAATATTTGTACACAATTTCGATAGAATTTTGTCCAAATAAGTTGATGAAGAAATGATGCATATGCCTTTCAATGGATAAACAGTCTTCAAGAGAATTAGATAGCGTATAAAGTGGATTCTACTCTTATTTTAGGACTCTTTGATCTGTAACATTAATATAAATTTGTATGTTAAAATAAGTTTACCATTTATTTATTTATTATTTTTTTTATTCAATTAGGAAAAAAAACCAATTTTTGTATAACGGAGAAGAAGATGGAATTAAATTTATTGTATAAAATAATTGTAAATTATATTTAAAAAATCACTGTCATTAAATGTCGTATTTTCAAATATATATATATATATTACTTCTGTTCGGAAAAATACATGTATATGTGTATATTTCTATATATTTTATAATATTCAATATGAAAATGATAAGTTGTAAGCGAGGGAATAATTTAAAAATCAGTTTCTACATTTATTATCTATTTACACATAAAGAAACAACATATAATTTAACCACTATCGACTATTCGCAAAGAATTTTACTTACGCTTAAGTATTCAACTACTTATTGTACATTACTTAACATTTTTAATTTCATGAAATGCTCATAAAATTTCATTTTTTAAATAACTTTTTTTTTATTTTTATCTATAATAATTTACATTTTATTTGTTTTTTTTTCTTTTTCAATTTGACAATTTCAAGTCGTGAACGATTTAATTGAAATAAAATCATAGATTACGTTTCAAATTAAAAAAATATTAAATTATATGATACTTCCCCGATGAGTTTCCATTTATTTTCTGTACTTCGTATTTCCACTAATTATGATGACTTTGAAATTTATTGTCTTGACATATTACATTATTTCAATTTTATAGTTATTTACATTTTATAATGATTATTGATTAATTTTAATTAAGAATCATTTTTTTGTGTTTTTTCATCGATTGGATCAGGACATGGAAATAAAGTAAAGGTATTATTATGATCATTATTATTGTAAATATTATTACATTAATCAATTAATTGACTTTAAATTAATTGATTAAAATATAAAAACAAAGCAGTTTACTTTAGATTTTAAAAATTTCAACAATGCTATAATTATGTACGTGTACGAAATGATTAATTAAAAATTGTATCACGTACTTCTTTTTTTTTAACCATTTCACGAAGAGCCTGTTTCTTTAAATTGTTCGTGCATCAATTGAAGACAATGCAGAAAATATACAATTTCTTTTCCACTGATAAAAAATTATGTTGATGTAGATTATGTCAGTAATTATATATCTTCCTTTTCTTCAAAGATTAATGCTGAAAAACATAAAAATTTCAAAATAAAAATCATAATAACGAACGGTAAATAAATAAATATTTTTCTTAATTAGGCGATATGTATATATGCAAAAAAATATCGCTAATAATAAAATTTCAAAAATGTGACTATCAAATAATGTATAGTTTATGAAGATTTTAACATTATGATTATACTTTCATGCTCTTAACTAACCAATAGTTTAAAAAAATTTTAATAAAAAAATGAATAAAAGTTAAACGATTTAATTTTATAATAATCACAACCCTATCTATAAGTTACTGTTTACCGTGATGCAGTCAAAAATGTATTAATTAATTATTTTATTAATATTATTATAAAAAAGTAATAAGTTTGTTTTTATTAAAAATGTTTTTTTGAGGCTTCGGTAAACATAATTATGTAATTATGTCCGTAAGCTAACTATTTTCTACATTAACTGTTTCAATTTTCTCTTATTTGTCCACTCATTCCCATAACTATTACTATGATCGAACTTTAATTACAAGATATCAATAATAATAATGTACAGAATAAAAAGTAAACAAAATTTATCAATAAATATATTACATATATTGTTTTACTCAATCAAATATAATAAGTAAATTTTAATATAACAAAACATATATTAATTATTATTGATAAATAAATATCAATACTTTTAACTATAAGGTTTGCTTTTTCGTTTTAAATAATTCAATAAATCCATAGTTTATTGAGATGTTTTCAAACATTGAAAATTTATAGTGTATTTTAATGAATCGTTTTTTTTGTATTTTTTTTTTTTATTACAAGTATTTCGTCAATAATTTCCATCTTTATTTTGATGATTTGTATATTTTTTCAAATTACTACTCGACTTTTTAAAAAAATTTTCAATCGTTTACCTGTATTCATTATAAATATTTAACTATTTTTCTTTTCGTGAATGGTTTCATGAATATTATATACATTTATCTAATGAAAATAATTATTAATTATATATGAAGTATTGTTTTTTGTCTTTCCGTTTCCATGTTCGAAAATTCTTACTGAATTTACATAATCACAATAACATTCCCATTTTTTCTGTTTTACATATTACATAAATAATGATAATTCCAATTATCAATTTATGTATGTTTATATATCTAAACCTCCAATTTACATAGTGAATGAGTTTGACTTACAACTAATATAGGAAAATATATTAGATAAACAATTGTAATTCAAATAATAATAATAATAATAATAATAATAATAATAATGATAATAAACTTACACCGATTAATAAGAACTTAAAATAACTAAACATTAGTATTTTGTTTTTTTTAATCACATAGATGACATGCTATTTTTTATCATTGTTCTAATCAAATTTTCCACGTTGGAACAATTATAGAACATCTATTACGTAATTTTATCTCATAAAATGAATATGTAAAACCAATTTTTAACATTCAAAAAAATTCTGTTTTAAAATGTATAGAATAAAACAGAAATAATGTATCTTCGAATGTTTCATTGTTCAAAAATTTATGTTACTATAGATACAATGTAGCACGCAAAAACTATATTTACAATAATAAATGCCATATTGCAGGTTGAGCATTTATTAATGATAGTGAATAATGATTTTTACAAAATTTGTATCAACTCATTATTGAGAAATATTTATTCATTCAATATTATTAATATTGTTGACATATGCTGTTAATTAGTATTTTTTTTAAATAATGATCATCTTCATTATAAAAACGGCAGATACGATGACTTACCCAATATTTGCATTCTCTTGTTGTTCCCTTAACTGTCGACGACGTCTTTTACACCAAAGTTCATGACAATCTTGCCATTTAGGTAGTTCAGGTATAGGCATTCTGAAATAATAATAATAATAATAATAATAATAATAACTAATTAAATAATTTACTCAAATTATTAATAAGCTACTGTTAAGTGATTATTATAAGTGTTTTGATGAAGTAAGCAATTTAAAAATAATTGTTAACAAAAATAATTTTACATCTGATGATGACGAAACTTACAATTCTGGTTGAATATTTTTTAACCAAGCACTTTTTAAAGCATCAGCAGCAGTAATACGTTTCTCAGGATCCAGTTCTAACATTTTATCGAGTAAATCAAGCGCAGGAGCTGGCATTGAAGAAAAATCTTCTCTCAATCGTCTTCTATGTGTTTTTTTGGGCTTTAAAGTATGCCAAAGTGGTAACTTTATCACAGAAGGCCACACTGCCGGAGTTGGCGTACCACAAACTCGAGAAATCATTTCTAGTTGTATCATTTCGACGTTTGCCTACAACAATAAAGAAAATTGATAGAAAGAATTTTAATTTAAAAATATTGTTTATTCGCAAAAATTATTAAATGTCATTATTAAATAATGACTATTTAAATTTAATTTAATTTCTAAAATATATAAGAAAATAGTATAAATTTATATTTTAAAGTATTTTACAAAATAATTGTTATTTCGAATATTTTAATTATCGATTTAAAAAAAAGTTTTTCAATAGACAAAAATTATATAATAATAAAAAGATAGAAAAATTTTTTACCGGGAATAATGGTTTTTTACAAAATAACTCTCCAAGTATGCAACCACAACTCCAGACATCAATTGCTGGTCCGTAACGTTCTTCGCCAAGAAGTAACTCCGGTGGACGATACCATAATGTAATTACTTTATTGGTATACGGTCTTTGTCGATCTTCAGCATTATAAAGTCTTGCGAGACCAAAATCTGCTAATTTTACTTCACCCCTAAGGCATTTACAAGTAATATAATAATATTAGAAAAAAAGTTTCATAAATAAAAATTTTTATTATAAAATCAATTGAAGAAAAAAAAATTCTTATTTTAACATTAATAAAAAAAAATCAATGAAATTATGACTTACCGATTGTTCATTAAAATATTAGAACATTTAATATCTCTATGCAGAAAATTTTTTCCATGACAATAATTTAAACCATCTAATAATTGCTTCATAATACTAGCATTATTCATTTCATTAAAATTTACCATTCCTGATTCCAACAATCCCATTAAATCATGATCCATGTATTCAAATACAAGATAAAAAGATCCTTTATCTTTTCTAAAATCTTTAGCATCTTGCTTATCAGTGACTATTTCTCTAAGGTTGACAATATTTTTGTGATTCAATTGTCGTAAAATTTTGATCTCTCGAACGGCTGTGATAGGGAATCCTTCTTTTTCATTTTCCAAACGAACTTTTTTCAATGCCACAAGCACACCAGCTCTTTTATCTTGGGCTTTGTAAACCTGACCATAAGTGCCTTCACCAATTTGTGCAATTACTTCAAAAACATCGACACATCGTTCACCCCAATCTTTACCTCCAGAAGCTGACATAGGAACATGACAATTTCTCGAATTTTTCTTCTTTAAAATTTTGGGTCGTTTAAGTTTTGGTTTTGGTGCAATACGATCAAGTACTCCTCTAGGTGGTGTGACATTAGGATCTTCTTCACCTGAAAATTCATCAGAACCCGGAGCAACTGGAGGCATTGGTAAATCCTTAATACTTTTTTTAACACCAACTTTAGTATTAGAAACTACATTAAGTTTGGGCCTTTGTGGACTTGGAGATCTACTTGGTGGAGAGTCAATGCTTTCTAAATCATTCTGATTTATTCCAGGTGGAAGTGGAAGTTTTGATAAACTTTTAGTTTTGAATTTAACAATTGGAGTCTTTGGAGGATCAACAGATTTAATTGGAACTAAATTATTCGGAGTGTTAAATTTTGCTATAACATTGGTAGCTGTTGTCATATTAGTTGTTGGTACACCGGTAACTGAAGTTGCAATTACTCCACTTAAAACAGGCACTGGAGATGGTTGAGTAGAAATTGTTGTCTCAGTAAGAGGAGGTGTTTTAACAGAATTTGAAATGTTATCAATGAGTGTATTATTGGTCGGAGGTGTTAAAGGATTTTGTGTATTCATTGGCAAAGATTGAATAGATGATACTGATGACAGGGTTGGAAATGGTGGCGTAAGTCCTTCACTATTTTCACTTTTTTCAACATTTATGGGAACTGGAATATTAACAATGTCAATAGATTTAACAGAATCAGAAGCTTGAGGACGTCCATTAGATTTATCTAAAGTTGATTTGCTGTTTAAAATGTTATTACCATCATTTTCATCACTACCTTCAATAATTTGAATATCATCTTGATTAGTGGCTTTTTCTTTCGCTTCTTGAAGTTTTTTATAAGCCAATTCCCTCATATTTCTGTCTTTTACCAATTCTGCAAAAAGACTGGTCTCATTAATTTTTGCTTGTCCTCGTAAATTGATAGCTTTCATGCTCATTGGGCTACGAGCGCGTGTCCTTAATGGTGGTGATAACCTCATATTTGATCTGGGACTCTTAGACCTATGTTTTCTTATTGATTTTTGTAATTTACTGGGGGATCTTGACTTTTTGGGTGTACGGCTTCTTCTTCGTGATTTAGATCGCGAACGTGAAAATTTTCTCCATCTTCCTGAACTTCGTGAACGCGATCGAGATAAAGGAAAAGGTAAATTTCTGTTAGATGGACTTTTTGTTGGTCGAGATTTACGTTTTTCTCTTCTATCTTTTTCATGATGCCTATGTCGACGATTCGAATCTTCTCGTTTTCTTCGTTTACTAGTTGGTGATCCAGACGATACAAAATCACGTCGACGATGTCCTGAAGGACTTGGACTAATTTCACGTCGTCGGTTTGGGCTAGGAGAATGTCTTACTCTATGAAGAATAGAATTAGGACTATATTCTCTTCTTTTTGGTGGACTGTAGTCTCTTCTTTTTGAAAAAGGACTAGGACTATGAGCTCGTCTTCTACTATTACTTAATACAACAGAAGGAGTTATGCTTCTTTTTAAACGATGTACACTGGAACTGCGTTTTATTCTTTCTGGAGAGTGTTTTGATGGACTACCTTTTTCAGGAGTTATTGGCTGTCTAGGAGGAAGCAAAGGTGTGTGAGGTGATTCAGTACGTCTTGAAGAAACTGATATTGCAGGTGGAGGAGTTGTGTTATCATTTCTCTGAGGAGATTCAAGATCCATATCACTTGGGGATCTTTGTTCACAAGGTGTTGCTGGAGAAATTGGTGAAGTATTGTCTTTCAATGGCATTAGTGGTGATTCTAACCACTTTTCTGAAACTTTTTCTCTTTCTGAACTTAATGTGATGTCTTCTATTAATTCAGGACTAAGACTGGGTGATGTGCGCTTTGATTTTCTTTTCCTTTTTCTTGATGAACTTGAACAAGGACTTAAACTTATTTTTTTCTTCTTTTCTCGTCTATGTTTTTTTTCTTTCCTTCTTGAGTGACGACGAGTTTCTTCGCCAAATTCCGGTGAATCATGATGAATTATGTCTGATTTATCGTTTGGCGAATAATTTTGTGTTGTATGACAATGCGTTGATGGCGGCGAAGGTGAAAAACTAATTGGTGATGGTCCAAGTCCCTGATTTGGACTATTTCCATAAAACCGTGATTGTAATAATCGATCGTTAATTTCATTGTCTGTGAAACTATTAGCCCGGCTTTCTTCAGATTGTATTTCTCCAGCTTCTGGCTCTGATAAATCTTCACTACTCACATCAGAATACTCCACCAATGGTTTCACAACACTTGAAGCAATACTTGGAATTGTTTCCAGAGACTCGTCTCTAGATCTTTTCTTTTTTTTCTTTCCGGAATTTCGACTTTTACCGTGTCTTCTGTGTCTCTTTTCGGTTGATTCATACCCATGTCGATTTATATCATTAACAATACTTTCTCGTCGTCTTGATTTGAATCTTCCATTACGATCAACACGGTCGATGTCACGGCTGCTAGGCATGTCACCTACTGTAACAATAATATTATTTATTCATTATTAATTTAATTAAAAATATTCAATATAATAAAATAATAATAACTACAATAATTATTAATAGCATTATCACCATTACATAAAAAATTTTTAACACGTAACCAACAAAGTATTACACTATTTCATACTTAATTTTTTCAAATTACTTTTGATTAAAAAAAATACAAACCACTCTCTTATTTGAAACATTGAGAATATATTGGAGAAAAATAATAACAATTACAAATATACACACGTATTAACAGTTGTGCACTACATACGTGAACTCAAAGTCAAGTAAAGTTAACAACAAAATAATTCAAATAAAGTCATTCACTAATTAAAGAAATAATAATAATAATAATAATAATAATAATAATAATAATAATAATAATAATAATAATAATAAATTAATTACTGATTAGTAGAAAATTTTGACTAAAAATAATAATTATGAATTTCACACTATTGTTTTGTAGATGATTTTATTCAGTTTAGTATTGTAGCCGCCATTACTTCTCCGACTGAATAGCAAAATGGGAGTAACCCCGATGATTTCATTTAATAAGAATATTAGGAAGTATCGAACAACGTTTATATTATAAAAAAAAATGAAATAAAATAGTTTTATTTACTTACGTGCAATGTTTCCTTATAAAAATCGTCTCGTATTTGATAATTCTTCGCATCGGACATAAAACCGATAGTAGTTTATAATTGTGAACGATGCAACGTTCGTAGTTTTGTGGATTTCTTTATAATCTCCTTTCCTAGTCTTACAAAGTTTAAGCTAATTTAATATTATTTACGAATATCACACGCATATATTCATTTTAATTATTTATGCAATGATTGATAAATTTTTTCTATCATTTGTATCAGAATAAAATTGCATTTTTAACCATTTATCGTTTTCAGTAGGTAGATCTTTCTCATAAAGACTCTATCGAAAGGTAGAAGCCATTAACCATTTACTTTTGATTAAGTTGCCATGTTGTATGAAGTAGTTCGAACTTCTAAAAATAGTGTCCGGCAGAAACAACCATGTTTCAACAAACGCTTGCAGTTTACTTCAACTATCATACACTCAGTCATGATTCAGCATTGAAAATTACTTTCCTGCGTTCCATTTCATGTTCAAACACAGAAGTTATTTGACGGTAACACCATCTATAAGACAATTTATTAACTACACTCGGTTACATATATGTTCCGTAAGAACAATTACCGTCGGTGATAATGATTTTTTTTCGTATTGAGTTTCCAATCTAAAACTTTTTTAAATTGGGCTGAATTGAAAAACTAAAATTTGAGATTATATATTTTAAATATGATGTTTTAGCATATAAACTAATTTTCTTTCGCAATAACAGAGTAAAAAGTTCTGACGTGAATAACGACAATAAGAAAAAAGTCCTCAAAAAAAGAAACTAGTCTTGTTAAGATGGCCGTGTAAATATGACATAACAACAGAAATTTAAAATTCAATTATTTCTCATGGTGTTGTTGCTGATTATCGTTATTATATTTGCAGCAGATCTTTTTACCTTTTTAACAATAAAAAAAACTTTTTTTCATATTGCCCCTTCCAGTATCTTGAAACTAGCTTTTAAAGATGAGATCGAAACAGTTCTACATATTTCCGTTGTTTAAGCTGTTAATAAATAGATTGGGGTGCTGAAACATTCCACACACCCATTTACGTTATTACTTAAAATTATTTAACGTAAAATGTATAATTGTGTACGATTATACATTATGTTATAGTTGTACTAAAATTTTATAAATGATATTATCTTTCTAATTGAATATTATTTTCAATTAAAATTTAATTTCAATACTTATAAACTATAATAAATAAGTAAAATAAAGACATATAAATTCCATTTGTGAAGATCGTTATAGAGATTGAAATGTCGAAGAATAAACAGTACTTAGCTTCATTTTTTATTATTCATATAAATCAACATGTATTTATGATCGTCCCAATAATAGCCTCATGGACTGTATAGAATTGTGTGCCAAATGCTAAGGGCGATAATCTTTGTTCTTCAAATACTACTTTCGTACTGGAAAGTTATTGTAATGGATCTGATTTTTCAAATCCCAAATTTTGCCAAATCTCCACATTTCAAGACTCCCAGAGTCGAATACAATAGTTTTTGAGTGACGTATGTCTGTGTGTGTGTGTGTGTGTGTGTGTGTGTGTGTGTGTGTGTGTGTGTGTGTGTATGTTTGTACGTACGTACGTTCGGAATTATTTTTCGCCTCGATTATTTTGAAAATAAAAAATGATATCGACGTGGGAGCCATTACATTCGACGCATAATGATGCAACTTACAACTGATTAGATTTTCAGAAAAATCGAAAACTCGATTGTTGAGTTTGTTACTCAATTTTAGCAAAAGAAAAAATTACACGCTAAAAAATTTCAAATATATTGGATAGATTCCCTTTTCCATTTTTTATAACAAATTCAATAGTTATAAACAATTTAAATAAACAAAAATTATTTAAATAAACCTTCCTGACCATGTCCTCTACGTTTTTGCAAAATTTTGTCGCATATGGATAAGCCATTTCGGAGATTAGCGCGAATAGACAGACAGACACCAGAAATTTATGTAGTAGTATATAGATTTTTGCATTAATCAGACAGGTAGTAAAACATCCGAAGTGCTTTTTAAAAGGCTGATAAAACCAAGTACACGTGGCTGTTTCAAATATGGTGTTAATCAACTCGTTATTTATCATCAAAATAGCGGCTACTTCAAACATTTCAAAATGATATTAATTAATGATAGAAAGTAAGTGATAAAATAATTGAATATTTGATGTAAAGAAAACATAAATTAATGAAATATTTTTCTGTTGTTGAATAATTTGTTGATTTTACTTAACTGTTTTTCAAAAATGATATTCTATTTTCTAAAAATTATACAAAATTATGGAATTGGTTACTTTTTACACTCAATTGGCAGTTTTTTTTTTTATAAATAATAAAATGCAGTGGCATGTATTTAGACATATGAAATTGCATAGCAAAAGTAGTGATATCGAAAAAAAATATGGAAAAGATTAATTTAAAGTTTTATATAGTTATACGTATCCATTTTTATTAATAATTTACATTGATAAATAATTTTATACATTAAAGTGTTTAATATATACAGGTATCTAATAAATTTATTCAAAATAAATATTTTATAACTTATGTAAATGTACTTAGTAATTTCAAAATAAGAAACTTGATAAAAAATTTTTCATTGTTGCTGTATAGAAAAACAATTAAATGAGCTTTAATTTATATTTTTAACCGTTATGGTCACTTTTAGCGGACATTCTTTCTTAAAATTTAAAACGAGTTTGTCGAAATACAAGTTACAATTATTATTGCAGTCAGATTTTTTGTACCGTTACAAGCCGATTGTGAATATTAACGAGGTTGTAGACATATGTATAAAATATATATCTACATATAGCACTTTAGTTTGCTTTTTTCGAATATTATTGAATACAACACCTTGGGTCTCCTTTTCCATTTTCAGAGTTTTGTGGACAGTAAGGAGGTTTATGACTGGTAAGACAAAAAGATCCTCGAGATCCAGAAGGTGTATGTTGACCAACAATTAAGTCTTGACCAGTTCTTGTATTAATTCTAGGTCCTGAAGGACATCTTCTTGAGCAAGGTTCAGCAACTAATGTTTGTTGACCATCTATGCTTTGAGCCATGTAACAAACAGACCAAACATGACTGCATAACTGATAGTTTGGCTTGTTTTCACAAAAAGGTTGAACTTTTCCACCATTTACACAAATATCTACGTGACCAATTTGTCCAATCTCTCCGTAATATCCAGCATTCGTGTGTATAACTTCAACAAAATTTGCATCACCGCTATCCAATCTATTACCAAGTGCTGGACGAACTAAAGGTCTTGCAGGGTCTAATCCTATAATTTTATGCATTCTAAAAAGCAAATAATTGGCTATGATTCCACAAAGGTGTGCTCCAAGTGAATGTCCAACACACGTGGTTTTCGATATTGTCATTCCTAAATGTTGAAGGATGGTCAAAGAATGTGCTAAACATTTGGCTACGGGTTTTAAATTGGCTACTGCCGCGGGATAGCAAGGAGCTGCAGAAAGGGCGCTCCAGTCAATTAAAAATACGTTATAACTTCCATTGTTCATATAGGCATCTCGTAAAACCGAAACTGGAAGAGTATCATCGCCACCTGACACGAAAAAAATTTTTTTATTGCTTAGAAATTTCAAAAATAATGTATTAACATAAATCTTACCAGCATATCCGTGAATTAAAATAATATTGTCCTTATTATGATCATAATCAATCATTAACCAATCAGACGGTTTTCCAATTAACTCTTTTTTGGGTTTTCCAGGTGTATAAAGATAAATGTGAATATCAGGATCCGGACAAGGATCTCTATTATCATTTCTTCTCCATAAACATTCATCTTTATTAAATTCTGAAGCCATTCCACTTTCAATAGCATCTTGAATAGGTCCTTTAGCAAATCGTGCTAATTCTTCAGTGATTCCTGCATTATGACCTCGAAAAAGCATAACGAACAAAAATACCACGTTTAACTGTTTTCTCATTGCTCAATGTTTTTAGTACTCTGCACTTTTGCTTAACTTTCAATCACTTCTTATTGAAATTGATTACTAAAGTTTCTTTAAACTGTTCACTCATTTGTACTTTCATCCTCATTCCCCCGCCAGAAATAGTGACATACTTTACTGTTTATTTTACTATAGTGACATTACATTTTTTCACGATTGTGAAAATGATCCGAAATTATCTAACAAGGAGAGGGTCTAGGTTTAGGAAATGCAGTATTAATACGATATTTGGCGTGGTACATATACACATCTAGTGGAAAATAATGATATCATTATCTCTTATTTTTTTTTTTAATACTTTTTTATTTAATTTTAGTGCATTTTATTTAAATAATATGTATCAATAATTTATATGGAGTCAACATCAATAACTAAGGATAGAAATTTTCATTTATACAGTTGGTAGATGGTGTTAAGCACTTGAGAAAAATAAAAAGTATCGATAGAAAGGATCGAGTTGTCGTAAATAAAAACATCGATATTTCGATCAATCGACTTTAATTGCTTAATTTTATTCAGAATCTAAAAGCATATACTTCAAGTTATTTAATTATTTATAAACATGACAAATTTATATGATCAAATAAAACTTTTATATGATCAACAATTATATTCTAATGTGATTTCATTAGTAAGTACGATGTAAATAATTTTTTATTATTTCTATTTACAATAAAATATTTTTAAACAAACTTAATTTCAATGATTTCATTTGTAAAAATTTTATGTTACAGTCTAACTTAGTATTATCATTAACGGATCACAATAATGATTTATTAAATCCAACTTCAAAATTTTTAATTTACGTTCATTGTGCCGATTCATATTTACATTTGGCTGACTACAGGAAAGCAGAATCATTTTACAGAAAATCTTTACAATTTCGAAAATTTTTACTAAAATCCAAGAATGGAGCTAAACCTATTAATCAGGACAATTATAAAGATCTCACATCTGATAATGATATTAAATATCAAATTCACGTGTGTTTGATGAAAATGAAGAATCAATTCGAAGCACTGCAGGTGTTACAAAGTATACCAGGCAAACAACGAACAGCTAAAGTACTTTTTAATAATTATCCATTATTAATATCTATATTTTATTATTTTGTATATTTTCATTTATTGTATATTTTTATTCATAGATAAATATGGCTCTAGCCAAAATATTCCACGAACAAGGAATGGAGCGTTCAGCAATTACAACTTATAAAGAGGTTTTAAGAGAATGTCCTTTAGCCTTAGAAGCAGCAGAAGGTCTATTATCACTAGGAGTTAAAGGCATTGAAGTTAATTCATTAATAGTGGGATCATCAGCTAATTTATCAAGCCTAGATTGGCTAAATACTTGGATTAAAGCCCATGCCTATTTGCATAGCAGAGAATATAATCATGCAATTACAGCTTTTAAATCTTTAGATAATATTAATTTTCTACGTGACAATTTCAATTTGTTGTTAACAATGGGTGAATGTTATTATTATGCAGGAGATGATAAGAATGCATTATCATGCCTGAGAAGAGCAAGATCCATTGAACCAGATAACCGTAAAGGGCAAGTACTTTTGATGAATCATTTTTTTTTTAATTTCAAGTATTTTCAATTTATTTATTATTTATAAATTATTTTAGATTAGACTTATATGCAGCTCTTTTGTACAAAGGACAATATATAAAAGAATTAGAAAAATTAATTCCTTCATTAACAATTAACAATGAATGTTCATCTGAAATTTATGTAGCTATGGCATATACATTATATGCATCAAGAAAATTTATTAGAGCTAATACATTAACTATTCAAGCAATTAATTTAAATCCTGGTAATATTGAAGCAATTATCTTACGTGGAAATACCCTTATTGAGCAAAAAAAATATCAAGATGCGTTACATCAATTTAGAGCAGCTATGCAATTAAAACCATACCGTTATGAACCACATAAAGGTTGTGTTGATTGTTATGTTGGAATGCACCGGCTAAGAGAAGCATTAAACATCGCTAGCAGTGCTTGTAAACAACTGGGTCATACTCCTCGAGTATTAACAGTGAGTTAATAAAAAATATTATTATTAATAAAAAAATAGTGATGCATTTGTTGATTATATAAGGATAAATTTTATTTTATAATAAGATATGTAGAAGTTTGTATTTGAATAAAATATTCCCATGATTTAGCTCTATGCTTCAGTACTGATGAAAGATCCAGTTTCGGTGGGAAAAGCTAAAAATCTTTTAGATAAAGCATTAGCTCAAGATGAATCATATTTACCAGCTGTATATTTTTTGGCAGAAATATATGAACAAGAAATGAATTTAGAGGCCGCAATAGAATTACTAGAAAGACAAGTTGATATTCAACCAACTTGCAAATTACATCAAATGTTAGGCGATTTATGGGCTAGAATACATAATGAAGAAAAAGCACTCAACCATTATGCTATTGCATTAAAGTTTGTATAAGTTTACACTTTTTTAATAAGATTATTTAAACGAATATTTTAAATTATTTTTTTGGTAAATTGTTTTTAGTCTAGATCCGAATAACAGACGTGCGCTAGAAGGTATGCACCGATTAGATAATACAACGACAAAATTTGAATCATCATATTACATGACAGTAGGTGAAGAAAATGCTGATCCAACTTTCGATGTTGGCGATGGATTACCTGATTCAGATAATGATGAAGTTGCTGAAGAAAGTGAAACTGAAGCTGTTTGGTCCGATATGGACTTGGAAGCTAATAGCCAATAGTTAATTTTACAATATTAATAATATCAACTGTTTTTCATATTCACTTTAATCATTGCAGTTGGAAATCTTTTAAAAATCTATTGATGAATTTTTTGCGTTTACTAATCAATTGGTTAATTATTAATTATACATATAATAGAATTTTTTTTTTGTAAAAAATATTTTTGTTGTAAAATAATTATTTTTAGGCTAGTTTACAATACAATTTTATTTCAAATTATACTTATCCTTATTTTAAATCGTCTTTCAATTATATCTCACCATTATGAAAATGAAAAGAGATTTTGTATTCTGTTATTTATTTGATTTATGTAAACTAGGAATTAAAAAATAATAAAATCATTTTTATTTAGTGTAATTTTTGAATTTTCATCTTCTGAATATTTAATTTGTGTTAGGATCTGAACGTACATAGTTTAAAAACTTTGTATCCAATGCATAAAAAATTTTCAATGAAAAGTCAACAGTTATCTACATTTAACGTTTAAAATTTAATCTATATTAAACATTTATAACGCATTATGTTTTTTTTTTCTTTTGAACACAATCATTTGTCGTTGAGGGTATCAAAAATTCAAATTTAAAAATTTTTAAGATAGTTTTAATGTTTAGTTTATGATAACAATTTGATTATTTCAAATTGATGTATATTATATATATATTCCGTTAATTGTTTCGATAAAAAGTACTAAATGACAATATTGAGGAGTAATCCATAAATAAAATTTATTATTATTTTTATCTAGAGAATTTTCACAGTCTCTAAACATAGATGAAAAATCACTAACGCAATTTAAAATGTTATATTGTAGTAGTTACTTTGGATGATTATTATGTTATAACTATGAATATCCATTAAGTTGACTACGTCCAGTTAAATCCATTTTTCGGAAAAGCGTTTTTTGTGTTATTCAAACAATAATTCAAATTTATAGACGCGACAATTCATAAAAATTATTTAATTTACAACCTGTAAAAAGAATATAATACAAAATTTATTTAAAAAATCATGATAAAAAGGTCATAACTTAAGTCAGGAGCATGTTATTGTATGAAAATAGAGATAATAAATATCAATTTTATCTGAAACTTACTTTCTGCTTTTCATTATTACTCAAAAATAGTAGACTTATTGCTCCAGTATAAGCTATTAATATATCTACAGCCTGCTTTGTTTCTAACAAAATTTTCATTTCATTCATCCATTCTTTTGCAACAGATCTAGATGCACCTTTTAAAAGATTCATGTATTTAAGAGCCATCTTGAAATCTCCTCGATCAAGCCAGAATCTGAAAATTTACAATTAATATTAACACCATAGTGGAATAAAATTAGGATACAAAAATAATAAACTATTTGAATGGTTTATATTAATAATATCAAACGAGGGATGTTTACCGAGCTCGATTGAGAATTTCGTAGGTATCAAATTTGTTAACATCAATAGGTTCATCAGCCAGTTCTTTTTTAGATAGCATATTTGTATTATTTTTTATAAGTAAATTTTGAAGATAACTCAAGAAATATATAGGTAAAGATGCACCCTCTTCCGGAACAAGTGCAAGTTTCTTAGCTGTATGTTCTACCTATTATACAAAAGTTAATTTTATTTTAATTGTATTAATTGATTTAATTTGGTTACTAAATTTAGAAATATGTTGGAAACAAAATGAAATATTGTAAAATCTTACTTGTAAAAAGCGTGCTCGTAATGCAACTTCAGAATAAACACCTCTTTCTACAGCTTCTTTAGGAATAGCAGCAAGTGTTGTTTGAATAAGAACATCATCTTTTACTAATAAATATTTTTTTAATGATGATGAGTAATTATTGAAAAAATCTAAAATTTTTTGAAAGTATATATATTAAACTTACGTGCTATATTAGAGACGGCAGTTATTTCATTTTTTAATGGTTTAATAACAGGCTCATTTATTAAATTATTCGATTCTGCTTCGAGTTTTTTTGCTAAAGCTTGACAAGCAGCCCATAAGAACTGTGCTTTAGATGCACCTTTTTCTTTATTCAATCTAACTGAAATATTATAAATATATTTAATCATAATAATTAATGGAAACAATGAATTTATGTAAACCAACTTTTGAGAGCTTCATCTAATCCTCGTAAACGACCAACAATCACAGCAATCTGTGATTTATACTTATTAGATTCTTTTTCTAATTGTTCGCTCAAAGAACGTTGTATCATTCTTTGTACTTCTTGTTCCTTCAGATCTAGTGTTTCTTTCATTTGATCCGCATTAATTTGAGCTTGTAATTTTAATTGATTAACAAGATTTTCTTCAAATACTTTTCTTTCAGCAAGAAACTATAGATATTAAGATTAATTATTATCAAAAAAGTATTACGCTTATTATTGCAATTTTACTTACTGCTTTCTGAAATTCATTTTGAAGTTGTCGCCTTTCTTTTTGTACTTCTCTAAAAATAAGTTCGTTTAATTTATTTTCATTCTCTAGTTTTCCAGATGACATAAGTACTGACTTTAATTTTTCATTGCCTAAAGTTTCAAGTTTTTCTAATTCAGTTTGAAGATAGTTGACTTTATTATACATGTAAAGAATAAATAAGTCAAGCATTTCCGCATTTATTGATGAACGTTTTTCATGTATTTTTAAATTAGGAAACAAAATTTCCAATTCTTCATTAAAATTTTCTTGTGCAATTTTAACTTTTTTCCAAAACTGTTCAGATACTTTGATAGTTTGCTTTTCACTATCATACTTTTTTTTAGCTTCAAGAATTTTTGCTATTGTTTTATTTATATTTTCTTTAGACGATGTATAAGATGAATCAGTAGAAAATTGGTCTAGATATTTTGATAAATTTTTCAATGAATTAAAAGCATCAGTTGCATCTTTTTCACATTGCGATATGGCATTTTTCTTTTCTTCCGTTGCTTCTTTCAACCTAATAAAAAAATTCATTATGTAAATATTATTTGTAATAATTATTTTCTTAATATCTATTGTCTATCATAAGCACTTTTTCCACATTGATGATTTTGAATAAACGGTATTTTCTTCCAAAATTTTGATAATATATGAGTTATAATCTTGAATCATTTTAAAAGCATCATTATAAGAATTAACGGCACTCGTTCCTATTTGATGGCATCGATTGTCTAGTTCTGAAAGACTGATTGGTTTTGATGGTGACGGGCTTTGAATGATAGGTTCATTTTTTACTGTAACAAAGAATATAAATTTTATTTTTTTTATGATAAAAATTACTTTATGATATTGATGTAACTATTTAGAAAATAAATTTACCATCTATGATATCTGAACTTTTTTGACCATCTTCTTCAATACTCTTGGTATTCAGTTTGAGGTCAGGAATATTATCTAAATCAGTTCCTTGTGCTTGAAAAAAATTTATAAAAAATTTATATTATTAAAATTTTGCACAAGTAATTTTTTAGCACATACTTAATTGTTCTTTTTTAGTTGAAACTTTTTTTGTTGATTCAGCTTCCTGAGCGGCACCAAATATGCTGTAATTTATTTTTATTCATTATTAATTTTTGAAATTTAAGTTTCGATTCGATGAATGTAATTACTTTAATTTATACCTGTCTTTTACACTATTAAAAAAACCGAAAATTTTATCAACATGCGAATTGTCTTCTTGAAAAATAACTCTAATTGTACGATCAGTGCCAGGAATCCATTTTTCCAGAGTTTCTCTAATTTCTGGATTATTTTTCACTAAAGTTAAAATACCAAATGTTCCCAACGTAATCGTACTAAAGATAATAAAACCCTTTCGACTTGATGTTCTACTTGAAAAAAATCAAAATTTATTAACCATTCAATATAAACAGTAATACTAAAAATAATGATGGACACATACTTTCGTTCGCTTTTAGATGAATATTGTATAGTCGATTGTGACAATATTTTAAATCTCAATTCAGTTCTAAAAAAATTAAAAGCCATTATTAATATTGTATGTAATTGTAATATAATTTTATAATTACCTCTTTTTATGATTGACACAAATTGGTAAGTAGTTGGATTTCATTGAAAAAAATAATTTTGGGTTACGATATTTCGCAATCTAAATAAATAATAAATGTGACTTATTAAAGGTCAACAATACATATTGAAAATATAAAATTTTTTTACAAAAATACTATATGTTCTTAGCCCAAAATATCAATTTCGAATATCACTTTAAAACTAACCTCATATGTCTTATTAAGTGGGGTTAACCATAAGTGCAAGGTAGTTCGATACATATTTTTTTAAAATTTAATTACTAATTGATTGGTTTTTTATTCAAAGACTCGATTAGTTATAACTATTTTACAGATTAAGAAATGACTGTTCACCACTCACAATACTGAGGTTGTTTCCTAACCAACCCCTCATTGAGCATGATTTTAAAATCCCTTGAGATAGAGTCTGAAAAGTCACTTTCTGATTGGCTGAAGGAATCTGTATGTTAACTAAAGGGAAAAATAGGCAGCAAAATATCACAGTCTTAATCCTAATATTTTACGTGTATATAGGACATGCGATGCTTGTTGGACTCTATTTAAAAAGATTTTACATGATTTATAACAAAAATTTTTCAACAGAAAAATAATATATTAAAAGCTGCGCTATGATGAAGTATTATCACCTCAATTTTTACTCTACAAAATATAATTTATTTATGAGTTATTTCATGAAAAATGATTATAAATAATTTGAAAATTGTGTGAAAGATTTTATACAAAAATTTATTACAAAAACTTGATAATAAATTTAAAATAATCATTTCATAATAAACAGCTGATGACAAAAAGATCCGCCATGATACTCGGTAGAAATTTACTTTTCTTGTGTTTATTATAATTGTATATTTAAAATGTCTTATTTTTCGATGAAGATCTAAATCATAAAAAAATATTTATTTTTCACAGAGTAATCAGTAGGAAAAAAGTTTTTTGCCTTAATTTGATGAAATTTTTTGTAAATTTGCAAATTAGTACAAAATACGTTTAATACACTCGTTTCTATGCATATATTTTTTTCAAAATAATGACAATAATATTATATTTTATGTTTTAATATTAAAATTTCCTTGATTAAATCAGACAGTTAACAGTATTTTAAAATTTAAATATTATTTGCAATAAACATTTAATATGAAAAATTTTAATTGATATATTTGTTTAGATGTTTTATCTTTTTGAATCCGTTTATTTTTAAAGAATAAAGAAAAAAAAGAAAACAGTTTGAAACATTGAATAGTTAAAAAAAAATTAAAATTAACGAATTCCTCAAATGAATAATTTTTATAATTGTTAGCTTGATTACATAAATTTTTATTTCATTATGTATACAAATTGGTTTAACACCAAACTATAGTACGAAAGATTAAAAAAGGTATTGTTTATTACTTACAAATTTACTTATTTTATAAGTAATAGTAGTTATTCATATATTTTATGTATGTTTATACGTCCAAAAATTTGATTGATCGTATATTTCATGTATACACATATTTAAATATTCAACATAGAAAAAGTTGCATTTTTTTATTATAAATTTATGCTTCAACGATCTTTTTGTACAATGATTTAAACGTTAACATGGACAATTATCGTAATAATAAAAATAATAATACAAAAAAATAATTACAGTAACAATATTGATGATTGCAGTAATAATTATTACAATTGAAATCAAAACAGTGTAATGTGGGAGTATACCAATAGAAATGATTAAATTTCCTAATATTACGATTAACTTTTAATTGAAATAAGTAAATTTTTAATTTTGATAAAAATATTAATTTTCACGTAAGTAATGTATCATCTAATTCTTCTATTTTTCCTTCTGGTTGTGATAAAACTTTACGCAAGACTTTGCTTACAACATCTGAAAGTGATTCCCGAGCACCAGGATCCAGTAAAGTAATGCATCGCTAAAAAAAGAATTTTTTTTTTAACAAAATATATAATTAAATTACATTTTATTCGAAAGTAGTATCGGTATATACTTATTCATTATATTGTTAAATATATATATAGATATATATATATATATATATATATAATACTTTTTTATATATTAAAAAAAATCTATTGAAATATAATATTTATTTGATTTATATGAAATGTTTTATTTTCAAATGCAGGAAAGTTGAAAGTGCTTATTGAAAATTGACAATCATAAAAAAGCTATTCTGATAATTAATAACTTCTTTCTACAATTTATAAATATTTTCTATTTACTTAAATCTTGTATTTATCGATTATTTTTACTAATGAATTTGACAAAAATGAAAGTAAATTGTTAATGAATACTTGACATTCCATTTAAAAATAATACGAATTTTATAATCATGCAAATTTATCTTTCATTTCTTTTTCTTCAAGAACTAACTGATACTCACTAAATCTTTTTAATCTTCATCAACATTTTATAAATATTTTATTATTATTTTTTGATCAATTTTTTGTATACTACGTCGGTACTTTTGAATTTTTAAATGTTATTTGTGTATGTAGTCTCTTTTAGGATGAAATATTTTAAAAATAAAGTAAATTTTTGCAATAATCGACGTCACTATTATAAGAAAAATGATTTTTTTAAATATAACAACTACTTAGTTAAATGAAGATAGTATGAATGGAATTCAATTTCAATTATTTTTAATTATTAAATGATGTTCCATATATAAATATCTTACATTAAAAATTTTAAATAGTTAATTTTCACTGTAAAGTAATTTTATATCAGTTATAATTAAACGATAAAGTTAAATTAATTTTCTTTTAAACTAATTATTAATAAAATCATAAATATATATAAAACTTACTTGATGCTCTTCATCACCTTGCTTAAGTCTTAGTACTGCAATAAGAGCTAATTCACTGTTTGCTTTTACATATCCATTTTTTTCCTTTGTTCCATTAACTAACATTGGTAAAAGTGATTTCAATAAATCAGTAGACATTTTTTCCGGAGGAATATTTCTAGCTAAGTGGATACAAACTCTTGCTAAAAGTTGCTTGACTTCATTACTGTTATTGTTCATCGACTGAAAAATTTAAAAGAAAAATTAATTTTTATTATAAGTAATATAAATAAATTTATTTTCATTATAATTTACTTTCACGAAAGGTGTTATAATCACAGGTGGAATCACGAATCCTTCTTGCATTAAATGTTGAAAGAGATATCCGCAAGCACGAACTCCATTCATAGTTATTTGGACACGGTCTGTTTGTAAGTAAGTTAATATCATTTTGCAAATTCGTTCTTGTTCTTTTGGAATATAAATAGTTGTTGGCGATTCTTTTAAAGCAACAAATAACGCAGCTGATCGTCCATGGCGTAATTGCCAGTCGACGTTAGTATCATTATTAAATAAATGATCATTAAAAGCAATAGTAAGTTGTTCTGGTGTTAACCAACGAAAAAGAGCACCATAACATCCAGCAACTGCATTTCTTGTAACGTCTTCAGGATGTCCAAGCATTGAACTTAATAAAAAAAACACTTGTTTTCGCATAGAATCAGTCATTTTATCACCTGCTGGAGTTAAAACACCTCTTAAAGCTTGTAACATCGTTTCTCTGATAGCTGAATCATCCGTATTTTTAATTCCTGAATGAAGCTCTAAGAAAAGTGGATCTGCTCGTGTGTGAATAACAATGAGATTACTTAAAGCATATGCCGCTTTCAATCTTACTTGTCGATTGCTATCATTTAAAGCTTTAAGGAAAGTTGTTTGAAGCTGAGGAAGAAATTGCTTCAACATAACACCAACTTTCCCAAGAAGTATTGCCAAAGTCTCGAGTACTGCTGCTTTAACACTCCAATTGAATCGGTCACCCAAAATACGAATAAGTGGTCCAGTAATATGAACAACACTTGGCTGAAGAGCTGATGCATTAGTTAATCTAATTACTTCACCAAGACCTTGAGCTGCTTGTTCTTTAGCCTCAGGCATGCCATTAAGAATCGCTTCTCTAAAAATTGGCAGTATCGGAGTTATACCTTTTGGTAGACAAAATCCAGGAATTAATTCTTGTTCTTTAAGATCAGATGCAGCGAAACGAACTGCTTGACGAATGTCTTGTAAATGAGAAATTTGTTGGTCTGAATCCAAAGTTTTTGTTACTGCTGACAAAGCTTCCCAACTTTGTTGTAAAACTTCTTTGTCTTTGTCAGTAAACAAATGAATTAATCCACGCAATAATTGAGGAACATATTGACTGTAATCCGCTCTGGAATCTCGACAAAATGCACAGAGAAGAGTTGCTGCTCCTCTTCTTCTCGAAGAATCATCAGCTTTTGTTGCATCCATTAACTGATCCATTACTGTACGAACACCAGTTTCATCAGATATTGATAAAATAACTGCTTGGCAATATTCAAGTTCTTGAGTTTCATTAGTGGTTCCTTGAGCCGAAGAAAGAGCAGTCAAAAGTGCAGGAAGAATTTTATGAAGAAATCTAGTTAAAGCTTCACCCGCGACACTGGCTAAGATGGAAAGAGCTTTTGTATTAACAGGTGGAGTTGTTAATTGAGGTACTAAATATGGTAAAACAACTCTTGATTTTATAGCCATCACTTGACGTAAACCATCAAGAGTATTTTCGGCTATTGCTGGATCTGGTGAATTTAATTGAATTAACATAGAAGGAAGAATGTCATCAAGAGCACGAACGCCAACTGTTGAATGAAGACTGTCAAATGTTTTTGCTGCTGCTTGTCTTACTTCCGGAAGTGGATCACAAAGAGCTTTTCTAACTGTAGGGACAAGACTATTGACAAATGTTAGTACCATGTCTTTACTAGTACTTGCCATTATTTCTGATAGGCCAATGCAAACACCTTGTCTTTGATCTGGCTGATTACTTTGAAGTCCTCGTTCGAGAATTGGAATAATTTCAGGTAAAACTCTTTCTCCTAATTTCCTTACAAGATCTCCAAGTGTTCGCGCTGCTACTTGACGTTTATCAAAACTTGTACTTGCCAAACATCCCAGTAAAAGACTAAAAAGCGTAGGTAAAATTTCCCGAAGTGTTCTAGGTGTATTAGTAACAACCACTTTCCAAACGTGAAGTGCTGCTTGCCGTACCATCAATGCAACATCAGATCTACCCATGTACAGTCCTGCCAAAACTCTATTTCTTCTTTCAGCACCAAGAGCATTGATAATAGCATGATGGGATTGTTCCGTACCAAAATTATCATCTTCACTAGCTGTCTCTGTTGACATTTTACCTGAAACTCCAGAAATTCGATAAAGAAGATCACCAAGAAGTTGAACTGAAGAATATCTAATTCTCCAATTATCATCAAAAAGTCCTTTTTCGAGTTCTGGAAGCAACAACATGATAGCTGAATCTGCATAAAGTGTTACAATTCTTTGACCAGCCCTTAAAGCTGTTTCTCTAACATATTCGTTTTCGTCTGCAAGAGCCTTGAGAATTGGGTTGATAATTTGACCAATATATGGTGTAAATTCTGTAGTAAATGCATTTGGCATATAAATAAACATCATAATGTATCCATCTTTAACATGAGGAGCAATATCAGTTCTTTCAGCGGTACTTATTATTTCTGGCATCAGTTTATGAAGTTTCTCTACTCCTAAACCTCGTACAACTTCAGATAAACCTTGTGCGGCACCAGAACGATCAACACTACTTGTTTCTGATGTTAATGTTTGCATAAGCCATGGAAGAAGATCTTCAAAGCTTGATTCACCCATTCCACGGACCATAGCTCCAAGTGCTCGAGCAGAAACACTTCTCACTTCTGGTACAGGATCCAAAAGACTTGTTTTAAGGCCTGGAATAATTGTAGGTAAATAAGGTGTTAAATCTTTTTGATCTGTTAGTGAATACATATTTCCTATTATTTGAGCAGCCATTTTTCTTGTTTCCGTCGATCGATCCATAAATGCCCGTTGAACAACAGGCATGATAAGAGCAAGAGATGGAGCATCAATAAAATGTACAAATTGGGTATCTAACAGAGTTTGTAAACACATGGCTGTTTTTCTAGATGGATCTTGCAAAGCCTTAAGAAGTACTGGAACAATTGCTTGAATCTCTGGATTTCTTATAACACTTCCTATAACTTTTAATGCTTCTGCACCTGCTTCTTGAACTTTAGTATGAGAATCACTCAAAACTTCAATCAGTTTAGGAACAATATTTGGTAAACAACTACTGAGTTGTTTTGGTGCACAATATGCCATCGCTCCAAGCAATTCTACAGATCCTTAAAACAAAATGACACATTAAATATAAATTTATCATGATTATTACGATATATTAATATAGATTCAAATAAATGAAAAATCTAATTTTAATTATTAAAAAAAATTTACCAGTTTTAGTTCTCCAAGAATCTTCTTCTAGCGCAGCTAAAAGACTAGGTAAGACTAATTTAACTCCGTGAGCGGAAAGTTTACTCATAACAACTCTTGCAGTATCGTCAGTAGCCGTCCTTACATATTGACTAGAATCTCCAAAACATAATAATAAATGGGGTAAAACGTGCACAATATAAGGTTCAAAAAGCCTTCCAAGCATAGTACAAAGCATTTCAAATGCAAAGAGTGCTCCTTCTCGATGTCTATAATTTTTTTTATCTCGAATAGCTGAAGTTAACTTGGTCATAATATCTAATTGTTTGAGAGCAAGAATTCCCATGCCTTTAATAATTCCAGCAAGTCCATAAGCAGCTCCTTTTCTTTCTCCATATTTATCAGATTTTAATAGTTGATCCATAAGATTTTCAACAATTTTTGGAGCATCTTCTTTGATAGAAGGAACCAAATGAGGTAAACAGTTTGCAACAGCTTCTTGTACCTGTTGAGAGGGTGTTGATAGTGCTGTAATAAGTCTCATAACAATTGGTTTAATTCTTGGATCATCTTTATCAAGGTGTCTTGCTAAAGAACCCATTAAAATGACTACAGATTGTTTTACAGCATCAAAACTACCAATTTTTGGAGCTTTATCCATAAATTCTTCAAATACGGGTAAGAGTGATGTAATATTTGATTTTCCATGAAGATCTACTGCTGCCAAAGCAGCAGTGAGCATTTCTTGACGAACAGATGCATTCCTATCACCTAATCCGGTTAATACAAAAAATTCAATCAGTTGATTAATAGTTTCAGGGCTTATTAAAGGTGCTAATTGTGTTAAAGCTAATGCTACTCCTCTTCTAGGTCCCCAAATATCTATAGGTTGCTCTACAACTCTTCCAAAGTCATTTAATTTTGGTGGAATCATTGCAAGTTTTTCTTTATATAATTGTAGGAGATTATTTAAAATTTTTTGTACTAAATGTGTATTATTGGTAAGGAGAGATGCAAGAGCATATGCTGTTGCTTGTTGAACTGGCTCAACTGGATGAGCTACATCTTGAATTAAATCATCACAGAGAATGTCTCCATTTGCGATACATTCACTTACTTCCCAGATTTCATTTGCTAAAATTCTACACTCTTCATTAATATCAAATTTTGAAATCCAAATACGTCGAATTAATAAACGATATAATTTTTCATCAGACTCTTCTGTTGGAAAACTTTTCCGAAGTATCATTAGAGCTCGAAGAGCAGCATCTCGTACTGTTACTAGAGGATTCTCTAGGGCACTAATTAATGAATTAATATCATCAGAAGTAGCTAAAGTAGTTCCAAGTATACCACTGCCAGAATAGGCAACATCTAAGAATGTAGCGACAGCATGAGATTGAACTCGACCATTAGTTATGCCCATTAATTCTATTAAAAGATCCAACATTTGTTTTCTGGGTAATAATCTTGGATGTCTTGGATCATTCCAATTGTTTTCTTCCCCTCTTTGTTTAGCATATTCTTGAACAATATGTAGACCCTGAGTTGTCATACCTTCATCTTGCCAAGTAAGTAATGTTTTTGTAATAAATGGAAAAATATAACAAAATGCTGGTGCATTCATCAAATATTTTTGTTTAACAGTTAAATTATGTAATAAATGTAATGTTCTTTTAACTGTTATTTCTAGTTCTTCTTCATTCCAAGCAGGATCCAAGTCACACTGAGGCTGCTGTTGACGAAGAGTTACATGAGCAATTAAATTCTTTAAAATTAAATCATCTGGTGATCCCATAGTGATAATTTTTTGAAGGTCAACGTACAATTGAGATAGTATTGGAGCTGCTAATGGTGAAGATAAATTTTCTAAAATCACTGGAAGAAGATCTTTAATGTAGAAAGATAATTTAAAACTATTTCCTCGTACTGCTGAATTAATCATTGAAATAGCACAAGTAATTTTATAAAATAATTTACTTAATCTTTCCCTAATTGCATGCTCTTTAGCAATTTGAGCTTTGAGAATTTCTTCTTGTTTTGGGGTTAATTTTTGCTCTTTAATTTTACCTTCTCGCTTTCTTTTTTCATATAATTCTCGTCTAAGCTGATGTTCTTCAAGTTGCTCTTTGAATGAATAAGCTTTACTTTCTCGTTTCATATTCATAGAATATAAAATATCGTTTTCATCATTGTCAGGAAGAACACTTTTATCGTATAGTTCACCTTCAGGTGTTTGATAAATAAAATATTCATCTTTTGTAACTTTAAGTATTTCTGGATCATTTAAATTATTAATGACATTTTCTATTAATGAAGGAAGTAATACTGCTGGTGCAAAGTTAATTATTGTAGCAAGAGCATTTTCATATGAAGGTGTAGGTTTGTAATTATCAATAAACATTACATGTATTTCATTTTGATAAATTTCAAAAAATTCGTGTGGCTGTTGTTTCATGTTTCTACATATTTTAATCCACAGATATGATACATTTTTCATTATATATGGATGATGAGCAGGAATTAATGCATCACCAAGAAGCTGTAATTTTGGATAATCACATGAAAAAGTTGCAGAACAAATAGCAACTAATCCATCAGCTAAGCAACGTCCATTAAAATCATAACTATTTGAATCTTCTTTATTCTCTTTTTCCGAATCCATTCGAATTTTTAATGTATCAAGCATTTTTTTAAATTCTTCAATCAATGCTTTAACAGGATCATAAAAGCTCAGTCCAGTCAACATTTTCTGGAGAAGACTTGTACATCGTCGTCTAGTACTTTGATTTGATGCAATAACACACACAATAATTGCTCGATAAACTCCTTGTAGAGTTTTTTCATTCAATCTATCAGTAAACTCCATTATTAAATTACTGCAAAATTGCATTAAATAAAAAAGATTTTCATCTCCACAGCTCGTTAAAAATTTATCGGAAAAAAATATTTGATCATCAATAGCAGTCCAAAAAACACTTTGTTTATCATTATCTACTTGTCCTTCATTTATTAACTTGAGTAATAAAGTAGCTGATATTAGACCTTCAGTAACGGCTGAAGCTTGATTTGACTGTTGAATAGCTTTTGTGATAACTTGATTTAAAATTGGGATAACAGTTGCAACAGAAGACATAAATGGAAGTGAAAATAAAAGTTTTATGAAAGCCGTACGGATTCCTGTACTAGAATTCTTGGCATTCATTATTTTTTTAAAACTTTCAATAATATTTTTAGGAATTTCGTTTGAAAATTTAATGCACCAAAGACTCATCATTTCTAATGCATAAATTAATGTTTTTTCATGTACTTCAACATCCAAAATTTGAATAAAATGATTACAAGCATGTTCTGCAACTTTTTGGACATTACTTCCTGACACTGCATTAAAGCTTAAATTTCCAGCACTCTGAAGAACTGTTATTTTATGTGTAGCAACTGTTAATTTACCTTCTGAGCCATGAAAAATTGCAAAAAGTGATGATAAAAGATTTTCTAATGTTCCTGGATCAGAGCATTGAAGAGCTAAACATCGAAAAGCATCCGCAGCATCATTTCGTACATTATCTTCTTTAGAATGTAAATTAGGAAAAAGTCCTTTACTGATATTTTCACTATATCGACAAAGATCTAAATTTAATCCTGATAATATATGTCCTAAAGATTGAATAATAATTTCAGGATTTCTTAACATTGCTTTCTGTAAAGCAGGAAGTAATTGATTTTCAAAATCATCATGAGTTAGTCGTCGAAGAAACGGAACTGCTGCATCAACTACAAAAAGTGCAGGTTTCTTTTTTGAACTAATACAAACCTTTACAAAAACTCCCATTAAATTAGTTTTAAATGAATCTATAATATCATCTTTTTTTTCATTTACCAAATGTTGAATTAATAAACTTGAAAGAACAATAACTCCATTACTTGCTTCTAACTTTAATAAATTATTAATATAAATTTTTTCGATGCCTGGTTTACTTTTCCATAAATGAATGAAAAGAGAATAAACTTTTTTACTTAGCTTACGATCATTGCATGCTAAAACAGTTGCACTCAACATTGCTTGAGATTCTATCAATTTAAGACATTCTAAATGATTCTCAAATTCATTTGTGTTGATTGAATGAATAACCAGATTTGTCCATTTCAAAGTAAGATATGCAGTTAGTGCTGTGCTTAAACTGTAAAAAATAATATCTAATTTAAAATTTTTCACATTCGATAAACATTTAACTTTTAAAATTTAATAAAAATAACTCTTCTTTTCGATACGATTAGTAAAAAAAAATATTAAAACTTACGTCGGAATTACACTTTGATGCCATAAAGCTTGCTCTACAACAATATTAGCCATAGCTTTTATTGTGAAATCTTGATGATGATTTAATAAAGCACTTATTAATTTTTTCACATAAGATTGAGATGCTGTGTCTTTATATCGATGAAGAGTAATTGATATAACTTTACACAACCCGATAACGACTTTTTCAGTAATGCCTATAAATAAAATTATGGAAAGTTATTGTCTTAAAAAAGTTAACAGCATATGTTGAAGGTTAAAAATGATGTTTTATTTAGAGATAAATTTCAATTTAATTAAACATTATAACACATAGGTTCATTTAAATGAAAATATATTACTAATTAATGAAAAAAAAATAACATTAAATGATTAAATTGAATAAGTAAACCAGTAAAACTTACCAGGATTTGACAATACATGAATAACATTTTGTATAATTTGCTGTCGTTCTTTTTTACGTGAAGTTTGGATACGATTTGGTAGATCTTTTAACGCTTTCGCTAACTGAAATTAAATAATTCAATTATATAAATTTATAGCTTTACCAATTGACAATTTCAAGAATTCCACGTGACAGACATACCTCAATATCCGCCATATTTTAATATGAACCGGCATACACATATACAGTTTCACACATATCTATGTCGCTCAAAGAGGCACTGTTCCCTCTCTCCATCGAATTTTTAGTACATATAATAAATATGTAGTAAGGACGACGCGTGATTGTGCCAGCAAACTAGTCCGTTTGGTTCATGGTGATGATGATATCGACATACATGGTTTATACACGATGTAAACACGATGTTTTTCTAATTAATTTAATTAAAAATAAAAATATTAAATAGATGTAAAAAAATATTTTTTATTTGCAAATGTATCAAATATTAACAATAAAATTATTTAATTGCAGTATAATTAACATTGAACAATTTTATTAACTGAACTTATATTTAAACTAATACTTAATATTTATTTGTACCTTCGTCATGTTATAAATATATCTTTTAATTAAAATAATTTTTTTGCATAATCATAATATTAAATTGTAATAAATTTTTTATCAGTAAAACATAGAAATCAATTTAAAAAAAAAAAGAAAAATAAACAACAAAAAACAAAAATTAGGAATGTTTTATAATAATCTTTGTATGTTAAAGGTAATGTAAACTTGAAATTTGCATTAAATGAAAAGAAAAAGGAATAAGAATTAGATAAGAAAGTGATATTTTTATGTCTAAAACACAAATAATTTAGTAAAAATTTTGGTTTAATTAATTCGAGGTTTTTTGGCTACGGGAAGTCGTAGACCAAATTGGGGTGAATCTTCTTGATCTCTTGAAAAACCACTTCTTTTCTCTAATTCTTCAGATGAATCAACATTCGGTGGATTGTTTTCGTTATTATATCCATTTAAAAGCCTTCTTATTTCAATTTTTATGTCACCATCTTGTAGCCATTGGTCTACTAATACTTCTCTAATTGTTTTTCGTCGGCAAGGGTCCACTGTCATCATACCTTCTATCTGAAACGATTAAATTGAGTTTGATTTTTTTAAAATATATGATAGTAATTAATTTTTAATACTTACTAGATTTATTGCTTCAGGAGAAACTGTTGAAAATTGTGAATTAAAACGATAATGTCCATTTATTATTTGATCATGAAGTTCCATTTTTTTATTATGAGTAATAAATGGTACACATCCACTGAGAGTAACATAAAGGATAACACCAAGACTCCAAATATCTACTTGACTAGTATATGCTCCTCTTCCTCCTGTTTTTAGAATTTCTGGTGCTACATACATTGGTGTGCCGCAAAAAGTTTTCATCATAGTTTGAGCATCAACTAATTTCGACAATCCAAAGTCTGATACTTTTACTAGTGGATATTTCGCATCGGAAGCTAGTAATATATTTTCCGGCTGTAATTTAAAAAAAATAATTAATAATAAATATCTTTTATGCCAGATAAGACAATTAAAACCTTTAAATCGCGGTGTGTAATTCCTTGATTGTGAAGGTAGTTTACGGCCTCAACTATTTGATAAAAAATGAATTTCGTTTGTCTTTCTGCTAATCCAGAATTCATACGAATTCTATCAAATAATTCGCCTCCTTCCATAATTTCCAACATTATGTATAAATTCATTGGTGTATCAATAACTTTTTCCATTCTTATTATAAAAGGCTAGAAAATTATGAATGATTAATTAAATGATATAATAATAATAATAATAATAATAATAATAATAAATTAACATTTAGCTACTCACATGTTTTAGAGCTTGTAATATTTTAACTTCATTTAGAATCTTATCAGAATTATCAATAGCGATTCTACGATCACTTGTTGTGTGTCCTTTTTTCGAAATTATTTTCATAGCATAAGTTTGGAAATTGTTTTTGCTATACACCATTTTGACTTCCCCACAAGCACCAAATCCTAATGTTCGTAACGTTACGTATTTTGATTTCCATTGTGCTGGTAAACTATTGAACCCATAAGTTTCAGTAATAAACTTAAAAACTGTAAATAAAAATAGCATCTTTATAACTTTTGTTATTGTTAATTCATGAAAAAGTTTGAGAAATATTAAAAAAACAATTACAAGAAATGTCTCCTTCGGCAAGTGATATTACATCATTATTGTCTAATACAACTCTTTTACCGCGTCCAACTTTTACTTTATTAACAAAAGTTCCATTTTGACTACTATCTTCAAGATAAACGACTTTATCATTTTTATTATTAATAACTTTTCGTATTATTTTAAAGTGTATTTTACTTATTGCCATTAATAAATTTTGCTTTAAAATATTCTGTGCTGTAAATATTCCATCACAATTAGGGTCTCGTCCAAATGTATATATTTCTTTAGTCATTTCTGTAAAAATTTTTATAAACATTAAATGAATTATAGTACTTATCATTTAATTAAATAAATCAAAATAAAAAATTTAGACATAATAAAACAAATAGCTTTCTTTACTATGTTGCAAATATTTTAGAAATTGTATAATAGAGAAAACTTACGGATGGATGATAAAACCACTCTGCCAGCAAGAGATGATTTGACTGAAGGTATTAATTGGCCCCAACTTTCGTTAACTTGAGATTGACTATCTAGATGCTGTGATTGAGTGAATGTTTCGGCTGGTTGGGTATCAGGCAATGTTGATTGCATATCTATGTTGTCCTGATCCATTTTCTCAATTTAGATGTAGAAATTTAATTAATTTGGAATGATTTAATGAAACGCACGAGTAAATAAAAAGTTTACTGAGGAATGGTCTAAAATTTTTGAAAATAACGGTTTTACTGTACATCAAATTAACCCATAATTGTATCAATATAATTTGAAATATAAATTTATTGTATTGTTTTACGATAACAGAAAAATATTAAACACACAACTGCGCACAACTGGCGGCAATGTGCCTTGTGATGCATAAACAAGAAAGAACAAAGACACTATACATTACAGAAGCCCGGTCGGTTCATTTTTCTGATGTGTCACAAGTAGCGCCGTTTCTCACTCTATAGAGATATATCGGCGTCACTATTTGTAAAAATAAGTAGCGACCTCTTACGATAAAAATTCATACTAAAAATTGAAAATAAAGAAACTTCACACGTTTAGAGTTCTCTATGGTGTAATATTTTTTGTTTGACAAATATATTGTGTTTTTTCGATCAATAATCAAATAAATAGTTGTACAAAATGACAGCAACAACAGATAACTTGTCTGAATTACAAAAAGATATATTTAAGAGAATAAGTAATAATGAGACTGCAGAACTAAAAGCATTGCTTGCTGCAAATAAAATAAAAATAGATTTCGTTGATAAAAATGGAATGTACCCACTTCAGCATGCTGCTTATAAGGGAAATAAAGAAATTGTTCAACTTCTTCTTGATCAGGTTAAATAAACAAAAATATTATAATCTTATAATGAAATACAGTGAAAGTTCTCAAGTTTTTATTTATTTGTTTTTTCATGATAATTGTGAGTGTAATAAATGATTTTAATATTGAATTTAGGGCGCCGACGTGAATCTTTGTCAACATGAGCACAAATATACGGCATTGCATTTCGCAGCATTAAGTGGAAATCCAGAGGTTTGTCATCTACTAATGTGTCATGGAGCGAAGCTAACAACAACTAATAGTGTTGGACGGACGGCAGCTCAAATGGCAGCATTTGTTGGAAATCATAATTGTGTTGCAGCTATCAATAATTATATACCAAAAGCTAATATTGATTATTATATAAAACCACAAGGACTACAAAAAGAACCAATGCTTCCTGTACATCTTGCTGATTCTTTCCATAAATTTATTATGCAAGTTAATGTTCATCCAGTAAGAGTTGCTATGACATTACAAACATGTTCAGGACTTATAGATTATTTACCAAAGGTTTGTATACCTTTATTATTCTCTTAAAATCATATTCAAAATTAAATAATGAATCTATAAATTGAAATATTATTAAAATTAAGAATATATATTTTATTTAAATAATAAAATTTTTTATTTTTAGATTCAAAAAGTTTTAGAATCAATGTGTCACAGAGAAATGTCTAAAAGTTCAGAGGCAAATGAAATAATTGCATTTAAATATCACTATTTAAGTTGTGTAATAGGTGAATTAATAAAATGTCAAAAGCGTCAAGAAGCCCGAAAAACTGAGAAAACTGAATCGGAAAAATTGTCTCAAGAAAATAAAAATAAAGATGATGAGAAAAATAATGATAACCATAAAGAACAAGATACAAGTAAAAGGACCAATAAAGATAAAGATGAAAAAACTAAAACTGATTTAGTAGAACTTTTCATTCGAGCTTTATTAAAATGTAATAAAGCTGACGGTTTTCCAGAGTATCAAGAAGCATTTTTACGTGAAGTAGTACGCGAGTTTCCTTTCAGAGAAAGCATCATTTTTCGCCAATTGGTTGCAGCTCTTGCTGGATCCGATCCACCGCCTGCTGCTTCTATTATTTCAGCTGCAATTAATGGCCAACGTGGATTCTCCGATAATTCTCAAAGTTGCGTAACTTGTAGTGAGGAGAGAGCTAATAAGAAATGTAGTAAATGCAAAGCAGTTCAATATTGTGATAGAGAATGTCAAAGACTTCATTGGTTTCTTCATAAAAAAGAATGTGCTCGAGTAAATGGAGGAATATCTGGGTTAAACTTTAAAGCTAGTAATATTGATAAAGCAGATATCGCCAACGCAGTTAAAAATGAAATTGAAAGTTTGAAAATTGAATAATTCTAATAGTGTGTTTACCAAATGACTTTTTTTATTTGTAAAATTGACGGTAAAAGACATTATTTATTATTAATGTCACTTTGTCGGTAAGAAAAAAATTATGAAGTATATCAATGTCTTTATCTTATGAAACAATTTTAAATTTATCTTTTCCGTATATTCCAAAAATGTTTTGACTTTGAGTTTTAAATTTAAAATGTTATAAATATTTTATTTCATATGACTTATGAATTATAATAATTATAAATATAAATTATACTAAAATGAATGTGTGAAAATAAATGGTTTGATGAATAATTAAATAAAATAGTTCTAATGTTTTCATATCGATAAAATGAGTTTTTTTTAGAATTAACTTCAAAAAATTGGTATATATATATATATATATAAATCCTAATGTATTATTTGAGGATAGGGGACTGGTATCCCCCTCTCAATTTTCAAAATTCCCATTAAAGAAAAAAAAATAATCCTGCAAGTACAGCGTACCTTTGCCCTCATTTTCACCTTTTTTTTCAAAAAAAAAAAATAATAAATTCATCACAACGTGGCAACGTCGTGTCCTCAAATAATACCTTATATATATATAGACCAGTGGCTCAAATAATACGTTGGACACATAATTTTTTTTTTGGGACTTTCCCTAAACTATACATATGTCCTCAAATAATACCTTGTACTTAAGAAATGTCCCCAAATGACACTCTGATTAGATTTATATGTATATACATATATAGACAATTCAGACTTCAATCAATAAATAATTTTTTTTCCATTTATCCTGATTCTAAATTTGTTACTTTGTAATATTTATTAAATAATGTTTTTTTTATATATAAATTTAAAACTTATATTATTTTGATTTATTTTTATTAGTAAAAATAATTTAAATCTAATAGCTTAACTAAAAATTAATGACTTTATTTTACATCATCTATGTGTGACGTAAATAAATAAAAGCAATTAGTAACATTTAAATCCAATACTTTTATTTTTCCTTTGAATATATAAGTACATTATTATAATGAACGATCAAATCATACAATACTTTTATATTTACAACAAAAAAAATCATACTATCGAACCATATTGAATAAAATGTATTTAATGCTAGAAATTCTAAACAATATGCATGGAAAAGCCATAATCCTTGAGCCATAGCCCAAATACTACCTAAAGTAATCCATTTAATTAAACTCATTCGTATATGCGGTATAGAAAGAGGCAATGATGATAAATACCAAAAAAAATATTGAGAAGTTACGACAGAATTATATGTAACCATTACCATGGCTAAGATTAAAATAGCAAATGGTAATTGTTTTTTATTTGCATACCGAAACGACACTATGATCAATAAAATTAACAGTGGTATTGTTCGTAAAATACGTTCAATTGTATTTTCAGATTCGCCAACTAATAAGTAAAGCATGTAAAAATAGATAGAGAAATTATGACGTGCATCTTTTCGTATTAAATGAAAAAAGAAACTTGTATAAAGAAATTCATAGCCATAAAAGAGGTAACTAATACATGTTAGAGTCATAAATGACAAAAAAAAACCTAACAGAAATTTTAATTGATTTCTATTAGGAATAAAATGATTTTCAGTTTTAAGTGATAAATATATTACTAAGCTATATATAATTGGATATAAACGAAAATATACTGATAAACCATAAATTAACCCGGAAATAAAATATTTCTCTTCTAGAAAATATAAAGTCAACAGAATTAATACAACTACTAGAGAATCTGAGTTGCCTCGTGTTGAAATTACTATTGTCATTGGATTATATAGCCACAATAATGCACAAATTTTTGAAATTCTATTTGGGCAGTAATTTTTTGATAGTATAACTTTAATTAAAATAACTATAATGATGTCAATTATAGAGAAGAGAACTTTTCCAAAATTTGGATCAATAAATATATTTGGCGTGAGTATAAAAGCCAATAATGGTGAATATCTATAAGTATGTCGATTATATGGTGATTTACCAAGAGTTACATATCTTGCAGCATCAGTGTATACTTTGTAATCAACGTCAGTATAAGGAACTTTAAATAATTTATCATGAAAAGTTGCGTAAACAATTAACACGAGTCTTATCAAAAAACCAAAACCACAATGCTGTTGAAAATTAGACCACTTCATTGTATACATTGTAGTTCTTCATAACTATTCATTAAAAATAATTTTCTTTTATAGTTTTATTTTATTTTTCATTGCTACTTCTTTTAAACAAGATTTGAATTTTATGAATTCTATTTCACAGTCATTTTTAGTAATATTCGATTTTTTCGACACACATTTAGCGTATGCAATAGCTGATTCTTTACACTGTGTCAATAAAATTGAATATTTCTCGAATCTTTTGTTTGATTTAGTTAGAGAATTCATTATAAATTACCATTCATTTCAGTTTATCTTTGTTGTGAAGGTAACAATCTTAATTCATAAAGTCTCTTTGCTTCACTTTGGGCATCTAATTCTTCATGTGGTACAAACCAAATCGTATATATAGAACCACTAAATGATATTCCCATCATAATAATAGTTCCAAGACCAGTTATTAATCTAGGATATCTTTGATAAAATGGTCTCTGTTTTAATAGTCGTTCATCAAAACATTGTCGATTGCGGTTCATTATTTCTTGATGGCTTGTTTCTTAAAAAAAGAAAAAAACCGAATTAAAAGAAATTATAATTTATAAACGATTAATTTTCATTTATTTCAATCAACCGTAATAATAATTCATTTTTAATGTAAAAAATTTTTATCAAAAAATGAATTATATTTGAAAAAAAATTATATACGTCTTTCCAACAATTACCAATTGACTAATCATAATAAAATATATGTAAGTTTATGAATAGATCATTACTTGTTAAAAAAACATTTATACCAATAAATGAATTTTATATTGACTTCATTTAAGCCTTAAGTATTTATAAGTACTTACATAATCAATCGTTTTATGTTCATACGGTTGAGAAATATCAATACCCTCGCAAACTAACGAATGTTCAAAATGTTTTCGACAACACTGACGAAGATTTTCGATGACTGATGTACATCGAGAAGGTTGATAAACGTTATCTATACGTATTTGTATAAAAATATTTAAAAATAATGATTAAATAAAATAACCTATATTATATATATATAGATATGTATATTGAAAAAATATTAAAAATAACCTTTTAAACAAGTTTGTAATTGACATGCATATTTTTTACATGGATCTGTTTTATTCATCAAAATTGTTATTATACATAAACTTACAATTAAAATTACTTTTAATAAATGGTTAACGTGAAATTAAAAACAAATCTTACACGTGTGACCATGGAGAATATTCTCCATGCGTGTGACCATTAAGTTTCTTTAGTACACTCAGCGGTCGTCAAGCAGCGTATCAGTCTTTTTCCATAAATACGCCGCTTATAAGCCAAAGATGGAGACCAAAATTCCACATAATAATCAAAATTTTTGTTTTCTTTACATTATTTATTATTAATATACAGCCCGAGCTGTACTTGTATAGAATTTTGTATTTGGAATTACTTGAAGATATAAATAAAATTGTTAATCACGGATTATCTAATCATTAATTTAGTACTGAAAAATCAAAATAAAATATAAAAATAATAGTAGTTTAAATACTATCTAAACGAAAGAGCGGTAAATTTAACAAATTCAAGAATAGGACATAGATTCATTGAATAACTAAGAAATTGTAGAATGTATTATTTAAAAAAAAAATAAGTGCCAATAAATAGAAAAGTTAAAAATAGTGTAAAACTTACCTTCAATTAAAATCTGATAAAGCCACTCTCAGCATCTTTAGTAGATACGCAAGCCTAATCGTTTCTAATTGAATAATATTGGTTACTAAGGGAGACAAAATTGTACACAATCGTCATCAAAACAGTTATAATTATATTGAATAAAAATAAGAAAATAGTTTTTTTTCTAAAATGATATTGAAATATTTAGGCAGCATTTTGCCATCGAATGATGGAGAAAATCGTGTAGTAGGGATCGTTTGGTCTCCAAACAATTTGAAACTTGCCGTTGCGTTAACAGATCGTTATATTTATTTATTTGATGAATTAGGTAATAAAAAAGACCGTTTTTCTACGAAACCTGTTGATTCTAAGGTAAGAAAATTAAATAATTAATTGCTTTTAAAATGAATTATTTGTTACAGTTTGGGAAAAAAAGTTACATGATTAAAGCAATAGCGTTCTCGCCAGACTCCACTAAAATTGCCGTAGGACAAACAGATAATATTGTTTATGTGTATAAAATAGGAGAAAATTGGTACGATGTTAATTTTTTTTAAGATTCCGAAATATTAAAATATTTAAATGAAACAGTTTAAAATAAATCATTATATTTAGGGGTGAAAAAAAAGTAATCAGCAATAAATTTATTCAAAGTGCTGCAGTAACTTGTCTAATATGGCCAACAGATGGGCCAATAATTGTTGGTTTAGCTGATGGAAAAGTTCGTGTAGCAATTTTAAAAGCTCACAAAACACAAACACTTTACAGTGCTGATGCAATGACAATTGCTTTAGCAGCCAAGTAAGTTATAAATTTTAAATATATTTTTATTTTATTTATTTATTTATTTGTAATTTTAGTGAACGGAAAACAGCATTTCTATCTAGTCATGCTGATGGAAGTATAATTCGTTATTATTTAAAAAATGAAGGAAATGTTGAACCCTCAGGTAGAATTTTAACTCACGGAATTCCAGCTTATGCACTAGCTTGGTCACAAGGTCATATTTGTGCTGGAGGATGTGATAAAAAAGTTGTTTTTTATAATTCCCATGGCAAAGTAGAAAAAATATTTGATTATTCTCGTGATATTAATGACAAAGAAATTTCTATAGCTTGTTGTAGTCCAAGTGGACAAAGTATTGCAGTTGGTTCTTGGAATAAAATTCGTATAATAGACTGGAGCCCTCGAAGATCAGCTTGGGAAGAAACTACTAGTAAAATATTACTAAACTTTCATACATTGACGGCTATGGCGTGGCGAAGAGATGGCTCAAGATTAGTCGTTGGAGGTCTTTGTGGTGCTGTTGAACAATTTGAAACAGTTTTAAAACGTGCTGTGGTGCGTGGGAGTCATGAAATAGCTTACGTTGGACCTAGTCAAGTAGTTGTTAGATCTTTGAATGGAACAAGCCGTCCAGTTAGTATAAAATCTTCTACTGGAAGTGAAATAGAAGATGTTAAAATTCTTGGAAGACAAGATAATTACGTAATTGCTAGAACTAATTCAACATTATTAATTAGTGATATTGAACTAAATCTTATAAGTGAAATACCTTGGAATGAAAAATGTGGATTAGAAAAATTTTTTTTTGAATATCCAGGTGTCTGTTTAATATTTTGTACAGGAGAATTATCAATAGTTGAGTATGGAAAAAATGAAATACTTGGGTCTGTAAGAACTGAAGCAGTAAATCCTCATGTCGTTAGTGTTAGAGTAAACGAACGTCAAACCGCACGAGCACCTGATAATAAACGATTAGCATATCTTTTAGATTCTCGGACGGTCAGAATAATGGATTTAATTACTGGAACAACAATAAGTATTATTGGGCATGATGCAAAAATAGATTGGTTAGAACTAAGTGAAACTGGTCATCGTCTTCTATCTAGAGATAAGAAAGGACGACTTTGGCTTTGTGATGATAAAGGAGGTCGAACTTTACTTTTAACAGGAACTGGTTTTGCTTCATGGGTACCTGGTAGTGATGTAGCACTTGCTCAAACTGGTCAAAAACTTGCAGTTTGGTATAATGTTGATGCTCCAGAGGCTACAACTATTATTTCAATACATGGGGATGCTGTGGATATTGAAAGAAATAACAAAAAAACTATTGTAATTGTTGAAGAATCCGGCTCACGCGTAAACTATTTTCTAGATGAAGGACTCATAGAATTTGGTACTGCTTTACATGACAATGATTTTGGTCGTGTTATTTTATTTCTAGAAGAATTAGGAGATAGACCAGAAGGGGAAGTAATGTGGGAAAATGTAGCACAAAATGCAATGGAAGAAAGAAAATTTTTAATTGCTGCAAGATGTTATGCTGCATTAGGAGATGTTGCTTATTCTAATTTACTTGAAAATATTGTTAATATTGATGAAGAATTTGCTAAAGAAACAGGAAATAACTATTTAACATCTCCTGATTCTTGGGCAAAACTAGCAATCCTCAATGGAGAATTAAAAACAGCTGAAGCTATTTATTTAGAACAAAATGAATTAAATAAAGCATTAAAGATGTATCAAAAATATTGGCATTGGGAGGAAGCAATGGAGTTGGCAGAAAGTAGAGATTGGTCTGAATTAGAAAAATTAAAAGAGAAACATCTTAATTGGTTACTTAATAGTGGACAAACATCAAGAGCAGCTGCAATCATAGAAAATTATGATCCCCAAAAAGCGATCAAACTATATCTTGATGCTGGAAGAGCAGGTCGTGCTGGAAGACTTTTATTAAGAAATGAAGTACTTTTAGAAGACGAAGTAATAACTCAAAAGGTCATTAAAGGATTAAAATTAGCTGATTTAACAGAATTAGCTGGAGAAATTTTAGAAAGAATAGATCATTTTACAGATGCTATTGAATGCTATAAAAACGCTGGAGTTTATACACGAGCATTAGATTTAGCAAGATCATTTGATCCAGATTCTGTTATTGATATTGAGAAAGAATGGGGTTACTGCTTAGCTAACAATGGAAATCACGATGCAGCTATAAATCATTTTATTGAAGCAGGAGAAACTGCATTAGCTCTTAATTCAGCAATTAATGCACGTCAATGGAGAAAAGCTCTTGAAATCGTTGAAGTTATTGATGATGATAATCTACAAATTCAACAAAAATGTGCTAAACTCGGTGAATACTTTGCATCTATTGGAGATTCTAATTTAGCTGAAAAATTATTTCTTCGTGCTAAAAATCCAAAAGCTGCAATTGATATTCATGTAAGAGCTAATAATTGGTCAAGAGCATATGAAGTGGCAACAAAATATATGAGCTCTGAAGAAGCAGTTAAAATACTATTAAGTCATGCTGAAAAATTACAAGAAAGTGGAAATTTACGTTCTGCCGAAGCACTTTATGTAGCTATCGGAGAGTATGATGCGGCTATAGCTATGTATAGACGTGTAGGACATCGTCAAGATATGATTAGATTAGTGGCTGAATATAGACCAGATTTATTAAAAACAACTCATGCATTTTTAGCGAGAGAGTTAGCGGCAGCAGGTAAAGCTCGTGATGCTGAAGAACATTTTCTTGGAGCTGATGATTGGAGAGGTGCTGTCAGTGTTTATAAAAATGCAAATATGTGGGACGATGCTTTGAGAGTTGCTAAACAAGCATCAGGAGATAAAGCAGCTCAACAAGTAGCTCTTATGTGGGCTAGAACTCTAGCTCCAGAATTGGGAGCTAAATTGTTAATGCGTTTAAATTATTTCAACCAATGTATTCAAATGGCAAGTGAAGCCGGTTTTTTTAAGTGGGCATTAGAAGCAGTAAAATATGGAACTACTGAGCTACAAAATGAAGTACATTATAAGTATGCAATGGCTTTAGAAGATGAAGGAAAATTTCAAGAAGCAGAAAAAGAGTTTATTCGAGCCGGCAAAGCAAAAGAAGCTGTACAAATGTATATACACATGAGAGATTGGGATGCAGCTGAGGAAGTAGCTCAGGCTATAAGTCAAGAAGCCATGGCACAGGTTCTTATTGCTAGAGCAGCTGAAGCTGCCGAAAATAAAGACTATGCATTCGCTGAATCACTTTTATTGCGAGCACACAAACCAAATATCATCATTGAGCATTATAAGGTAATTTAATTTCACTTATGTCAACTGTTTATACAATAATATTTAATTAAAAAATTTTATTTCTTTTTTTAGAATGCTGGTATGTGGTCTGAAGCAATGCGTGTTTGTAGAGAGTACTTACCAAGTCAAGAAGCAGCTTTACGTCGTGAGTTAACACAAAAAAGCATTGGGAATGATAGCACACGAACTTTGGAAGAAGCTGGACGTTGGTTAAAAGTTGGTGAAATCCGTACAGCATTAGATATTCTAATTTCAGATGCATCTCATTCAGCTCTTATACAAGCAGCTGACATTGTGCTCAATCAATCTGATCCAGATACCGCTTCACAAGTTGCTACAGAATTAGGAACTAAATTAGCTAGTCATGAAGAACATGCTTTAGCGGCACAAGTTTATCTTCAAGGAGATAAGCTCAAAGCAGCTGTTAGTACTTTAATTGCAATTGGAGACTGGATGAGAGCCAGAAGAATTGTAAAAGAACTTGCACCAGAATTAGAATCATATTTAGAAGACAAATATCGTGACAGTACCATTCGAGGTAATAATTCTATTGAAATGATAGATAATGATCAAGTAATTGATAATAACGATAGATCATTAGATACTTTGGTTCGTGAAGGCCAATGGATACAAGTATTTGAAATAGTGAGTAATCAAAGTCCTGATTTACTTCATAAATATGTTGCTCAAAGAGCTGCTCAACTTCTAAAATCGGGAACTCCTGAACCTGCTCTTCAACTTTATTCTCAATATGGAGCTCCTCCAGTTTCTCAATATTATAATTTATATTATAGACTTTCAGAAATGATTTTAAATTTATACGATGATTCGTTTACAGTTTGTTACAATCGTTTATCACAATTACGAACGTTCCTTTATAATTTAACGAAAAAAATTGACAGCTCTTCGGAGATTAATAAAAAATTTGATCGACTTCTTCAAGCAACTCATTACAGTGCTCTCAAATATGCTTGTCAACAGTTTTCAAATCTTTCTAGTTTGGTTGTGAAAATTTCAGTATCTCTTTTAAGATTTACAGATATTCTTGTAGCTGATCGTTGTTATTATGAAGCAGGCACTGAATTACAAAAAATAAAATCTTACAGTGAAGCATTGGTATTTCTTAATCATTTTCTAGATTTAGAAGAATGTATAGAAGAAGGTAATGGAAGTATTCTCGAAATTGATGATTTAAGAATTACCGATTTCCCATTAGAAGTTCCACTTCCCAGTAAACCAAGTTTATCTGAAAAAAAAAGAGAAGAAGTCAAAGAATGGATTCTTTCTGTATCGATAGATCGAAAAATCGAACAAGGTCTTCCAACTGATCAAAGAGGAGTCTATATAGGATCTTTGACATGTCCGGCTAATGGATCAACAGCTTTACAGCCATGTGCATTGACTGGATATCCGATACGAGGATCTTTAATTAGATTTGAGGGTAGCAATCGTGTTGTTGATCGAGATGACTGGAATAAAATATTGAATGCTGCAAGACAAGCTCCATCAGATTCCCCACTTAATGATGTATTAGTGTTTATACAAGAATGGTGTGGTACTTTACCTGCTTATTCATTTTAACTATAAAAGTACTTTATATAAAAAAATTATTATTTAAATTTAATTTCAGCAATTAATAAGCCTATCTTTAAGTTATTTTATTAGTTTTAATTTAATATTTTCAATGTTTAATCGTTTAATGTACATTTGTTGTCGCTTAAAAATAATAATAATTATTATTATAATATAATTTTCGTAATAATTATTATCGTTATTATAATTGTCTCATTCTACGTATAATAAAAGATCGGTAATTAAAGAACATAAAACTCTATATATATAAGTATGAATTGTCGAATGATAATGAAATAATAATGAAGAACTTTTGACTTATCTATATGTTCATTTGTTTTACAGTTATTAAATACAATAATTATTCTTTTATTACATTTGTGTAATCCTGAAGACTGTACCAATCCGAAGAAAAAATCGGCGAAGAACAGAACGTGGCTCTGGCTTTAAGTCAAAACACATTACTTCACACAATAAGGGATAACAATTAGCAGCATGTATTGCAAAACGATTATCACTCATTTTCAGTATCTTATTTAAGAGTAATAATAAAATTGGAGTCCATGCATCTCGATGTGCTTCATTGGATAGTGCTAAAAAGTATTCCAACGCTTCTCTAGATATTTCTACCAGATGAGATTCAATTGTAGACAAATTACTCCTGTGCGCTTCATCATTATACATTTTAAAGAGGATTCGAAGTGAACATGCTAATGATTGAGTTTCTTGTTTCAACAAATTAGGCTTAACATTACCACGAAAGCCTGCTTTCCAAAGAATATTTCGTTGTTCATTATTAACATTGAAACTTTTAGCAAATCTATGTGATCGTAAAAGACAATCAACAAGCTGAAGAAGATGAAGTGTATTTAATGCACAGTACATTCCTTGTTCTTCCCTTTGTTCATATCCTGAACCATCTAGTCCTGAATCACTTGATCTTCCGTTCATTATATCTGCTTGAGCTAAAGCTAAATGTTCTTGATCTTCTTTTTTTGAAGTTGCCGGATAAAATACTATATTATCTATTGTTTGAATCAATTCCAATTGAACCACACATTTTATTAATAATGAAGAAAATAATTTTAATCTTGAAAGATCTGTATTGTTAACTAAACTTTGAGTACTATTACTTCTTTTTAATATTCCTACGTTATTATCACTTTCTCCTGTTATCATTTCAAGATCTGATTCTTTATTCATTATTGGCGGTTTCCAAGTGAGTAAAATTGATGGTAAAGTACTTTCAAAAATATCAAAGATACAACGTGTAGTTTTTGTCCATGTCTCTTCATCGAATTTAATACCATTACTTATTACTAAATTTTCTAGACAATTTGTACCAGATCTTGCTAATTGTTCATTATCCTGTTGAACACACCATAATAATTGAGAATACAATTGTCCTAAAAGAAGAGGACCTAGTATATCATAAAACTGCGAGAATACATCAACTATTGCATACAGCGCATGATTACAGGTTGTTGTCATCCATTCAGCTTTCTAAAATTTTTTCAATCAATAATTATAATTAAATGAAATATTAATAAAGCTATTATAGGTATTTTGAAAATAATTTTACCTCCGTATGCTGTTCTGGAAGTTTCATGTTATCAAAAATTCTAAAAAGTACTTGAAACAAATCCTTCCACCAATGAGGTTTAAACGAAGCACCATACGTTTTCACAACATCGAATAATACCGTAAGCGCACGAGTTCTTACGTCAAGCTTACATCTACTAACAACACAAGAAAGTTCGAATAATAATGGAAACCAACCTCTTACCTAAAAAAAAAAATGTATATAATTTAAAAAACATGAATAACACTTTTTAATTTTACGAGAATTTCCTTTCAGTTTCTTTTTTTTTTTTTTTTTATTCTTACCCATGATCGATCATCCTCGGAAACCATTCCATTATCATCCATCATACCTTCGGCAAACATCTGAGGATTAGCATCAATATATGAGGCACTCGTACGGATCAGTCTTATAGCTTCCATGCTTGTATCAGGGAAGGATGTATTACAGGCAAATTCACTGAGGCACTTAACGGCATCTTGAAACGAATCTACCATAATACTGAAATCTTCAGCATATAACTCATTAATAATTTTTCCTGTCATCTTAAATGCTAAAGCAACAACAGATTCATCACGATCACTAGCTGCATGATGAAAAACACTGAAAATATTCTTCCATCCTGATCGGATATTAGGTGCTTGAGAATGAACTATTTGAGCTACACATCTCACAACCATATCACGTATTACTGGAGATCTATTTTTTTTCATAATATGTTCAAACGGTCTCAAAAATTCTTTTTGAAACCTAAAATTTGCAAATTCTCCTTTTTCAATAAATTTAGTTGCAAGTTGCCGAAGAGAATCAACTGCAAAGAATGCAATATTTTGTCTTGGACTGCATCCTACTCGATCAAAATGATCTCCAACAACTTGCCAAATTCTTGACCATTGTAGTCGAATACGTCCCATATTGTAGTACGATATCTCTACTATTTTTGTTAATGAAAACATACGAGGTTGAGTTGGATGAGACAACTCTTCTAAAGATACTTGACATAGTGCTTTTACAAATTCTACAATAGCGTCACCATCTAATCTTGTTGATCCCGTAAAAATTCTATCTACTGCTACCACAACACTTTGTGAACTTGTTTCACCAATTGATTCTTTAACACTTGGATCAAGTGAACTCAAATTAAGATTATTATTTTGATGTAGATTATTATGTGTGAGATTTGTAAAATTGTTTAGTGGTAATGGAAAATATGGCTTGGATGGAGGACCAAGAAGTTGAGGTCTAATTCCCGTGCCAATTAATTGAGCAAGTTCCAATTGAGATATGCATTTGACCACATCTAACCAAGAGTTTCCCAAATAATTGCCATCTGTATGGGCTATTGTAATTAAAGTTTTAATGGTATCAATGTTTTTAGCTTTCATTTCAGTTATTGGAGAATTTGCCGTTAACAAGGTAAATCTTGCTAGAGCTTGAACATATGCATCACGCTCGAGCTTTAATAAATAAATTTATAATTAAATAGCTGAACTAGTTTTTTCCTACGATTCAAAATTTGTAAAATACATCAATTACTTACCGTCATATGAAAAATACATGCAATACGAATAGCACATCTAATACCATCTAAACAAAGTGAAGCAATTTCTGGATCATCACAATCTTGAAGACCAACACTAAAAGCTGCTAAGAACGGTGTCCAAGCCATTTTGAACATTGGTCGAACATGTTCTAAATGTTTAGCAGTTGTAAATGGTGCTTGAACGTGACTAACGGAATCCATTAAATTTTTTGCAGCTGTTGATATTAATTCCATTTCCATATTCCACAATAATCGTCGTTTTTTTTCACTTGATATAACTGCAATTGTTATTTAAATTAATAAATTATCCAACAATATAATTATTTAGTTATAATATAGATAATTTACCTTGTTTACCAGGCCGATTTGGATGTGATTTCATTTTGATTTCATTGCCAGCAATTTCATCATAAATTTTTGATAGATATTCTTCGGGTAATTCTTCATTATCACTAATATGTCGATTTACTTTGATATATTGCTCTTTAGTCATTTTATTTTTTACTTGGGGGGAATGCAAATCTGTAGTTAACATAATTATTGAGAATCCCAAAACATAGGCAGTATCGGCACTGGTGAATAGTCCATTACTAAAAAAAAAAAAAAATTAAAAATCATTCCATTTGTTGTAATGTGAAATATAATATTTAAGAGTATTTTTACTAACTTTGGATTACATTCACAATATCTACTAGCAAATTTTTCCATTAATCTGTCTATTTTTTGAGCTTCACCAGGAAGTCGGAAACCTTCAAGAAAATATCTAAGAGCTGTAACTAAATCTCTGTTAGCAAAATCCATTTGATCAATGTAGTTATACATAACTTGATTATGATTATGATCTCCTAAGAAATCTCCAATTGCTGTTTTATCTAATCGTTCATCATTGTGAAGGAAACGTGCAACGTCATCAGGAGAATTACCAAGTAAACCTTGTTCTTGAAGATATTGTATCCCCTTACTCGGCTTTCTATTAAACATTTCTATACCTGCTTCCCATACTTCTTTTTGTTGTTTTTGAACTTCAAATTGTTCTGGTGAATCTGCGAATTCCTTACTGCCTGTGAGACTAGAATTAACAGAAGAAAGACTCCCAGCACTTCCATATCTTGGTAATGATGGATCAGGCGGTGGATCTAGAGGTTCTGTAGACAATTGTTGATCAATAGGAGTACCAGGATTGACATAAAGGTCTCTACTCCATTCAACCATGCACTTTAAAATAGACACTAAACATTCAAGACCACGAATTCGCATAGACTTTTCCTGATTAGGCGAAGCTCCGAGTTCTAAAGCCTGACGACCTTGTGCTATTTTTGATAAATCATTAACAAGTCGTTCAAATAAATTAGCAGCCGAAAGGTCACAATCATAATTTACGTATATATCTACAACACTTTGAGCATCTCCACAAATACGAGTTAATGCGTGAATCACCATCCATTTATGTTCAAATGAACTACTTGATGTTTCTAATATATTCATAAATATTTCTTTAAAAAATACTTCTATCTGCATCTTTAAATGTATTTTAAATTTTGCTAATAACGCAAGGAATAACGCCAAAGATAATTCAAATACTTCTGGAACGGATGATACACCATTTTTAGATAATGCAACACACAAGTATTGTTTAATTGCAATAACAAACATTTCATTTGATCGTAAGATTGGTCCAGCATTTTGTAAAATGCCTAATAGTAATTGTAATGATAATATTTTAGATCTTAATTCATGTGATCTGAAAAGGTAAAAATAATAAATGAAAGATAAATTGATTATTTTCATTAACTAGTTAAATGACTAAAAGCATTCTTACTTGGGATCAGGTGTTCCATCTGGTAGAGGTTTCATAGATAATTTACAAAGAGCTCGAAATACAAGAAATGCATCTTTTTGAAGTACATGTGTAAATTTAGCTGTTACCATATTGTCATTTTCAACAGTTGTTTCATCAGTATTGTCATCAGTAGGTATTTGATCGGTATTAGGCTCTTCAGATTGTAATGTGTCAGGAGGAAGAGAATCTTCTGACACAACTGAATTAACAATATCATCAAGAATTTCACCAACAATTTGATGTGATTCAAACGAAGCATCTAAAATAGGTTCAGTGATTGATGGTGTATCACATTCTACTTCTACTTTTGGTATTATGGAAGTAACAGGTGTTTCAAGATGATGAGAAGTATCAACGTTTCTTAAAGTTTCATCTTCCTGTGTAACAAGTATAAATATAATAGATGTTTAAAATATCAAATATTTTAATTTATTTACCGCTTGTGTTTCCATACGGGCAAAGATTACATTAATCATCTGTGTAAGAGTAGCTCGAGCGGTTGTTTGGTTAACAAGATTTCTTGATGCTAAATAAACATTATAAACAGTTCGTATCGTTAAAAGTACAGTTCCTTCGTGTACTTCTACATGCTGACTAGTCATGACAGTCAATAACGCTTTGATAATTTGAAGTTGTACTCCCTCATCAGTTTGTGGGCCCATAAAACAACTGCATATCGTTTCAACTATTCTCACTATTAGTAATTTATTAGGATCTGTTGAATCAGGAACACTTCCAGTTAGGTGCCCATAAGCAATAAGTTTTTGTAAACAGTCTAGAGCAGTAACAACTATTCTTGGAGATTTACTTTGACATGCCAGTTCGAAAGGTAAAAAATATTTTTCAGCTGAAATAACATTCGAATCATTTTTTGGTTGAGGTAATGCATTAGAAATTGTTTCTTCTCCTTGAATGTTAGGTATTTCCTTTATTTCATTGCGTAAATCATCTTTCAAAAAAATAAATTAAATTAATATAATGAAACTTTAAATTAAGAAAGATAACAAAAAGATTTTTACCTAATGCTGACTCGCAAGCTTTTCGGAGCTGTGACAAGTGGGAACGTTTAACATCCTTATCAGCGAGAATCTTTTCTAAAGCTCTTACTATAAACATTTCTCTTGTTTTAGAATTATTTCGCATCGTCGATAGAAAATCCAAGTGGCTCAAATAATCTTCACCTAACAGGTATGCACTGATTTAAACGGTGATATTTTAGATAAGTAAGAAACGAGGTTAAAAATGTCAATATATGTTGACGTAAGCATCTTTTCTTCAACTTTGTAATTATCAAATAGTTATTGATAATCGAACCCCTATAATTTTAGATTAATTTCCATCTTAATTATGACGTATCGAAGGGGCGTTACATTATCTTTTATAATTAAATATCTCTCTTATAAATAATATTTTACTCTGTTTAACACTTAAAATTGATTTCTTTACTTTATTATTTTCATTTTACATAATTATTTATGAGAAGTTTACGAATTTTAACACGTTGCTTATTCATGAAAATATAGTTACATGAAATTTTGACGTTACTGGAATGTGTTTTACATACAGAACAAATGTTCCTTTTCACGACACGGCAGAAAGTTTTTTCTTAAATTACTACAGCCATTTCACAGGTAAAGAAGAGTCACACACAAATGTCATATAAATCTTATCAAGACAATTCGCTAGGTGGCTCAGAAAATTACATTCTCTCCATGAAAGTAAGAATGACGCAAGTTTTTCATTAGAAATGCCAATCGGTAATTGACAGATATATTTTCCGTAAATCACCGGTAAAAAACGCGTCAATGACCGAGCCCATCATTTCACCATACCGGTTAGAAACATGCTGATCTCTAATTGGTGAATACATATATCCAATTGCAGTTTATAATTCTCAATGGCGTTTTATTCGTGCATGTGTATTTTATAAAAGTGAAATTTACCAAAAACTTTAAAATATAAATGTTTATGATAATTTTTAACACATTTATATATTATTTTTATCATAGTAGTCGAAAATACAAACAAATTTTTATTAAAAATTGAAAAATTTTTTTTTTCATAATGCGTATTATGAATACAATTATTGTACAATAATCGATTGATTTTAAATTAATAAACACAAAAGGCAAAATATTCAATTTAGGGTAAGCTTGGTAATAATGTATTGCAAGTATAGTCGAACTGAGAAGAGAGTTCCTCATGTGCTCTTGTACGCTTGCGCAGTTACGAAAAACGTGGTAGAAAGAGTAAGAAATCAGTGGTGGGGAGCCCGAAAGCATTGAATCAACTGAGGAACCCTTTTCTCAGTTCGACCAGAGAAAAAAAATAATATAGAAGAACCACCGCATAGGGATCCGTTGGACGAATTTTTGGGGATACATATGACATTTTAGCATTTGCTTTGTATTCCCAGCCATATAACAGCAGGTAAAAATTACCGTCCAACAGCTCTCATTGGGATGGTTCTTCTATATATTGAGCGTTTTCCATTTAGAAAAAAAAGTCGACACAGTGCAACACAGTGTCGACCATACTATAGCAAAAACCCAATGCCAACTAAAGCTTGGTAACTTCAATACTTTCATTGGCAACACTACTTTTTCACAACGACCAGCAAATTAATGATTGACTTTTAAAAAAAATAATGGATAATACAGGTAAATTGAGAAAATTATCAGATATAAAAGTTTTTCGTTATGAAATTAAGGTAGTATCTTTTATTATTTACACAATGCAATGCTATGTAAATGTCAATGTATGTATGATCTCAAAATTCTCATTTTTTTTACACATTTTAAAAAAAAATTTTTTTTCTCCTAGTAACTTTTATAAGCTGCCCTCTATCGAAACACAATAAAAGTAAATGCTCCATTTAATAAAATTAGTCGAAACAGTGTCAAACACAGAGAGGTTTTCTTTAAATGGAAAACGCCCATTATCTCTTTTCTCTGGTTTAACTATATGTAGACTAGCCAACCACTGACGGTAGTTGGCAAACCTGGTGAAGCTCATCCTAAAGACTTATCCCTATAATAGAAATGTAGTAAGGCTTGCCCATATGAGAACACACAACTTCCCCCAGTATAGCTTAGCCTCAAGTTTGGAATTTGCAAAATTTTTATTTTTTATTCTTCTAGTAAAGTCGTATTTCACATTTGGAAATAATATGTGTCTATTCAAATTGAAAGACTAATAATAAATAAAAATTTGACTACTTTGTGTATAATTGTGATAAATACTGATATATTTAATACGATTATCTTTGTGATAATTCAGTCATTTGGCATGTGAGAATATCATTTGAAGTCTTGACAATAATCAATCGTGTATAGTAGATAATATTTTATTATTATATTCAAGTTTAACAAGGATTTAAGTCCTTGGTCTTTACTTACTGTACACTTTCATTTCAATTTGTTAGTGCAATTTTTTTTAAACTTATTATCTTACATGAAAATAATTTGATAAGTAGATAAATATAAAACGTAATTAAACCTATAGTTATCATAATGATAAAAAAATGGATTAAGTAAATTTATTTAGATTTATCATAGAAATATTACGAATAGTTTGATATGATTATGAACGATAATTGTGACCGTGATATTGTGATGTATCAAAACTAGCAATAGTTAACAGTCATAAAATTTTAAAAATCTATTCTTGTATAATAATTTACGATTCCAAAGAGAAATTAGTTATAAATTAATCAACTTTGATTAGTTAAAAAGTATTTAAATCATTATTAAGAGAATTGCCAAATTAACTAAGCATTTTTACATTTGAAGCTCATGTGAATTTTACTTCAATTTTTAAGATGAATGTAAGTTACATTTTTTCTATAAGATATTTCAATGTAAGATTAATATTTCACATAAAGATATAAAATTCATTCATAAATAATAAAAATAGAAAAAAAAGTTATAATCTAAAAATGAATGATCGTCAAAAAAGTATTAATAATTTGAATTATCATTCTTACTAATAAATTTTAAATGAAATTCGATATCTATAATACAGAAATTATTTTAAGAATATTATCTTGGTTCTATACATTTTTGGCACCAATGCCAAATATCTATCTTTAATTGAAATTACATAATTGTTACTATAAGTATTAAAAATACCAAATGATTGTTATAAAATTTTAATTAATAGAATATCATGAAAAAAACATTCAAGATATAATTAAATATTCACTTCAAGTAATTATTTCTAACATGAGTTTTGTTGATAAATATTTTCAGGTTATTAAAAGGTATGCTGCATTGTGCCTCGGAGGTGGTTGACTCATCGTCAGCTTCTTGATATGATCGAAAGTGTATCAAGACGAGCGCTGAGTGGCTCCAGTGGGAGCTACCACGTTCGAGGAGCCGAACTGGCACGCGATAGAAGATTAAAATCACTTGCGACCACTGTTGTTTTTCTTGATGACACCCAGCATACATTTCAACTAGATGTAATTTTTCATTCAACATCATTCAACTATTTGTTATTTAATTTTTTGAATGTATCTAATTAATTTATTTATTATATTTTTTTACAGAAACGAGCTAAAGGTCAGGTACTTTTAGACCTTGTGTTTCATCATTTAGAACTTATCGAGAAGGATTATTTTGGCTTGCAATATGCTGAAAACAGCAATTCATCAATTTGTTCCAATTCAGATGTTATGGTTTGGATATTTATACTATTATTTATAATATTTATCAGAATACTTAACAAATCATTTATATTTTCTTTTAGCGATGGTTAGACCCTTCAAAACTTATCAAAAAACAAATAAGGAACAAAGGTAAACACTACAATTTTATAATAAAAATCAATAAAATAATTTAAAATACTGCATATTAATTATTAATCAAAAATTAATGTTTCATCAAAGGTGGACATTTTTTCTTCAAAGTTAAATTTTACGTATCTGATCCGAGTAAACTTCAAGAAGAATATACTCGGTATCAATTTTATCTTCAAATAAGAAAAGATATTCTTCAAGAAAAATTACATCTTCCACCTAGTACCGCTTGTCTTATTGCTAGTTATACAGTTCAATGTAAGTAAAACTAAGACAAATACAAACAATATTATATATTAAATGATTCTTAATGTACTAGCTGAACTGGGTGATTATCATCCAGAGGAACACGGCCCAGGATATTTATCAAAACTTCAACTTATTCCTGGTCAAACTGAAGAAATGGAAAAGAAAATAACCGAACTTCATAAACTTCATAAGTATTTAATTAATTTATTATTTGATTTATTTAAATTAATAAATGACAATTTTTCAGAAAATTTTGTTTTTGTATTTCAAAGCATTTTATAATTTTATATTATTATTTTTCATATAGAGGACAGTTACCGGCTGATGCAGAGTTTAATTTTCTTGATCATGCGAAAAGACTTGATATGTATGGAGTTGAATTACATAAAGCAAGGGTAGGTTTATTTACTCTTAAAATATCATATTTAATAAATATTCCAAAATATGTAATAATTATTTATAAATTTTCCATTAGGATTCAACAAATAGAGACATTCAACTAGGTGTTACATCAATTGGATTAGTAGTTTTTCAGAACAATATAAAAATCAATGTATTCTCGTGGGCAAAAATAGTGAAAATTTCTTTTAAAAGAAAGCAGTTCTTTATTCAACTACGTAGAGAACAAGTAAGTATATTAAAAATTTTAATTAGTCTAAAACAGATTTGCATAAATATGAAATTTCAACTTAAAATGTAATTGTTTTATTTAAGGATAAATTAAGTGTCATTATTCATATATCAGTACTTGTTTTTGATCGAGTTTCGGCCAATTTAATTTTTACTTAACTGTCATTTGTTTTTTTTTTTCTAATTTTTCTGTTGTTTAAACAAGTTTTTATAATAATTCTATCTTATATAAATTAATCGAATTGAATTATTATTATATGTTAAATTGATAGTAATTAATTTTTTTTTTAATTTTATTACAGTCAGAAAATTATGATACATTATTGGGCTTTAATATGCAGACATATCGTAGTTCGAAAAATTTATGGAAAGCTTGTGTAGAGCATCATACCTTTTTTCGACTTCATAGTCCGAAAATGCGACCTAGACGTTTTCCTTTAACTCTGAGTAGTCGGTTTACATATTCTGGTCGAACAGAATATCAAACAGTAGAAGATAACAAATATCGTGCCCGTGTTGAAAGAACATTCATTAGGTAAGATTGATTACATTAAAGTAATCTAATAACTCGAAGATTTTTGTTTTTATTTTTTGAGTATAAAAAAAATATTTATTATTTATTTATAAATATCAGATCTCCTAGTAAACGATTAGTTCATGGAGTAAACCAATTGCCCGTCGTTGAAGAAAAAGGAAGAATAGTAATAGCACCAGTGAAACCGTCAAGACCTCACGACAATAAGGTTCAATCTCTTGGATCTCGAGAACCAAGGCAAGCGTGGGGAGAAGGGAATCCCAGTGATGAGTGCGTATTGTTTTTTTTTGTTTTTTATTTATTTATAAATATTCGATACATCAATTGATTTTATAGTGTGATTTTATGGTAAAACAATAAGATTTAAAAAATTTTAATTATTCTGCATGTTGTGCTATGCTATTAAATATTATCGCTCCACAGTGAGGGTGGTTTTTTGTCCCTCAGAAATGAAATAACAGGATCACATACACAAAGTGGTGCCTTTTCACCTGTTTTGGGCTCAAGAATTTTAAGTTATGTTGATGACGACACAGCAATTGAGAGAAATATTTATGATCTTCCTGATTATAGCGAACCAACAAGTTCTCCAGCACCACAGGTAAATCATAATATTAATTGATAAGTAACTTGAAACTATTTAGAAAAGCATTTAAGTATTTTCAATAATTTGAAAGAACAACTATTCAATAATATTCATTTGTGAGAAATTATTTCAGATATTGGAAGAGGGTTTGGTGACAATAAGATTGACACCAGACGAACAAGGACGTTTTGGCTTCAATGTGAAAGGAGGTTTAGACCTTGATATGCCCATCTTAGTGTCTCGTGTTGCGCCAAACACTCCAGCAGATCGCTGTTATCCCAAATTAAATGAAGGCGACCAGGTAAGTTAATCGAATGGATATGAAGTAATTATTTTATAAATACCGTTATTAACTATTTCTTAAATTGATTAATTTACTTAATTCTATTCAGGTTTTATACATCAACGGAATTGATGTTAACGGGATGCTTCATGAACACGTAGTAAATTTAATACGTCAATCAAGAGATACAGGAAATGGTGAATTAACTTTAACAGTTCGTCCGAACGCTCTTTATAATGCACTTACTGGGACTGATGAAATATCGGAGGAAGAACCTCCATATCGGTAATAGTTCATTTTCTTTACCTTATTAATCATTAAACTGATGTAATATTAATCTGTAAGTTAATGTATTTGAATTACTTTTATGCTTTTTATAGTATGATTTGGTAACTACCATGAGAAAGAAAATGAAAATGAGTACTTTTTTTTAGTTAAATAGTACACAAATTTTCAAACTATGTGTATATATTTAATTCAAGATATACCATTTTTAAGATATTCTTGAAGCATTTTATTATCAATTAATTATTTGAGCTATCCTTAGAATCATATCTAAAGTTTAAAAAAGACATATAGCTCAGTTAATATACTTGAGAAAATATCAGAAATTGAAAGTCCGAATAGAAAGTCCAAATAAAATTAAATTTGTTTTAAAAAATAATGACATTTAATTAATGCCAAATTTAATACATTAGGCATATATGTAGCTGTCGATTAAAAAACATTTCAAAAAGTTTATTTATTGATGAACTACAATCAATTGTTTAAACAAAAAAACAGTGGTATCCTTTGTACATACATTTAAATACCTCGATAACTATGAGCCGTAAAGAGTTGAAACTTATCTCGAAAATTCATATTGACGATTGCTGTCACTAAAAAGAACCGATTAAGCAAATTTGATCAATGTTCAACAGATTTTCAATTTCAAAAGCATATTGACTGGACTAACCATAGAATATTGAGAAAATTAAAACAATTTAACTCTCTTTCCCCCTCTCCCTCCCTCTTTATATTCTATCTGTATAAAAATTTTGATTTTAAACGGTAGGTCAATATTTCTTAAAAAATTTTCTATAGAGCATTCTAATCAACTAAATTCTGTTTATATAAATGTACTTTAATTTTTATCATCAATGAAACGAGAATCACTTGAGTAGTGTAATTTGTACATGGATTGATTAGTCACCGAATTTATTACTGTTATTTTTTGTATCTATTGTTAGCTACTGCTACTGATAATTTTCGAGATCCTAACAAAAAACGTGAAAAATTTTCAATGTTGATTTTAGGATTGATTATATTTCAATTTTTTACTGAAAAATGAATAATAAATTTTTTCGACAGATATGTACCTGACGCTCCTCATGCTGTGGTTGGCTCAGACGCTCTCGCACAATCAATGCTTCTCCTTGCAGATGGTTTAGCAAGTGGAGCTCTCATAGCTCAATATGAACAACTTTATAGAAAAAATCCCGAATTGACATCTTTAGAATCCAAGAAAGTTGAAAATCAAAATAAAAATCGTTATCGTGACATTTCGCCCTACGACGTAACACGGGTTATTCTAATGGGTTGCATCAATGGTGATTACATCAATGCTAATTATGTTAATATGGAAATACCTGGCTCAGGAATAATTAATCGTTATATAGCAACACAAGGTCCACTTGCATCCACTGTTTCTGATTTTTGGCAAATGGTTCTTGAAGCTGGAAGTACTTTAGTTGTTATGTTAACAACTTTAGTGGAACGTGGCCGTACTAAGTGCCATCAATATTGGCCTCTTCTCAATGAAACACTTACTTTACGAAATCTTATGTTGATTTCAACATCTGAAAAAGTCGAAGATACTTTCGTCTTCCGTGAATTCATTTTAAGAGATGTTAATGTAAGTAATTTTACTTTTTTTATTTATATTTCAAAATTTTTTTTAATATAAATAATGTTTACTTAGAATTATTCATATATATTGCATGAAATAATCATTTGAATTTATACATAAAAATATAAATTTTTAATTTATTGAATAACTTAACTAAAAGGTATTAAATTTAAAATTATTTCATACACATTTATTCAGATTTTTTATTATTAACGATCATAACAATTGAAAAAGTTGACAAAAATTAACTTATAGACTGGTGAAGAAAGAGACATAACACATATGCAGTATTGTGGTTGGCCTGATCATGGAGTTCCAAATGATTGGCATCAATTTACTAAATTTACTGAACGTGTTCGAGCTGCAAGAAAAGGTATGGTAGAACCTGCAGTAGTTCACTGTTCAGCTGGAATCGGTCGCACAGGTGTTTTAGTATTGATGGAAACAGCTCTTTGTTTAATTGAAGCTAATCAACCTGTCTATCCACTTGATATTGTCCGATCAATGCGAGATCAAAGAGCAATGATGATTCAAAATGCTGTAAGTTTCCATTTAAAATGTAATTTATTTAATTATTCATTCATACTAATAATCTTTTCTAGTCGTAACCGCCTTCATTTTTTATTTTCAACTAATGTAGAAGTAATCTTATTTTTTATTATAAAATATAAAAGGTCAATAAAAGATACTTTCATCACTGATTACGGTATTTTTTTAATAAATCTTTTATGTTTAAATATAATAAAAAACATTGTGAAAATTTTAGTCATAAAATAAAGGTGTTATTAAATTAAAATTTTCAGTATTAAAATAATTATGTAAAAAAATGTATGATTTTTTTTTTATTTTCTATAATTATAAATTTCAATGACACAATGATTAGTTAAATAGTTTGATTTATTTTTATTTTTCAGAGTCAGTACAAATTCGTTTGTGAAGCAGTTCACAAAGCATACACTGAAGGTATTGCTAAACCACTATTGGAGTTTAGCCGATAAATTGTCTGCAGTATAGTAATGGGCTGAATCACTTAACATAAAAGAACTTGGAACAGAGAGAATCTCCGCCTTGGAAGATAAATTGTAAAGATCGTTTTTCTATGTAATAGGAAAATTCGGTTTATAAAAAAATAATTTTTTCTTTCTATATAGACAATAATAATAATAATAATAATAATAATAATAATAATAATTCTAAGAATACAATTACAAATATATTCTATTCGAAATAGCGTAAATACTCACAATGACGTCTCGGACGTGTGATAAATTATTAATTAATATCCACTGAAAATTAATAAGAAATCATGTAAAAATGAAGAAAAAAAATTCTTGAAAAAGCTGAAATAATATTCCATCTAATTATTGTATTTTATATACTAATAATAGTTTATTATAATGGAAAAAATACAAAACAACATAGTGTAATCAAAAAGTTAATAAGGCCAACTAAAAACCGTTAATTCTTTATGTATCTATTTTTTTACTATCATACTTAAGTGATCATTTATTTCTGTCACAAACATATTTGTATATAATATATAGAGATATCATTTTTATTAATCTAAAATTGTGCCAGAAATTTGGTAACTAATTGTTACATACGCCAATAAATACTTTATCTATTATAATAAGAAATAAAAAGAAAAATAAGGTAAATGATAATCATTTTTTTTTTAATTTTCGAAAGATATTAATTATTCTGATATGTAATAGATATCTTTTTTTTTTTTACAATCAATGAAACTTATTCATTTTTTTTTAATTAATATCATTGAAAATGATCAAATTGAAAAAAAAAATTTTTTTTTTGCGTTCTATAAAATTAAGAATTAAGAGTATTTTAAAAGTAATAATAATATTAACACATAAAGGACATTTTAACTCATATGAGTCGGTAGATTTCTAGTCTCGTTTTTATTTTGTACTCTTGAATAAAAAGAAATAATAAAGTGAAAATTTTGTAATAACTAAAAATTTTCTTTTAAGTAATTCCGTATCCATTTCATATTGAGGTCGAATTAAATAAGACAACTACAAAGAATCCCTTCTCTCTCGTTAACGGAAGATGTATATTTGGACTCTAGTAAAAGGATAGTATGCTCAAACCTTACCTGTCCACCTCTTTTCAACGATTCAAACCCAATCAAGTATAAAAGCTCGTGAGCTCAACACAATTTCACTTAGTCTTATTTACCGATACTTCTGAACGTTTTATTTCTAACTTAGTCATCTCTTCAACAAATGTAAGTATTTAAAAGTTTACTATTTATTTTATTTAAAATGTTATATTAAAACAAATTTTTCTACTTATATGAAAATAATTAAAATTATTTTTTAAATAAAAATTGTGTCTAATTTACTATATATAAAGAATTGACAAAAAAATAATCTATTTATCTGTTTAAGTTAATATTGATTAATAATATTTATTTGAAAATCTATTGTGATAAATAAGTTTAATAATTTAAATTTAAAATGAATAATGACATTTTTATTATACAGATGAAGGCACTCATTCTTGTTGTACTTACAACAATGGTTTATGCTTCTGTGGCATTTCCGCAAATAAAAGAAGGCCAAGCTTTCAGTAATGAAGCTATTAACCAAGCACGTAATACACAATTAATTCCTAAGAATGCATATATCAGTGGAGTTCTAGAAAGTAGAGAAGTTGCTGCAGTTACATCGATTCCTGGTGATCAATCAATTAATCTAGGCGGCCTTTTACCGGGTGTACCAGACGATGTCGTCTTCCAACTTAAACGACAAATTGAAAAGATTGGTCTTAATTAAATCATTTATTAATAATTTTCTTTTTTTTTAAATAAAAATTCATCAATTTTATATACATTTAATCTACCACATCAAGTATCTTAACATAATTTGTACACATTTTTTTTTATGCCAAGTGAATTTCTTTCAATTATGTCGTTTTTATCAACTTTTTTCATCATTTCATATTATTGTCAATTATTAAACTGATAATATTAGTGTACAAAATAATTCCAAAAGTGAAATTAAATTATATAGTAAGCGTCAAATGATGAGACAGAGAAAGCTACTTAACAACTCCAACAATTCATACTTTCACTTCTGTATTATTCAGATGGCTAATTGAAGCTATTGTAAATGTTATATTGTAGTTTATTGAAACGAACTTTTTTTTATACTATTAACTTCAAAATTGTGAAATAATTCAATAATTATATTTTTTTATACTTGTTTTAAATAAAAAATTATCGTTTTAATTGATGAATTAAATTTTATTTTATTTTCTTAGAAAAAAAGATCAATGAAAACAGGTCACGTCAATGTTTACTTTTACATGATACAATATAAAATAACATCAATCATTTGTACACCATTGATGATGAATAATTTATAAATATTCATAGATAATTTTAATAAATAATATAGAACTTTTAAAGTAATTTTTTTTTGTGTGTTAATGAAAAACATGAAGACGTAAAAAAGATAAAAAAAATGAATATTTATTTTCATTTTTAACAATAAACGTGATAAGAAAAATTTTAAAAAAAGAATTGATGATTGATCCTTGATCATCTGTTATTAATTTTCTGATTTTCAAATAGGTAAGTTAAATATTTTTTAGGGCTCACTTATTATTTATAATAAATGTATACAGCCTAGAGGAACTAAAATTATTCGCTTCTACATAATTCAAAATAAAATATCTGATAATGATACCATTATTTTGTTTTCAATACATCTTCTGACTTTTTTTCAATTTTATTTTCTGAAAACAATGGAAAAGAAATAAATTAGAAATAAAATAATTTTAAAATATTTATTTTCTCATCTATACTTACTTGGACTTTTTGGAAATTTTTCTATCAGAGCTCTCATCACGTGACCTTTTTTTACTGTTTGATGAAGAATATGATGACTTGTGCTTATCGTGTTTATCACTCTTTTTGGGACTAAACAAAGAATAATGAAGGTAGTTGAAAATAAATAAAATATTAAAAAATATAATCACCTGTGTTTGGACGATTTGGAAGGAGACACTTTCTTGTGTGATCTCCCACTCCGTGATCGGTCCATTCTTTAATTTTAATAGAGTATTTACAATGTATAAACTAAATTTGATACAAAAATAAATATAATACAATTACCTGTGTTTATCCGAAGATCTTCTATCTTTGTCTCTAGAAGAATGTTTAGAGTTTGAAGTACTTTTGTGTTTCGAACTATGTCTATGTTTTGATGGAGATTCATGTTTGGTCTTTTTTTTCTTGCTATAATCTTCATATCGATTATCACCACGCTCTTTATCTTCTTCTGCAGCTTCTCGTTCGAGATCAGACCAATCTTTTCCTGACTCTTCTGAACTTCCAAGTTCTTCTTCTTCACTATCTGACTCTTCAGATGCTTCTGAATAATCCGAATCATCATCAGATTCTTCTTCACTATCCATATCTGAAGGTTCATAAGCGTCATCTTCTTCTTCTTCTTCATCTTCAACATCTTCATTTTCAGCATCGCTTTCTGGATCTAAAAATGTCCAACCACCACTTTCAAAAAACCCTTCAGGATCGTCGGTTATTGTTTTCATTATTTTTGTCCAATTAAGAGATTGAACACCTTCAGAATATCTTATGTCACAAGAATTTAACCATTCCTTCACGTGATCCAGCATGTTCATGGGAATAGCATTAACCATAGCGATTTTTTTATGATAATCTTTGAAAACAAAAATCATATCAAAATTTTTCAAATGAAATTGTACACGTTCAAAATGTACTAATTCAACATCTTCGAGAGTGATGACAAATGGTGGCCACTCTGTAAGATTAACAAGACATCCACTGGTAGGTTGAAGTAAAACAGTGCTTCTAAACGGCGCTCCAGGAAAACCAAGCTCTCTAAATGGAGTATCGAATTCAATTTCTTGCTTAGTCATAGCATCAACTTTTTCACAAAAGCTTTTAAAAGCTGTTTTGAGTTTATGTCGAAGTTCTCGTTCTGATTGTTCAGCAGCAAGATCATCGCGATCATGCATATGTTGATGTTTTCCTAAATCTGTTGTAATTTCTCCGACTTCGGTATAAAATTGAACATCAAGATGTTTTTTTTTTCCAAACATTATTGCATGTTTAAGATGAAAATGAAGAAGAATAATCATTTCACCATCACCAGGTTGAAAAAATGCATTTTTTATGTTATTATAAAGGATATCAACTTTGTCTCCCCGAACACAAGTATATCGAAATCCATTTGTATGAGCTTCTAAACCTCCAGTCATTCTTTTGGTAGCAAGATTGGGCCTTATATAAAGATCTTTAAGTTTAGGGTTACCTTTATTTTGAGATAAAATTAAAGTATCTTGTTTGACAAGATCTTCTTTTTCTCTTTCTTCAGCTTCACGATTTTTAAATTTTTTTTGAACTTCTTTGATTAATCTAAACGCTGTATTTAAATTTGATGACGGCGCTGATATTTCACCAGGTTCTTTGGTGTTTGTACTTCGATATGTTACTTCTTTAACAAAGGTCGCATCAGGTTGTGGATAAGTTCCACCTTCGTTTCGACCCATCGTAGCTCCCGGATGAAAAAAGTTTATTCTAAGGTAAGTATAATCTCCTTCTACTGATTGAGAAATATTTTTTATCGTTGATATATGAAACGGAACAGGAATTCCAAAAATTGGAAGAATTACGGTTTCGTATTTTTTATCAACATATAATTTAAGCTCTTTTACTTCTGATTCTCGTGGCATATGATTTAAACTTTTATATGACACTGTTGATTTACGTATTTTTTCTTGTTCTTTACCACCAGATTGTTGAGCTAAACGTGCTTTCGCTATTTCATTAAGTTGTTGAGCAAGTTCTTTTTGATGTTGTTTACGTTTTTCTTCAGAACTATGTTCGGTTCTAAGTTTTGATTCAATTACCGCAGTTCTTTTTCCTCGCCCTAAAATTTCTGGTTTAGATTCATTCTCTTTTCCACTGCCTTCCTCTTCATCTTCTTCTTCATCTTTTAAATAAATTCCAATATTTTTAACTTTTTTCTTTGAGTTAGTGAGAACCGTTGCCGGTTGATTTGCATCAGCAACAACTACAGTATCTCCAATAAATAAAGCATAAGTTTTTCCTTCCTTATCAGTTGCGTCAGGGTTTGTTAAATTTGAAAGACCAACATTAACATTGAAAACCATTCCTTTTTTTGCTACAGCATGAGTTTTCGGTCCAATTAATAAAGAACTTTCTCTAAATTCAATTCCCATTGCAAATCCAAAATTTTTTGTTAAATGATCTAATAAATTTGGTTTTTCTTGTTTTACATATTTTATTCCTGCTTCATAAACTGAACTTATTTTTGTTCCATGAGTCAATTTTTTTAAAATTTCTTCTTCAAGTGCCAATAAAAAATTGTAATTATTTTCAATCGCCGTAGTTGGATTAACCAACAAAGTACGAACAATATTTGAACAGTATGATTTGTATCGAGCACCGAGTGAACAAATTATTACCCCAAAATGTAAAATATTTTTATCACTTACAACGCTGAATTTCAATGTATAATTTCCTCCACTTTGAATAATAGCTGGATAACACATATCTACCTGTGATATATCAACTCCTGTTACAAATTTTTTATTTGTTACAGCAGTGTCAACACCCTCTGCTAATTTTGAATGTTTAACTTTTTTGTCTGAATCAATTATTTCCATAATCTGATCTTTTAAATATTTTGTAAAGACATCAACTGAAACTACGCAAGCTTTTTTAATCGTCAAAATTTCAATATCTTCTTTAGGGCACATTACATAAGCTGCAGCAGCACTAACATCAATCTGAAAATATTTTAAACATGATTCAATTATTTTAATATCGTTTAAATATTATAATGGATTTCAATTTAAAATACATACAGTATCGAATGACTGTTGCTTTAAAGCAGCTCTCCAAGCATCCATGAAAGCTCCAGGATAGTTTTCTTTGGAAAAAACACCTAATGTTTTACCTTTTTTACTTCCTTTTATTATTTCTATCAATTTATTAAAGTTTGCTTTATCTTCATCGCTCTAAAAATGATTTTAATTCAGGCAATAATTTCAATATTAAATTAGATAAATTGTCTTATTAATAATTAATATTTTCATTTATACCTTATTCCTAACAAATAATTTGACCGGTGGTACTCCAGTATCTTCAATTTTTTCATTTTCGACTTGTCTCAAGAATTCAATTTTCTTTTTGCTCGACAGAAAGCAGATACATTCTTCAGCCAGAATCATTATTGTATCAGTTAGTTCATAGCTCAGTAACCATGTCTTTAAAAAACAACAAGTAAAATGAAATATTCATTCAATACATACATTTAAAATATTTTAATAAATGTTAATTTTACTTGTAAAGCCATGGATTTACTATAAATAATATCTTCATCTGTTCCAACTGCCGAAACTAGACAATCCATCTTACTAAAGCTGTCGTCTGTCCCCACTTCTCCATCCTTAGATATTTAATAAATAAAAAATAATCATTTATAATAAATAGGTAATTTTTATCTGAAAAGATTTAGTTATTTAAGAAATTACCTTCCATCCTGTATATAAGCGTTTCATACGACGGAAAAATGTTTCTTTATCAAGAGAAACGTTTGCCATGATTGACGCTTTAGGTTAGGACGCTTGCAATTATCACCATGCAAATCTAAGTACTTTACTTGCTTATATTTTCACAATCTCACTTAGATAGAAAATAAAGATGATCAAACCCGTATAGAGTTTATATTACATATTTATTCTATAAATTTATTCGAAAATATAATAAAATGATGAACAAATAAATACAATTGATACAGCGGTATCGTGTGATGGCGGGATTTAGATAAGCGCTGACGCAGAAAGATATATACACTCACAGGAGGTTTTAGCGGTATAACAATATACAGGATATACGGTCACTTATAGCGAAGCCGGATATATGATATGTAAAAAAAAAAAAAATGATCTGTTATGAGAACTTATATTTGTAAATTGATAGTTTTCGCGAAAAAAATTATCAAAGTTTGGTGGATTAATTCGCGTTTCAATGGAATTTATCGCCATTATGTATCGTCACGCCACCTACAACTGTAAAAATTATTCTTCCGAAATTCAAATACGCAATGAATTTTGAAATTAAACTTGCAAATTTTATAAATAATAAAAAATTTTATTATTTAAAAATGTACTTAAGTAAAATGCGGTGCATCCTACTATTGAAATCATTTTTATAACGTTTAGTCTTTTCTATTATGTTATTCATGAGTTTAATAAAAAAATTTTTCACAGATAAACCTCAACAAGTTAGTTGGAAGAAAATAATTCAAATACGGAAGCCCGTAGAGCTCACCTCCGTTTTTTGGAAAGTGGCGCCACACAGTGACTTCCTTCAACAAAAAGTATAGAAAATAAAGAAACTTGCTCCTTCTCGAGCAACGAGTGATAAGTGTAACCTCAAATTCTCCGCTACAAGTGAGAAAAGTGAAATCTCCTACACGAAGTTGGGGATTCAAATCACATGGTAAAAGCGGAATTCTTTACACATGCCCAGCCAAAGAATGATATTCCGCAATAACAGTTAGAAAGTAGGAAAATCAGTTTTGTTATTATTGTCATTATATTAGCTCTTCTACTTTCATGATGAATACACTCGGCGTCATTAATGCCTGGTCCATCAAAAACTTTGATACCATCCGAGAAATTATCGATGGAGTAGTTTTTTTTTCAAATAGAGATTCAACATCTAAATTAATTTAGAAAGTTCATGATTAAATACCCTTTTAGATAGTCCCTACACAATAGAATATCCCGACTAAAAAAGAAGTGTTTAAATTATTATTATTATTATTATTATTATTATTATTATTATTATTATTATTATTATTATTATTATTATTATCATCTTGCGATTCGTCAGAGGTGTTTGGCCAGGGATCCCAGGGCTCCGACCCACTTGGGGCCTGACCAGACGGAATTATCCTGCAGGCACCTGACTCCCTCAGGTTTGAGGGTGAGCCGGGGCTGCAGCCGTTCAGTCATTTGTTACAGTCGTCTCAGGATTCGGAGAGAACCAAGGATGACCGCTTTCTGCATACGAGCCGCGAGAATCTCAGCCTGACTACGGCAGACTGGTATTGTTCGAAGCTCTGTCAGAAAGCGGTCCCTCATCCCTCCGAGGGCGCCAATCACCAGGACTATCACGTGCGCTGTGTATTCGTGATAGACATTTCTCATGACCTCCATGAGCTCTCTGTAGCGTTCCTATTTACTCTCTTCTTTTGCACGTATATTTGTCTCAGCCGGGGCTGAGAACTCAATGTAATATACGTGCTTGGTGGTATGGTCGAAAAGAGTAATATCCGGCTTATTGTGTTCAATACGTTGGGGCGTAGAGAGCGGGTAATTCCAAAGAATTTTTGCTCTCCCGTGCTCAACGACTGACTCAATTTCACCGGGCACATAGGGCAGCACTGGTGTCTCGTCTATTCCATAAGAGTGCCGAAGGTGGTAATACAGCACTCTCAGGGCGGCGTTATGCCGGTGAATGTAGGCTGAGCGCGCTAATATCGGACAAGCCGATAAAACATGAAATAGCGTCTCATCTACATCACCGTGGCAAACTCGGCATCTTGTGTCCTCGAGTTGCTCGTGCATAACATCACGCCGATAGGCGAGGGTGGAAAATACACCATCTTGGCAGGCCATAATGAATCCTTCGGTCTCAGAGAACAAGCCAGCTGACTTTTGAGGTATTGAAAAGTTAGCTGGTGTGACAAGTCCTGTGTGTCGAGATGACGATAAAACACACCATGTAAGGACTTTGCCACATGTTCGTCGAGCAGTTTTAACTGCTCGGTTGTTTTTATATCGACCTTTCGCTGCCCTCTGGTCAATTGCAAAAGCCTTAGACCGTCTGGACTGCTAGGGTCGAAAACTGAGCCGAGGTTCTGCGCTGCCTGATATGCTGCTCTATATAGGAACGCATCCTTTCCCAATAGTTCAAAGCTGTTCACGAACTTGAGAAGAGGATCAGAGCTTTCATAGATGTCATAAGCCAGGCCTATCACTAACCTGTCATGTAGACACTCCAAACTTAGTAGTCCACGCCCTCCCAGATCACGGGGAAAGTATAGGCGTTGGACAGAAGATCGCGGGTGATGACTTCGATATAATGTCATCACTTTCCTCGTGATAATGTCCAGATCTTTAAGCTCTTTTCGGAGCCATTTAAGAACTCCGAATGAGTATAGCAAGACTGGGACAGCGAGCATATTCGTGGCTTTGACTTTGTTAGGGCCTGATAATTCAGAGCCCCATATTCTCTTAAGTCGCCACTTGTACTCACTGCGGAGAGTATCTTTGATGACAGACACGTCCTGCAAAGGAGATTGTGCCTGTCCAAGATATCGGTATGACTCTCCAGCATCCAGATGTTTTATGATGCTCCCGTCTATAAGCTCGACATTATCACTCCAGTTCGGCGATCTTCCTTTTACTAAGTGGGCAACTGCGCACTTGTCCAACCCAAACTCCATGCCGATTGCACTGGTATACTCGGAAACAACTTCAAGGGCTGTTCGGAGTCTCTCAGGACTTGCCGCGTACACTTTCAAGTCATCCATATAAAATAGATGTGTGACTTTGTGTACGCGGTTGGAGACTCGTCCGGCTTTATATCCAGGCGTTCGGCGTAGAGTGACAGATAATGGCAGCAGTGAGATGCAAAATAGGAGAGGACTCAGGGTATCTCCCTGGTATACGCCTCTCCTAAATGGCACTGCTCTGGTAGACACTCTTGTTTCACCAGATGTTACGGTGAAACGTGTCCTCCAGAGCGGCATCAGATGTTCGATGCATCTCACTATTTGTGGGGGTACTGAAAGGCATTCGAGCAAGTAGAGGAGAAGCTCGTGTGATGTTGTATCAAATGCCTTTCTGTAATCCACCCAGGCCATTGACAAGTTGCGCTTGTAGTAGTATGCGCCCATTGTGACGCATCGGTCTACTAGCAAGTTCTCCTTGCAACCTGTCAAGCCACGCTTGCTGCCACGTTGTTCGTTTATCTGTCTCCATACAGGTTCTATTGCAGTCAAAATCCTCTCGTTCAAAATCTTTGTAAACAATTTGTAGAGAGTATTTAGACATGCAATAGGCCTGTAGTTTTTGGGGTTGGACAGATCACCACTTTTGGGGATCAGCACAGTACGCCCTTCAACGAGCCATCCAGGAATGGGTGTATCTCCTCCAAGATATTCTGAGAAGATACGAGCCAGATGCTGGTGGGATGAGGTCAATTTCTTCCACCAGAAGGTGGGGATTGCATCTGGCCCAGGGGCAGCCCAGTTCTTTGTGCCCCTTAGAGCATTCCTGATTTCATCCATGCTGACTCGTTGAAACTCTTCAGGAATTCGTGATAGATGTTCGTCACAGAATTCTCTGAAAAGTTGAAGGGCTGGAGTGTCTACATCTAGCGCACTAGCGCGACCATATATTTCGGTCCAGTAGGTTTCAACTCTTTCTGCACTCGGGGGCTCATAAGTGACAGGGGCTTGCGGCTTAAGGAAGCGCGAAGGGTCAGATTGGAACAATCTGTTGTCCCTTCGTCGCTTGTACCGCTTTGCTAATGACTTTTTAATGGCCATTAGCGATCTTATTTTGCCTGTGTACCTTTCCTTTAGGATCAGTAACACGGCCGTATTCACAGTGTGATGTTCACGTCTGATACTCGCCACGATACGCCGAATTCTTGGCGTATAAGGCCTGTGAGTATTTAAGTGATCCATCACACTCTGAATACGAGATGCACCCTGTCGAGCCTTCTTGATCTTAATTGCAATCTGTTCGATGCGTCTTTTCAGGCTTAACTCAGGATTGACAGGTGTTCGTCTGCCCTGAGTAAACCCTCGAGCCACATCATAGACTGCATTGTTGAGTGCAAAAAGATCTACACTATCTGGTACCCGATGGTCGAGATCTTGATTAGCGCTAGCTAGGTGTTCTGCAGAGAGCGTAATTTTCCGGAGAAAACTACCCTCTCTGCTGGTGAAGTCCTGTTGATTGGTGCCCTCAGGGGGAGGAGATGGGGGTTCTGCAGTGAGAGAAGGGTGGCTCAATATCTCGAGCTGCTGCCCAGTGTAAGTGTAGCAGCTTCACGTATTTAAAAGTACAACAGTAATTGTTGTAATTATTATAAGATTACTTTTCATCTATTTATTAATTACTGAATATTTAATCATTAAATTACTTCATCAGTAATGGTCACTAATTTAAATTGACCAATACCAATGGGTATAACAGTAACGTTTTATTATTAATATGATTATTTATATTTTGAAATTTTTAAATTTAATAAGAAAAAAATTTTAGCATGAGTACTTCGTATACTTAATTTAAGTATATAATATATTTGCAGTGAAGAATTGACATACTTGAATCAAGTAACAAGTATTTTCTTATTAATAAAAAAGGATTCATAATGTGAGAACATGGTTTTTGAAGTGTAAAACAGTATTATACTTAGCATAAGTACGCTTTATACGGGATCTCCGTATAAAATACACTTGTGGTAAGTAAGGAAGATCCTCAGTGTAAGAAAACTATATTATCAACTGAAGTAAACTTTGTAATCTTCTTTTATTATCTACCTACTTGAGATAAGCAAAATATTTACAAAAATGCAGTAATCGCTATTCTTGGTATAAATTAATATTATATTAGGATTGAGTGATGAAAAATTTGAAATCAAGTTAATGTTATTATGATTGTACAGTACACTTTAAACTTCATTTTGATATAAAATGTACTTGCATCAAAAAATAATTATACTCAAATTGAGTATATTTTGTGTTTGCCGCTAGTATACTTTCTAGCTATCACATTTTTTCTGTCAGTGTATATATATATAGTCGGACTGAGAAGAGTGTTCCTCAGATGCTCTTCATGTGTTCTTGTACGCTTGCGCAGTAGTAAAAAACATGGTAGAAGGGGTAGAAAATCAGTGGTGGGGAGCCCGAAAGCATTGAAGCAACTGAGGAACTCTTTTCTCAGTTCGACTGTATATATATATATATGTGATTCTCTCAGTGCAGTTAACCTAACCATAATTAGTGGTTATCTGATTTTTTAAATTAAAAGTAATTTTTTAAATTATAAAATCGAAAATGGGGAAAAAACATAGCGATAAAAAAAAAGTAAATGGTAAAATTAAAACAGCATTGAAAACTGAAAAGAATTTGAATGCGAAACAAAAAAAAAAACTACAAGCTATGGGAGAGGTTAGAATTAGAAAATTAAACGTACAAATTTCATTTTAAAGAACATTATAATGATTAAAATAATGGGAATATTATTATTTCTTTCAGGAAGATATCGAAAAAGTTATTGCTGAAATTGAAAAAGAAGAAGCTCAAAGACAAAAAGTAATTGAAGCGGCTGTAGATCAGCCATCTAGAAGAGTTAACTTCACTTTAACACCACATCCTTTTAAAAATGAACTTATTATGTATGGCGGAGAATTTTATGACGGTCAAAATACAACAGTGTACGGAGATCTTTTTTTTTATAATCTGTCAAAACAATCATGGACAGTAATCAAGGCACCTGGTGCACCACCTCCAAGATGTGGCCATCAAGCACTTACTATTCCTAATAATAAAGGAGAGATGTGGATGTTTGGTGGTGAATTTTCTAGCCCATCTGAATCACAATTTTATCACTTTAGAGATTTGTGGGTGTATCGTATAACAGAAAAAAAATGGGAGAAAATTGTAGCATCTGGTGGTCCTAGTCCAAGAAGTGGTCATAGAATGGTATATATGAAAAAACAATTATTTATTTTTAGTGGATTTCATGATAATCTTAGAGAATATAAATACTTTAATGATTTATACAAATTTGATTTAACATCATATCAATGGAATAAGATTGAAATTTACGGAAATATACCATCACCAAGATCAGGGTGCATATTTCTCCCAACGCCCGATAATAAACTTCTTGTTTACGGAGGATATTGTAAAGAAAAAATTAAAAAAAATGTAGACAAAGGTCATATTCATTCAGATATGTTCATTTTAAGTCCAGATAAACGAGATGAAACAAATAAAAAATGGAAATCTGCTTTTGTTAAACAAAGTGGAACAAAATTTTCTCCGAGATGTAGCTCAACGGCAGTTTTGATACAACCAAACATAGCTTATATTTTTGGAGGTGTTTATGATAATGAAGATGAAGAAGAACTACGAGGAGTTTTTTTTAATGATCTTCTCGTATTGGATATTGAAAAATATTACTGGAGTATTGTTAAGATTTCTAATAAAAATGATAAATCACAAACAATACAAAAATTAATTGGTGATGATGATGATGATAATAATATTAATATGCGGTGTTCTACGCGAGAAGACAAATCTACACCAGTAGTAACAGTAATAAATGATGGAATATTTACTATGACTATTGGTTCAGCTACGGAAACTTCTGCTATAGTACAAAAAAATCAAACAAACACAGTTATTTTTTCTCCGTCTCCTCGAATAAATACAGGACTTGTTGTAAAAGATAATGCGCTTTACTTATATGGTGGACTTTACGAAGATGGAGACTGTCAATATACTTTAAATGATTTTTATAGTTTAGATTTACACAAATTAAATGAATGGCATACAATAATCAAAAATGATATTTCGTCTCATGTTTGGTTAGATTCAGAAAGTTCTACATCCGAAAGTTATAATGATGATAGTTATAGTGATGATAGTGATGATAATTTGTGAATTAAATATGCAATTTATAATAATATTTCTTTATAATTTCATTACTTTGAATGTTTAAAAAAATCAATAATTTTACATTTTTTATTTACACAATAAATAAAAAAAATTGTATCAATTATTATGTACAAATTATTATTTCAATGAGCTTCGTCCATTGCAATCCCAATCAATTTAAACCTAAATATGTAAATAATGAAGAATAGCATTGTTGATGAAATGTGAAAATCGGCTATTTTTCATTTCAGTTTTTTCATATGATACGCAAAACGATTCGACCGATTTGGCTTAAAATCTAATCAGGTCTTAGTTACATATTATTTTTTTTTTATCAAGAAACACGAGACGAAAATTGAATCCGGACATACATGCATACATACGTACATATGCACACATGAGTACCCTTTCATATATCATACCATTATATTTAATTGAATATTTTAAAAAATTCTGAGATATTTGTTTAAATACTTTATGTGACACTGATACAATACACATTCATTCACATGAAATTATGTGATTATTACAAACGATAAGAAAGTGTTAAAAATTAACATATATAGTAAACACGGATAGCAATATTTTTCTTATTAAATTATTGTTAAATAATGAACTTTTAATAGTAATATACATGAATATTTCTATAAATTAGATATGATACTAATGCTTTGTGATAAGGTCACTTGTCCTTGCAAAACTTTTTGTTGTAGTTTTTTACAGAATATTTTTGCCATTAAATAATTATGTCGCAATTGATCTGATTTTTCTTGTTGTTTACGTTTATTCCTTTTTTCGTTTGATAGTAAATATCTTGATCTGAATCTCGTTGTTGTTTCATCTTTATTTGTTTTCTTATTCAGTTTCTCTACAACAATAGATGTATCATTAAAAGTTCATTGTATATTTTACATTAAAAAAACTAAGTATATTTAATTCACCTTACCTGAGCGTTTTAATATTTTTGATTCAGTTAATAGATTTGATGGTGAAGCTAATGCTAACAGTTGCATAATTTTTTCTCTCTTCATTTGTCGCAAATGAGATATTTCCATCATGCATCGTTTTCTCATTTCAACATTGTCTACAAAATTTGGTTTATTTTTGTTCAAATAATCCTGTAAATATTATTAAAAAAATATTATAAGTAATCAGAATAGGATAAAGTATAGTGGAGATGAATTGTTATTAATAATATTCAATAATTATTAGGAATATCTAATTGTTATTCAAATAATATGTAATGATGTCAAATAAAGAAAATACAAAATACAAAAATACATTATAATAACTTTTATATCTATTGGCATGCTAACAATATGATAGAATCTTTAATTGATCATTATAATTACCTTTAATTTTATTGATTCATAATTACGTTTATTTTCATTTTTAGATTCAAAGCATAATTCGTAAGCAATAGATTTCCTGTATGAATAAGTACATTGACATTTTTGATTGCTAGTATCAGTATATATTATTCCACATTTTTGACATCGTGCACCACTCTGACAAGTTTGAAATTTATTTCCACTTTTCTTTTTTCCAATTATTTCTGATTTTCTCCCTGTTATATTATCTTCAATTTGATTATGTTTACTCTTATTTATAAATTTTTCATTCTGAATATCACAGTTACATAATATTTTAGGCATATTTGATATTGTTACTTTATCTTCATTTCGATTAAATTTAAAAGGTTTTTTCTTAATTTGATGACATAAACAGCCATAACAATGGTTTTTTGAATCATGAAATATTTCTTGATCTTCATCAGCGGTAATCGGTGATTCAGATTTACATTTATCATTTAATATATTTTTGGTTTCTTTTTTCGAATTTATAGGAACTTGAGTTATAATTGGTATTTGATCATTCATATCTTCATTTATAAGAAGATTATTCTCAACGGTTTGTGTACCAATATCTTGAAAAGGAAAATACAAAACATGCGATTGATAATTTCTATTTCTTTTTTTTTTAGGTTGATTTGATGTTTTAAAAAATATACTCTGCTGGGAATCCGATTGATTTGTTTGAGAATGTGTATTAAATTCATCAACTATATTCAAATTTTTATCATCGAAAAATGGTACATCATCATCATGTACAACTGTCTGAGTATAATTATTTTTTGTCTTTTTTGGTGATGTATTTTTTGTCATATTTACTTTTGCAAGGTTTCCATGAGAAGACCATTGACCTTTAAATATTTCATCTTTTGAAACAGCACTACAATGTTTTTCTTTTTTAGTTTCATGTTTTTGTACGTTAGTTGGTTCTTCGAGTAATTTTTTTAAATTTAAAAGATGATTAATTTCATTATTAATCCATAAGAGCTGATTTTTCTTTTCTATTTCAACATAATTAATAAGTTGTGATATCGTTCCAAATTGAGCTTTTTTTTCATATTTAAAACGTCTTTCAGAAATAGTAGCTGGTAATCTCCAATCAACATTGTTATGGCCGGTAGCACTTTGAATTTTATTCTTATTATTTGATGATTGTGAAGTAGTAGAAGTTGGAGTATAAGGAGTTGTATCAGCAGAAGTAATAATAGTAACAGTAGTAGAAGTAGAAGTAGCTGTTGTGACAGTATTTGAACTACTAATGTTATTTGTAGCAGAAGGTACAGTTATAAAACTTGGGGTTAAAAATGTATTAGTTTTCGTTGATAATTTTGGAGATACTAGTCCTTTTCTTGTTACTTTAGAATATAATGTTTTATTAAGATTTTTTTCTTTAAACTGTATATTTTGTGATTGGGGAAGAAAACATTCAGAACTAATACTTTTATCAGTATCTACGATTGTGTGATCTTCTATTTTATACTTATGATAATGCCGGGGGTGATTGTATTTATCATTACTTCTTAATCCTAATCGTGCTTTTCTCCCGTCTTGCATACCATCTGTTTTGTCTGTAGTTCTTTCTTCAAAAGCATCACTATCTTCACTGCTAGCAAAATTTATCACTTCCGAAAAATTTGTACTCTGATTGGTGGTTGTTTTATTATATAAAAAATCTTGTCTATTAAGTTTCCAATTTTCAAAGGATTCTTCAGTGCTGTCCTGATTTTGTTTTTTTGCTAAAGCTTGTATTATTTCAGTACAATAAATTTTATTTCTAGCATTGTCAGGATTCCATGGTACATTTTCGTCTAAATTATGCTCAATTTTGTCATCACTATATCTTGCTGTTACAAGCCTCTTTATAACATGATGAATGAGTCTTTTTTTAACCTGTTTATCATATTTATCTGTATTAATGAGACTTTTAAGGATATTCAAACTCCTCTCTAGATCACGTAATAAACTATTGGAATCTTCCCAAAGTTTTTCATCAAGACTCGAACTTGTATTAGGTATTGTTGAATGAGATCTTTCTGTATTAACATATCTATGGCTGGTATTCTTTTCATAAGGCAAATTTTGATAAATATAACCTGGAAAATATTCAAAACTATTAGAGGCTCGACCACCATCTATTTCTTCTCGACTTTCTGAAGGTAAACTTTCATTACTTTCAACTCCGTTAATTTTACCTTCTAAATTTTCATAATTTGATTCTTGATCTAATAATGACTGAGAGGCCTTTGTTTTCGCTATAGCTGTTTTATTTACAACATTTTTTACTTGATTGTCTTCATTTGAAAATTCTTTAAAACATTCACTATTTTTTATTTTTATTGGATTTGTATCCATAGTAGAGGATGCTTGAGTTGCTTTTGATTTTTGTGTTTTTTTATTTACTTCATTTAAATTCGTTTGAATATTTTTATCACACACAGATGGTTTGTTAATAATAGTAGTAATTGATGAAGAAGATAAAAAGTTTAATGGTATCAGTGAGCTTTTACAATTATCACTAATTGTTTCTCTCAAATTTAATTCACTTTGACTTTTCTTTAAAGAGACAGATGCCAATGGCATTAATAATTCATGCATTGAAGCATTTCGTTTCAGTGTGCTATTTGATTTTTTTAATGTTTCAGAATCAACGACACTTTGATTTTCATCAAACAGAATTGAAATCGGTATTAATTTATGCTTTTTTTTTCTAGTACATAATTTATTATGCAATTTATTCGTTTTATTGCATACAAAAGAAGGTCTAGATAAATTTTTATCATTGTCACTTTTGACTGAAATTGTTGCATTAGATAAAATTACTTTTAGATCTTTTTTTAATTCTAAACCATCATCAAATATTTTTGTTGAATGAGCATTAGGTTTTAAAGATTGATTAGCAAACTTAAATAATGAATCATTTAGTGTCGAATTTTGGATAAATGAATTTGGACTTGTAGTAGTAGTTCCTTCAGGATCTAATCGTGATAACTTGGTATTTGAATTCCTAATCGGTAATTCCGATTCAGTTAAATGAAATATGCCATGAGGTTTATCTCTAGTCGAAACTAAAGTATTGTGATAACCAACATCAGCTAAACTATCCCATTCTAAAGGTTTATTTTGGGATGCAACACTAGAAGTTGGAGAAATTATTTTTATGTCTCGATCACTCAACTCTGTCATGAGACAAACAGGTTCAATTACTTTACCGTTATCATTTTTTTCATCTTTAAATTCATATTGAGAATTTAGTTCATTAGAGGATTTTGAAGATAACTCAGCATTTGGTACCATTTGTTCATTCCAAGTAATGATTTTTTTAGTATTTGATTGAGATGACCATCCAATTAAGGGTGGTCTTAATAAGTTTTGTTCTTCACGTGAAGTATTCTCCATATTTATAATATCTTTAAGTACACCAATTATTTATTGATTCTTCCAAAGTTTTGAACTTATCTTTTTTGAATCTTCCCCGCCGTACTCACATTTTTTAAAATCAGAATTTGAAAATGAACTGTATATATTTGGAACTATGAGAATATTGATAATTATGTTTATTTACTTGTTATATGATAATGACTCTTGCAGATTTGCTTTAGCTGTTTTGATAACTCTCAATGACACGTTAACGAATATATCAATGATATGGTTAGTGATAATAAAGTCTCTTTATTTGGCAAAGACCATCGATTATCTGTTATATTATATAAAAACTAATTATTGATATTTTCAGTAGATAGATTTATATCTATTAATTTATGGTTAAAATTTGATTCCATGAGCATTGTTGTTTAATGATCAGAACACATTTTTATAATTTTCGATAAATTATAATTATCTCAATTATACAATAATATAACACATTTATAAATACATAAAATAAACACTATTGAATAATATATTTTGATTAATTAATTAATTAAATACAAAAATATTTCAGTTTATTTACACTTCTGAATAAACACAATATAGCGTTTTGGCTATACGTTACATTTCACATCCTATGATCGAATCTATATACTGTGTTTATGTCTAGTAATGTAAAATGACCGTCAATTTTTAAAACGGTCAGGTTACTAAATTTTTAACCGCTAGTGACTGTCACTTAATGTTGTTTTTAGTGTAAGGTTACACCGGCAGAGGTCGCAAATATGAATAAAATAACGCTTTAATTTGAAAATATGAAACGTTGAAGATTAGAATATCGGTGGATAATTGACAAGTTAAACGATAATTAATCAATAATTAACAAAATTTTGGGAGAAAAAAACTGAATTAAGACTCTGAAAATGAAAAAATTCGATAAAATAATTTTAAGCTTCTACTTAGTTGTTAGTATGACAGTCAGACTGGCTTTGGTCAGCTTTTGATGATAATTTCCATTAAAACGCGGATTAATCCACCAAGCTTTAATAATTTTTCCGTGAAAACTATCAATTTACTAATATAAATTCCCATATCAGATCGTTTATATTTTTTTTTTATATATTATATATCCGGCTTCGCTATACGTACACTCGGCGTCATTAATGCCTGGTCCATCAAAAACTTTGATACCATCCGAGAAATTATCGATGGAGTAGTTTTTTTTTCAAATAGAGATTCAACATCTAAATTAATTTAGAAAGTTCATGATTAAATACTCTTTTAGATAGTCCCTACCATGAAGACTGCAGAACAGGAGTCCAAACTCTGGGGCCTCTCATACGGAAAATTCGTACATAAAATTTTTTAGAGCAAGGGTTCTAAAACCAGCCACCAGTAGCGCTGAATTACGTAGTGTACCGAGTGAATTTAGCAGCATGTAAGACGCGCGAAGTTAGTAAGAAGACGTCATTGAATTTAGCTAACCTTTTGCTAAGTGGAAAATGTTGTGATAAATTGTAAATTTTTTAAATTGTGTAAAAATGACAAAATGTTGTGTTGTGCAAGGATGCAAAAGCGGTCATTCAGATGATGAGCGGAAACGCAAAGCTAAAGGTTTACGGAAAAGAACACTCTTTCAAGTTCCAAAAGTGAGTATCACTCATTGCATTTGGAGTGAGTTTTTTAGATGAAATTTATTTACAATGCTACTTAAAATTAATTTACAGTGTCATATTCGACGTCAACTGTGGGTAAATGCTCTTCAACAAGAACTTAAAGACAGTGATCGTGTCTGTGAACTTCATTTTTTGGATGAATATATCGTAAAGGGCAAATCAGTTTTGATCAATGGGGAGTCTATTTTCATAGAAAATGAAAGGTGGCATTTAACTGATAACGCGATTCCTCTTAGAGAAGAAAAATGTCAAAATCAGCAATCGATGAATTGCAATCAGGTATTTAACCAATCCCTTAACGTAATTTTTTATATATAAGAAGAAAAAAAAATTAATTAATAAATATTTTTATTCTTAAAGTCTACTGAAGAAGAACAATCGTGTTCGCTATCAGAACAACAAATTTTTGATCAACAATTTATTCAAGAAGAGCAAATTCTTCTAGTTGACACTGAAAATTTACAGCCAACAGGACTACTATTGGAGCAGTCTGTTGAGCCATCAGTTTCCCAAATGGAATGCGATGAGGTAAAAGTTTAAGATAACATTGAAAATTATTAAACTGAAAATATTTGAAAATAAAAATAATTGTTTATTTTTGCAGATTATACCAAATGAAGTGTTGCTAGAGCAAACTGCATCATCTTTATCTGCAGTTTCATTAGCTTTACCAAATGAATTGTCACTAGAGCAAGTAGTATCATCGTTTTCGGCAGTTCTACCAGAACGTTGGTGTTACTATGTACAATCATCGGATATGATTTTGATTCATCTCGATGTAGGTAGCTTGTTGGAAAAATTAAGATTACGAGTAACAGCTGATCTTTCTGTTACGGTAAGAATATAAACGCAATTTGTATGTTCAATAAAATAAAATTACAATAAATAATTTAAATAAATAACAAAGAAAAATAAATCATATAAACTAAGAAATAAGTAAATAGACTAAAATTAGATAATTTTAATTAATTACAATAATAAATTAAATTACAATCAAATTTATATAGAACATAATTGAAACAAATTGACTTTAAATATTGTATGTCATTATTCTAGCTTGTAATGCCACATCGATCAGAAATAATTCTCACTGATCGTGTATCATCTATGGAAGAATTGTACGCATCTATGCGTAAAGCAGAATCACTCACAATTTGTTGCGGAACATTATTTGATGAAAATAGGTAAAAATATTTTTAAATACATTTGTTTTATTCTGTTACAATTTTTTTGATATTAATTACAACTGAAAAAATGTATCATAATAGATTTCATCTACATTCACAATTACAAATAATTGATAAGTGTGGTGGATTTCTCATCGTTTTTCCAGATTTGCCACCCAGTGTAGTGGAATCATCACACCGAATGAAAATTATCAGCGTCAGCAATTAAATCCTCGCTGTCGAGCGTGCCGCATACTTCGCCAAAGAATACAAGCAAACATGAGATATAAACGCGATTCGACACTTGCTTTTCGTATTAAACGAAAAAAGGAAATTTACCGACAACGATGTCATCGACTTATTAAGAAGGTATGATGTATTTATTTTTTAAATTGTTGTGTCGGCAACCTGTAGTCGTAACATTTGACGTAATATTAAAATTACTTCATATTTGTTACATATTTCATTTTAATATAATGTATTAAATTCCTAATTTATTAACTTCAATAAAATGCAGATGAACATAATAATTTCATTTCATTTTGAACGTATAATTTGTTACTAACTATTACCACAATTAAATAACTTTAATAGTTTTTTTTTATCATATATTTTATAATATTTCATCATTTTAAGGTTTAGACACCGTAGACTGCTGACCTACCATACTTGACAAAAAACTGATGTACTTCTCACTGAAATATTTAAAAAAAAGTGCAGTCATCTCAGTAATGATGGTCTGTATAAAGTTAAATGAATAATTTAATAATTTCATGATCCATTGTAATAAATGTTAATCGTAATTTGGAAGTATATTTTGAAGATTCGAGCCGCGTATAATAATTTATTGTATTATATTCGAAGTAAACTCTTGGCGTGCTGATTAAAAATATAATTATTATTTTTCAGCAAGAGATATTGCAGCAAAAATTAATGACAGCCAAAAAACGGTGTAGTGAACGTTCTGAAAAAATTTTAAAAGAGCAACTGACGCAATTGCCAGAGTTGCAACAGCTTGCTGTTTGGAGTTGTTTTGAAGCTGCTAAACATAAAAAGGTCAAAGGCCGAAGATACGATTTAGAATGGATCTATGAATGTTTGTCAATCAGGATGAAGGGCAGGAATATTTATAATTTTATTCGGGAACGTAATATTTTACCTCTTCCACACATCGAGACTCTTAATAGATATATTCAAAAAATTAGTTCTTCGGCTTATGGATTTCAACCAGCATTATTTGACTGCATGAAACAAAAAGCACAAGGAATGACACTATCAGAAAGAAGAGGGACTCTTATTATTGATGAAATAAAATTAAGTGAAGCAATAAATTTTGATATCCAAAAAATGGAATTCTCTGGTTTTGTTAATCTCGGACAATACACTTCAGAACGTGAAAAAAATGTTCCAGGGGATCATGCATTAGTTTTTATGTATGTTCCTTTTCGTGGACGATGGTTGCAAGCAGTAGCGGCTTTCATCTCTAAAAATTGTGCTACCAGTGCTGTTCTGCATACATTAATTATTGAGTGTATAATTTCATTAGAAAGTGCTAATTTCTTTGTGGATGTCATTACAAGTGACGGTGCCCAAAGTAATCGTGGAGTGTGGACCAAGTTTGATATTTCAGAGTCCATAATATCTTGTCAGCATCCTTGTGATACAAATAGATAATTATTCATGATATCGGACTTTTCTCATCTAATTAAATGTTTGCGAAACAGTATTAAATTGACTATTAAAATCTCTAAATTAATAACATATTATTTAATATTGTAAAATAAAAAAATTATTGTATACGTGTTATAAGAAATGTATTTTCTCTATAATTTATATAAAATACATTGGATAAAAATTATATTTTGATATTTTCAATGTTATGTTATTCCTAAAAATAATATAACAATCATGGAAAGTGGTACTTATAAGCTAGATAATATAAGTTATTAAAATACCTAATAATTTAACATTAATATAAAATTTGAGTATACTTTAATTATTTTCAATTTCATTCAAACATTGTTCAATTCCTTCAAAAATAGGATTATTAATAATATAATTAATACTCTTGTTATAATAATGTTTAATTTTGTGTTTACTATCAATTTTTTTCTATACAAAAAGTAAATTCAATTTTTTTATATTTTTAATTATGTATTTAAATATACCGGGAATTTCCCCCTCTACCTCGGTAACTTAGCGACCACAGTGCACTCTGCCCGCGAACGTTATTTTTTCAAAATTCCGGCTCAACTTTTATACACAGAGTTTGGACTCCTGTTCTATAGTCTTCATGGTCCCTACAACAATAGACTATCCCCACTAAATCATTTTTGAATGTTATAATTAATTTAAATAATAATAATAATAATAATAATAATAATAATTAAACTTACTTCTTCAGTCATCATGAAACAATCGTGCACATTAATAGTCATGACTATAAATGTTAGTTTAATTATAGTAATTATAAACTTAAGGTTATAATTAAATTATAATTATCATTATTTAAATTTTCTTGTTATTATTTAAATTAAGGTTCAAAAATGTTTTAGTGGGGATAGTCTATTGTTGTAGGGACTATCTAAAAGAGTATTTAATCATGAACTTTTTAAATTAATTTAGATATTGAATCTCTATTTGAAAAAAAAACTACTCCATCGATAATTTCTCGGATGGTATCAAAGTTTTTGATGGACCAGGCATTAATGACGCCGTACGTTATAGGACACCCTGTATGATATTGTAGGATGTAAAATAATTTTCTTTATTATTAGAAAGGTACAAAGGTTTGTTAGAAATAACAATAATCATCAAAAAATTTTATTGTAATGTTTGAACTTTTAAGTGTGTTTGAGTCTTACGCTAAGAATTAAAATTCCAAATTATTTATTGTGACATCGAAAAGTTTTTTATGCAAAAATGACCGTCAAACCAGCTGTCATACAGTACCGGATATTATTATTATATTCAGCTCCCAACTTCGGAGCCACTGGCGCTACGGTACTATTGGAGCACCATTCTGGCCAACAGTACCGGATATAAATGCTGTTCAATTCTTAAAAAATTTTTTAAAGGTTATACAGGTGATTTCCCTATACCGTCCTATAGAAAATCACACAGCATTTATGTCCAGTAGTGTATGTGCATACATGTGTATACATGTATATCGACTATAGTTTGACTATGTAAAACTACATATATATCCAATTTTGACAATATGGGATTATGTTATTCAACTAAACCATTAAAATTTTCGAGACACTTTTTGCTCAGTGAAATTATGTATAAAGACTAAATAAAATCATGATACAAAAACAAAGTTAAAGTGAATATATTGAATGAGAAACATTGCATTGAAGAATATTGATAACAATATTTTTTTCAAGTTATTTCACTATAAGTTTATGATGTTTTTTTATTTACAAAGCATCTAAACGTTCTAAAATTAATTTTAAAAAAAAATTATACTATACTATTTTCTATATAGTATATTAATTACTGTTAAATTAAAATGAGTGACAATCAAATTGATAGTTTTATCAAGTGGTTAAGCACATTTGATTTAAAAGCTCCATATGCAACAATAGAAGCTATTAGTGATGGTGTTGCAATTTCAGAAGTTTTACAACAAATTTCTCCAGAATGGTTCACAGATACTTGGAAATCTAAGATTAAAACGAATGTTGGGTCGAATTGGCGGTTGAGAGTTAGCAATTTAAAAAAAATAGTGGAAGCTGTAATGGAATATTACAGCGAATGTCTGAATCAACCATTAGTTAACTTTATTAAACCTGATGCCTCTAAAATTGGGGAACAGTATGACAGCAATGAACTACGTAAATTGTTACAATTAGTTCTTGGCTGTGCAATAAATTGCAGCAATAAACAACAATATATTACTTCAATTATGCAAATGGAAGAAACAGTACAACAAACGATAATGCAAAATATTCAAGAATTGGAAGGTGATATGCACGGATCTCGTATTAGCCTTGGCGTAAGTTTAAATTTAGATACCACTGACACAAGTTGTGGATCTCATCAAAAGTTAATATCTGATTTACAATTACTAACAGAACAAAAAGAACAATTAGAGCAAAAATGTTATGATCTTAATCAACAACTATTAGTTACTCGTGAAGAAAAAAATTTACTTGTTTCAGAAAATAAAAAATTACAAAAACGTCTTGAAGAATCTGAAAATACTGACGAGTCAATTCCTAGCTTACGATATTCAGGATTACGAAAGCAGATAAAAAGTTTAAAAGAAGAAATTTTCAAAATTGAAACATCAAGAGATGATTATAAACTAAAAGTTGAATTATTAGAAAAAGAATTTTCTGATTTACAACTAAAATATGATGAACTTCAAAAAATAGCTGAAAAAGCTAATGACTTAAAAGATGAAGTAGATGCACTCCGTGAGACAGCAGATAAAGTAACCAAATATGAATTAACAATCGAGTCATATAAAAAAAAAATGGAAGATTTAGTAGATCTCAGACGTCAAGTAAAAATATTGGAAGATAAAAACATTGAATACGCTGAATTAAAAAAAGAATATGAAGAAGAAATTAAGAAAGGTTTGGTAATAAAAAATCACATGGAATTATGTAAACATCAATTACTTGAATGTCATAAAAAATTGGAAGAACAAGTCAGTAATAATGATAAACTTGATTTAGAAATTAAAAAATTACAAATAAAATTAAATTTAGTAGAAAGAGAAAAAGAACGATTAATTGTAGAAAGAGATACTTTGAGAGAGACAAATGATGAATTAAAGTGCTCACAGTTACAGCCTATTGATAACGTGACATCTTTAACTATGCATACTAATTCAACTCCTGAATTGTTAGCAAGAGACATGAAAGACTTATTTCATCTGAAAAATGAAAATAAAGATTTCAAGGTTGAAACACTTAATGATCAAGAGAAATTAACGTCAAGACCATTGTACTCCAATGATTGTGTGTCCCCGTTGTACGGATTTCAAGATAAAATTAAGAAAGAAACTAAAAATTGTGATGACACAGATAATAAAATAGATAAATATAGTGATGATCACAATGATACCAATAATATAGATAATAATATACGCCAGCAACTGTTATTACAGAATAAAGCATTAAAAACATGTCGAATGGAACAAGAGCAATTAATTTTACAATTAGATGAAAAAGAAACTATACTACAAACTCAAAAGCAAAAAATATCAGCTCTTCAAGAGGCACTTTCTCGAAAAGAATCTGAAAATATTGTATTAGAAGAACGATATAAAAAATGCATTGATAAAGCGAAAAATGTTATAAGAAGTTTGGATCCAAAACAAAATAACTCATGTGAAATGATGTTATTAAGAAACCAAATTACAGAAAAACAAAAAACAATCGAACAAATAAAACAGTCGTTACAAGAATATAAGTTATTTCATGAAATGGAAGAAAGGTTAATGATATCAGCTTTTTATAATTTAGGTTTTAATAATCAACGGAAAATAATTGATCAGCGACTTCATCATTTTAATACTGAACAAGGGAATTTTTTATTTCGACAGCGACAAGTTCAATGTGATGTGAGCAATTCACTTTATAAATTTAAATGATATGCTGTAATTATTCATCCTTCTTTTTTAACTATTATGCTTTTAATTTAAATTTAATCTTTATTTTAATTCATTTTATATATGAATAGTCAGGAAAATTCTTTTCTAAAATGAAATGTCAATTTAATTTAATTTATTCATTTATTCAAACAATGTTTTTATTACGTTCTTCATAAAAATTCAATCATTATGAGATAAATTTTTTGTAAATATTGTTTAAAAATTGAAAATATATTACTATTTAACTTTAAATTGATAAAATTTTTGTGTAATAAATCTAATACGAATTACACAAATGATAAAGCAATAATAAAAGTCGTGTACGAAGCATCTAATCTGAGTATTATTGAAATAATAGGAAGCATGTGCTATTTCAACCCATTCTAGAATATCTACTTGCATGATTATTGTTATACTTATTACATTCAAATCTCTGTAATATATGTAATAAACATTAATAATATAACACTTTTGATAAAGTCTTTTCAATATTATTTTTTGTTATTTTAATGATTCTAACGTGAAGTATACAGCCAACTATCGCCCCGAACGACCAGTATTGTCAAACTAAACGAGTTCCTCATATGAGTCGTATTCGGCCATATTCGGTTTTGTTCTGAGCGCCTTCGAGCAGAAACCGAATAGGCTATAAAAGTGGAGTTAACTGAGCGACACAAGCGACCATATTGCTCAATTCGAGAAAATTGTTCATTTGTGAGAAATTTTTTGAACTTGAGCAATCGAACTCAGTGTAGGAGATTATAGAAAATTGCCATAAAAAAATGGACGATATTTCTTGTGACCAAAAAATTTCCGACAGTCGGTCACATATCTGTCTTATGACCGTTCGATGATCATAATAAAAAATGACGGGTATCTTGAATTGTGTCATAAAATCACAGGGCGTTTTCAATTTAAAGAAAACCTCTCTGTGTTTGACACTGTGTCGACTAATTGGGAGCGTGACATCCGTCCCCAATAAGATGTCAGTCAAAGGCATTTTTACAATCTTTTAAATTTAAATCTTTAAATGTATAATCTTACTGATTGTCAATCAAATTCTATGATACCCAGATTTTTTATCTAATGATCATTTTAAAAATAAGCTTTATTCTTTTAATCTTTTAAAATTGGTTTTTTTAATTTTCAATCATTTAATATTCAATAAAATTATAAAAATTCTTCTTTTTTTAATGTTTATCATTTCGTTGAACAGTCAGCTTAAGAAATTAGGACTGGTAAATTATCTTGCGTCGGTATAGTAGAAAAAAAATTCAAAATGCTTATACAGAAAAAAGTCTTCTTTCTGGCTCATGTAATGTCATGTAATTCTTACTACATAAATAAGTATATTTAGGCTTACAATCTAATGATAATAATAAATGATAATTTAAAATAGCCATGTAATTTCAATGAAGATTATACGTGAAATTACATAAAAGAAACCAAGTCATCCAGTTATTATAGCAGAAAATCCCGAAGCTGATAAAAAAGTTATCAGTAATAAAGAAGGAGCATTTTTTTTATATAATCGAACAAAAATATTATCTATATTAGATAAATTTAACAAAGAATGCATAAATGGAAAATATCCTGCATTATGAAGCATAGATAACATTGGTTTGGATACATTAAATTTAGAAGTAAGTTATAAATTGTACAAGAAAGCTTGTTAAAAAATAATATTGATGAAGTATTCATCATTATTCTTATCATTAACGTAGGAAGAGTGGTAATTCATTTATAATTTTATTTTTGGATATCCAATGATTGTATCAAACTCAATAGAGTTCAAACTTCATCACCAATCATGTCTAGAAGTAATATGTTCATTTCTGTCTCACTTAAGTACAAAAATTCAGTATTTATTATCGTTGATATCGTATTTCAATGGTAAGATAAAATAAGATATAACTCATATATACAATTTTCCATAAAAAATAATATCATCCAACAGGAACGATGTACTCATTTACTACCAACATTAATGGTCACAATTTATTTACTCAAAGCTGACTAGTGATTTATATTAAAATTTATTAATAAATTTATATTCATATTATATTTATATTTAAATTCAGGTAAATTAAGGTATTCATTACAAATACTGATTTATTTTTATAAAAACTTAAGTAATAAAACTTTTTTTTTTCGTTGCACGAAAATTGTTTATGTTTATGAAAGAAGAGAATAATACTGACAGACATTATTTTTGAAGTTTTTCAACTTTTTAATAATTCAGTTTTCAATTTTTTTCACTTGGATTACGTTATTACGTTAACATTGAGATAAAAATGTTATTATCATTAGATTATAAGCCTAAATATACTTATTTATGTAGTAGGAATTACATGACATTACATGAGCCAGAAAGAAGACTTTTCTCTGTATAAGCATTTTGAATTTTTTTTCTACTATACCGACGCAAGATAATTTACCAGTCCTAATTTCTTAAGCTGACTGTTCAACGAAATGATAAACATTAAAAAAAGAAGAATTTTTATAATTTTATTGAATATTAAATGATTGAAAATTAAAAAAACCAATTTTAAAAGATTAAAAGAATAAAGCTTATTTTTAAAATGATCATTAGATAAAAAATCTGGGCATCATAGAATTTGATTGACAATCAGTAAGATTATACATTTAAAGATTTAAATTTAAAAGATTGTAAAAATGCCTTTGACTGACATCTTATTGGGGACGGATGTCACGCTCCCGACTAATTTTATAAATGGAACATTTACTTTTATTGTGTTTCGATAGAGGGCAGCTTATAAAAGTTACTAGGAGAAAAAAAATTTTTTAAAAAAATGTTTAAAAAAAATGAGAATTTTGAGATCATACATACATTGACATTTACATAGCATTGCATTATGTAAATAATAAAAGATACTACCTTAATTTCATAACGAAAAACTTTTATATCTGATAATTTTCTCAATTTACCTGTATTATCCATTATTTTTTTTAAAAGTCAATCATTAATTTGCTGGCGTTGTGAAAAAGTAGTGTAAATATTTATACCTGTATAACTTTTAACAGGTGCAAAATAATAAAAAACTTTGCATGGATGAAATGTTCCATTTTTAATTCTGCACATTTTGAGCCCAAAATCGGGCTGATCGGTGCATTTGAACCAAAATGGGAATGATTTAAATAATTCATTGTTTATAAAAATAATGAAAAAATTAATAAAAAAAAAAAATTTTTCTCTAAAAATGAAATTTAATATCTCATTTTTCGAAATAAATCGCCAAAAAGTAATATTTCTAACATTAAGTATTTTTTATTAATTCTCTTAGACGCGACTGAAGCTTTTGTCAATAGTGAAGCTTCAGTCGCGAATAACTTTTTATCTATCATAGATATGAAAAAAAGTGTTCAGTACTTTTTTTATTAAAATTAAATTCTGAACAACTTTTATTCAAAACATTTTTTCATATCTATCATAGAAATCGAGAAATTCGCGAGGGGGGGCGGTTTTTCGCGATTTACTCCTATGCGTGCCAAACAATTTTAACCTACACCATTGTGTTTCTCGCGAAATTTCCGATCCAGTCATCTATAAATCATTAATTTGGCCGCAGCAAACCAAAATTATCCCATTTCCCTCATTTGACTGGACTACAAGCTTTAGTTGGCATTAGGTTTTTGCTATAGTATGGTCGACACTGTGTTGCACTGTGTCGACTTTTTTTTCTAAATGGAAAACACTCACAGTTTTTCACTTCTACATATAGTCGAACTGGACAAAGAGGTATGTACTATGGAACTCAGACGTAACCCTGACTGCCCCACCACTAGCGCATGCGCATAAGCACTCAATGTATTACTACGCGCGCGGTAACATTTAATTTAATTGATAAAAAATTGTATGCTTCAGTTTATAACGAGAATGCCGAGTGTGAGAGCATTTATTAATCAACAAATAACGTAAAATTACTTATCAAAACGTTAATAAGAGTACTGCTACCTCAGCAATAATTTATTATTGCATTATTATTACTGATGTTTATAAAGAAATTAATATAAGTCAATTTATTGAATATTTTTATGAAATAATTTTAAAATATAAATAAAGATTGTTGAATGTGTTTCTCCAGCAGGTCTTGGAATTTAAAAAACTAAAAATAAATCGGAATAATTTTTTACTATTTCACTACATAAAATGAAGATGTTCATGCTTTATACTGTTTTATTTCAACAACAAAGTTACTGCATAATTACGAATTTTTGGTTGATGAAACATTGATAAATTCCATGATGATGTAAATATAAGTGATTTTGTAGCATAGATGTAGAGATAAATGTTAATTGCTCTTTTGAGTAATATAACTTATTATCGAATATTTAGTTATCACTGTTATTAATTTTATTTTGATTTATTAGTGCAATAAAATTTATTTATATATTGTAAATAAGTTAATATTATATTTATAGATTATTCAACTTTTATTTTGGATAACAATCAGTGGTGTGTAGTGATAATAATTTATTTAAAACCTATTTTACCTCATACGTAAACTAAATTAATATCAAAGTATTGAAAATAATTAATTTATGATAAAATGAGATAATTTAATTAAATTATAAATAACAATAGTAAATAATCAATGATACTTACATGTTTTTAAAAATATTCCAATAATAAACACAAAATAAAGCACTATTTTCTTGACAGTGTAGTTTGACTGCCGGCAACATGCGATGCGACCAATACATACAAACTGCGCATGTGCGTGGAGAAGCATAGTGGGGGCACTCGCGGTTACGTCTGAGTTCCATAGTACTTCTTTGTCCAGTTCGACTATAGACATATTTTCACTATTGAAAACCGTTGTGGCACTCTCATAATTTTGACTGTACGTATATGTATTTAATGGCTTTTTCCCAATCAAATTTAAGAGGTAATTTAATTTAATAAAATTTGTACAATAAAAAATCATTACACTTATATATAAATTATAAAACTACTGATACAAATATCAGAATGACAAGTATTTAAAGTGTTTTTTTTATAGAACTTCAAAACAGAAAAATACTGGAAGAGTTACAGCTAAAAAAGCAGATGCTTTTAAAACAAGGTGTTTCTCCAACCCTTGGAACGACGTTAAGTAATTCTTCAACCTCTAATTTGGTAAGCAATCATTTTAAAGTATGTTGAATTGTTACTTTGTTTTCAAATAGAGCATTTATCTAATTTTTCTTTAAATACGTATATATTTATGTATGTTTTTAGTCACCCACATTAACAAGTGATGGTATGGCAATGAATGCATCTCAAAGAGCAGCACTTCATAATGCACATGCTGCTTCATTTGGTTATTTTGTGACACAAGACTCTTCTTTTGGAAATTTAATTCTTCCTGTTTTACCTAGGTTTGAAAATAAATAAACATTAAATTAATAAAATAAGTTTGAATTGCTTCTTCAAGATAATTAAGGTAGGTTATGAAGACTGATTGGTATATTTTCGGAAATTTTTTCTTTTTCAAATATCAGATATGTAAAAATAGATTAATTTCAATTTCATTCATTTTCATTTTATTTATTTGTAGAAATAATGGCTGGAATAAGGATGAAAAAATTAGAATATGTATTACAACAATTAGACACATTTCAAAAACCTAAAATATTATTGGAACAATATTCAACAAGTGCTCATATTGGTGCACATATTCTTTATACTGCCCAGACACAATTTAATGATATAACAAATAGAACTGTCGCTGATTTGGGTGCAGGATGTGGTGTTTTATCACTAGGTGCGGCAATGATGAATGCTGATTACGTTGTTGGATTTGAAATTGATCCGGATGCTCTAAATATACTATCTGCGAATTGTCATAATATTGGATTATCAGTAGAAGCTATTTTATGTGATGTTTCTCAATATTTACCAGGTTAGATGAACTAATTTATATTCTTTTTAATATTAAAAAATCATAAAATTACTGTCAATATTAATTGACGACATGAAAACTAAAAATTAATGACGGTGAATTTTTATTATTATTTAAATCATTTTAAAAAGCATGTTTTACAAAATTTCCTATTAAAAATAAACTATAAATAAAAGTAACTCTACCACTCAATAAAAAACAATAAAATATTTTGTGATTTTATTATATTAACTATTTTTAGAATAATTTCATTTATAAAGAAAAATTTCATGAATAAAAACATAATTTAAATAATGCGGAATTCATATAAAGTTGATTTACACTTGATCTGTGAATGAAATCACTGTTGATATTTGCAAATATTCAAATACAATAATAAAACATTTATCAAATAAATTTAAATATTTCAATGATCAATTTAGAATCATATTTTTCAAACTTTTCAGTTTTTATATTAATTTTGATTTAATTTCAATTTTTACTAACAATATTTGTATATAGTTTACTCATGGAGAATACATAATATTGCTAATATTTTTAATAATAAATACCAAATTTTAGGAAAATTCATAAAAGCCTTTGATACTGTAATTATGAATCCTCCGTTTGGTACAAAACACAACGCTGGAATCGATATGAAATTTCTTGAAATTGCAACAAAGTTAGCCAATCGAGCTGTTTATTCGTTACATAAAACTTCTACAAGAGAGCATGTTATAAAAAAAGGATATCAACTCAAAACAGAACCAACAGTCATTGCTGAGTTGAAGTATGATATTCCACGAGCGTATAAATTTCATAAAAAAAATTCAATTGATGTTGAAGTCGACTTTATAAGGTTCTCAATAAATTTATGAGAAAATTATAAAAATAATTTTTATATTAAACTGTTTTACTCAAAAAAATATATATTCATAAATTCATTGAAATTTGATTCCTTGTGACAGAGGAAGTTCTTTACCGTAGTTGATTGTGATAGTAGAACGACGCATATATGATTTCCATGCATCACTTCCACTTTCACGGCCACCTCCTGTTGCCTTTTCACCTCCAAATGCTCCTCCAATTTCTGCTCCACTTGTTCCAATGTTAACATTAACTATTCCACAATCAGAACCATGGGGGCCAATCCACTAGAAAAATAATTACATTTAGCAAAATGGAAATTTAATTGTAATGTACGTGTTAGAACCTCGCAGCAATACTTTCAACTTAAATTAAAATTTACCTGGAATATATCAAATAGATTATTTGTAAATAATGAACTGCTCAAACCATATTTAACATTGTTATTCAATAAAATAGCATGTTTAATCGAATCTGTTTCCAAAATATATACAATCGGAGCAAAAGTTTCCATTTGTACAACTTCAGCATCTATAGATAATCCAGAGATAATTGTCGGTTCAACATAAAATCCCGGGCGTTCAATTTTTTTTCCGCCAAATTCAATTACTCCACCACTTGCCACAGCATTTTTTATAGTTTTCTAAATTAGAAAGGAAATATTTTAATATTTTTTTTTAGCATCTAAAATTAAAAATTATTTATTATTTTTAATTTACTTCATAATTATCAACTGCTTGTTGATTGTGTAGAGGTCCGTATAATGTATTTTCATCCAATGGATCTCCGATTCTTTCTAAAATATTTTTAAATGCTGTTTTAAGTTTATTTAAAAATTCATTTTTTATTTTCGAATATAATATTAATCTCCTTGTAGAAGTACATCTTTGCCCTGCTGTTCCTATACATGAAAAAACAGCTGCTCTAATAGCCATATCTAAATCAGCATCATTTGTAACTGAGAAAAATTAAAAAATTATTTAATAAATTGCAATAATATCAATATTATGTTTCTGAACAAATTTTTAATTATTCTAAACTAACCAATCAGAGCATTATTACCACCAAGTTCTAATATACATTTTCCAAAACGTTCTTGAACTTTTATAGCTATCTCTTTACCAACTTTTGTACTTCCCGTAAAAGATATTAATGGTAAACGTTTATCTGTCACTAAAGCATCTCCAATGTCACTTCCACCAGTTACCAAACTCGCAATTGCTCCAGGAATTTCATGACGTCGTAAAACATTAGCTATAATCTTAGTTGTAGCAATAGACACTAATGGCGTGGTAGGTGAACCTTTCCATACCATAGCATCCCCACATATCATTGCAATTGCACTGTTCCATCCAAAAACCTATTTAAATTGTTTTAAAAAAAATAAACATTCTTAATGTATAAATATATAAAATTATATTAATTGATGCTTACAGCTAAAGGAAAATTAAATGCTGATATTATTCCAATAACACCAATAGGATTCCATTTTTCAAGAAGAGTATGGTCTTTTCTTTCAGATGGAAAAATACTTCCGGGTAGTGTTCTTGATAACCCAACTGCATAATCACAAATGTCAATATACTCTTGGACTTCGCCAATACCCTCAGCTAATATTTTTCCTGTTTCTAAAGATACTAATTGTCCTAAAGCTTTTCGATTTAGTCTTAGTTCATTGCCTATTTGACGAACTATTTCACCTCTTGCAGGTATAGGCATTGATGCCCAATCCGGCCATGCTTTATATGCTTCAGTAATTGTATTACAAGTTTGTTCAAGTGTTGTTTCATATACTTTTGCAATTAGATTCCCATTTGCTGGAGAAACAGACTCTATTATCTGTGCAACATTCATATTAATGATAATAATAAATAGCACTAAATTTTATATATAATGCTTTGTCATTTTTTACTTTTTAAATGAATTATATCAATTCTTTATTAAGGCAGATTTTATAATTGAAAAATAATATACTGTTTTATTAGTTTTTCTTTACCTTTCCTGAACTGCTCCATTTGCCATCGAATCCACCATCATTCTCAGCTGTAAGGCCTAGTTGCTTGAGAAAACTATATTTTGTATCACTCACAAGCATTCGCGTTATTAATCTAGACATTTCGATTTTATAATAAAAATTAAACAACTGTAGAAATATATTACTTTAAAGTCTATATGAACAACACACTGAGTTATTTGTATGAAAATTTGCTTGATTTACACATTATCAAGTTATCAGAGAAACGATTATCTTCAACTCAGTAATGGGGTTGAGCTAATCAAACGTCTCATAAATAATTTGTACTTAATGTTATCAATTTTTAGTGATATCTTATATGCATAACACACGACAAAAATAAGATATTAAATTTTTTCAATAAAATTACAATCATCAAAATGTAATTAATACAATTAAAAATTTCAATATTATACAAAATACAATTAGGTTTTATATTTTTCAATTAATATTAAATTTCATCGATAGTCTCAGTATTTGTGTTGTTATTTTTTTAAAAAAGCAATATTGAAAAAATATCTGGCAGTATTGTTGTACGTTTTGATTCAAGTACAAATTAACAATTTGTTTGTTTTAAATTAGAAAAATAATTTAAAAAATGATGAAATTTACTTTTTTTGGCTAGTTTTTATCTTTTCTATAGTTACAATAGACGACACATTTCATAACAACGTAGATCAGATACAAATCGAAGTACAGATTGTGTTAAAGTAGGTTGATCCTGAAAAATAAATTTTTATTAATTTTAGTACTTTAAAATCATAAAAAAATATTATATAAATTAACAGTTAAAAATAAATATTTACGATTGATTTGTCGAAATTAGCAAGTAATGTTGCTCGTTGTGTATCATCTAAGCCATCACAACTTACTAAAAATGTCATGAGAAAGCTACTGAAAAACCACGAAATATTTACAGATGCAAGACTGTGAATTGCAATAGCGATTTCGTCGGCCAACAAATTGTGCGATCTAAGAAAAAATATTAATACTTATTGAAATAATAATAAAATATTCGAGTTCAAATTGTAAATAACGAAATAAAAATATCAAATTTACCTTCGAATTAATACAGAAAAAAGAGCCATTAAAAATCTTTCCAATAAATGATCTTTGAAAATTTGTTTTTGATACAATCTCCAGCGCGAATTTAATTGTTCTAAACTCTGAAGACTTTGTCGGAAAATATTGACATCTGGTTGCAAAAGTGCTTCACCAAAAATTTCTAAAATAGCAATTAGTTCTTCTTTGTGCTCAACTGGTTCATCATTTTCTGGGTTTACAAATGTTCTAATTACTGATGCATTATAAAAGTATTGCCATCGATGTAATAAAATACTATAAAATGAAAAAATAAATTATTAATATTATTGATATTTATTAATTGATTAGTAAACATATGATATATAAAATGGATCTTGATTTTATTATTGTTATGGTGATTTTTAAAAAAAAATATTAACAGAAAATTTTTATATTAATCATAAAATAGTATGTTAATGATTATTAAATTGTATAACAAGTATCAAACAACATTAGATAAATTAAAAAATAAATTTGTCATTTACATGTATACATACCTATGAAATAATCGAAGAAAAACCAGAGTTGTATCAGGTTGAGAGTTAAGATCATTACACAAAATTGGCCAAACTTGATGTAAACATAAATTTGTAATAGAAGGTACGAATACCTTAAAGGCATTGCTAGGTGCAGAGATAATGAGGATTAATATCTCCAATAGTTGATCTAAAGCGGATCCTATTGTAATATTTTCAGTTGTATAAATATGTAACATTGCTTGAACCGTAATTTGTGTGAACTCTGGGCCTAATTGATGTTGAAGAACCAAGAACAATGCATGTAGAAAACTCATAATATGTTCGGCAGTATGTTGTGAATGAATTAATTGAGGAAGTAATTCGAGAATTTGATGAATTGTAGGTTCCAAACATTGATGAAGTAATTTTTTAATAGTTGTCGAAGATGAACAACAATCTTCTAGTAATTGTTTCAAAGATGAAATGGCAGTTGTAACATTTGTTCCTATTGGGATAGATTGGTCAGGCTGTTTGAGTGGCTCTGAAAGTGTTGAAATAAACGTCATCATAAGTCGTTGTCGGACATCAATGTCACCCATGGGAAAAATAATTCCATTTGTGCATGCTCTTCGTAATACTTTGATCGTATCTACTTTCAAATTCGGACAATAGCTCATAGAAAGTAAATTATTGAATATCTCATGATTCCATAAATTTGGTTTTAAGATGGCAGTAACACTTTGAAATAAATGTGCTGCTGAATGAAGTAAATTAGAAGGTGGAAAATAACATGTTTGAAAATTAAATGCCCATAAACATGTTTTTATACATTTTTGACACAAGTTTTCTTTTTTTTTATCAGGCTTTTTTACAATCCAGTGGCACCAAGCTTGAAGAGAGGCTAAAAACTGCGAATGGACTTCAGTTAAATCAATCAAAATAATATCTGGTTGAAGTGCTGCTTGATATAATCGATTTTCTTGAGAAAAAATACATGCATCTAATGTTTGAATCACCAACTCTTCTGCTAAGTTATCATTAATATCTTCTTTATCATTGAGAAATAGTGAGCAAAGCCGTGCTATTGCCTGTGTTATTGATGCAAGGTCTCGTAAATGGAAATGTATATTTGTAGTTTCATGTTCATTTAATATAATTACTTTTCCACTCGTTAATGCTGTTCCTAATTCACCGTAAATTGCTAAACTTTCACACCAAGATTGATATAAAAGCGTAAGAATAGGTATAGGTATAATATCAGATATTTTTGCTAAACATTCAATGTTACATCGCAAAAAATGTTGCCATTCTGTTTCTTCATTGTCGTCAATTATTTTTGTGTCTAAATCTTTCAAGATTCGTGAATTTGATTTAAAACTTATTTTTTGTAAAATTCTTTCGGCTAAAGCTAAAGCTACTGTTGAATATTTTGATTGAGTACTTTCAAATAAAGTATTCCATATTTCTAGACAACGCAAATAACCATTGATTCCAGAGCTTCGATGAAACGTATGATGATATAAAATTTCTAAAAAATTGTTTACAGAAAATTTCGAACATGATTCAATGCGTTTCAAATGATTTGTTACTAAAAGTTGTAAAAATTCTGTTGTTTTTTCAATGTAACTGTAAATTATACAAAATTTATTCATGATAAAGATGAGTGATAATAATGAAAAATTAATAATAATATTTAATTATCTATTTACCTTTCATTAATTGTTTCCAAACGATCAATAACTTGAAAAAGGCCCATAGCGTTATTGAATATTTGTAAAAGCAATGCATCTGTTACATTCAAAGAACATGGTCTATATAACAATTCATTAATTGTAGTCATAGCTTGTACAACTATTTCAACTTGTTTATTATTCTGTGAAAGAAAAAAATTATCAATAGTCCTCATGCCTCAAACACTGTTATTGAAATTATAATTTCAAATTGGAAAATTTTGAAACACATATTTATTAATTTAGTAAATACATAAAAATACTTACTATTGATTCATGATATTTAGCACAAGAGAATATGGCATTGAGAAGATTAGCAGAGATATAATCAGTAGAAACAATCCAACTAAATAAATGTGCTAAAACTTCTAACGTTACTATACATACTTCATGACTTCCGATGTCTAAACCTTCTACATCTAAAATTGCACGAATAGGTAAATTTTGTTCACTAGTAGGTGAGGGTGGTGGTGTGATTGTACCTGACCGATTTTGAACTTTTATTGCTTCGCAAAGGAGTACTATAAAAAACAAATTTTGAGAATTTATTAATACAATTTTCAAATTATAAATAAAATGTGCTTTTATATATCAAAAAAATGTATTATTCAAATAAATTATATATATATATATATATATATATATATATACTTGAAATAAAAAATAATACAATAAAAAGAATCACCTGTCAACGTTTCAAGAGTTATAGACATCTGAGAATTCAATAGTCTTAATAATTCAGTTTTCCTTTGAATAGATAAATCTTCCCGAGGAGTTGCAAGCTCTTCCGATGCTGTTCTTAAATAAACCAAACCTAAAAGTCGTGATTGTTTGTGTCCTAATAACTAAATCATTTTATTGTAATTAATATAATTATATTTCTTCAGCATAATATTAACGGTTATTATTTAAATTCAAACCTGTAAGATATTTGAAAAAAAATCTGGATAAAAATGAGGCCAGTCGTGTTTTGCTATATCAACTACTAATTTAACAACTTTATTTCTAACAAAAGGTGCTACACCATGCTCCATAGAAAGAGTATATAAAGTAGATCTAATTAATGCTCTGTCCTCCCATGGTAAAATTGCCCATCTTTTTTTAATTGTTGTCTATAATAATATAATAAAAATGAATAATAAGTGTTAATTAATTGAAATTATTCGTAATATTTAAGGTAAGATACAAATTAGAACTCAAATTACCTCAAGAGTAGAAAGAGCAAACATACTGACATAGTAATTATTGGTCGAAGAGAGAAAATGTAAACAGGGTCTCCAAGCATTTATTTGTGCTGAAAATTCGTGTAAACTTTGTTCGATTATTCGAATTCGTTCATTTGTTGCTCCTGGGGAAAAAAACTCCGTCATTAAATGTTCCAATCTTTGTAAAGCAGCCACATCATCATCCTAAAAGTTAATTGACCATAAATTACTTTTTGTGATAAATAGAATGAAATATTTTACATATTAAAAATACAATGTATAATTTAACTCAAAGTATATACAATTTATTATAAAAAATAATATTAAAAAAAATTTACATAGTTTAAATATTAAAGTAAATAATTATGTATAATGATAAAAATTATTTTTTAGAGCAAAAAAAACATGGAAAATACTTTACCATTTTTGTTAGTGATAACATGTAATGAAATAATAAGATATTAAAAATCACATAAGTAAATGCAACAAATTAAAATACTGTTTAGTCGTACTGAGAAAATAGTGCTTTAAAAATTTTCATCATATACATATTCGGAACTTTTTACTACACATAGAGTCCCTTAAGATAGAGTATGGCAAGATAGAGTCCGGCAAGACTAAAGTCCCTTAAGTTCTTATGGGACTTTAGGCAAGGCTCAAGCATATGGCGTCATCTTGCCAGATTCTATCTTAAGGGACTCCGGTAATTCCCTATAATATATAGTTAGATTAGTTTTTGATTTTATAACAGAGGTCACTAGAATAAACAGTTTTAACAAAACATACTATTGAGCGTATTATTTGGAACTTTTCCTATATGTATATATGAACTCAAATCTTTGAAAGATTAATAACATGGCGGTATCTTGGACTACATCTAATTTTTCACCTCAACCTTTTTGGCAAAATGGTCCAGCTCCAGGATTATTACAAGATTTTTCTAGCAAATTTCTCAATTTTGATACAATTACTCGATCACAGTACGTATAGTTTTATTATCCAATAAAACATAGAATATTTGCATTAGTGCATGTCATCATTCAAGTAGTATTATTATTTTTGCTTAGAAATTTTTAATTAATTTTATATAGTTTTATTTATTCACAATATTATTAAATTCTAGTATTTTAATAAGTATTTGTAATTCTTCAAAAATGAAATATCATTCTTTGACAGGTCTCCAGTAACAACAGGAACATCAGTTGTTGGAGTACAGTTTAAGGATGGTGTAATGGTTGCTGCGGATGTTTTAGCATCTTATGGTTCTCTTGCTCGATACCGAAATGTCGAACGTGTTATAAAAGTTAATGATAACATCGTCTTAGGATCTGGTGGTGATTATGCGGATTATCAATACATTCGCATGATTATTGAACACAAAATGTAAATACTTTTTGCACCTTTCTCTAAATTCTGTAATATTATCCTGTCTTCATCAATACACTAATAATGATTTTTTAAAATTAGTCTTGAAGAACATTGTTTAGATGATGATTTTACTCTCAAACCAAAATCTCTTCACTGCTGGTTAACTCGTGTTTTATATAATCAGAGGTCGAAATTTGATCCTTTGTGGAATAATTTTCTTATTGCTGGATTAGAAGATGGAAAGCCGTAAATAATTTTTTTCAATTTTATATTAATATTATTATCGATATTGTAAAAATTAAATTACTTATTTACTTTTCGTAAATTAGATTTTTAGGAACTGTTGACAAACTTGGTACAGCATATGTTGATCCAGTGATTGCAACTGGATATGGTGCTTATATGGCAACACCTTTACTTCGAAAAGCCTGGGAAAATAATAAAGAAATGACAGAAGAACAAGCGGCCGAATTAATTCATAAATGTATGGAAGTTCTCTTTATGAGAGATGCTCGTTCTTTTCCAAGGGTAAATTTAAATTTTTTTGTCATATTTTCACTAATTATATCAACATGTTACATCAAACAATTTATTCCAGTATCAATTGGGAGTAATTACTAAGGAAAAAGGTGTAGAAATACGTGGACCATTTGACAATAAAGGTCACTGGGAAGTTGCTAAATTGGAGAAAGCAGTGGAGTATCTATAAATAAAAATATACTCAATATGTAATTTCATCTATTCAAATAATTACTCTACTTACATAACCATCAGTGTAATAAATATTGCTATTCTTTAATAAAGAATGCGTTTGTTCTTATAAATATGTAAAAAAAAAGAAAAAAACATTTATGATACTGTAAGTACTTCACAACCGTGATTTGTTATAAGAATAGTATGTTCCATTTGTACAGTTCTTGAATTATCAAATGTAACAACGGTCCAACCGTCATTAAGAAGAACAACTTGAGTATCGCCTTCACTTAAAGCGGGCTCTATTGTAAATGTCATTCCAGGCTGCATTTCTCCAGAGTAGTCATTTGCTAGATAATTGAATATATTACAATTTTTCTAAAATTAAATTATAATTGAATTGCATTTTTTTTAATACCAAAATGTAAAATATCCGGAGGACCATGGAAATAAGATCCAATTCCATGACCTGCAAGTACAGGAATTACTGAAAATTGATCTTGATAGGAAGTTTCTTCGATAATATTCCCTACAACAGAAGGATTATTTGTAATGAAAACTCTAAAATAAGTAAATATAAATTAATTACCAATACTACTGAATTTTTCATTTGGCTTGCAAATTTTTATGGCAGCATTGAGACACTTTTCTACAGTCTTTATAAGTTTATTAGCATTTTCATCAGTTTCTACTACTACAAACATTTCAGAACAATCACCATGATATCCATCAAGATATACCTATTAAAAAAAGTATTTGTAAAATATAAAATTATAATTCAAAAGAAAAATTGAAAACTTTCAACAATTAACTAAATTTTAGATAAATTTTTTACTGTAACATCAACATTGAGAATATCTCCTTTTTTGAGGGGACGATTATCAGGAATACCGTGACAAGCGACATTATTTATGCTTGTACAAATTGATTTGGGAAATCCTTTATAATTAAAAGGACTTGGATATGCTCCATTATTTATAATCATATTATGAACTTGTTCATCTATTTGATCTGTTGTAATTCCAGGCTATCAAGTTTAAATTTACAATAAAAATATAAAATAGAAAATTTCTTCCACTTTATAAATTGATTATTCAATTACTCAAAATTATTTTGATATTACCTTAATTAATAATTTAACTTGATTTAAAACATGTTTAGCTAGTTTACAACTTTTTTTCATTTTTTCAATCTGATGATCATTTTTAATTTCTATTTTTTCAATTATTTCTAGAGGTATAGATGTCTTATAGTACGATGGTTTTGGAATATAATCAGGAACTTGTCTCATTTTTGATACTTGCCATGGTTTAATAATTTCGTATCCCAACGATGATGACTGATAATAAAAATAAAATGGCATTATTTAAAATAAACATTCACTGTCAAATACAGTACCAGACGTAAATGCTGTGTGATTTTCTATAAGAGGGTATAGAGAAATGTTATGAATATAACCTTCAAAAAATTAAAAAAGCATTTATGTCCGGTACTGTACACATTGTTTAATTAAAAAAATCGATTATTTTTATTACTGAATCATGTCGTTTTATTTCTTTATAAAGAAAGTTGAAAATAAATATTTGTTGTTTTTTCAATTGTTTTAATACATGTTGAACAACAAGCATATTCACTAAAAAAATAAACAAATGGTTTTTCTGCTATTGGCACACTCGCGAAAATTTGCTATACGTAATTTTAAATATTTTAATTATTAAATTAAAAACAGATTACTGTGGTTTATCATCAGTATTCTTCATAGCTATGTACAAAAAATATCTATTCTTACAAATAAAAAAAAAGTCTGAATGTCATTACGATTAATATTTATCGACGTATGGTATAACAAAAGCAAATAATTTTAAAGGTAAGGTATTGTGTATGATATCCAAAATTAAGTTTACCAAAATTGATTAAATTATTAATGAAAATCGTGTAAAAAAATTAAAATATTGTAAAATAAGACCAAATAACAACTTCGGAAAATTAATAAATAAAGAAAAATGTTAATTAAAGATTGACAGCAATTAATTAGAAAGGAAGAATCCGTGCGGTCAACTCAAGTCTCAGTCAAAAACTGGAGATAAACAAACTCTCCCCTCGTAGCTATAAACAATCTCATCGTCAAGCAATCGTCAACAACTTATAAAACTATCGTTAGTCTAATAGTCATTAGATGGCGACATACAAATATTGTACAATATGTTAATTGTCGAAAGCATGAAGAATATAATATTATATTCTCCATGTACACTGACAGAAATTTTTTCCGGTGGCGAATTATAGAATTTACTTGTCCCCAGTATAAAAGTGATAGGTAAAAAAGTTTCGGAAGGCAGGTAAAGAAAGTACCTGGAATCAGTAAAACTTCGTTTTAAAATGAATAAAAAAAATACTGAGTCTAAATACAGAATATACCACTCCTGAGTAGACTACAAGCGGTTGAAGAAGTAATAAGTATACAAGTTTTATGAAAATAAAGTACTTGTATTTAAGTAGTCTTTCTACTTGGAATCAGTATAATGTGAGCCAATGTATTTTGTTTATCTCAAGTAGGTAGATAATAAAAGAAGATTACAAAGTTTACTTCAGTTGATAATATAGTTTTCTTACACTGAGGATCTTCCTTACTTACCACAAGTGTATTTTATACGGAGATCCCGTATAAAGCGTACTTATGCTAAGTATAATACTGTTTTACACTTCAAAAACCATGTTCTCACATTATGAATCCTTTTTTATTAATAAGAAAATACTTGTTACTTGATTCAAGTATATCAATTCTTCACTGCAAGTATATTATATACTTAAATTAAGTATACGAAGTACTCATGCTAAAATTTTTTTCTTATTAAATTTAAAAATTTCAAAATATAAATAATAGAAAATATAAATAATAGAAAATTATAAATATAAATAATAGAAATTATTTATAAAAATATAAATATAAATAATAGAAAATTATAATTACCTCTATGAATTTTTTATTGTTCAATTAATAATTTATCTATCATCATCAAAGATATGATATTAGATAGTTTATAGCTAAGGGCTAAGTTAGACAATGAATTTTTTACAGGCAAAAGTCTAACTGCAGCAACTCATTGTCCTAAAATGTACAACAACAATTGTACTAATTATCGTAGGATAACGATTCTTTTTGTGGATTTATTACTAGACTTTTAATAAATAAATTATTATTATTAAAGATAATAGACCGAATAATCTATTGCTGAGTGTTGAGTTAGAAAATAAACTCCTTACAGTAAAAGAGTCTAACTGCAGCAGCTCGAGATATTGAAATATGCAACAATATTTGTTGCACTTATGAAAAAATTATGATTATCTCTATGAATTAATGATTATACAATCAATCATTTATTTATCATCATCAAAGGTATTATATCGAATAATTTATTTCTGAGCGCTAAGTTGGAAAATAAACACTCTACAGGCATAGTCTAACTGGAGCAACTTGGAGTTTTTAAAAGCACAACACCAATTTGTTGTTATTATCATTCAATTATGATTCTTTCTCTAAATTAATCAATGAACATTAAATAATTTTATTATGATTATTAAAGATTTAACATTAAGCCATTTATAGCTGAACGCTGGATTGAAAGATAAACTCCTAAAGCTCCTAACAAGTCTTACTGCAGCAGCTTGAGGTATTGAAATGTACCACAATAATCGTTCCAATCATTGTAAAATTTCGATTCATTTTTAGAATTAATTAATAGACATGCAATTAATTATTAATTATTATTAAAGATTCTATAATCAATAATTTATCTCTGAGCGCTATATTACGAGTTAGACTTTTAACAGGCCCAGTGTAAGTGTAGCAGCTCCACGTATTTAAAAGTACAACAGTAATTGTTGTAATTATTATAAGATTACTTTTCATCTATTTATTAATTACTGAATATTTAATCATTAAATTACTTCATCAGTAATGGTCACTAATTAAAATTGACCAATACCAATGGGTATAACAGTAACTTTTTTATTATTAATATGATTATTTATATTTTGAAATTTTTAAATTTAATAAGAAAAAAATTTTAGCATGAGTACTTCGTATACTTAATTTAAGTATATAATATACTTGCAGTAAAGAATTGATATACTTGATTCAAGTAACAAGTATTTTCTTATTAATAAAAAAGAATTCATAATATGAGAAAATGGTTTCTGAAGTGTAAAACAGCATTATACTCAGCATAAGTACACTTTATACGGGATCTCCGTATAAAATACACTTGTGGAAAGTAAGGAAGATCCTCAGTGTAAGAAAACTATATTATCAACTGAAGTAAACTTTGTAATCTTCTTTTATTATCTACCTACTTGAGATAAACAAAATATTTACAAAAATGCAGTAATCGCTATTTTTGGTATAAATTAATATTATATTAGGATTGAGTGATGGAAAATTTGAAATCAAGTTAATGTTATTATGATTGTGCAGTACACTTTAAACTTCATTTTGATATAAAATGTACTTGCATCAAAAAATAATTATACTCAAATTGAGTATATTTTGTGTTTGCCGCTAGTATACTTTCTAGCTATCACATTTTTTCTGTCAGTGTAATCAAAGAATACAGACCCATAGAAGCCCAGGGCAATAGGATTTAATGTCGCAGTAGAACGCTCAGTACTAACTGCGACCACAGATGTCGCAGCAGTCCAAATGAGTAGGCTGGAGATGGAGTGGCCAGCAGTCGTTGACCAAACGTCAATCGAACCAGTATTGAGTCAGTATGTAGATGAATGTTTGAATTTTTAGGTGATTTAGATAGCAGTAAACAATGATAACATGGATGAAAAAATTCATTAAAGAAACAACTAGGTAAACCAATAATCAGAGCCAGGTTATATTTCCGAAATTCTCGACTATTTCCAATTAGGATATCGCATTTTAAATAATGCAAATTTCGAATAAATGACAATGGAACATGATTTTTTCATCTTTTATAAATGAGAATTTTTTTAATTATCAACATTGAAGAATAAAAAATGGCAAAATTATGAATATCAGTCTGATGTAGAATTCTGTATAATTAAAATATCGAAAAGTCGGAAATCAAGCTCGCAGGCAATTATGAGAGCGTCCATTTTAGGGGAAAAAGTGCTTAAAACATAACTTTTCCATCTTTCAAAATTAATTACTTTGTCAATTATTAAGATTAAGGAATCAAAATTAGCAGAATTATACAAAATAGTCTAATGTATAATTCTGTATAATTAAAATAATGAAAAGCCGCGAATCAAGCTCGCGGCATTAATTATAATCGCAGCATAAAGGACATAAAAAACAATATTTTTTGCAAGAGGACAATAAATTTTAGTGATCTCCAGGTAATAATGTTATATATTCATAATCGGTAATAAAACATCTAAGAGTAGTGCCATAACATAAATTTCACACTATTCGATATACCACCTAACCTTACTTACTAGATTGTATACATTTTTCTTGTAGACGAAGTCTAATTAACAAAATATTATCAACTCCTGGTAGAGTTTTAAGAGTGAGACTTTTTTCTAAATTCTTATAATTTTTTATGAATAAGCGGGGAGCCTATTCTTTTTATTATCCATCTCAAAAAGTTGAGAAGTCACGAGTACAGTGGTCTATCTTGTGGTAGAGACTATACTACAGGTAGTTTAGTAACTTTAGGTTAATCGGTCATTTCAATAAAAATGGAACCTGTAAGCAGAACATTCACTATTTATCGTTGAAACAAACTAAAAATAAGATTTATTAATTTTGAAATTTTCTTTTCAAGATGGAAATTGAATACTACCGTTTTGAATGGAAGGTCGGTACAGCACCTATGGATAATGAGGAGAACGTGATGGTAACTTTTTTTTCGAATATTTTTTTAATAAAAATTTTTAGGACAATATTAATATCACTAATTTATTCATGTTAGATCGATGATGCTTATAATATCCACTGCATAAAGAAGCATCCATTTTACGTCACAATTGAATTGCCCCGTACACTTATAGGACCTCGACTTATAATCTTCAGTTTGATCAATTCTTTATTACATAGTCAACTCATTGAACGCTGTGAAAAGCATACTAAATCTGATCGATTAACAAAATTATGTCATAAAGCACTCCCATTAGTCATACATGAAGATCTTTCTTCGGATTACCCTTATAGGTATGCCGAGAATGGGAGTGTTGCAATCATACTGCCACCGCAACAGCAAGTACATGGAATTCCTCTCTAATTCCGTTTTAACGGAAATTAGAGCTCAAATAGCTAGAATATTAAGTGAACGACGAGAAATGGCGAATTTCCCGCGATTACAGTCTATTCAAATTGATTTTAGAGATGGCGTACTGGCTGAAAAAATAGTAAAAAACATCTTAAAGGATTTACAAGAATCGGTTGACACCAGAAATGTAGGAACTATGTCAGCTATCAATCAATTCCGTCCGATTTTCGTAAACGTGCATCGGCAGAATTTTTATTGGAACGTCTAATTCTTCATTTAATACGCATACCATGAGACTAAATGGTTTTCGAGTACATTTTGATTAACACTTGATGGCAACAGGAATTCCATGTACTTGCTGTTGCGGTGGCAGTATGATTGCAACACTCCCATTCTCGGCATACCTATAAGGGTAATCCGAAGAAAGATCTTCATGTATGACTAATGGGAGTGCTTTATGACATAATTTTGTTAATCGATCAGATTTAGTATGCTTTTCACAGCGTTCAATGAGTTGACTATGTAATAAGGAATTGATCAAACTGATGATTATAAGTCGAGGTCCTATAAGTGTACGGGGCAATTCAATTGTGACGTAAAATGGATGCTTCTTTATGCAGTGGATATTATAAGCATCATCGATCTAACATGAATAAATTAGTGATATTAATATTGTCCTAAAATTTTTTATTAAAAAAATATTCGAAAAAAAAGTTACCATCACGTTCTCCTCATTATCCATAGGTGCTGTACCGACCTTCCATTCAAAACGGTAGTATTCAATTTCCATCTTGAGAAGAAAATTTCAAAATTAATAAATCTTATTTTTAGTTTGTTTCAACGATAAATAGTGAATGTTCTGCTTACAGGTTCCATTTTTATTGAAATGACCGATTAACCTAAAGTTACTAAACTACCTGTAGTATAGTCTCTACCACAAGATAGACCACTGTACTCGTGACTTCTCAACTTTTTGAGATGGATAATAAAAAGAATAGGCTCCCCGCTTATTCATAAAAAATTATAAGAATTTAGAAAAAAGTCTCACTCTTAAAACTCTACCAGGAGTTGATAATATTTTGTTAATTAGACTTCGTCTACAAGAAAAATGTATACAATCTAGTAAGTAAGGTTAGGTGGTATATCGAATAGTGTGAAATTTATGTTATGGCACTACTCTTAGATGTTTTATTACCGATTATGAATATATAACATTATTACCTGGAGATCACTAAAATTTATTGTCCTCTTGCAAAAAATATTGTTTTTTATGTCCTTTATGCTGCGATTATAATTAATGCCGCGAGCTTGATTCGCGGCTTTTCATTATTTTAATTATACAGAATTATACATTAGACTATTTTGTATAATTCTGCTAATTTTGATTCCTTAATCTTAATAATTGACAAAGTAATTAATTTTGAAAGATGGAAAAGTTATGTTTTAAGCACTTTTTCCCCTAAAATGGACGCTCTCATAATTGCCTGCGAGCTTGATTTCCGACTTTTCGATATTTTAATTATACAGAATTCTACATCAGACTGATATTCATAATTTTGCCATTTTTTATTCTTCAATGTTGATAATTAAAAAAATTCTCATTTATAAAAGATGAAAAAATCATGTTCCATTGTCATTTATTCGAAATTTGCATTATTTAAAATGCGATATCCTAATTGGAAATAGTCGAGAATTTCGGAAATATAACCTGGCTCTGATTATTGGTTTACCTAGTTGTTTCTTTAATGAATTTTTTCATCCATGTTATCATTGTTTACTGCTATCTAAATCACCTAAAAATTCAAACATTCATCTACATACTGACTCAATACTGGTTCGATTGACGTTTGGTCAACGACTGCTGGCCACTCCATCTCCAGCCTACTCATTTGGACTGCTGCGACATCTGTGGTCGCAGTTAGTACTGAGCGTTCTACTGCGACATTAAATCCTATTGCCCTGGGCTTCTATGGGTCTGTATTCTTTGGTGTAATGGTCGAAAGTAAAACTTTTGTATGATGCTGAAGGATATCCTACATTTGCCGTGTAATTGGCATGAATTTATTGAAAGCATCAACATCTTATGAGTATATAATTATTGATTTTTATTTAATTAGTAAATAATTATTTATAATGATAATAAATATTCCAAATTTGCTTATTTTTCTCATAACATAAATAAACAATACCGGACATAGATGCTATTTAATTTTTTAACGGTTATACAGGCGATTTCCCTATACCGTCCTATAGAAAATCATACAGAATTTATGTCCGGTACTGTATGTACAAAGAATACTGTCTTACCTAGAAGCCCAGAAGTTGCTTTTTCGTGCCGCCAGAAATTTTTAGTTGGTACACTGACTACAAGATGTCTGTAGTGTACAATTAGTTACTTTGTTACATTTTGACAATTAAATTTGTACATCTTCGTTCCAAAGAAAACTAGTTTTGTCTACTTTGGAATAACTTTACGTGATTTTGAAAATTTTCAAAAGATTCTCCCATTTCAATCCTCATTTAAAAGAATTCAGGTACATTATTACCCTAAATTTCGGCCTTTATTTTATCTTAGATTTCATTGCACTCTTCAAGGTTGGCAAGGCAATTATAATTGTCAAAGGCTAAGGTTTGACCACCGAGGCTGAAAAATATAATAAAGATAAAGTTAGTCATTTCCAGAAAAGTGCTTGGTTACTCTAAACCGTTGATTTCAAATATTATATCTAAAATTCGAAAAATCGGAAATTTAATCTAAGTTGAAAATAATTATTATTATTATTATGAAAAATTTTTTTTTTTAAATGATCACACATTGGTGCGTTGGTAATGTTTAACATACGCACTTTTCTACTCATGCTAAAAAATAGAAACATAAAAAAATCTAATTTTTATCTCCGTCGTTTGGCTGGTGGAGGCAAGCAATCCTCCCAATTCTCGTTGAATTTACGTTTACTTAAGTAATTAAACATAAATTCAGATGTTACTGGCGCGTTAATGCTATTAAAAATACATTGAGCAGTCTCAAACGAATTTGGCAAATCTTTATCCGTTCTTTCGCGCATAAATACCTAACGACCGTTCTTAAAACTACATTCAATTATTTTATTATTGAGCTTCTCTATTTCGTTAGTAACCGGAATGAAACCATATGGTTTGCTCAAACCCCCAACATATAAATGACCAATTTTTCTAGATAAAATACCCATACCTGATTCGACGACTATTTTCAACTTAAAATCCACTGAATTCAACGATAGCGGCTTCCACTTCAAGACGGTTCATGCTGGTCCAGGGATGTAAGGCTCTTTCGAAGGCCGGAAGATCAGGTCGTCTGGTTCATGAACCAATTGTTTCATTAATTTTTCACTTAACAAACTGTTCACTTGTGTAATATCCCAAAATTGCTTCTGACGAATAGAAAAGGGTTCTCGATCTCGTCGTATTCGGCCTTCCTTTAATGCTCTAATTCGGCCTCCCATCACTTTTTTTTTGGTTATAGCATATCGCTCAACAAAAAATGAGTCTGTCGATACATCTTTACTATCACACATGATAATGTCAAAAACTAAGTACCTAGGATATTTAGTACCGTGTACTTCATCAATAACCATTTCTCCATCTAATAAAGCATCTTTCAGAGTTCTTGAAATATCTTCACAGCGTGGAAAAGCCAATCCGGATACCTCAAATATACTGTTATTTCTATTAATAGAAAATACTTCATTGTTTGTTTGAATAAACATCATATATCTAGTACCATCAGCTTTCCATGATACTTTGTATGGTCTGATTTTAAATTGAAATATCAGTGCTCTGCAGTGGTCTGGGTGCGACCCAAAAGGTCCACACGACCAACATCCCAGTGGAAAAAATAAAAAAACAATTTGAATAGAACCCGTTTCCATTTTTTATAACAAATGGAATTGTTATAAACGAAATAAGTCTGTTTTTATTCATTTGATATGGTTAGTTACTTTATTTCAGTAAAAGAAAAAATTGTGCGTTAGAAGAATTCGAATGTACCTCATAGATCCTTTTTTTCATTATTTACAACGAATTTCATTGTTATACACGAAAAAAGTATGTTTTCATTTATGTCATACGGTTGGTAACATTTCTTTAGTAAACGAAAAAATTATGCGTTAAAAGTACTCTTATATATCGAAAGGGTCCCTATTTTTATTGTTTATAACAATTTAAAACTTATTATTTAAATATTACTATGATCAATAATCACTTGTTAGTAATAATGTTCAATTGTTTGAACACAATTCCATATTATTGACAATTATTATGAACTATTATAGCGTCTTTAATGCTGTTTTCTCAATCCTGACACGAGTTTAAAATTCTTTCATCCCGGGAAAAACTATCAGATCTGCTTAGATCTAATTTGATCAAATCAGATCTACTTATATCTTGACAAATCTGTTATTTTAAGTGTATTGACATGATTATGCATGATGGGGAACAATCATATTTTATCAGACCCGGTCTTGTTATGTGGTTCAATGCAATTTGATCTGATCGAATTGGGGCAGAACCTGCCAGATCTGACGACATTGTCTTGACCGCAATTTCATGTCTATTAAGATATAACCAGATCTAATAGAACATGCTATCAAATTTATTTAGACCTGACTTTTATCAATTTGACATAATTTCAGCTGGTCAGATCTTACTATTCATGAAATTCATTTTAATCAGACCTGGTTCATGTAAATTTACTACAGTCTGATATGGTCAGATCTAGCCACATCTGACCAGATCTGCTTAGATGTGTGTTCGAATTTGAAAAACAGGAACTTTAATCACTTTAAACATGTTACATACATATATTTTTACGTTACTTTATTCAATACATGAGGACATTTACAAATAAAATTATCCACTTGGATCATGTGACTTATATTAATAATATTTCTTACATTTATTAATTTATAATCATCAGTCTCTACAATAGGGAGTATGAAATGTAATTTTGTCATAGATTCTTGATGAATTAATAGCCGGTGTTGTTGAATAGAAAACTTTTTAAAAATGAAGTACAATTCATTATCAATTTCTAAAAAGTATCTAATTACACCATACATTTCTTCGTATTCATATGTACTCAACTTAATTGTGTAACTATTTGTTTTAATTTGTTTGTAAATTTCTGTTGTATAAATGTGTCTATCAATTTCCATCCGGGAGTATATATTTATATTTATTAAATTTAGATGATTTAAATTCAAAATTTGTAGCTCAAGATCATTCATTCGAATATTACATGTCTTTATCTTATTCATAAGTCTATACTTGTTTTTTTTATGTATATTTCCAGCTGATACGTTCAGATCATTATGTATTTTATTTTTTAGAGCATGTATACCTTGAGCTAATTTCAAATTTTTCATCAGCTCTTCACCAAGATGTTTCGAACCGTGGAGACTTTTCGCGATGATTCCATTATAATTTTCAAACGGAAATGCAGATGATGACCATAATGGTCCCCAACGTCGAACACATAATACAAGGTGTGTTAATTGATGAAGATTATATGAATATTCATGATTACCATACAACTCACCAACATCTCTGACAAATAATCGTAAAAGAATCTCAGTACTATTTAAGTCATTCATGTGTATGGGTTTCTGAAGTAAATTATATATAGACACGATTAAAAGAAACCAATGTTGTAGATACTTGTTAGGTAAGAAACCAAGAAGTGCTGGAGCTGAATAGTATAGGAGCCAATTGAAAAATTCCGATGCTTTAAAACATTTAAAATCTGACAATTTTCGAGGCATCCTATTGAAGAAGTATGGTGGATGAATATTCAAAATAAATGAGTCTATATTATCGAGATGTTTTTTAATATTCCAATCACCTGTTTTATTTATCCAAATGTTAATAAATTGCTTCACAACACCCAAAAGCACTGAGTGCATGAATTCTGGGATCACACAGGTTCCCAAATCAATAAATGGTAAATTAGAAATGACAGTTGATCCTTTTACACCCTTAATATGTATTTTTCCTTCAGTAAAAGCTTTATTACCTTGCTCAATCATTCGTTCAGATGTTCTTAAACAACTTGTTTTCTCTTTAAATAAAAAAACTCTTCTTTTTTTTTTATCCTTGGGACCTTTACATTGTTGAGTCTTAATTTGGCAAATGTTGCAGCCAAATTTTCCATTGAAATAAGAAATATTCTGAATTGCTGCTCGAGCTGGAGCATCAGCTATGAACAATGGTGCTACAATCATTGAAGTAAAGGTCTCATTTGTTGTTTTATCAGTCCATTGAATACCCTTCTCGAAACTCTTAATAATTTTATCACAAACGGGCTTTAAGAAAGTATTCATTAATGGTTTTCTTTGAGTATCATACCACAAACCGACTATAATTATAAATGACTCTCTAAGATATTCAGGTAATTCCGCTATGGTGAACATAAGAGGCCAACAGTGAGTTGTAGCACTTTTCACTAAAGATAAGCCATCTGTATTGAGAATCAACGTCAAATCATATTGGTTACGATCTTTCCTAGAATTAACTCTGATGTATTCGGAACCATCAGTAATATCTGAGATTAATTCACTATGATGAGGTAAAACTTGCAATTTACTGGCCAAGTTTCTATGTTCAAACAGAAATTTTATCTGGTCGATAATATCCAGTTCGTAAAAATATGATGTGCCCTCTGTGCTTTTGCATGACGTACATATTCTCAAAACACTATTTTCTTCAGTATAAAACGCACATTTTTTACAATACAAATGTTTGATAATTTTAACAGGTGGAGATATTTTACGAACATAATCGAATAATGTAAATATAGTTTTTGGCATTTTGTTAGGCTTAGGAAGCACTTTTTGAAGTATATTCAAATTTTCTTGTAAAGCAATTTTAGTTAATTTTCGATTTAAATATGACTTTAGAACTATATGAACACTTTCCATCACTGTTACCTCTGCATTTAAGTATAATTTGGTAGCATCGTTATTTTTTGTGTGATTATCAGCAATGTTATTGTTATCATTAACATTGCTATCATCATGTCTATTATGATTATTACTATTGTTGCCACTAAAAGTATCATTGCTATTGGTATTAATATTTTCATCATTATCTTCGATGATGTCTTCCCAATCATTCTCATCATTATCTTCAATGATCTCTTCACAATCATTCTCACTACTATCATCGATGATCTCTCCACAATCTTTTACACCCCTAAATTCTCTTATTTTTTTTCTGTTTTCTTCATAAATAGGTTTATATTCATCAGACGAAGACAATCTTGAAGTAAGGTTTTCATCATTGGGACTATAATTGTTATCTAAACTTTTGTCATCATGTTGTCGATTTATATTAAACTCAATATCGGTATGATTACTCCTAATCTTTACTCGTTTCTTTGCCCAACGTTGTAATGTTTTCAAAGGAACCTACAAAAAGTTACATGACGTGAATGTATTTGATAGTGAGAGTCATAGATATTAATGGAAAAAATTATTGATGCAAGGCGAAAAATTTTTTTTAATACTTTTAAATATTTTTGACACTTCAGAACTAACAGTAAGTCATGAGAAATGAAATAAAGTGTACGATTGAATTAAAAAAATGACAGTCAACTTATTTACCAGTATGCTTGAATTTTCTTTCCAAAGTTTATATTTTTTCTTTTCTGGAGATTCTGTTGATTCATCGAAATCAGGATTATTCCTTTTATCGAACGACATATTTCTTTGTGGACTGTAAAAAATAAATTCTAAAAATAAATTCATTCATTTGATGATTAATTTGTTAAAATTTGAATAATTTAAAAGTTTGAGATAAATTTACTTACCTATCATGAAATATTGAATATAATATATTTTTTATTTAAACGATTAGTGTTGTTGAGATGTAATATATTTTTATAATACTGGCTTACGATAGGAGCACGTGATTATCGACATTTGGCGTCATGGCCGTTACATAAAAGCAGAACATTCAAAAACGGAACAGGCACAATCGTTGAAACAAGTGGAATAACTGGAACAAGCGGAACGAAATAAAATGGAATTGGAAACTCAATGCGAAATTCAATGATAATAATGCTGCTGTAAATTCATATTGATTGATTTTAATTAATAATTTACATAATTCAATCGTTCATCTCGTGTTGAATTCTAAATTACATTTCATTTTATTTCGCTTGTTCCGGTTATTCTACTCGTTTCAACTATTCCGCCTATTCCTACTGTTCCGCATTTATGTAACGGCCATGATATCACTTGTTGATTATCACGTACTCTCGTCGGAAGCCGGCAATTTTTGTGACGCATTTTTATGAGTTTATTAGAATAATATATTATTGCATTGTTTATTATTTAAAAAAATAAAGAACAAAATGTATCTTGTGCAATTTGATAAGAAAAATTTATATCATATTTGTGATGACAATTCTATTATTAAAACAGAAGAAGCTTATTTAGAAGAAGGTGACAAAGTTCAATTTATTTTTAAAAATAAAGTGCATAATGGAATTATATTGAAAAAATCAGGTAATTAAATTACGTATGATAATTATTTATTGTCAGTCATAATGTAATATTCAATATTTTTAATATTTCGATAGATAAAGTAAAAATTGCATGTCCATGAGAATTTTTACGATTTTATTCATTTTTTCATCTTTCGTAGATGACAGAAATTCTCTGATATCTGAGAAGAAAAAGTTAGAACAAGCCTCTTCGAAGAAAACAAATATTGATTTGAATAAATCTAGTTCTTTAGGTAAACGAAAACGTATAGCAGCAAAAAAATGGTCTCCTAGAATAACCCCAAAAAAAGAAAAAACAACAAAAAATGATGTTCAGAAAAAAGTAAGTGATCTAATATTGTATAAAAATCGAATATGATACAATTGATGTCTTCTAATTCGTACTATATAAATTGATTGATTTTATTACAGCAGAAGAAAATTTTAAAAACAAAAGAAAACATTTCGTCCTCAGAAAGTAGTGAACCGAATGAACCATGTACATCGAAAGTACAAGATATTTCAAAATTGAAGAAAAGAAATGTACCAAAAATGAATATCGGAGAAGCTAGGGATGATTATTCTATTGATACAGCAAAAAATGTGGAGCAAAATCGAAATAAATTAGCACCTGGAGATGAACAACATTTTGATGACATGCAGGATAATTCGCGGTATTGTATACAGGATGATGGTGAAGATGGTATACAAGAAAATTATCAAGATGTGATTGAGGAAAATAATCAAGATGCTATACAAAATAATGGTAATGATAACGACCAGGAAGAAGAGGTACATATAAATCAAGAAAATATTATGCGTAATGCCAATATTAATAGAGAAGAAAGAGAGCTAGATGATGATGACAATATCGATTATTCAGTACCAGGTAGTCAGTTAATCGGTAGAGTTCATCGTAATGAGCAGGTATGTGGGATTTCTATTATTAACAAATAAATTATCATACAATTGTTTGAATATAAATACAAATATTTGCAGATGATTGAATTACGAGAAAACATATATTGTCGAAAAATAATACTGGACAGTGCTATAGGAGGGTCACGAAAAGCATCTCACATTGCAAGACGCTTGATTGAAGGTGTATTCAAGCCACATGCTTTGTCCAAGTGCACTTTTACTGGCCAATCAGTTCGCTCACAAGGCCGAGAACGTTTACAACAAACCACATATTGTCTCGATGGAACAGCTAAAAAGGTTATCATTGGTAATGAATACGTCAATTGCATTTTCTATGACTTATAATCTTACATTTCCAGTATTATATAATATATTTTTGACTATTTTTCAGAATATTCAAAAGAAAAAGCGACTGAGCTGGGGCTTGAAGTTCAAAGTGATAATTACATCGGAAAAGCAATGTCACAACGATTGGGAGAGATTAAGAGGGAATACCAATGTGCAAGAAGTACATTCCATAACAACTAATACTCACAGAAAACGTGATTTTGGAAAAATTATTTCAATTTTTTATTCATTTGCATGCTTTAAATGATTTTCATTATCAAAGTTTAGTTTTTTAGAGCTCGATGCTCATTGATATTTTTATGTCATGATTTAATTTAGAAATATTTTGGTAACTTGTCTACTTCTATGGATATAGACTGATTATTTGTGTAGTTACATTATTATTCCGGTATTGTTAATTTGTAATACGTCCAATAAGAAGTCATAATTTAAATGATTTTCATTATCAAAGTTTAGTTTTTTAGAGCTCGATGCTCATTGATATTTTTATGTCATGATTTAATTTAGAAATATTTTGGTAACTTGTCTACTTCTATGGATATAGACTGATTATTTGTGTAGTTACATTATTATTCCGGTATTGTTAATTTGTAATACGTCCAATAAGAAGTCATAATTTAAATGATTTTCATTATCAAAGTTTAGTTTTTTAGAGTTCGATGCTCATTGATATTTTTATGTCATGATTTAATTTAGAAATATTTTGGTAACTTGTCTACTTCTATGGATATAGACTGATTATTTGTGTAGTTACATTATTATTCCAGTATTGTTAATTTGTAATACGTCCAATAAGAAGTCATAATTTAAATGATTTTCATTATCAAAGTTTAGTTTTTTAGAGTTCGATGCTCATTGATATTTTTATGTCATGATTTAATTTAGAAATATTTTGGTAACTTGTCTACTTCTATGGATATAGACTGATTATTTGTGTCGTTACATTATTATTCCGGTATTGTTAATTTGTAATACGTCCAATAAGAAGTCATAATTTAAATGATTTTCATTATCAAAGTTTAGTTTTTTAGAGTTCGATGCTCATTGATATTTTTATGTCATGATTTAATTTAGAAATATTTTGGTAACTTGTCTACTTCTATGGATATAGACTGATTATTTGTGTAGTTACATTATTATTCCAGTATTGTTAATTTGTAATACGTCCAATAAGAAGTCATAATTTAAATGATTTTCATTATCAAAGTTTAGTTTTTTAGAGTTCGATGCTCATTGATATTTTTATGTCATGATTTAATTTAGAAATATTTTGGTAACTTGTCTACTTCTATGGATATAGACTGATTATTTGTGTCGTTACATTATTATTCCGGTATTGTTAATTTGTAATACGTCCAATAAGAAGTCATAATTTAAATGATTTTCATTATCAAAGTTTAGTTTTTTAGAGTTCGATGCTCATTGATATTTTATGTCATGATTTAATTTAGAAATATTTTGGTAACTTGTCTACTTCTATGGATATAGACTGATTATTTGTGTAGTTACATTATTATTCCAGTATTGTTAATTTGTAATACGTCAAATAAGACGTCATAATTATTAGAATAGTACAAATGATAGTCAAAGTTTAATGTATTCATAGATATTTAAAAAGAGGATATTTATAACCTTATAATCGAAATATATATTTATCTTCAATAAAGTTGTAATAAAGATTGATGGTTCATGTGAATAAAAGGAGTTTCACCTCAATATGTATATATATGTATCCCTATATTTTTCCTTCTCACCATGTATTTCCATGTTGACTTATATACAAACACGTATTATTGTGTCAAATCAGATCAAATATTATTGAATATGTTCATATATAGAAAGATCTGGTTATAGCTACTAGCGTTTGTATCTGCATAGGTAATATTATGTGTGGTTATATATAGACAGATCGGATGAATAATATAACATTAGGACTTATCTGGCCATATCTTATTAAATCTCGTCAGATATAGACAAAATCGAGATCTGGCTAGATCTGATCAGAGCTAAAAAAAATAAGTGAATTATGTCTGACCAGATCTTTTCAGATCTGAATGTTTTTCCCGGGATTGCTGATATTGTTTTTTAAATTTTTTTTTTTCGATGAAATATTGTCATCATATATCCATACAAGTATTCCAATCATTTAATATTCATATTTCTGCAATGATCTTGAAATTTTGTCTAAAAAATGGTATAATTTATAAATTGCAAAATTCAGGTAATTTCCTTTTTTTCCAGTTTTTTGATTCTGCCAAAAAAATGGCTCTACCGATTTTCCTGAAAACTTTTTCAGTTCTAAGTTACGTAATTACGCGTCGAATGCAAGTGGTCCCACATCGATATCATTTTTTGTTCTCGAGATAATCGAGGCGAAAAATAATTCCGAACGTACGTACGCACATACGTACATACACACACAGACGTCCACTGGAAAACGGTCGTATTGGATTCGCGGGACCTTAAAACGTGGAGATATGTCAAAATTAGCGATTCGCAAAATCGGACCCATTACTATAACTTCCCACTGGGAAGTTAATAATGTTATTGAGGCCCATATCCTGCTTAAAGAATCCTATTGGGAGAAAAGAGTTCAATAGGAAAATTGCATCGGAAGTTTCCTATTGAATCCTATTGAACGTTTTTGTTTTTCCTATAGAAATCGCTTGAATCCTATTGAGTTGTCCTATTGAAATACGCTGAATCCTATTCAGATGTTCCATTGCGGTACGGTGAATCCTGGGAATATTGTTGTCTCAGAATTTCCTATAAAATTAAGGGGAAACCTATTCGACGTTTCAATAGGATCTTATTACCACAAAAAAAATTCTTTTAAACTAAAGGAAATTTTAATTCGTACTAGAGGTTCTTTTATTTACACGAATTTGTTGTTTAAATATACACTTGAAATGAAATTTATTAGAAACTTTGTCCGAAAAAATCCTGTTAAACATGAATTAAGTTCGCTTCCTTGCAAGTATTTCTAAGCAGAAATAAAATAATTGTCATTTGTAAAGATATAACATTTAAAATGCAACTTAGAAATTATATTTTTATCCCAATGTCATAAGATAGGATTTTATTTTATTTAAAAGAAAAACATTAGATAAATTCCTGTAAGAAATCAATGAATTCTTATCGGTAAACAATTTCTTCAGCATATCAACTATTTTTATAAGAAACAATCAAACCGTTTGTCACAAGATTATATGAGAATTTATCAGTTAATGACGCCGTTTGATTCTCCATCTGATTCTATACGATTGTATTAGAATAAATGTAATCAGATGGAATAAGAACTTATTAGTAAATAATTTTTATTAACATGTCAACTTTTTTTATAAAAAACTATAGGACCATTACTTACAAGGTCCTGCTTCAACCAGTGAAATCACGAACCTACAAAATTTAAAATTTTCCTATTGACACAACTGAATAGGATTATAATGATTCAAAAAAAAAGTTAGCGATTTTATAGAAAATAAAGAGTTTCTACAAGAAATGAAAGTAGAGATTTGAATAAGAAATTGATCGATTCAATAAGATAATCTGACTTAAAACATTCATCTTTATTTCTAAACGCCGCAAAAGAATTTAGCATTATTTAATAGGTTGAACTCTTCCAACAACCAATAGTAAATACCTACTGAAAATCAAAATCCTAATAGAGAATATCGTGATGAGAAAATATTTTCTAAGTCACATTTTTATGCTTGATGAATTCATAAACGTTCTTATGAGAAACGGTTCTATAGTTTTTTATCAAAAAGTTGATATGTTAATTAAAATTATTCATCAATAAGTTCTCATTCCACATTCAAATATCCTAATAGCAGAATCCAAGCTCCTTCTCATCAGGGACAGAGCGAGGTTTCTTTGTGAAACTTCACTGGCTAAAATACTCTCCAACAATTCTCTCCTTATTCATAAATCTGTTGTCAATCATTTCAACTTCAACAACAAAAGAAAAAATCGTTCCTTGAAAAACAGAAGACTTATCAATCATAGCATCTCTGACGTTATGAAAGTATATAAAAAAATAGATTTTCGCGACAATTTTGTTCCTTTTATGTTTGGCTACGATGCTACAGTCACTACGATCCCAGCTAATATCTTTTGAGGCAAAATACTGCTCAATTCTTCTGACTCCAACTCGAAGTTTGATTCAACTATGTCTAAGTATGACGCCTCTTTCATATTTGCCGATGGCAGTAAGAGTACCCACTCCCCCACGACCGGCTTTGCATGCTTGTGTCCAAAACTCAATATCTCTCTTTCCTCTTACCTGGACCACATCGCCTCTATATTCACTGCTGAATGTGCCGCTCTCAATGAAGCCTTTAATATTGTCTTGGACTACCCCCTCTCTAATTTCCTTGTTTTCACTGACTCTCTCAGTGTCCTCCAATCATTAAATTCTCCTTCACTAAATTCTAAGTGTAATCATTATATTCTTGAAATTAAAAATAAATATCACAACATTTCTACCAGAGGTTCCAACTCGGTGCAGTTCTTCTGGATCCCATCTCATGTGGGTATCCGGGGGTAACGAGGAGGTGGATGCCCTGGCCAAACTTGCTTCCAATAACAATTCCCCTTCCCACAAACTCATCCCGTTCTCTGATTTTTCCCAAACATTCATGAGGGAGTCTATTGTTCATACCAACAACTCAATTATCCAAGTTGGCCTCAACAAAGGTACTTACTAGTTCCAATATTACTACAGTGAACTACGCAAACCCTGGTTCACAAACAAAACCCTAAAACAACCTCTTATTGTCACTATGAATCGTAGTAGAGCTAATCACTACCACCTTCGTGAATCTCTGGCTCTAGTTGGGTTCACTAGCCTCCCCTCCTGTAAATGTGGCGAGGAGAGAGAATCATTGAATCACGTGCTCTGGCAGTGTGGGCTCTATGATACCCACAGAATTGCTCTAACACGTTCACTCTCGAAGGTCAAGATCTTCCCTCCCTATTCGGTTGAATCTTTAATATCTGAGCCCAACATCAGAGCTTGTCACTTGATGTTTCTCTTCCTTCAGGCATGTAATATTTCAATATAAGTTCGACTCTTGTTATAATCTATTCTTTTTTATTTATAAATCTAAACATCGAACAGTTTCATCATCTAATAAATTTTTATAAAATTTTGTGAGTAATGGTCCCATAGTTTCTTATAGAAATAGTTGGTATATTGACAAAATTATTTATCAATAAGTCCTTATTCAATCTGATAACATCTTTTCTTCTGTAATCGTATACAATCGGACGGAGAATCAAACGGCGTCACTTATTCATCAATTCTCATAGGATCTTATTTAAAATGGTCCAATAGTTTCTTATAAATTAATTCAAAAAATTAAAAATATCATTTACTCATTGCTTTTCATAAAGTCTAATAGTATTCGTTCTTGCAAAATTCTATTGCACTGGATAGAAGGAAAAGTTATCACTTTTACAAATTGATGCGTATTGCATCTTGTAATATCTATCTGATACATTCTTATGAAACTTATTCAGAAATAAACAAATATTATTTACCGATAATTTCTTATCAATTCACTCTTATCAATTCTGATCAATTCTTATCAAATAGTTATAAGTTATAAGACCATTTTTTGTCTTCCAATAGACCCGAAACAATCTTATTCACTCTTATAAATTGTTTGTGTATTAGAATTTGTCGGAAATTTTGTCAGTTTGTTTTACAAAGGTAGTAACCCACACATTGATCCCCCAGTTAATTCTCATAAGATTCGAAAATGGAATTAAAGATTACATTATCCCATGTATTCTTATAAAAACTTGTACACCGCTTCCTCTTCATTCTGGTAAAACTAAATCGTAAAATTGGAATATATCATTTTCCTATTTGTTCTTATAGTGTCTCATACAATGCTTCTTAATGATTCTCATTGAAATGGACGATAAATTAATAGTATACTGTGTAACTAGGGCGGTAACTAGCCGATTGCCCATGATGGCAGGGTTTGACGTTAACTGTCATCATGGGCAATCAGCTAGTTACCGTCCTAGTGACACATTCTACTTTTCATTACGAGTGCGGCAGGGGGTTCGTTTGGGGGGTTTTAAAGAAGTAGTCGGGGGGAAGAAAACGGGGGGTTTGGGGGACAGAGCCTCCCGCAAAGAAAAAAAAAATCATTCAAATCTTTTTATTTTTACTTTTCAATTTATTCACTCATTCTTCGTGAATTAATGTTTATAATAAAGTTGGTACACTTTGGAAGAAGTGAATGTATAATTTGACCATCATCTAATTTAATCTTAACTCCACTCGACTAAATTCTTCAACGATTCTCAGAAAAATGATATTTAAGGGCAAATGGTTTGTTAGAAAATTTAATAACGCGCGCTCCAAGATCAGTGGTAAGGGAAAATGTTTATAATCGTCTATGAACAATATGGACGAAAGAAAATCATTTAAATAATCTTAAAGTATCGTAACGATTGTTTGGCTCTTTATTTATACGCATCTAGCTTAGAAAATATTCTTGCTTACTTGAAAACTACTAGACAGATGTTGAATACGTGACATATCATAAAAAAAAAATAGAAGGATTGATTTAGACAAAATAATCCTTAAAGTTTACTTTTATTTTAAGTATTCGTGCGTTATTCTTAAGTCTTCGTGCGGTTATTTCCTAAAATCCGGGGTTTTATTGCTCCCAGGCCTACAATGGACAATCGGAGAGTTGGCGCCCGGAGATGCGTGCGGTATAGTAGTAGTTATCCTGCATGAGTGATGAAAAAAATATTATTTTCCTATTCGTTCTCATTAGGACATATAGAATTCAAATAGTTTCAAATTTTTGTACCTTCTGTAAGTTCTGGTTCGTTCTTATGATCTCATCAAAAACAGCCCCCTCCTTCTGGGCTGTACAAAAATGTGCGCCAAACATAAATAACGACAATGATGAAATTACAAAAAGTCCTAAAATCATTAAACGCCAATTATTTAAATCTACAAATCAACAATATTTAAAATGAATTATTTTCTTCGGTTTTTTTTTTTTTTTGAAAAAAAATTTAGTACGTTTAATGGCACAATAAGCATAACAACCAAAAACTTGGCGTGACTGTTATTTATTAATTGGCTTAAATATTTTCAATATTTTCACAATTTCATGCTTTTATAAAATCTTAACAGTCACGCCAAGTCACTTATACAGGGTATTTGGCGACGCTAGCGTTGTTTAAGAATTATAATTGTAACTCTTTCTGCTAAACTCTGGCTCGTACCCATATGATAAATAGTCTTAAGTTATCTCATCATAATTCTGTAATTATATTACTATTAGAGTCTAAAACTATCTTAACTGGTAGGGAATAATCCCCTTTTGCTTTAACAGAGTAGAGAGGAGAAATAAAGACAAGGTTATTGTAATTGTGGACACAATTATTCCGCGTTTTACCACCCTTTAGGTCAGTAAGGTTTGCATGCATTACAAGATCTTAAGAGAGTATCGAGAGACTATCATTCGGAAGCTGAGTGGAATATCTCTAATAAAGGATCCAAAACATCATCCTCACGTCGTTGACGGGTCCAACTATATTTGGACATTTGTTTGATAAATTCGATATACCTTCAAATTGCATTCCATTGCTTATTCTGCGTCGTATTTCAAATATAATCAACGTCTCCTTTAAGCAACCTCGAAAGGTAAATGAAGACGAGCATACGCATACATAGTTCAGCACTAACAAGCAACTGGGTAACAAATAGTTTTACCGGGAAAGAATAATTTGACATTCCGAGTACCCTGTAAAAATTTATTCGACATCTTAGAAAAGAGTAATTGGACATTCAAGGTCAAAACAACCCAAAAATTTATTATTTTATCTCTTATTCTGGCGCAGTCCTCGACAGATTTCGCCAGAATATCTCAATGTATCGATTAACGATTCATTCTAAAAAACTACTCATTATACATAATTAAAATTAAGTTTATTTATGTAATTATGTATAGAATAATATGATGTATCAATCAAAATTGTTTAAAGTAATTCCGAAAATTTTATTGTTTATAATTCTAAAATTCATTACAAATATGTATATAGTGAATACATATACATATATTTGTATTTTATAATATAACATTTATTGACATTTTTAATCTACAATATTTATTGCATATAATGATCATTTTTTTATTATAAATCTATTTATGGATAGTTTCCAATGAAAATTTAACGTTCATAAAATGTTCTCTTTAAATACATTTTTTTTTCAAAGACAAGAAAACCAAATATTAATTAACATGCTACTCACATTCTGAACATACACACGATCAATGAATAAAAGTAAGTATGTCGCGTGCTACTCAAATTATATTTGTACATATCAATTATTTTTTTCAACTACCATGAAATCAAAGGTATACGTTAAATTAACATTATTTTCTTAAGATATATATTTATTTAGGTATAATTTTTTTCAATATATTTTTGTAATTTCACGTAAACAATACATAGCTAGAAGAAATTAGAAGAACATAAATGTTGATTTGAAGTAAAGAAATTTTTGTTACGATGGTGTAAAAAGGAACTAATATAACAATGATAAAATAAAATTTGTATACAAACAAAATAATTCACTAAAAAATTCTCATGATAAATTTAGTAAACATTCGTTTAAGGAATATTTAATTATATTTACAATTTAAAAAATTCTAAATATTTGCATAAGGCATATTTTTTTCGTAAAGAAATATCCAAGAATAATTTCTCTTTATATAATCAACAATTAAATAATAATGAAAATGAGGCCTTCATATAATTATTCAAATTTCTATTAGCATAGTTGACAAGTGTTCAGATTTGTAAATTTTCGTATATGTAAACGCAACTTGATGATTTTATAATAAATTTACTATATTCTTCAATATATCATTCGATATGTTCATTAGTTAATCGTTTCAACATTACAGATAAGTTTTCATTTATTTCGTACTAAATTTTTTTTTCTATTCTAATTCAACATTAAGTTGTCTTTTATAAGTAATCATCATATATTATACTATGTTCTTTAAATTATATCAAAAATTATGAAATAAATACGTCATAAATATTGAGCTCAGTTAAATAAAAATTACAAAGTAAACCGAGAACAAAACAGATTCTGTTTAATTGAATTTTTCAAACTAACTTAATATAAACACGTATTCTGAAAGATAATAATACAGGAGTTGATAAAAGAAGTCATTTCTTCACTGTTATTATCTGCTTTCGATTTTATTTCTTAACAATAAAGAATATTTGAAATAAATTTTTAATCAATTAAGATAAATTCGTTATAAAATATGTGATTTCTGAAATGTAAAGAGTATGAACCTCAGTTTGAAATACGTCATAAGTAAAAGAAAGATAGCTGAGCTCCATTCAGTATTGAATTAGAGAAAAACAATCGTTAAATAGTATTTCCATCAGTATGGAAGATATAATAATTAACAATAGTAAAACAATTACAAATTTAAAAACTATTATACAATAAGTATGATTTCTCAGAATAATCTAAAATTAATATTTGTAAAAAGATAAAATTTTTCAAAATTTTTCAATGTTGGCATAAATTTTACCGGAAGATTTTACTAACGTAATTGGAATTTCAATTGATTACTTTTATTTTAAAAAGTATTTTGAATGTAAAAAATATTTACGAGTGAATAAACGTAAAGAAGATTTATGTTGTTAAATAAATATTAAGGTTAAAAATCTCTTATTCTTTAATAAATGCAAATAAATTATTGTTTTTTTTTTTTTTTTTGGATAAATATTGTAAATAAAAATTTAATTAATTTCCGCTCACTGTAAATATTTTGAATATTCGTATATGTAACTAACTAACTTGCATTAACAACAAATTGCTTAAAATTTTTTTATATGTGAAATTACAGACCAATCATTCATTTAATTCATATAAATTAGGACCAAATTTTTAAGCAGTAACTTATAACAATTATCAAAAATTTAAATTTTTCTAGTTTTAATGGAATACTTGGGAGGCAGTTTTTTGCTTTTAAAAAAAATTTTGTTGTATCTACGACTAATTGAAAGTATTCAATGTATAGATAAATTCAACAAATCTTCTTAATACTAATATTATTTAAAATCTAATACGAAATGTCAGCTTAATCTTCCTTTTTACATAATATTTTCATTAATTTTATTATATTGATTGAATACGAGTTAAATAGTATACGACTAGAGAAATAACGTAAATTTTCATTATAATAATTCTTTGCTGACATTCAAATTATCAAAGTTTTTTTCATTATAAAATAAAAATAAAAATTGAATTAAATTAATTAATGTTATTTGAAATAATCTAAAGCGTCAAACATTACTATCTGGTTTTGAAGAAAATCCTATAGGCTGAACATTTTCAACTAAACTTGCTTTCATATTAGATGGAGGGTTTTGAGAACTCGATGCTGCCGATCTCATTTCTTCCAACGGAGCCCTAAAATGTTAACGTAACAATTTAAAAATATATTTATCTTTATAAACAGGGAATTTGTAATAGATATTTGAGTATATAAAGGAAATGTATATCTAAGAAACCGTACAAAGGATAAGTATTTATTGTTTATTAAAAAATATCTTTCAATTAAGGCCAAGTGTGTTTGTTAAGCTAAAAATTTTTCTCAAATATTTTGATATTTAATCAGCTAAATAAAAGTTTTTCAATAAAAATAAATGGTACATATTTATCCTTTTTTATAAAGATCGAATTTAGAAAAAGATTAAATCTCAGAAGTTAAGCTACTAAGAAGTAAGAAGTTATAAAAATCAATATCATAAGATAAAATAAAATAGAGTGAATATAATATACAACAAAAAAGTTCAAGATGAATTGGAAATGATTAGTTTTAAAATTAAATTAGTAAAATTGTAATTGAAAATTATAAAAAGAAATTGGTTCATAATCAACTGTTATAATTATCAAGCTATATTATTTTAATAAGAGAAAACACCAATTTAATAAATAAAAATAAAACAAGAGAAAGCAAAGCAAATATTATAACGTGCATAAATTAATTTTCTAACGGTATTAATAGGTTTATGATTGCCTTTGTAATAAAATGACAGTTTTTAACAGTAGTTTATGTTGGTCGCCACACATCTGGATCTTCCATTAAAGTAGTATGATGATCTGTTGGTGGTGCGGTTGCTTGAGGAGAAGTCATACCATTTGGTGAAGCCAGTCCTGTAGGGTCTGGTCTTGACCCTCTATCATTTTTGTTAGTTATTAATTATTTATTTATTAATATACTACATAAATCATTAATTTTAAAATAGACATTTAGAAATTGAAAACTATATGCATTTTTGAATATAATTGTCTCCAAGTCATTAATAACGTATTAATGAACGTATATAATAATTTTTTTCTTATCATATGATCACAACATAAATCACTTAAATCCGTTTTTTAAATGTAGTCTAATGTAAGCCAAGATTTCATTGGTTAAATTTTGTAAAAGAGTTTAAATAATTTAACATACATTAAAAAAATCTCGCATACACATATTTATTAGTAGGAAGCATATTTCAATATAAATATATATTAATCATGAAAACAAGATGGCAATTTAATTAAAAATTATTTTTTTGTACTTACTTTCTTCCAACGGACATTAATCCATAAATTATTCCTGTTGCAAATATTAATCCACTTCCAAGTATACTACTTAATGATGGACAAAAAAATACCGGCGGCAAAGCAATTCTGTAGAAAAATAATTTTTTTTTTTACATTTATTATTGATTATTTTATTTAAGACTTATTTTTACTTTCTGATAAATGTTTGTGAAAAAATATATTACTTACAGACAATATCCAGCAGCACGATTCCAATGAGGTCTTCGTTCAACCCAATCACTTAGATTTTGTACAAAATCAATAAACATACAGCAACACGGTGCTTCAACGGTCACAACTAAAAATCCTGCGACCATTTGCCACATTCCACTAATAAAACACATAACTGAGCCTACAATTACACCAACACACATCCATGCTCCTAAAAATATTGCAACTGAAAACAAAGGAGAAACGTTATTAGAAATCACAAGTTATTTAAGATATCATATTATGCGTTTAATAAAATTTCTTTTTAACAATTTAAAGTTAACTTCTATCAAACTTACTGAGACTCCCAATTGTGCCTAAGCCCCGACCTGCATATTTCATCCACCAAGGAACGTCATCCTTGGACACGGGATCTTGTCCAGGTCTCTCCATAATCGAAGCTATTTTTTCACCAAAAGACTAAAAAACGATAAATCGATATCTTTAATTTTCATCTAAAATTATGAATATGTCAGTAATTGATTGAAACAATTGAATATAATGTACCAATATTTTATTACAAAACTTACCATTTTTGAGATCTATAGGGATGTAAAAACTCTTTTTTAGAGTAGATTGTGGAACACGTTTGAAGTTTGTTTTTATTTAATACTTACTGGTTTTATAGTAATAATTTATAATTAAAGATGAAATTTTATTAAATAAGGCATGTAAAACTAAAGCGTCACTCCCCGTTATTCTATAAGATACAAGAAAATTGATACAAAATCAAAAATAAAGATATGACATGTCAAAACGCATGCGTGATAGACTGTAGTAGACATATTGGGGTTGTGTTCACTCGTCAAGTTACACACATATGCGCACAATCATGTCAATGCAAACAGTCGTGTGATATGCGCTATATGATGGCGCACATTAGAGTCCCTTAATATAGAGTCTGGCAAGATAAAGTCCGGCAGGACTAAAGTCCCTCAAGTTCTTAGGGGTATTTAGGCAGGACTTGAGCAATATGGCGTCGTCTTGCCAGACTCTTTCTCAAGGGACTCTAGTGTACATTTTTGTTTTTATATTGAATATGATTTTGTCTCCTCAACCATTTTGAAAAAAAGAGTAATAAACACAGCCTAAAGCTCTTTCGTAATTTTAAAATGTAAAATATTAAAATTTTGAAATGTACAAACTTTTATGAGGTTTCAAAAATTTTTATAATATATAAATTTGTTTCAAATATGTTTTCTCAATTAAAATTAATTAACATAAATTTAATGAACTGATAAACAAATTTTTTAAAAATTTAATTTATTTATGATTGAAATTATGTGTACATATTTTTTGTTCCAAGTTGTCATTAAAAAAAATTAATTTCAAATTTCGACACCAAAATTAGTTATATAACTAATCTCTAGATGTCACTTTTTCAGCTCTCTTTGTAAACGAAAGTTAAAAATGGAGGACTATTAGTTGATTAGAATGCTATTTGTCATTCTATTTACGTGTTCTTTGATATATGTCAGATGAATTTGTTAATATAATTTCAGTTTCGATAAATTTAACAAAATGGGATTATTTTCAATGTCGTCTCCTTTTGACACTGACGTTGGTAAGTATTCTTAAACTATAACAACTTTTATCATTTTCATTAAATAAATATTTTTTTACTTGGTAATTAATAGAGAAAGCTACAAGTGAAAAAAATACTTCCGAAGATTGGGCTTTAATATTGGAAATTTGTGATGCTGTTGGAAATTCTCCGCAAAAAGCTAAAGAATGCTTAAAGGCAATAGTAAAAAGATTAAACGCCCAAGATCCTCACATTGTAATACAAGCAATAACAGTAAGTAACTCATGAATCATCATGAAATATTGACCCATGGTTAATTATTAATGATGAAATCAATTAATTAATTTCATGTAAAATCGTTTTTCCATTTCTTATCGTTAGTTTGTATATTTTATAAATGTTTGATAGTAGAATTTTTAATTTTGAAACCATTTTTATTTTAGCTTTTAGATGCATGTTCGAGTAACTGTGGTAAAAATTTCCATTTGGAAATTGCATCAAGAGAATTTGAAGGCGAATTAAAAAAACTGCTGACTCGTAATCAACAGAAAATTGTTGATAAAACGAAAAGTTTATTGAAAAAATGGGCTGAAGAGGATTTTAAAAATGATCCGCAATTACATCTTATTCCAAGTTTATATAATAAATTAAAAAGTGAAGGTTATGACTTTTCACATCTTTCTGAGGTAATTAAATGAAAATTATTTTCCATTAAGTTGAATGAGAAATTTTTCTACTATGTTCCTTTGTAGCCTAAACATTCTTGTGGAACATCTTTATCCACTTCCAAGGAAGAACAAGATCTTGCTAAAGGTAATTAAATTTAAATCATAAGTATAAGTATGTTAATAATCAGTACAATAATAAAAAATTTTTTATAATTTTCTATAGCAATTGAATTGTCATTGAAAGAAAATAAACAACACTCGTCTAGTTCTACTCATGGCTCTCCAGCTTCTGTAAAAATGACGAGTTTATATCCTAATATGAGCACCTCGTTATCAAACTCAAGTACTTCTGAACGTCGGAAAGTTCGTGCTTTGTATGACTTTGAAGCAGCAGAGGATAATGAATTAAGCTTTACTGCAGGAGATATTAGTAAGTGAATCAGATAATTTTATATTACAATCAAAACTCATTATTCAAGCTATTAGTAAAAAATATTATTTCAGTTCGTATTTTGGATGACTCTGATGCTAATTGGTGGAAAGGTGCAAAAGGTAAAATAGAAGGACTCTTTCCAGCTAATTTTGTTACAGCAGATTTATCGGCAGAACCTGATCATATAACCAGTAAGTTCATATATTTTTAGTTTGTCAATTTTATTTTTATTTCATTAATATATAAACTTTATTTAGAATTAGAACAAGGTACAAAAAAAGCTGTGCAATTTGCAGAAGAGGTAGACGTAAAGATGTTGAAAAAAGAGCCTGAAGTTATTGAGGTTGAAATTGAAGAATCTAAAATCGATAGGCTCTTACATCTTCTTCATGAAGCAGACCCTCAAAGTGAAATAAATGATTCACCAGAGATGCTTGATCTAGAAGGTAGAATGTTTCTTAAAGATAGTTCAATAAAAAAAAGAATGAAGCGTGTTTTTTTTTTTTTATAATTATAAATATTTATTACAGTTTGTATTTTTGTTTTGTTTTTAGAACAAGTGACAGCTATGGGCCCACTTATTGATACAGCTCTAGAAAAAGTTGACCGACGTCATGCACAACTGACTCAGTTAAGCTCTGATTTAGTAGATGCACTTAATCTTTACCATACATTAATGCGTGAACCAGTTACAACCACGTATAACTCATTACCAAAAATGCAATCGAATATGAATATGTATCCACCATATGTTAATCATGTGCCTCACGTAAGAGAACAGTAAAAAAATTTTTTTTTTTTTCTACTTTTTTTAAGCAATAATATAATTTTATGGATCTTTTTTAGATGTTCAACGGAATGGTAACTCACCCAAATTATAATCAAGTAACTGGTCCACCACCGGGAGCCTTTCAATCAACGGTAACAGGATTGCCAACTAATGAATATATAAATGCTCATAACATCTCAGGAATGGCAATATCACAGCAATATCACATGCCATCTGGTTCTCATCAACCACCACCTGGAACTCAACCTATAGGACAACCTACAGGTCCAAATTCTGTTATTCATTCTCAAGTTCCTCCTCTGCATATGGGAGTTTCAAGATCCTTGCAATCACAGGGATCAACATTACCTCATCATCAAACATTACCAACTTCTCAAACAACTTCTGGCCATCAAGGGCAACCACATACTGCTGGTGCTACTCAAGTGCAGGCTGTAGAACAACCAGTTTTACCTTATCATACTCAGGGGTAAAGAGATTATATTTTTACATTAATTACGTAAACAGATAAAATTTAACAATAGTTTTGACTTTTATCTTATTAATTTACTATTCAATTTTTTTCTCTTATTTAGATTTTCATCACAAGGGATGCAAATACCACCCCAATATGTAACACCTACTATTCAAGGATCTGTAGGACCAATTCCTGTGACTCAGCCTACTCAATATACTCCACTGAGTGGTCAACGTATGATGTGAAATGAATATCAAATAAGATTATTTAATCTGAACTTGAATAATTTGAGTCAAATATTCATGAAGAAGATATTAATAAAATATAATGATAAAAAAATTCTTCTGAGAACCAATAAGTGGTAAAGAATAGAATTTGAGATCGGTGAAATTATAATTTCACTAAAGACCTATGGGAATACTGAAAAATATTTGAAAATTGAACTTGATTGGAATAGAAATTCACTGTTGAGAAGTGTATATGTTGGTGAAAAATAAAATCGAAAAATTTAACGTTAGGAATGAAAAAGCTAAAAATGGAAGGTTTAATTTTAGATTGTTCAAGACAACACTCTCTTCAGATAAATTAATTATCTTCATTATTTAATTTTATTATAATAAAGTACTTTATTATATCAGATTCGATATTTTATTTTTCTCAATATGTATCGTTATTTATATCATTAAAATTGTAATTTATAGCAAAAAATATTTTAAATTAGATGAGTTTTTCGAAACTGACTTATCAAGTGAAATAATATTTTTCCTTATATTCCTAATCGATAAGTTAAAAATTATAAATTGTAACTAATTTATGTAATTACATAAATTTTTATGAGATTATCTTAAAAGATTGATTAATTATTTAAATTAGATTATTGTTTTTATTCATTAAGATGATTAATAAAATATACTTTAATTTACTTGTATCTAAACATGAAAATGTTTATCAAAACTTTTTTGATTTAAAATATAGTTCAAAAAAACATAATCACAATTTAACAAAAAATTTTCGATTTACAGATACTTACTATTAACTTTATTTATTAATGTTTGTCCCATTCATTTATATTATTACTTAATTGAGTTTACTAATCTTAATTATCTTTACAATTAGATGATATTAGAAAATAAGCTGGAAGTAAAGATCATCTTTTATACTTTCATATTTGAGATAAAGATGGAAATAGGATATAGAAGACTTGTAATACAACTTGAGTCTTTGAAATTTAACTGTTTATTAACCGCAAATCATAATATCCTATACGAGTTGGTGACTAGTAAAGATATGTAGGTATTTATTTTATTATCAACTATGTGAAGGAAAGTAGCCATGGAAAGGCCAATTTTTGAGAGAGCCATTTCAATATTTTAAAATATACATAATTTGATAAATATATACTTTCAAATATATAACTAATAGTTATTTTGAATTAATGGACTATCTACAATTACAAATCTTCATGTCATCTATTCAAGAATTTGATAGAAATTAGAGACTTTAAGAATTTAATTCTCACGTGAACACTTTCTTTTACTTGTTTCATCAGATGTAGTGGAGCATCCAGAAATAAATCTAATGACTATTCTTGAATAAAAAATAACTTTAGTCTTCAAATCTTTCAGTTTAATTAATTAACTTAAATGTTAAATATATCTTTTAATTTATTTTCAAAGTGAAAGTGATAAAAATATAATAATAATAATAATAATAATAATAATAATAATAATAATAATAATAATTTTAGTGTACTTTACTAAAAAATTATTATTTTATATTATATTAATAATTTACAAATGATGAATTTTTAATAATTGTTTTCGTTTTTATTATTTCTCGGGTTATTTTGTAATTTGAAAGTGTACTGTTTAAACTCAGTGGTTGGTTAATATATTTGCAAAGCTTCTACGATGTTGTCACTATATTCGTTTATTGTCATCCGTATTCACATATAATAGACATAAACGTTTCTCTGATTGCTTTGCAACATTCATATAATGCTTACCCGCAAATTACACTTAAAATTATGCCTTGCTACATTTAATTTTTTACAGACAAATAAAAGAGAAAGAAAAGAAAAGTAGTGGTAATAATAATAGATCTCATGACATCAGTATCAATGGTATCAAAAATTATACATATTTTATCATTTGTTTCTTTTTAAATAAAAAATAACTGGTATAGGGAGAAAAGTAGCCCATTTTTACTTTGAAATTTATAATTCAGATAAGAATTTACTGTAAAAAATCATAGTCATTTGAAAGAGATATTTTACCGACTAGAAGTTTTTAGGTCTAATGAATTCTCTGCAAGTAGGTAGGTTTCAACATCTTTTTTCTCACACTAACTTTGAAATTTTCATTTCAGTGTTGTATCTAGTTTTTATTGAATATCATACATTCAAATACTTGAATGTTAACTTGAATTCTTTATTGATTACACTGATTAACTTTTATTATTCAGACTTATTTAAATGAAATAAAACCATTAAGAATATTGAAATTATATATTTAAGAAATGTCATAAATTTCTTAAAGCAAAATAATTAAGTTGATATGTAAAGCACAGGATAAATTTTTGGGATTTTCACAAGTTTAAAAAGTTGGAAATTTTAAAAAAAAATAAAATTATTACAAGTATTATGACATAATTCAATTATTTTATTCTAATATACATATATTGAATTTTTTTATTTTTTTTTTATAAAAAATAAAAATTAATTGTTTAAATGATAATAAAGTTTTTTTTTTTTTTAATGACTCAGTTATTTTTAAATATACTTTAAATTACTTCGTGTGAATGTTATAATAGAATGGATCTCCTATTTGCACTTTATTATAATACATACCCGTTCTCTTTAATTTTTTCACATGATCTGTCAACTGCTACGAAGTGAATTGTTTCAGTTCACTTTTTATATTTATCAATTAGATTTACATTGGCGATAAAAATGTTTTGTTTTTCTTTCAAATAAATATTCGAATATCAATGTTTTTTTTAATTAAATTTTATTCTATGAGATCGTAAATGGAAGAATGGAAGAATCATGACGGAACAGAAAAAAAAATTTTACCATCTTATAAGGTAATTTACAAATTTATGCCTATCAATGCAATTTTACTATTCACTTTGGTGATTTAAAAAAATATCAATATACTTTTTACCAATGTAGTTTTCCAACTAAATACAAGTAAATGTCTTCTTTCATTTATAAGCGGTTCTTAAGGTGAAGAGAAATTAAAGAAATTAATTATTCAAATTCCATATTACCTTACAACACATATAATTGTGTTGATGCAATATTGCATTAAAATGTACTCCAATATTTTCACATCAAAAAAATTAATTTTACGATTATTTTTATATTTTTCAGTGCACAGTTCATATTTATTAACAATTTATTCCTTCATTAATTAACATTGTCTTATATAATCTTTAAATAATAAGTCTTTCTTTAAAAGTGTTTTACATATTGTTTTATCTATGCCTTAGCAAGTAATACGTTAAGGCACTGTTATTAAAATACTTTGCACGCAATACGCATTCATTCATTCATTCATTCATTCATTCATTCATTTGAAAAAGATGAAAAAAATTTTAAATGCAAAAAACGTATATTCAGAATTGAATAAAATTTACATGAAACTTAAAAAAGTATCATTTGTCATGAAGCTTCATTTATTTGTAAGTGTTTCAATGTTTTAACTGTGGTGAGAAAAAAAATCATCTTTCAAATTATAAAAGATAGTACAAGATTATTGAAAATTAATGATTAACTAAAATTTTATTCAAATAAATAAAAAGTTTTTACGATACATAATCGAAAGTATTTGATTATATTGGATTCTTTCATGAGGAAGAACGATTCATCCACGATCGGAGATTTTACGATCAGAAGAAAGGTGAAAGGATGTCCGGCTGCATTCCTTCCTAGGATGTTTCATTTGAAATACGTGAAAAAGAAAGTTTTTCATGTATATACATATATATATAGGTCGTTTTCTTACGAGATTAATCGAAAGGAGGTCATTAAACAATGTAAAAGGTCACAGTACATCTAAAAAATTCATTGATGAGCAGTTGGTTAATTATACCCCAAATTTCTATTTATATTAAAAATGTTCTAAATAAAAAATTGATGATGAGTCACTATAAAACTTCAAATCTTTCATTTGAATTTTTATTTATTTTTAAAAATGTCTTTAAGTACAAGCAATAAAAAATACTCTAAAGAGATCAGAATACGAAAATGCAGTCATTTAAAAAGATTTAATTAATACTAAATTTCTTTCTTATGGGTTTTAAACTTGATTGTAACACATATTATAAATATAAATTGGTATTAATTTGTTTTTCTTTTCCTCTGTCATATTTGCATATTTTTTTTCTACGAAAAATTAATATTATTCTCATACATATCAATTATATTCATATTTTATAGTCTTAATTATATTTTTAAGAAATAATCAATTTTTAGTAAAAGAATCATCATAGCGTTATAATTTAAAATATAAGAATATATGATAAGAGTGTAAAAAGAATTATGAGTTTGCTCCAATACAATAACTGATGTAATTTTAAAATAGATAGTTTTATCAATAAAATGAAAAGCTTATGGTACAAGTTAAAATTGATCAGTGAGTATTAAATTTTAAATTATGATTGAAGAATACTTTTTAATTTTTCAACTCAATTATTATATATTCCTTTTTAATGATAGTTGCCAATTATTAACAATACTTTAATTAATTAAGATAAATGTACGTATATGATAACTCGTAAAAGCAATATCTATTGAAAAAAGAATGGTATAACGACTGATTAAATCTTTACATTTACGTAAAAAATAGAAGCAACAATAACAACAATAACAACAATACCAAATTTAGAGTAATTACCTTATTTGAATTTTTTCCACAATTCAATCAATTATGTTGGTGTATTAATTGTGGATAAACATTACATGAGTTATATACCATAAAAGTGTCTTCAGACGAAAAGATGTGTAATTGATACTTTTAAAAAAGTTCCTCCTGATTATATAAAAATGTAATGGAAAAAAGTGATGAGAATAAGTAAGAGTTCACTATACATTCACCAATCTCCCACCTATGACTACATTCATTTACTTCTCTTCTCCTGTAATATCTTGGTGGTGTAAAACTCAGTTAAACTCTCGTGTCTTCTCCAATCTCTTGCAGTAAGAACCTTGCGTTTGAACTTACGTGTTTTTCACTTGTGAAAAGGATAATATATTTTCACTTGTACTGCAATTTTGTGATTAAATCATTCTCTTTGTTTGACATTAAAAAGTGAAAAATTTTATTATCTCATTATTTATAATTTTAAATATCTTTATGTATTATATCTTTTACTTGAAGTATTTTAAAATATAATCAAAATAATGAATATCAAATTAAAGTGTTTTCTGTGGAATATTTTTATTTTTACTCTTTCTTATCATTTTATTGGAACTGATGCTGTTCCTGCTAATCTGCCAACTAGAGAACAACAAACGGCTTCACAACCGGTAAATAATAATTTCCATTTCTAAGCTTTCTATAAGTCAAATTAAAGTGTTTTTCACGTTAAAAAATTCGAGTTACTTAATAAATGATTTTGAAACATTATACTCTGCAGTTTTTCAATAATTTTTTCAAAAAAATATTATTAGATAATGAAGTAAAGAATAAAACAAAATTATTTTACTGTTCAGAGCTAATTTGGAAAATTTTTCAATATTAACCTTGTTAAGTCGTAAGAAAAAATTCACGTAAAAAAAGTATCTTTCATTGTCAAATGCATAAAATGAAAAAAATTATCTGACTGCGGAGAACTTTTTATTCAGAACATGATTGATTGAAAAAAAATTTTGAAAAATATATATTTTTTTCATGTTATTGATTTGGTAAATTCATACTATCGCGGTCCCCTCGTTTTTTGGCTCTAGAAAATCGAAAAATCAACATTTGGTTTTAAGATTATTTTTATTATTTCTAAATTTAATTAGGTTTTGATATATTATTCTTAGAGGTGCCTACTCTTTTATCTTTTTGAGTTAAGTTGTCACTATTATAAGTTTGAATGCAAAAAATGATTTATCGTCCAAATGGGTTTTTTTACTAATTGATGTCTTTTGTATCATATCACATAAAACGAATATCTCTTTAGATGCATGCACTGCGGTAAGAGTAATTATGAAGATATTAAATTATTTTTCACTTTCATACACAACCGTTTCATTATTATGTGAGAAAAGACTGCTAATCATTGACGATTGATACTACTCATTTCTATCCCGTTAATTCCCATTCTTATTCTAACACTCGTGCACGTAGCTAAAAAGAACTATAGGAAAAGCGTGGGACAACTTTTATTCTTATTTAGATATTATTACTTGCTGGGAATTTTTAATTACTTTTCCTGTTTCATATTTACTTCCTGTTTAAGTTTGTTTGCAAATTAAACTTTAATCATTTTTTTGACTTATACATATAATAATGTAATTTGAGTGATAAGCATATTTTCATATCAACCTTAACTTTTGTATCAACAGCATCAGAAGATCCGTTTTGCCTCACTAAGTTACCAAAAATTGAAAAAGCAGTCTTGCCCTGTATTCCTCTATAAATTATTTATTTAACAAAATTTTTAGATAGTAAAATTAGTTTATTTTAAAAAATATTAAAAAAATGAGGGGAAAGAAAATAGAATGAATTATAAAAATATTAAGTATGATTGTAAGTGTAGTACAATGCATACGATTCAAATTAGGATTGCATAGCATCAACAATGCAACTGTGCTCTTGATACTTTCATTTGGCTACCTAGGGAAAAAACAATCAGCCCTATATACGTTTTGAGATGTTTTTCAATTTACTTAGAATATTAATGCATATTTACTCACCAGCAGCATACTTTTTAAATTAATTCCATTCATTAGAACAGAATATGATTGATAAAGTAAATTAAATAACTATGATTTACAAATAAGATCAATACTAAGTATATTACATTTCTAATAGCAATTTAAATTTAATTTTTTATAAAAAATATGTATAGTTGTATGAAATTTATTTCACTACAGTTTAAGAATATTAATATTTCTCATATCAACAGATTTCAGAAATATCTAAAACAAGAATAAATTTAAAAGGAAAATATTTGAAAACTTTGATTTTCAAAAAAATTGTCAATACTTTGTATAATTAGAAAATATATGAATTATATTAAGAAATATAGTCGCGCGAAAATTTTTTTTTGTATTCTCCTTTTCAATCTCATTGTTTTCTTCAGAAACTTGGAGATATAATACTTATTGAAAACCATCAAATCCATTTTAGAATTACCGCCACTCGAAAACATTTTATACGTTGTATTTCTCTTTTTAATAGTAATATTTCCTATACAAAAAGTTAAAAGCAATCTTACCTGCTTAATAGTTCTAAATTTTGATTCAAATAGATCCTTTTCCATTAGACTTTTTTTGACAGTCAAAGTTCCTATTGAAATGTTTTAGTTTCCCATTGAAATTCCGAAAAGCTTTATAAGAATTAACTTTTTTTAAGAGTAATGTTTGAGGCAAGTGATCAAAGCCTTCAATTTTCAGATTGAACATAATTCATCAAATGAGTTATAAAACAATAAATATTCAACAAAAATTCTAAAAAAAAGCCTGAAAAAATACTTTTTTCAATCGATATACCCTACAAGTAAAAAATATACATTCTAGATGAACTGAAATAAATCGGGAGAATCAGTCTATATAAGATCATGTGGTATACATATGGTCATCCCTTTCACTTACAAAAAGTAAAAAAGACTAGTATAGCAAGATTTTCAAGAAAAGTGATTTACTTCCAGATTTACATCTTATATTGCAATATCATTTATCAACATCGATTTAAACATCAATATTTATTCAGACCTTTAATTACAGACTTATGAAATGTTTTTTTTATATTTCTAAGCAAAAGCATACCTCATACACACTTTTTTGAATATTATATTCATCTTATTTCAATTATTTATAGTAAAAACTCATAAATAATTATAATATTTTACAAATTGTAAATAATCTCTCACGTAATTGATAAATTATTATATAAGATTAGGAAGCGCAAATATTCAATTTTATTTATTTGAAATTAGTTCAACTTATAGGTCAGTGAATGGTCGAGTCAAGTTATGTGTATGTATTTCTACCGAAGCTTCTTTAGTGAATTTCAACGCAAGAAAATATGATTTGATTACATATAAAAGTGTACTTTATTTATTTCATTTTAAAAGTAGATTATTTAATTGAGCAACGTTTATTAAATATTCTAATTGATAGACAAGAGTAATAAACTAATATGTTACAACTATTTATTGCTCTAATGACTTTATTATTCTAATTATTTTTTCATCATCATTTTTCTCTGTTAAAAATGAATAGATAGGTAATAAAAACAACATTGCGTTTTATCAAAGTTATTATTTTTTATTATATTCATGACAGATAAAAAGACAAAAAACGCAGATCATTTTGATGCTCGTGTGAATCCATGAACTCTCAGTATTGTTTTTTATACACTAGCAGAAGACACTCGAGAAACGCGTTTCACTGAGTGTTTATGATGGTAGCTAAAGAAACTTTCTAAACAACTTATTTCTTGTTGATAGAATTTTTACAATGCAAATAATCTGACTTGTATATTTATCTAGTTTGTTCAACGAGTATTCATCGATAATCGTTAGCAAAACGTCTTAAATAAAAATTTTGACTATTTCAAGATTTCTAATATGTTTTACTAATTATTTTGAATTATCATTATTATAGTAGTATACATTTTATTAAAAAATTTAAAACCTTTTTATTGCAAATAATAAATATTATTTCAATAATATAAGCATTAAAAGGTGTTACTGTTCATTTATAGGAATATTTGTCACAATTTATGGTATTGTTAATAATTTTTATGAAATCTTTGAAAAAAATTTGTTGAATAAAGTAATTGAAGTTTAGTACTAACTTATCATATATGTCTCGTGTGAGAAAATTGTTCATTAAAGATACATTATATGATTAATTTAAAATAATTGAATTATTAACGTGGATATTTTTTCATTAATTCAAGTAATTGATTGATTTTATCACATCTTATTTATCATAAGATAATTTAAATTGATACAATTTTTTTCAGATTTGATTATTTAAATCCATAAATTTGATATTAGTACTTTCAAAAGAGCTTCACTTTATAAAGTTTTATAATTTTCACAAAATTACAAGTAAAACATTATATGTAATCAATCAATGACATGAATCAAGTATATTATCAATAAGAACATTAATATTACATAATAAAACTTGATTAAAAATTTTCAACAGTTATTGAAACAATCCATGATACGGAATGAATTTTTAAAACATATAAATTGCAGTGTACATAAATACTTTATAAATTAATTAAAAACGACCAATCAAATAACAATAACTTGAGAAATTTATTTTCTTTTATTTCACTAAACAATTTATTATCATTACAAAAAACTTTATTTGGAAGCAAAATTTTTTTAAACTAACTAACTGTTTTTAGATTAATGCATTTTTTAGAGTTGGAAGAGTGAAAGTTCACTATTTCATTTGGCAATATTGTTTTATGGATTGAGTCAGTTAAATAGTAGAAGATTTCTAAAGCAATTATTAATTTTTTCAGCTTTATAATTTAAATAAAAATTAGATGTAGATTATAGTCCAAAGTCGTCAGATAAAAATTTTTTCTTTTTCATTATTCACAAATTTAATTTTAATCAAAATAAAAGGTAATCTATTAAAATTACTTTCTTAAAAATTAAGTCACATTCTAAGACAAGACTTTTTTGAAATCGAAATATTCATTAAAAAATTATAAAATATTTTATTTTTCTTTCTAGTTGCATTTTAACCCAGATTCTCGACCTCAATTGTCATCAGTACAACAACAACAAATTTTTAATGACATCCAACAACATCAACAGCAGTTAAACTTTGTTAGTTCAGATCCCAAATCAATAACATTTTCAGATCAATTCCAAATTGCTTCAAAATCTGATCCTCTAACAACTACGTTCCCATCATTAGCTAAATATCGTGTTGATCGATCTAAACCAACGCTACAACATGATCAAAATAGTCATCAATTCTTCCAAACAGCTCAAACACAATATCAAATACCTAATCGATATAATTTTGCATCTCCAGCAATAAATTCTTTCAATTCATTTCCAAACAATTTACCACTCGTTGGTTTTCAAAATCCTCAAGAGGAATTAAATTATCAAACATACTTGGAAAAACAACATGAACTTGAATTATTACGGAAACAAAGAGAACAGTTGATCTTAGAGCAGCAAGAACTAAAAAAGCAACAAGAATTACTAAGACTGCAACAATTTAGAGCAACATCAACTACTCCCAGACCAACGACAGTCTCGACTACAACTACTACAAAGACTTCAACTTCAGCTTCGGTCCTCGTACCATCGCCATCTTCACGTAAAATTACTCCAGCTGAGTCGGAAATATTTTTGAAAGCTATTGCAACTCACCAAAAAAAATTTACGACCTCTTCTTCAACATCTACATCAACACCCACAACTACAAGTACTACAAACCAACGAATCACTAAGGAATCAGCACAAGAAAAATTTCAATCAATACCTAAAGATATTTTAGCACTGATTCAGCAACAACATCCTCATCTCTTAAAGAACAACAAATCTGATCAACAAATAAAGATTATTTATCAAACAGAAAAACCAACTTCACATTCTACAAGTTCTAAAGCCAGAAGTCTAGAAAATGATTTATTATTAAAGCAACTTAAACTTGCACTTCTTGACAGTAGTAAAAATGAAAATAAAAAAAATGTGACAACGCGAGATTTAGTTTTACCGAATGGAAGAAAATTACAAGTTATTCAAGCTAACAACGGTTTATCATCTATTATTCCTAATGAAGGATCTAGTCAATTTCAAACTGTAACTCAAGCTTTGGATGCTTATTCCAACATATCAACAACTACAACGAAACCTGTTAAAGAAATTATTGAGGAATTAACTAAAGGCATAGTACCTCCTGGTGCAGATTTTGAAGTTCTTAGGCAAAAAGATGGAAAGATAGAAAAAGTAGCTCATCCTTCAATTCAAAACCAATCTGAAAAAAAAATAACCTTTGTTGTGCTTGAAGAACAATTAGATGGTACTTTTAAAGTACAGGATATTAAAGGAAATGTTGAGAAAGAGATTGGTACGGATATTGATTCAATAGTAAATAAAATTAAGAAGGGAGAACTAAAGTTACCTCCAAGCTCAAAAAATATTGATAAAAAATCAATCACTGCTGAAAATAAATATGTCGATGATACACCAACTACTTATCGTCCATCATCCACTGAATCATCAAGTACTAAATTATCTGGATTTTCAGATATTCCCAAACACCAGTCGTAAGTAAACATTTTTTCTATTGTTTGTTATTTTTTATTACTTAAAAAACAAATACTTAAAAAATCAAAAGAAGAAAATCGTTTATTGTTTATTTTAAGAAAATTTGAACAAGTAATCAAGTATAAGAAAACTAAGTAAATCCTTTTCACTTTTTATTTTAGTATTTCAAAGAAATTTGATTATTTTATTAAATAATAACCAAAATAATTGAATTGTTTTTAGTGAAACAGTGAATGCACTTACAACTCAAACTACTCCGTTACCGAATTCTGTGTTATCAACTGATAATTATATAACATCAGCATCATCTGCATCAACATCTATTACAAATATTTTAAACTCTATTCCCAATCATAGTTCAACTAGCGCTAGTTCTCCAGCATCAAACTTTAAATTTGAATCATCATCGATTCAACCACGAAGCCATTTCATACCAACATTGGCTCCAACTTTTGAAACCATTTCGACAACTATTCCACCACTTTTTAGTACGACTCTCGAGCCACATACTTCATCTCTTATTCAGTATAAATCAAATTCAGCAATAACCACCAATTTAATAACTCCGAGTTCTCCATCCACTACAGTTAGAGCAATAAATAACGTAGCTTCAGAAAATTTAATTTTCAATGATGTATCAGGAAGAAATTCATTTAGTAATTTGAATAAAGAATCAATTGCTAATTTTTTCAAAAAAGAAAGTCTCTTTGCTATGGCTAAATACCTTCGACAATCTGGATTGGATAGTGTACTGAATGAAACAGGTAAATTTATTGTTGGATATTTATGTCGAACAATATGGAAATTCAAAATTGTATTTAATTAACGTAATAAACGTTAAAATTACTTTTTAGGTCCATATACTATTTTTGTTCCAACTGACAAAGCTTTCAAAGCACTTTTAATTCAATTAGGAGGTCCTGAAAAAGCTGAACAAAAATTTAGAGAAAATCCTCGTCTTCTAAGTGGGGTATATATTTAATAGTTCATTAGTCATAATAGTAGATGTTTGTATTTAACATATTTGTTAGTAAAATTAATTTTTTTTTTTTCAGCTTCTACTTCATCATGTCATACCAGGTGCATTTAAAGTAGATTCGTTACAAGAAGAAATGACTGGAGTAAGTTTAGCAGGAACTCAGTTACGAGTGAATCTGTATAATATGCATGATCATGAATGGAATGATATCCAAGTAAGAATAAAATCTTTAAAGCAAACAGCTTTCAAGTAATAAATTATTTATATAAGTAATGTATTTGATCTCATAAATAATATATATTTTAAAATATAACAGATCACTACAATAAACGGAGCGAGAATTGTTCCCAATAAAAAGGATATTATTATCCCTCAAGGTATTGCACATGCAGTCGACCGAGTTATGTTTCCACTCCCAGTAGGAGATTTGATGCAGACACTTGCTGCAGATCGAGAACAAAGATTTGGAATTTTTATAAAAATGCTTCAATTTTCTGGGTTAGATGAAACTCTCATTGGTAAGAAAATTATATAAACAATGGTCTTTGATATATTCACAAATAATTATCGCTGAAAAAATTATAAAATGAATTTAAAGGATGATTAATTACAAATGTACTAGTAGTTTTTATTTCAATTAAAGCAAATCTCAAAAATTCGTCGTTTTTTTTAAATTATAAAATTTATACAATATGAATAGCTTTAAATTAGTGATCTTTAGGAAAAGTTTGAAATTTAATTTGACTTATGCTAACTCTCCGATTTCATGCTCCAGATAATTGTTTATTTTTATTATATTGAAATTGATTTTTTACAATACTTGTTTTAATTTATTTTAAGTTATTAAAATTTTTATTTTTTAACAGGAACAAAAACGTATACAGTATTTGCACCAACTGATGCAGCATTTACGGCTTTTGAAGTTCAGAATGGGCGACCAGTATGGATAGAAGCTGATGGTCAAGAAGTAGCCAAAACAATTGTAGCGAGGCACATAATGCCTACTACTTTATTTTCAGCTGGAATGAGGTATTACCATCAAAAGGATACACTTCAACCGCATTTTACTCTTCGGATCCAAAAAAATGGAGGTAAATTCAATTTTTTGAAGACTCTTTTTTATTTTTAAAAATTAATCAATATTAATTTATCAAATTGTTTTAATATTATAATTTACCTTTTAATCTCATTATTTATACATCATAGGCCGAATCCGAGTAAACGAAGGACAAATTGTGACACCCAATATTCCAGCGACAAATGGAGTATTACATGCAATTGATACCATACTTTAATCTGTAAAAATAAATTAGTAATTATAATTGTTGAAAGAACAAATATCATGTAAGGACAAAAATAGAATACATTATTGAAGATAATGAACAGTATGCTGTAAAATAGATACATTAAAAGTTAATTATTTATATACATTTAATAATTCAGTATGTACTCTTGAAGCTCAATTTTTTTTAGAGCTTGATGATTACAACTTTTCATCCTGTTTTGTTAAAATTTTAATAAACAAATTATAAATATATATATATATATATATATATATATATATTTTCAATATTCATTGATGTTCTTTACGCTTTTACTTTGTGAATATAACATTTTATAGTTATATTTATGTATCGTTAATAAAAACTTTTAAATATATTCTTTTTACAGAAAAATAAGCAAAATGCCATAAAAATAACGCAAGCCAGTTATAATAGCATTTATATGAACCATGTGAACATTTTGTAAATTGATGAAAAAAATTTTTTACATATAAAGAGCAAAAAATTAATAAAATGTACATTCATTTTTTCCCATGATGTAAAAAAAATTTTATTTGAATAATAAATTTTTCTTAAAATAAGTACAATTAAAAATCAAGTGTACTGCTAGTACACTTTAATAAAACTTTAATCGGTTTACTATTTAGATGAATTAAGTGACTCAAAATTAAGTTATGAATGAATGTTAATTTCTTTTCAAAAGATTTAAGCATTCGGCTTAATTAAAATCTATTGTTTTCATAATAATAATTAAACAAATCACAATAGTTGACATAACTCAAGTTTCCTTGAACATATAATAATCCTATTAAAATAAATATTTTTAAAACTATACTTGGTAATTTTACTTTCACCCTACAATGCAAGGGTATGTCATCACAAAGAAAGTGTCTCTCTGGTACTATACATTCAATATGTTAATGTATTCAGTATGTTATCATTATTTTATTAAAATGATTAAATATTGTATAAATCTAAAAAATATATTTTTTACTTGCTCACCAGATATGGCATTAAAAAGCCTTTAAACCAAAGCTCAATTACATCTGTTAAATTGAAGATTTAAGTGTTATACGTTTAGCATGTGTGTTTTATACACACATACATATGTATAATATAAATGGTGTGAAATTGTGAGACGGGAGACTTGGCGTAGTCCAAAAATAGCCGAAGGACATCGGAAGCGGAAAGCCACTCCTCATCGAATAAATGATAGAAGGGGAAAATGGTTGCTAAGCAACCGGCAACACTGCACGTTGCGATGCGTAAGTTGAGCCGGGGGTGTCGGTAGGTGAATTTGGTAGAAGGGAGAATATGAACGGACGAACAGTAACGCTATAAAATAAAATACTATTGAGCAAAGCGAACTTGAGTCAATAAGCATTAGTGTCTTTCAAAGGCATTGAGAATTTTTCAGAACATCATGGTCAAACGTGATTTTTGATTAAGTGCAGTGTTATTATATGTGAATTAGTATTGTAATTCGTAACCGGCTTTTTTAAACAGTTTTTCGCCGTTCCCATTTATACAACAAGTTTTTGATCTCTAAGAAGTTTTCGAGACTTTGATTTTATTTCATATAATTCATCTAATCGTTTAGTATTTTTGCATTATACAAATTAAGAAATACACCATCTAACGGGTACAAAAAAAAAATTCAATCGGCATCAACGATTAAGAAATCAAAACAATTTAGAGCAAAAAAAAAAAGAAATAATATCGAACTTGTAGTGTTTTGTAGAGAAAGGAATTTCATTTTAAATAGGTAACAATTAAAAACATTTGGTAAAATAATTTAATAATTACTTAAACACCAAATAAAAATGGCTGAAGAAAAAAATGAAACTAGCCCATCGGCAGAAAGTGAAAAAAAAATTAACGAGCCCACTACTCCAACGAAAAACGAACAAAATGATGTCGAGGATAATAAAAATGAAGAGGAGAAAAAGAATGGAGAAAATGATGATTCAGAGAAAGCCAATGAAAATAATGATGAAAAACAAATAGCTGAACCAAAAGATATGCGTGCCATTGTCTTAAATGGTTTTGGTGGTCTCAAAAGTATCAAAGTTTTGAAAAAACCAGAACCTAATGTTGCCGATGATGAAGTTCTGATTAAAGTCAAAGCATGGTAAGTATAAAAGTTGTAGCATTCTTTATAACTTTAATAGATTTATATTATCATTCATTAATAATTAATACAATTAATAGAAATTAATGCAAATCAAGAAATATTATCAGTAAATTAAAGTATATTCTGTATATATAACTTTGCCAAAGATTCGCTTAGCGTGGCTTGATTTTTCAAGTAAGCGTGTAACTTCATTTTCTTGAAAATCAATAATATCGAGTGAATTCATGGTCATGTATTCACCATATTATAGTTGCTATTAAAATGGAAATTATTGTGTAGAAAATGTGTGAAATATAGGCATGAGAAAGAAAATGAATAAACATATTAAACTAAATTTTATTGATTTATAGCTTCATAAATATTCATCGAATAAATTATTTTTCAATATAATCTAATAAATATTTTCATACTCATAAAAATTATTATTATTATTTACATGAATTTATTTACGAGTTATTTGATGATTTAGTAAAAATCAATTAATCATTATTGCAATGATAATCATTAATTTATAAATAATAATAATATAAAATTTTTATTTTATTTTTTGCATTTAATATAACGTAAAAATAACTTTTTTCGAATGATTATATTGATTTTTTATAATAAGCAATGTACTTTTTAAACATAAGGTAGGCGAAAATAATATCGCGTATCTATATCACATCAAATTTTATTAATTTTAAAAATGAAAAATTTAATTTTTAAATTCTATGATAAATAAAAGACAAATTTTTATATTATGAAAGTTATTGAAGTATATTTGCAAAAGTAAGTTAGTAAAAAAGACTATCTTTCGCATGGGCGTTTTCACCTTCACCCTCTTCATTTATGATATTGCCGGTAAATTATTCAATGCTACTTTTCCCTATCTGTTATTGACTATCAATGTTGTCATAAGTTTCTGAATAATATAGACAATTTAAATGACATTTTTAAGTAAATTATTTAATAATTTTTCATTTTCAATTAATCAGATATTAAATTTAATAACGTTTTTTAAGTAGTTTTTATAAAAAAATCTATAAATTATAATTAATGGCCTTTACCTTAGCAAAAAAGGTTTTTTTCTACTCTTCTTTTATCTGCTTTAAACTCATTCTCACCAGTCATAGAATCATCCCCAAGTTAGATTGAATGACACGGATGTTCAATATGTGAATGTGTATATTTGTGACTCATAAACATCAAATCACTCTTGTAAAGCTGTGATTAACACTTCTCATTTATTAATTGTTTTTTTTTTCTAATAAATAAGATATTCATTTAATCTGTTACAGTGGCTTAAGTTTCCAAGATTTAATGGTAAGACGAGGTGCTATCGATTCACCACCAAAGCCTCCATTTATCATGGGTTCAGAGTGTGCTGGTGAAATTGATGCTGTCGGCGAAAATGTGAAAGATTTCAACGTAAGTCACTAAAATTGATGTTATTCAAAAGATTACTATTTCAGATTACATACTTATTTTATAACAGGTGGGTGATCGAGTGGTGGCATTGCCAGATCATAAAGCTTGGGCGGAGTCAGTCGCAGTATCAACAAATGCTGTTTATAAAATACCAGATAATATGAGTTTTACTGATGCTGCAGCACTCACTATGAATTATACAATTGCTTATATTCTTCTATTTGACTTGGCTTGTATTACTCCTGGAAAAAGTTTACTTCTTCATAGTGCTGGAGGTGGAGTGGTCAGTATTCTATTTTTTTTTTCATTCATATATGTATGAGCAACAAATAACTCTTTTTCAAAAGAAGAAAAAAATTTTTATAAAGAGTATACATAGTTTAAAGAAAATAAAAGTATTCGATGAATATAATTATTAAATAAGGTATACTTTATTCGTCTAGATTAAATTATAAAATGGTCTTGATATTGAAACAATGTGACTTGATAATTTATGATATAGTCAAGTTTCTCGAAAACAAAGTTGATTGGAATTAAAATCTGTTAGAAAAAATAGTAAGTTCATGTTTAAAATCAAAGACTTTCAAGATTAATTACTTATGATGACATTGAATTTTATTATACCGTGCATATAAATAAAAGGTACTTTAATAGTTTTTCATAAAAATTTTTCAATTAGAATAGTCAAAATATTTTTAAAAATTTATATTTTTAACAGAATTATATACAACATGTGATATATAATGAAAACTGCTAAAGAATTTTATCGTATAACTGTACATTTTTCATGAAAACACTTTAGAGAAGCCATACGAAGTAGATGTACAAAAATAGAAAACTTTGTTAATCGCAAAAAGCGTATATACCAATATACCAATTCTACATATTATTGAAAAAAATCAAATTTACATTTAAACGCTAGTCTTTCGATAAAATCTTAACAAAAAGAATAAACTACAATTTATTCGTACATTTTATTTTCTCTCATTTCATTTATTATTTTTATATTTAAATAATTATTGACACTCATAAACTTTATAGCATCTGATAAAGATTGTAAACACTTTTAATGACATCATATTTCTACTAAAATACATTCATGATAAGTTGCATAAATCAATTTTTATGGATACTTATGGATTAAATATACGCAGATGAATTACAATTTAATATCGAAAAAATATCCAGTACTTGAGTATTTTATAATTTCAACAGATCAGATCATTGACTTGATAACGTTTCTTCGATTAGTATATTTTATACTAATATTTATTTCTTTTTTTGTAATCCTTTGTGGAAATATATTTGCTTTATAGGGGCAAGCAATCATTCAATTGGCAAAAACTGTCAAAGATGTCACTATTTTTGGAGTTTGTGGAAAATCGAAAATTGAAGAACTAAAATCTCAAAATAATATTGATTACCTATTAGAACGTGGTACAGACTATTCCAGTGAAATTCGAAAGTATGTATTTTTTGATATAGTTAAAAAATAAAAATAAAGAAAAACAATCGTTATTGTTAAAAACAAATTGAAATACATCTGTAGATGAAAAAAATTTTTTTACGAATTTTGATGGAATCAACGATATATGTTTTTTTTTTTACAATTTGATACCACTTAAATTATTTTAAAACGTAATCAATAATAGATTATTATTAATAATTCTTCTTTGTACTCTAGAATTTCACCGGAAGGTGTAGATATTGTATTGGACTGTCTATACGGTGAGGAATGCAACAAAGGTTATTCTTTATTAAAACCCATGGGTAAATACATATTATATGGATCAAGCAATTTGGTAACTGGAGAAACAAAAAGCTTTTTTTCTGTTGCACGATCAGTAAGTTTTAGAAATTTTACATTGAGAAAAAAATATATAAGCTTTTCGAAAGATGGTTTTAAAAATATTCATTAATTGTAAATCTAGTTTATATCTTAAATATTTATTTTTTTATAACAAAATTCTATTTTAGTGGTGGCAAGTTGACAAAATTTCACCTATTAAGTTATTCGATGAAAACAAAACTATTTCGGGTTTCAATCTTCGTCATTTAATGTACCAACAAGGAGGCTACAATTTTGTAAGAAAAACTGTAGAACAAGTATTTAATCTTTGGAATGATGGTCTTATTAAACCAAAAATTGATTCAACCTGGGCTTTAGAAGATATTCCTGAAGCAATGCAAAAAATGCATGATCGTAAAAATATTGGTAAAATTGTTCTCGATCCCAGCTTGGTACCTAAACCTAAACCAGTTACACCAGCAAAAAATAGAGTAAAAGATAAGAAAGCTACAAGTCAAGATGAAAAAAAAAGTACTAACATTGTTGAATCTGAAGAGAATGAGACCAAGAAAGATCCAGAATTAACTAATGGAACATCTGAAGATAAATCGGATAATGGTAATGTATAAGAAAATTAATGTTATTATTTTTTTTTTTTTTTCATTTTGAACAAATATAATTTTCATCTTGGAAGTATAGTTATTTCAAAAGTGTCTGTTCATGAATTTATTGTTAGTTTCACGGCTTTTCACAGTTTAATACTTGATCATTTTAATTTCGTTCGTGACTATTTTACAAAACTCATGCTTTATCTACTCTAAACATTACCAGATATTGATACACAAAATTTATACGTCCTAAAATATATAATAATAAAGAGTTGAGGAATGTAAGTGGATTTATTTCGGTTTAAAGAAATTCACAATCAGCTACATTGTTGGTTGTCTCTAAAATAATAAGATAAAATAATATTTAAATGATACTAAATCTAAAAATATCTTCATAATAAACTTTATTAATATAATGTATTGAGTCAAGTATTATAGCTGCTGTGAAACATTTTATAAACAATGAACACTTATATGTTCAATTTATTTAATAATTATAAATTATTTTTCAGATTCTAAAGAAAAAGAATCGAGTTAAATTTTGACATATATCGAACAAGAATACTTGATTGAAATTATCAATTTAAGAGATCATGAAAAAAATTACAAATCTATAAGCTAATTACGTTATAGTTTACATGTAAGGGCATTTTAAAAACACGTTTAGCAACACAATTAAATCATTTTTGGAGATCAGTTTTTATAGCATATTGTAATTTTTATATATTATTATTGAAATGAATATTCTTATATCGTTTAATGATGTACTAAATTTATTTTTTAAGATATAAAACGAACAATGAACCTACAATAGTTTTATAAAAAATATGCTCAATTTTTATTTCAAAATTTTTTCTATCAATTTACCATATACCTATTAACAAAATATTAAGACTTCAAGTTTACAAAACACTTTATTCAGAGATCAATGATTATTTTTAATATATTGCAGCTTTTGAAAAAAAAATATATTTAATGATATAACACTTACAAAGTAAAAATTTTCAATCATAAAATATCAGAACAAATAATTTTAATAACATGACTGCTTAATTTCCAAATCTAATATATGTTGAAGACAAATAGACTAAGTAAAATTACGAAATATATTTTCGTCTTGTCATGCATAAATATTTCAAAATATATCATTTAATATTCAATCAAAATTGTCTTTGTGCAAAAATTACACTAAATTTATTTCATGAACTCTGTATAATTTAAATTGAAAAGTTAAATGTTTATTTTTTAATTTAATAAAATTCAGAAAAAAGCAGTCTAGTAGTATTTTTAACAGCAATTATATCGCTGTTAATAATTATTATCATGGAGTATTCAATCATGTGAAATAATAATATAAGTTATAACTGAAAAATTTATAAATTACTTGTCTTCAATATTACAAGAATGATGTCACTCGTATTTTGGGATTAAATTAATAATAAATAAATAAAATGCTAATACTGCTTGTAATGAGTGATATACAAAATGAATGTGAAAATTGAAGTACAACAATTACATAATTATCTCAATTTAAAAAATTTGATAACTCAATTTTAATAAGCCTCGAATTTCAAAGATTTGATCATTGATAAAGCATATTATATCAACTTAAATATGAAATTAATCAATTTATTCATTATAAAAGAAATTTAATTCAAAAAATTTACGACTATTTTTTTAAGAATAAAAAAAATGTTAGTTTCATTATTGGTACGAGGCTAAAATAGAAAATGGCTTAATAGTCGGTATTTTTGGAATTCATAAAATTTTTGAGACAAAATACAGTCAAGTTCACATAAGTTGTAAGAGCACTTTTAGAAATATTTTTATTTATCAACATTCAAGTATGATATCATTCAATTAGGCCATTTTTATTCATTACTTTAACGAGACATCATATTTAAAAGTATTGAAAACATATGTTTACTTTATAAAAAAATTATTTAATAAATAAAAATTTATCAACAAGGATACTAATTTACTTATAATATTAATTACTGAAATGGAGAATATAAACTAAAAAACTGAATATTCATTTAAAATTTTAGAGTTGATATAATAGTGCTATATTTTATAAACTTTCATACATACACTACTGAATCAAAAATAAACTCTAATTGATAACTCAACAAGACTCATTACAGATAAAAAATTATGCATTTCTATCGCTGATTACAAAGTAAATTTAAGTGAATAAATTTATGTTCTTACAATATTAAAAATTTTTAAATATCCGGATTTTTAAACATTATAATTACAATAAGAATTAATGTACATTTTATGTAAAGCTTTAAATGTCTTATAAAAAATACTCTATTGTATTATTATATCCATATAATATTCATAAATATTTGTGGCAATGGTTTCCGCTTAACATTCAGCAAATATCTAAAGTATACATAAATAGATAAGTTATTATAGGTTGAAATAAAATTTATTTCTTTTCGAATAAACAATTAATTTTTCAATAATTTACATTTTATACTTTTATATAATTGATTAAAAAATTATAATCTATTGTGAAATCATTGTAGGATGAGTAAATATCATTAATTTTATTTTAAATAAATTTATTTTGCTTTTTTACAATTACTAATAAAATTAATACAATTACTTTTAATCAATGTTTTTGAAATTCTCAATGAATTGTTTAACTTATCGATATACTGTAACAATCGTAGACTTGTCAAAAAAACTATGCGTAAATGTTGTGCTGTTTAAAATATGCATCAAAATAAAATTACTGGCTCGATGTTACTGGAAAATTTAGTATTGCGACTCTTGTATCAAAAGTGAAAAAAAATATAAAATTGAATTGAAATTTCAAATAATTTTATTTTTATTTAAACAGGATAATCTATGTATTTTGAATTCTCATTTATACAAATTATAATTCACTTTGTACATTATAAAAAATCAACAGTTTTAATTGATCAAGATGAGAGTGCTCTTGGAATCGATATTTTTTACAAATATTTGTATGGCCGTTAACGATTTCTTGTATTAATATCACACCTTTGTTGAACTGATTAATTGGTAATACTGTTTACTGAATTATTTTTGTGTATTAAAAATGGTGAAATTTCTATTAAATAAGATCTAAATAAGGGTTACATTCCGGAAAAATTATATAAGTACTATCACCTCGAGTCTTGTATAACATTGCATTTTCAGCTTATTTTGTAAGACTGACTATGTTTGCTATATTAAAAATTTCTTTAAAAAAAAATAATCTTTTTTCATTTCCGATTTAGAGATAAATAGAAAATTCTCAACAATATGAGTCATTTCATCTTAATTACTCTGTCTTGTGGTTATTTTTGAGTTGAAACTTTTAACGTAATTCATTATTGATTAAAAATAATTATATTTTTCAATACTAAAAACTTTTCACGGATTTCAGTAAATATTGTTCAAATTAATAGATTGAAAAGTATTATTTGTAAATTATAAAAATATTAGACAGTGAAATTGATGAGCAATAATAATTGAAGACAATTAGGTAAAAAGTTGTTTAATATGGAATTACAGTTTTTAAAAATAATCAAAAACATAAATTTTACAAAATTTTTTTTTTCCAATAACATTATAAAATAAGTTATACAAGTATAAACAGTTCTATATAATATCAATTGCATTGATGTTTAAAATAAATTTAAGTAGTTTTATTATAAATTGTATTTTATTAGTAGGACTTAATGACAATATTAAGTTTTTAAATTTTCACTAATAAAAAAATTGACAGAAAGGTGATTTTTATCACCGAAATATTTATAATTCATAAGTTTTTCGCAAAATAATTTGTGCTAAGTAAATAAAAATCATTTTGGTTAAAGCAAAGAAGATTTTGGACTATTAGACACTGTCTTTGGTTGTTTTTCTTCATCGTCTTCGTCATTTTGATCTTCATTGTTTTTAGATTCACTTAAGTCGATTGGTAATGTAGAAAAATTCACTTGTGGAAGTATTTTATTTGACGGTTTAACATAAGCTGAAGTTAATATTGGGATATTATCGCTTAAAGCACAAGCATCAAGTACATGTTTGTTAAAAATTTCACTTTTATCTGCATACACGTGGTGACCGGCACCACTTATTATCTGGATAATAAAATTAAATCAATTAAGAATTGTTTGACTATAAATATTAAAATTAAAATTTATGACAGTTTTACTAACATGTATATTGACGTAGGAATTTACTCGTTTTTGTTTAATCATTTCTCCCGAAGAGTTATCAACCCATGATCTACTTCCATATATTAGAGTGATAGGAATTTCTTCATTCATTTCATCTATTCGATTGATCATTGGATATTTTGCCCAGCCAAATCCTTGCATCATAGCATGAAATGCGCTCTCACCACTGTTAAAAAAATTCCAATTTCTTTTATATGAATAACTAAAACATTTTATGCTTTTATTTGAAATTATTTAAACTGAAAACTTATAATTCAACAAATATTATTTAATTGATTTTTGATTTATTACAAAAAAAAAAAATTACATAATTAACTCAACTTTACATTTATAAACAAATGTAAAAAGATTAGAAGATGGATAGTTAAAATGGAAAGATAGGCCAAAAATAACAAACGTTTAAATATACATATATGTATATTATAAATTAGAAACCATTTTTTGTCTGTTTTTCAATTATGTCTGAAAGCAATAAAATTTTACTTTAATTCTCTACCCATCCACTGATCTAATTATTTTCGAATATATTTTTTGTTAGATTAGATAAATATTCTACATTCTAAAATACGTATGTTAAATGATAATAAATGTGACGCAATACCAAAATATGATTTGAAATGCACTGTAAATTTTTTTCGATTGGTGATGAAGAAAAGCAATGGCTTAATATTTGTTTTTGGATCAGCCGATAATATATTTTCCCTGCAATATAATATTTTGTAAACATAATTGCTTAAACTTTTAATTATAATGACTATAAACAAATTCTCGTAATAACTATAATACGAACTTATAAGATTTGTTATAAAAATTATTGTTGTCAAAACCAATAATTTTCCATCATTAGAGTTAATTCAAAACAATTACTAATGAAAAGTTCATAAAACTAGGAAATAATAAATCAGAAATTTATCGAGCTCATTATTTTCTTCCTGAAAACTGTAACAAATTGAAATTTAATTTTCTTTATGCTTAAATTGTTGAAATATGAAGTGACTTATATGGATGAATATGTTGTAAAATAAAATTAAATAAAGAAAGGCTATTGAACCAAAAATTTTATACAGAAACTTACGATGGCGTTTGAGAGTTACATTGATGAAGATATTGGAAAATGATATTAGCATCGTCCTTCATGACAGGTACAAATTTTTTAACAATGTCAGGTCGTGTTGTTTCAATCAACCATTGACCTAAAATAATACTATTTCATTTAACTACTGAAAAAAAAAAATGTAATATTGTAGTTAAATATTTACCAAAAGGACCAGCAAATCTCACAGCCCAAAGTGGATTTAACGGTTGAACCATAAAACCAATAACTTTAACCCATAAAGGTATATTATACTTCATATGTACATCAGAAGGTTTTTCAGGAAATCCCCAAGGATCAGCAAGAATAAGATGTTTCACTCTATTAGGATGTTCAATTGCATATGATGCTGCTAAAAAACCTCCCATAGAATGACCTAATAATACAAATTTGTCTAATTGCATTTCTCTTCTCCATTCTTCAACTGAACGAACCAGTTGGGATTCAGCTTCGCGTGCATCATTACTAAATGTTGGTCTACTGCTTCTACCAAATCCTAAAAGTTAATTAATTCACTTAATAAACAATGGAACTAATTTTAATAGAAAATAATCAAACAACATGGATAGATTTGTTTCAAATTCTTTGTTAGACAACGATTTACGATATTTTTAATATATTTACATTTTTTATACCTAAAAGATCCATTGCATAAACTGGTCGTTCTTGTGATAAACTATCAAGATTAAGACACCATAATGCTACTCCAGCACCTAATCCGTGAAGAAGTACAATAGGTGTTTTAGATGAATCTTCGTTCAATGAAATCGTCCATAATTTGTCTGCCGTACCAACACATGGTCCAATGTCAACATACCATCCACGATACGCATTTTTCAAATCTAAAAAAAAATTATTTCAGAAATACATGCATAATTAATTATAAACTATTACAGTAAGTAATGACACGTCTAGTTAAATTTATATATATACAAAATCTTTTTTTTTTTTAATCAATCTCAATTATATTTACAAAGATCTGTAAAGAATATTACATATCAAATGGATTTGTAATTTTCGAACACTTGAAATTTTGAATCAGTAATTATTATATAATTTGTTATTTTAACTTTCTTATTACATGTATGTACTTTAGTATTAAGTTCTTTTGTTATCTCTTAAGTATTGGGTAAAAATTTTTCTTTATGTTTTACTGATTATAACTTACAGTAGCATCACATAAATAAGTAAAAAATAGGTGAACTCAATTCGTAATGATAAATATTCTAACAATAGATGAGTCATTGAACATTACATAGTAATATTTAATTAGTGACTTTTTAATTGATTTACTTTTAGTTTAGAAAGTAAATATTATCACAACAGATAATAATATCATAAAAAGTTTTTTTCATCAATATTAATCAAGATTTTAATATAGTAGTTTTGGTTGTTTAATGGTAATTTACGTAAATGATTGTTCATTGATTGAAACATATTTTTTGCGAAATATATACAACATGTAAAGATATATAATTTATTTAATCATTTGTTTTTATACAATTACATATAATTATACAAAACTTACATGAAAGAATTTTTTTTTCTGCTGCTCGTAACATCGTTGCTGATGATCCTGACCAGCTAAACCAATTCCACAGCCAACTGCAATTTTTATTAAAAATTATCAAAAATCGACTACTCTACTACCAAATGTATTATGGCTATAAACTTTTTCATAAACGTGAAAAAATAATGATTTGATATTATAAATAATTATAGTTTCGAAAACAATCATCAAGAGTCTCTTATATATTTCTATTGATTGATAAGGGTTATATAATTATAAAATACCAAAACAATATTCATACGAAATTAACTATTTCAATATTACCTACATTTATAAATAAAGAAAGTTTTTTTTTATCAACAAAAATTTAATGAAAATTTATCACTCAACTTGTATCATGATAAGAATAAAATAAAGGATAATAGTAAAGAAATCTCACTAGATTTATTACTGCAAGTTATAATGCTTAGTAGTTGTGTGAAATTCTATTAATAGAAACAAAGTACATTTTTATGAGTTTTTTAAAGCAAAAAAAAAGAGATATATAACTGCCGTAAAGTATTACTTCATATTGAGTAATATATAAGAAATGTCTTGAATGTTACCTTCGAGGATTTACTTCTGCTATTTCATCATTAGCCATTGATTTCAACTGTTTACAATACGTGTTAACTGTGTAATAATAAATTGTATGTTTCAATAAATAGAATAATTTTACATATTACCCACGAAATTTTGTTTGTGAATAACAAACTAATTTATCATCAAAACACGTGAACAAATATGTGCTATTATTTTACAGTTAATGCGTAATACTACTTATGATTGACACTAAGAGTCCAGCGTGCGCGAATTAAAAATAATCAAAGAGGGAGAATCAGCTGATTATCGTAAATATTACTGAACATCATGGCTACACTCACATGGACTGCAAAATAGTATATACGGTTATGACGTCAGAATTGAAGTAGTTGCAACTACTATGGTATGTTAGTGGAGATAATAAACTAGAAATTTTCACAGTTTTTTTGTATAGATAATTTAATATATTCGATATCAGTATGATAGTGTGTATGTGAGACAATAAAAAGACTTGTCAAACGGTATCAGCAATACCCTTTCTTTCATTGATTCATCCAAATATGTCGAGAATAATAATATGTATACATGAACCTCCAAAAAACATGAAGAACGTCTAATAAAAATTTTTCGTTTTAACAGTTTAATTGGCAAAATGACAAATGTTTAATCGTTATTTTTTTTTTTATATCAAGAAATACGGTAGTGTCTCGTGCGCCAGCATAAATCGCTGCCATCTTGCCCTTACTATACGATGAGGCACTACCGTGTCATTATATAAGTTACAAGATGATTTTTGCAGGTTATTCTATTCAGAATAAAAATATTTTTCTTATTATAACATAAACATAGGCTGAAATTAAAAATTTGCACGGAAATCAATTGTTGGCTGTCGATTAAGCATACTATAAAGTATGATCATTGCTTCATTCATAATATACGAAATTGAAAAAATTTCGTTGTGAAGAAATTGAGCAACATGAAAGTTTATTCATGGAGTAATCATCCGTTTTTTTTATCAATTTGGTAATCAGAGTTTTTGATTGCTATGAAGTACCCTTACTAACGGATTATAAAGTTGGTAACAAGTTAATCTTGCTTGAGCGCGAATATACAAATAATTAAAGTATTTTCTTAACAGATTAATTTTTTTAAATATTCCTTTTCAGTTGATATGCAAAAAAAATCATGGAATCTCATCAAAAACAGCCCCCTCCTTTTGGTCTGTACGATAATGTGCGCCAAGCATAAATAACGCCAATGATGAAATTACAAAAAATCCTAAAATCATAAAACGCCAATCATTTAAATCTAAGAATCAACAATATTTAAAATAAATTATTTTTTTCGGTTTTTTTTTTTTTAAAAAAATTTGGTACGTTTAATGACACAATAAACATAACAACCGAAAACTTGGCGTGACTGTTAAGATTTTATAGAGGCATGACTTTTTGAAAATATTCAAAAGATTTAAGCCAATTAATAAATAAGAGTCACGCCAAATTTTATGATTTTAGAATTTTTTGTAATTTCATTATTGTCGTTATTTATGCTTGGCGCACATTATTGTACAGCCCAGAAGGAGAGGGCTGTTTTTGATGAGATATTTCATGAGAAATGTTATAAAGCGAATGTGTGTGTATGTGAAATATCCTTGCATGGGTGCATATGGTATTTCTTTGATTGCGATGTTAAACTAGTTATTAAAATATTCAAAACTATATTTAATATATATTTAATATATATATATATATATATTGAATGTTTAACAATTATCATGAATTGTAGTAATAATAATAATTATAACTCTAATTTGTACATATTGATAAATTCAGATTAAGGAATGAGGTAATGGACTAATATATTATGAGTGCGCATGCGTGAATATGGATTCTCTTGTTTTTTTTTTAATTGAAGTGTACACTAGTGTGTAAATGCTTATTTTGTTGTGTATACTTCTAAAATACGGTGAATACTGGCTCTTCTTCGATTGATAATTATATTTAAAACATTTTACTAGTAAATTTATTTGTTTAAATTTATTAAAACCATTTAAGTATTTATAAATTATGATGAATTCATCTGGTGTTACACCATCAGTTGAATTAAGCTCTTACCGTGATCAACATTTTAAGGTAAAGAAATCAGCAATCATTTAATTATACAGTATTATTATTATTATTAAATTCATAAATGAATTTGTGACATTATATAAAAATAGTTTAATTGATTTTATTATATACAATTTAAAATTACTTTTTGGACTTTCCGGCATTTATTAGACATTGTAAACTGTGTTTAACCTCACTTTTCAATTATTGTATTGGCACTATTCCATTCACTATTATATTTACAATCCAAATTATTTAATGAAATATTAAATTATACGAATTTTTTTAGAACTACTATTCAACAATGAAATGTGATGTTTTAAATTATTTCTTTGTAAATAGTCTGAATCAATTTTAGTTTAATTTTTGATTTGCATCATATATTTGGAATGAATTATAGACATCGTTTTTACTCAAACATTCGTAGATAAATCACTTTACACCAAAAATAAAATTCATAAACATTTAAAAAAAAAGTAAATAATACAATAATATTAAAATTATTTTCAGGGTTCCAGAGCCGAACAAGACCGATTATTAAGAGTTTCTACAACTTTGTATGTTGGAAATTTATCATTTTACACAACTGAAGAACAAATATACGAACTATTCTCAAGATGTGGTGATATAAAGCGAATTGTGATGGGTTTAGATAAATACAAAAAAACTCCATGTGGATTTTGTTTTGTCGAATATTATCAACGTGCAGATGCTGAAAATTGTATGAGATACATAAATGGTACAAGATTAGATGATAGAATTATTAGAACAGACTGGGATGCCGGATTTGTTGAAGGTAGACAATATGGACGTGGTAAAACTGGCGGTCAGGTAACTTTATATCTATTAAATTTACATTAAAATGTACTATTATTAAATATTTATGGCTTTTAAGTAGTGTATTAACTTGAAAATGGAATATTTTAGGTAAGAGATGAATACAGATCTGACTTTGATAGTGGAAGAGGTGGATACGGAAAAATCATTCAACAAAAAGTGACAATAGGTGATGGAGGGTTTGATCGATAATGATTTTTATAATTAATATATAAAGTTAATCAGTACATTTGAAGAAATTCTATATTTAAGAAACAAATTTTTGTGATTTTTATGAATCATAATTTATAACTCATTATCATTAATGATGTCATTTAATTCAATAAGTTTGTAAATATTTCCATTATTTTAATAACTAAAAAAAAATTATTAACTACTGCCTCTTATAAGAAATAAATATAAATTTATCATATGAAAATAAGAAAATGTTTGTGAATAATCATTTAATTTAAGTAGTTTAAATGATTCAATTCCCTAAATATATTCATTTTTATAATTTATATTTTTCTTAATCAATTAAATTTCTTTCTTTTTTTTTCTTTAAACAGCAAAATATGAAATCACAAAATTTGCTTAATATGATTGAATAAATTGTTGTTCAAATAAACCGTGCATGCTATTTATATATTTTTTTTGTCGAATATCCCGTGAAAAATGATATTTCAACTCAAATTTAAAAGAACTTTTAATCAGAAAATTATCTATTAGTAATGCAAAAAAAAAATATACATTTTAGATTTTCAAAAATATGATAATTTTTATAAATATTTAAAAATTTCTATTTATTCATCGAAGAATAATTACTTGACCAACAAATTGACTGATATTTAATGTTTTTTACTATTGCAGAATAGGTTAATGAAAAACAAACTACTATCATAATCTGTTAAGTAAATTAATGATAAATTAATGAAATTCAAAACGATATTTTATCGTTTTTATGTGTCATATTCTCGATACACTTTATTTTTCTGCTATAATCTACATTTCTATCATATTAAGATATGATGACACGCGCACGATTCTCACTACAAACACAAACTTGTAATCAGTATCAGTCTCAACTCAATTCAAATATACTTTTTTAAACATATTTCTTAATTATTTGAGAATAGAGATTAATTATTTAAGTTTGATAAATAATTTATTGAATATGTATGTACAAAGTATTTTATATCAGATCAATAATAATATGATTCTGAAAAAATTTTTTTTATATTTACCAAAAATTAAATAACAAATATTTAAGACTGTTTAAAAGATTATCTGATTATTTAATTTATCGTAGATGTTTCATATAGAATAAAATCGAAAATAATTATATAAAAGTAGAGTTCCTGTGAAAAAAAAATCGAAAGAAGACACGCAACCCTGTTGAAATTTATTTTTCTTTCTTTTCCCTCTCATTTTCTCAGAGAGTAAACATCCCCTCACGAAGTTATTATCAGATCAGCTAATCTAGAGTCGTGCATCGTCTAAAAACAAACAGAACTTGCGTTATTTCAAAGCCGTTGATTCGTAATCAGCGGTCATCGCTTAGCTCCATATTCATCTATGGCTTTACTCTTTTTTTTTTCACATTCATTTTTCTTTGGTCTATTATACAGTATATTTATCGTCATGTTGACATTTGTTTGTCATTCACGTTGGCACGGCTACATTACATACAAAGATATTTGATTGATATCATAAGAAAATTTTTATTATATGTTTATATCACAGTAATGATTTTTATTTTTTTTTTGTGACGAGAAAGTATTTGAAAAAGTATCATTATTTAAGGAATTCATATTTGATTACAATAGTTACTTAAGATCATTTCTAAGTGATTGCGATATCATGATACTATTGTATTTAGTGCTGTTAATAATAATAAGAATAGTACATAAATTTTTAAATCCAAATTTATAGTTGAGTACGTAATATACACTTATTAAATTGAAAAAAATTTAATAATCAATCGAGTGATCAAGAACATTAGGAGATGAGGATTTTAATAATAAATTATATTCATATAAAAAACGGTTTATTGATTCAATATTATTTAATTAATTATAAACATATTTTTGGTTCCACAAAATAACAAAATATTTACATTTTTTTATTTAATTTTTCAATTATTTTATTCGCTTAAAATTTTCATAAATTCCAAATGATTTCTTTATATTTAATTTATATTACTTTTATTAATTACAATTCAACTTAATTTATGTATTAAAAACAATACAATGTACGGAATTTGTAATGTTTTGAGTACATTAAGACATTTATCAGAAGTTCAAGCTGATTTAATTAATAGAAACAGTCGTTTAAATGATTTTGAGTTTTTGGTATGAAATCAATATCGTCATCCAATTACTCGACAAATATCATACACACAATAACGGCTGGTTTATACGGCTATCTAGTAACTTCAGTTTTGATTTATAATTAAAGGTAAAGTGGAGGAAGGCTAGAAAAGGTAATAATGATACCTACTTATAGTATAATATTCTTATGAAGAAAAAATAAATTTATAAATAGTAACATTCTAGTGGATAATGAAAATTATTTAGAGACTGCCGTATTGCCGCTTTTATATATAAATGATCTTTGGTCCTCTAGCCGCTATGAAGCCCTTTAACTTGATATTTCAAATCAAATCAAGCGTGAGGTGAAAATGGTGATGGTTTATTACATCTTAACATATATATAAACATTTTTCTGTGAATTTTGACATTAAAAAATTATATCCATCTATTATTCAATATTAATCCTACAAGAATTAACCAATCCACTATTTGGAACCGCTAAAAACTTTTCAAAGAGATAAATTAAGAAATTTTGTTTCTTTTATTCCATCAACATGGACGGCTTTGGTTTTGGCGGACTACAGAATATACAATAATATAACGTAGGTTTTATAAATAATTCTTTTAATATGGTAATACGGTAAGTTATATTTAATTATTATAAATAACTAATTATTGTTAATTATTATACTATAAATTCGTGGTTGAATTATCATCAGACTATGATATTACAGTATAAAAAAAATCTATTAATAATATACATATTTTTTAACAAAAAATATTAGCAAGGTGGTTTAATAAATTAATTTTCAAAGTAAAAAAACTTTATACTTATGATGTCCTTCTTGTCAACATAATTAATATTAAAGTTATGTATTTAATTAGTTAAAAATTATAAATTTACTGACTTGCGATTATTTTCGTCTCTTTTTAGTATTCAATTGAAAACTATTATAAAATAAGATATCTTTAATTTTATCAATGTGAATATTATTTAGAAAAATTTTTTTTTCTCATCAATAAATATATACATATTATTATAATTTACATGAAAGTTTTTAGGAACCTACGTTATATTTTCGACTTATTCAGCAATATTCTGAATGCAATCTTCTTTTAAAAGCATAAAGATTATAATTTATATACTAAATAAACATGTTAATTGCATATAATGACCACTCGTCAAAGGCACTTTTTAATATTTCAATAATTTGGTTCAATATCAATATTGTAATTACCTAAGATACTTTGTAAAAAAATTGGTATTTCATTATATTTAGCAATATCAATGCTAATAAAATATACCAATCCTTACACTATTTAAAGTAAATTTTTGTTGAAATTTTTTACTTTATTTAGATAATGATAATAACATCATCTATTGTGGTTAAAATTATTAATTTTATTATTTTAATATCATCATCTTTTGTGATATATTTTTTGATAATCAGCTTTTAGTAGTTATAGATATCACAAAGCAACAGTCTAAATATTTTTTATCGACAAACAATTTGAACAATGGCAGTCAAATTGTTATTAATTTTCTTGTATCGACTTAAAAATATCGTTGTTTGTTTAATTTTCACATGAGGCATTTCTTTTTTTAGAAATTATTTATGCCGATATTTTTTTCTACGACAATTGTTTCATACTGTTATTATCTTTTATTGTTCAACTATGTATTTTATTAATTTATATACTTTTAATACTATTTTTAATAGCGTTATTAAAATTAATAACAAAATGACTTTTTTTCTCATAAAAATTCATATTTATAATTTGTTTTGTTGTTGTGTGGGTTCTATATCTTTCATTCATTGAATTATCTTCTCAAGTTACGTTAATTTATTTCTGTCAATATTTTAGAACAGAGTAATTTCAAAAATTTATCTTAATCAACTGATTGATACAGCATTGATGTATTGATGTGTTATATTTTATTTATGAGTTTGTATTGAAAGGTTTCGGTAATAAAATTTCTTGGTCCAGCCGATAGTTTGTTTAATAATTTTTTCTCAATATATTTTTCTACCTCAGCTGCTATCTTGAGCAGATATCATGAGATAATTTGAAGTTGGAACGTGAATTGGTGGTGATTGTGAATGGCATGGAGAACTGAGTGCTTGAATTGAACGATAATCTAAAGCAGGTGCAGATGGATGCTGTCCTTCTCGATGTCGTCTTAAATCGACTTTTCTTTGAAATGCTTTATCACAAAGTCCGCATTGAAAGGGTTTGTAACCTGTATGCTTTCTCATATGTGTTATTAAATTGCTACTTTGTGAGAAAGCTTTTCCACATACGACACATTTATGTGGCTTCTCTCCTGTAACAAATTGAAAAATAAAAATTAATAAAGTATGTGTATATATCTTGTTATGTAGGTGACGTTAAAACATGTATTTCTCAGAAAACATCATTTTTATCAACTCAAATAATCGACCAAAGTCAGTGAATTATTTTACGAAGAAATGCACTGTCATGACACAGTAATATCATATACAGATCCAAGGCTAGATGTTAACAGCTGTATACACCAATAAGTTCTGAGTTTTGCATTGTTTATGTCCAACGATAATAAGAGATAATGATAATAGTAATAAAAGAAGACAAAAATGATAATATTCCTTTTTCATGTCATGCAGGCCAATGCAGAAATTTATTTTCTTATCGTCAAACAAGTGGTGGATAGATGGTGAATAAAATTTCTGGTATTATTCTGGCATAATATATCATTAATTAAGACATGCCTTGATATGTAACATTGAATTAGTGATGGAAAATTATTCATAAGTGAATCTGTTAGTGTATCATTTATACTTAATTCATGTAACTTTTTTTCAATTAAGCAAGAAGCTCCTAAAATATTTCATTTCATAATTATTAGCAATACTAATTTAATTTAATTGATAAATTATAAAAATATTACTAATATTTTTAATTAAATAAGTAAATAAACAGTAAATGATTTACAAGTAATGTGATTCTCATCATTGATAGAAAAAATTACCAATAATTACACTAAAAAATCGATTAAAAAATTAATTTAATCCTAGGCAATAATATTAATTTAATCATATTTACAAGATTTGATGAGCTTGCTTTGATAAATGTACATAGTCTGATTCATCAAAAGTATTATCACGTTATTTAGTAGGTATTTTATATATACATATATTAAATTATCGAATAATAATAGAACTGGAAAATTAATGAAGCTGTTTTTATCGTTTTCGAATAAATTTGATGCTTATCTGTTAGAATACTGTAATAATGAAGCAAAGTAGAATAATAACAACTGATCATAAAATGAATAGAAAATTTTTATTAAAAGGGATTTACGTCATGCCTATTGATTTTGATTAAATATAATTATTTGTAATATCGATCCACGTGTACATCGCGTTTGTTCAATACAGACTTGAGAGTACAATAGTTAAAAGTTCAAAAAACTTTACGTTGAACACTTGTTAGTGTTTATTCGTGAACCTTCATTGAAAGAACGTGTATCAATCGGTATTTGATACACTATAATAAAGTTATCGTTATGTTTTGTAAAATATTTAATAGAATATTACGACTTAAAATTAAAAATAATTTGTGTAAATAATTGTAATTGTTGTAATACAGAGAACAGTTTAGGAGAAAAAGAAACGATTGCTGACAGATGTATATAGTTAAAAAGCCTACAATAGAAAAATAATAAAACAATTTACTTTTAAAACTTAGAAGAGATGGATTTTTATTTTTTGAAAGAAAAAATTTTAGAAATTCACAATAAGAATTATTCATTTATATATCATCGTAAATGTACCATAAAAATCAAAGTTTTATACTTGATTATAAACAAAGTGAAGAAGTTTCATTTTTATGATATTTTTACTCTTACTCAAGTTTAATAAAGTTTTGAAAGCAAAATACCTTGACTAAAGATCTCACTGTAATATGGTTGGCTGTATCATCGTGTAAATGCAATATAGTTTGCGGAAAAGGTATAAGTCTATCGTTTGGGTTGGGCACATAGTAGGAGATGATCGCGAGGAGAGGTGAAGAAAGAAGGATCTGTAAGTACTGTAAAGCATCGATTTTGATTGGTATATAATTAAAAGAAATAGCTTATATAAAAAGTATAAGTAAGTATGAATGTAAACAATTATTCTAATTGAAAAGAAAAATATTTAAAACATATAGATACGATGACATGTAATCTATCATACACCCTACTAATATTTGTGAAAACACATTATTTATATTATTCATATTTTATCGAGACGTCGCAACTTTTATTTCAAGTTACTCGATAACTTTAAACGTATATGTAAAAAAACAAGTGTATACGATATAGGTTTTTTATCACGTGGTTTTAAGCAATATTAATATGTATTTGTACATATTTATAAATTTGTACAAATGATTCAAAAGTGATTTACACATAATAGACGGACAAGGAATTTCATTCAATAACAATCAAAATCAAAGAATGTACAAGTGTTTCAATAGAAAAAATGTTAAGATTTGTCAATCTTTTAACACATTTTTATTCATGAGATTAAAGGAACTAGATTGTGTACGATAATGTGTTTAAGCAAAACTGGTATGGAATAAACTGTGAAAGATATGAATGTTGTTAGTAAATTTTTGGCAACTGAAACCAATAAAAAACGCAAGTATCTCATTTTATCGATTCAGTCTAATTAAAGATTTAAAAAAACTTTTAATGATATTTTATAGAGATTATATATAAAAATATTTTTATTATTATATTTGAAATGAATTGATAGAATATCATCTGTACTATGATAAGAAACGAAACACTAAAATGACTAGGGGGAAGATACGATGGGAATAGCTAATTTACCGGGCGTTAAGTGTGTTTCCTGTCCCGCAACTGATCGACACGTGCCCACAGTTACTGAGTCGGTTAGGGTGCATGTTCCAAGCTAATTAACAGAATAATTTCAAACCAAATAATCTTGATAATGATGAAATACATTTCAATAATCTTATGTCTGTTCTATTAATATCGTTTTGCCTATAAATAAAATTTAAATAAACATGACTGAATCTTTAAAGTTATTAACCGCTAGTCCTTGGATATTAATGAAGAATATTAAGTGTAAATTAGAGTAAATGTTAAAGTGTTACTTACCAGTGTGAATATACGTATGCTTCTTCATATCAGACTTTTGATGGAATCTTTTACCGCAGTATTGACAAGGGTAAGGTCGGGTATCTGAGTGAATGAGAAGATGCGTGCTTAATGTACTAGATCTCTTAAACGCTTTACCACATTGTTTGCACTGTAACAAAAAAAAACAACCAATTTATTTGAAAAAATTCGAACTTTTTATTTGAAAATGAATATTTTTTATATATTTATAAAAACTAACAAATATTTGACACGGTTTAAATATGTATAATATATTACTTTAAAGTGTGCATTTAATTTAAAAGACATATATATATTTTTATTAGTTACAAAAATAATTAAAAGTAAAGTGAATAAATTTTGATGTACATGTATACATATATGCATTTTAGTTTCATAAATTCATAACGATTAGTAAGGAACAACCATAATTTACAAAATATCTTTTCTCAGGAGTATTGTTAAGTAAATAATTCATTGTAAACATTGAAATGGATAAATATTATTATAATTATTATTTAATTTATTTTTATAAACCTTTATATATTTTTGTTTAAACAGAAAGGTAGTGGAAAGCCTTTGATGTTAATGAGAGTGACAAATTGCCATTATTCATTTTTATATTCCAAGAAAACTTTTCATATTGTTATTAATTTTTATCTTTTTTATTAATGTATTATTTCCTGCAGAAAAGCTATTAGATGATAATTCAATCAAATGAAACAAGATTTATTATAAAAAATTGAATCATTTTCTTAACCTACTTGTTAAATTATTATAGTGTTTTATAACTACTGTGATATCTATAATTGTTTAGATACAAATTATCTTTATAGAAACTTGTTTGCTAATTGCACGATTGAGACTTTAAAGACTTTTTACAGATAAGAATACTAATTAGAATACGTATATTAACTTTTAAAACTCTTAGTTTGAAAATTGATTTAAGAAAAGTTTGTAAATAAAAAAAATTCCATGAATATTAGTTAGTAAAATCCAAAAAAATAGTAATATATAAATACGGTGATTATTTAAACAGTATATTAATGACATAAATTGGTAAATAATTAAAAAAAAACATAATTAGATAAATATATTTTAGAATATTTGTTTAATGAAAATTGATGAATGGCCTAAATTCTAGTGAGTTCTAAGATAGTAATTGTCACGCAAAGGCGATAAATGAGCATCAAATCAATTCTGAAGCGATGAACCATGTTGCGATTTGTGGTAGTTTAGTTGAATAGCTGACAATTGACGTGGCGTGTCACCCTGCAGCATTTCAGACAATCACAAAGCTTTGATAACCGCGATTGTGTAATAGAGATAAGCGGCAAGATAATGACAGTAAGTTAGTGCTTCTATCCTAGTATTGAAAAATATAGTATGAGAAACATCCCTTTAACTCCGTGACTGATAATTTTTACACATGTACATGTATGTCTATGAGTATGTATACAGAGTGGCCTATGAGAAAGTATAAAAATGAAAATCATCTTTTTTTATGTATAAATAAATACCATTTATGGAATATGACATGGGGAAAAAGTATTTTTTCCGTCATGTTGAATGATTTTTACTAAAATTAAATCATTATAGATGATCTAATTATTTAAAAATACATTTTTCCTCATACAAATCAATAACTGGTCGTTGATTAATGGTAATTTTCCCTGATTTAATTAAAGATAGCATTAAATCTGATTTATAAATATTAAAAAGAAAAAAAAAAAACGGATAAAGAGATAGAAAATATTATAAACAATACGAGAACCATGTAATGTAGAAATAATGTTTAAAAGTTTTTAAAAAAATTATAACTTTCAATAATAATGTAATAATAAATGTAAAATAAAAATTATTTTTTACATGATGCATTTATATTATTCAAACATAAATTTACTTGTGATAAAATTATTTTAAGAAAGAACTTCTAAGAGCTGAAATATTCATATTTTATTTCATATGAGTAATGTCATGATTTATTTAGAATTTTTTCATTATATTGACGTAAAAATAATAACATAAATAATTTGGTAAAAATATCATTTTTTATGATAAAAAAAAATGCATAATATTTTACCTCTTAGTAACTTTGAACGTGTTACTTTTATGATACAGTCACAACTTATAATTACTTATGAAAAATGAACATCTTATTAAAAAAGTATATTCGAATTAGAGTCATATTGCATGTGCGATAAATTATAAGGTAGTATTTGTCGTTTGTATTAACGAGTATTCACTGTAAATGATATATATTATAGTGAATTTTAAAAAAATCATAAGAATGGAAAGAAGAAACTTAGACAAGTTGTTGGACTTGAATTTACACTTGTGTTTGCAAAGTTTTCTTTATTTTTCTTGGTCGTTTATTATTTCAAAGGCGCCAGTGGACTCCTGAGAACAATATACCAGAAGAATAGTCATTTTCTGAACTTCCTTAGATGTCTAGACATTTTATCAAGTACATCAACTTACTCATTTGAATGCAAGTCCTTCAATCTCTACTTTTAAATGATAATAATTATTTATATAACAATAGATATTGATTTTTTCATGATTTATCATTTTTTAAATGGCACCGTCATTTTAATCAGACATAGTCTTGACACGTTGAAGTAAAAAAACCCAAAACCTTTTTGTTTAACTGTTAAACTGTTTACTTTTTCATGTAAAACTAATTAATTTGTAATTTTAATATCTTTTTCAGCATAAAGTACTATAAATATATAGTGAATTATGTAATATTCTATTCGCTTATGCTTATTCTGAAGCATGTTAGAGATAAATGATCTAGTTGATACGTCAACAAAGAGTTACTGCAATTACTTGATTGGTTGTTAAAGAAAGCCATGTCGTGGCTTTTTGTACGTGTGTTATCGATCCTTGTAATATTGTCCATACACATCACTACGACAGTACTTGTACGAATGATAGTTGAACCGTTTCTACTAGTTTTTTTTCTAATAACTTTTAGATGTACTAATATGTCTATATTATTTATTTATATTCAAATATTTTAATTGATGAAAAATAAATGAATTTTTTAACAATGTATTTAATTGTAATTATAACATATTTTATCAAAAAATCTATACGACAGGTTTATTGAATTTCAATTAATTGAGTTTATGCTACTATTTCATTGGACATCCGTGTGTTGGAACATTGATAATATAGTAGAGCGGTTTAGTTCATAATACATTAAACATTCTAAGGTTATAATTTGACTGACTTCAATGTACAAAGTGTCTCGGGAAATGATGAGGGTAAGAGAAAAAAATCGTCGCGATAACATGTCCATCGTGGTTATTGGATCGATTAAAAAGGTGTAGTGTGGAAAAAGCGTTGATAAAATCTTGATTTCTTTTCACTTTAATTTTTTACATTCATATTATGAAATATTTTCTCATTAATGGATTGGCTCAATTTTTGTTATTATATTAATTTATTTGCTATCGTATCTCTTTCTATTTTAAAAAATTTTTTACTGATACATTTCTTAATGATTTTCCATTAAAAGTATCCAGAAAGTAATAAGTATGAAATTTAGAAAATTTAGGAAAAAAATTGAAGCAGAATTTATGACCGCTTGTACATTCTTTGACAATTTAAAACTACTTTCAGATTTCCAGATTCGATAAATTCTTCGGTATTACCTTTCTACGAAATATACTGAAACCAAATATACTCAAATAATTATATAGTACCACCAGGCTTATCCTCAATCTTAAAAATCCCCAATGGTGTCAACTCACGTATATTTTAAGTATTACTAAATAAATACTTTTTAACGCTGCTATCTTAAATATTACATAGTAAGAAATAAATTTATGTAGAATACAAATGTAATCAATTGTAATTAAACACCGAAATAACTGTTTGAGTGAAACTTGTCAATTTTTGTGTCTTATAATAATATATCCGTTATAGTCTATTGAGTATCGCAATGAGACTCAGCAACGAAAAGAGTTAATGCTTAAAAAATCACTCATGAAAATTTGTTTTGATAGTGTAAGTGTTTTGTTAAAGATAGAAAAAAAAGACTCTTTTTACAGATAAAATCAATTTTAGTGGCGTGAGAAAATAATATTATTTTGCAGTGTGCACTAACCTGAAATGTTCGCTCGTTAGATGATGGAGGTGTGAGGGGTGAATGGTGAATCTGCCGTGTTATTATTGGTGTGGTAGTTAACGGTGAATTCTGAGTAGTAGTTTCCCTCGCTTCACGTTCACATACTGAACCTGGTGACCATATCTCGCACTTGCGATTAATACTTGACGATACATCATTTGGTTTTGTGCTAAGATTTAATGGTACTTCATCTTCTGAAAAACGCGCAGCACCTTCAACTTTAAAGAAAAAAATACTCTTTTTATTTATGCATCGGCAAATATTTTCCTACTGTATTGATTAATTTATACTATGCTGATATTCGAATACTGAAAGAGATACATGAAAAATATATTGAGAGCGAGTTCTATGTTGCGTGACAAAAGAAAATACACTTTTCATAACATCTATTAAAACAACTGTTCTTTTTCAAGTAATGTATCTAGATTCTTAATTAACGTAATAAAAATATATTACCAGTTTCTAAGCTGACAATATCATACAAAACCTTAATGATTTGATTGATAAGTAATTTAAAATTAAATATTGAACTGAGTGAGCTACATTATTGCAAGACAGTTGGCCACGCATTTTCTCTCATATTATTGCTTCCAGCTATTACGCAAATACTCTACATGACATCATTGTTATCCTTTCTATCTTGAGACAAACACTATTACTCATATATCAACCTTCAATTGTACCAAGTGTGTGACAATAATTTTAAGTAGTTTAAGATACAAATGACTGAATAAAAAAATATACACACACAACACGATATTTTGTAAATGGCATTTGTATTTTTTTTAGTGAATGAACTCTCTTTTGGTTTAATTCAAATTTCTTTAACAAAGTCTGTAGTAGAAGCGATATGAACTCCCAATTGGTAGGTATTTACTTGAAACGATAATTCAGAGGAAAATAATAGTCTTAGAGAAATGTCATTGTGATTATTAAAGTATATATATATATATAAATGGTATGAAATACAAATACTAAGTAACGCAAGCAAATGATAAGAGCATATAACGGGCCACCGACATACGCGGCGGTGTCTTCCCACTTTGCAACCGGTTTTTCTTCATTTTTTTCACCCGATCATGCTTCATGTCTCGTGCCCTCTAAAGTGACAATTACCGCCAATTTCTGGCCTACTTCTGATCGTAAGTAATACGGATAAATGTGTTACTTCCAAAAAAAAAGCATTATTTTTTTAAAATTACACGCACACTTGAGTTTGAATATAAATCAGTAATTTGGAACTTGTTAAAAAATAAATACTAAGTGCCAATGGTTTACTACTAATTTTAATTGAGCTGTAAATGGTAGAAACATACCAACGAATGGAGATCGATCGGGTGTGCATCTGATGGGTGAGGTTGCTTTGGCTGGACTAGCTGGTTCGTGATGAATTGGCGTGCATTCAGTTGTGGATGTCGTCGACTGCGAAGGAATTCGTGGCGGTAAAAGAGAATGAGGCAGCAAAAGGCCCACCGCATGATGAGCCCACCAGGTTGTGCCGTATCCACCATACATCAAACCACAACACATGTCTGTAACTGTATTATAAGATATTGAGTATAACTTTTCTTCTGAGACAAAAAAATATTATTTTAATGCCTCTCAGCTCAGTCTATATTTTATCAATTCAATATTGCTGTTTATCTTATTTGACTCATTTCTTTTTACATGTCATTTTAGAAATTTTTTCTTCTAATTAAAATCAATTAATCAAATTTTCAGTCATTGCTTAAATGACTTTGGATTACGAGAAATTGGAATAATTAAATTCACAACCATGTACTCATGTTCCACTTGAAATCTCATAATTGTGTCTTTTTTTTGACAATGAAAGAAGTCAACTATTTCTCTATGATTGAATGGCATATTCTAATTTAGCAGTGCAAGTTTATTAAAATGATAAAAAATTATTACGATTTCTTGATGTAGCTTCTGGAGTGTGTGTTTGTTTCTGAAGTTTTAAATCAGAATTATAGTTGGATACAAAGGTGAAGGCCCCGAATCGTTGGTCAGGTGCAAGCTGACCAGCCGTCGGTGGATTTTGGATTCCGTTGCAGGAGCTATTACTACCACCGGTGAGACCACCTGGACTCCAGGGTGAAGTTGGCAAAATACTCGGACTACTTGGCGGCGAGAGGGTAGCAGGAGGTGATAGTGAACTTGCAGGAACTCCTATGCTACTGTAATGTAATTCTGGTTTGCCTAACCATGTTCTCGGTACCGTTTCTGTAATTAAAAAACATCTTTCTTTATATAATGAATATTAAAATTAAATTATTACAATTTTACATCAATTATTTTTGCAGAATTATTTATTAAGATAAAGTTTATTACTGAAAGTGTTTGAAACTTTAATTGCTCCAATTTATGGGCAGTATTTAAATGAGTATCAATAAAATTTAAATCAAGTACCTGTTAAATTGAGGGAGAGTTAGAATATATTTTTATCTTTTACATTGTAGTTTTATTAATTAAACAAGACTTTTTCTATTTATATTATTCTTTTATTACAAAAATATTTAAATAAAATATTATCATTATTTCTAATAAAGGATTATTAAAAAATTATTATTGGTGTCTTATAAGAGATAAATTTTATTGCTTAAAACGACTTCTTTAAAAATTAAATATTAATTTTAAGATTTATTACTCATCATCTATATTAAATAGAAATTATTTAAAATCAATTGTAAGCTTGCTAAACATTGAAATTATTGATTTGGCATATGTATAAAATATTATATTATTGTTTACCCCTTTTTTTCAACTTGACAATTTGTTTTTGAACAACATTTGCAAGTATCGACTGAATGTATCATTTTTATTCAATTTATAATATATACTTGAATATTTGTTTGTCGCAGTTGTCGTAAAACATAAATGATTATAGTTTCAATGATAGCATGTAAATCTAAATTATAGAGAAGTGTTATAGACTCTACAATGTACAGTCTGTTGAAATATTAGTTTCATCTTTGAAGGGCTGTTGGACTTAGTATGCGTGTAGAGAATAAATATATATATTCAACCTCAAGTCCCAAGTCATGTTAGCAGGATATTCATTGTTGTTTTGTATCTTATTATGTCTTTATCGTAAGACAGAATGATTTGATAAATATCAAAATTCAATTATAACAAACCATTTGTGATTTAATTCAAACTATTAATTATAATAAAACTAACGATGGCAGATAAGAATAATAACTATTTTAATAAGAATAACATTTTATTTTTATAATATCAATTATTTAAATATACGAAAAGAAATGTTGATGTTCATCAAGCAAATAATGTGGTAATATAATATTTAATAAGTTCATTTTATCAAGTCATTTGTTTTGAAAATTAAAAAAGTAATTTTCAATATTTTTATTAATAATGCTTGGAATATGTAAAGAAAGTTTTCTCAATTATTTAATGCGTCTAAATATCTTTAACTATAACTTTAATTGTAATTATAATTGAAATTAAACGTAGCAGTATATTTATGGATAATTAATTTAGCAACATTTCAAGTTAATTACAAAAAAGATGGTTTTTTGGAGCATATAATTTTATACTGACAATTGAATAAAATATTGACTCTATTTCAATTTATATTGAGATCATTCTATATGTTTTATTAATTCTTAATCATTTTTATCATGCAATTTTTACATACATACATACATACTAGAGAAATTACATTAATTATAATAAATAAATTTCATCTTGTGTTATTGCAACTGGTGAATCATGATAAATAATAGATTCTTTTCTACTTTATGCAAAAAAATATGTTTATTCCTATTATATTTATAATTAAATACAAGCTATAATTAGAAATAAGCTATTTACATAAACATAGATGAAATTTTTTTTTTTCTTCAAGTTTTTATTTGCAAAAAGTAGAATGGAAAAATAGCCACTGCTATTGGTTTAAAAGAATTCATTTTGGAGGTAAATATATATTTTAAATTCAAAATATTTCTAAATCAACGATATATTTTAGTCGATACTGAAAAACAAAAAAAGTAATGTGTTAAAAAAATTTTAGAGTTAATAACCAGAATGACATAAAAAATGAATATAACGATAGTAAATTCAATAAAATTCATCCATATTAAATTAATATAAATTCCTAATTTTATAGTCAATTTTTTATCATAGTTTCAACTTTGTTCAGATTAATCTATTATTGCTTCAACCGTCATTCATTATTTACGTCTCGCGACTATTTTTTCAGATGTTATTTGTCGAAAACATTTGACGAATTTGTGGGTCAATGTTCGATTTGATAGTAAATTACCAATACACTTTAAAAGGTAGTGTGTATTATGAATGAAAACATTAGATATGTAAAGTTTCACAAACTTATCTAATTATCTAATTTGAATAGTAACATTGATCTATATTCAGAATGTAAAGAAATAAGGAAAAAAATAGACAAATAAAAAGCACACGTCTGGCGATATCGAGTATATTTTAATTCTTTCAAGCAACGGATCATAAGTTGAATATAATTTTATATTTATCTTTTAGTAAAGTTAATTTTTCAGAAGCCCTCCATCGACATTCAAACTTCACTAAGTCATTATAAATCAGATGATAGCAAATAAAAAAATCGTGACATTACTGAGTCCTTGGTTTGAATCATTTATGTGAACAAGTGTCCACATATTATTCAATCTTTTTTTTTTATTCTCTAGCGTGTACTTCAAATTTTACAGAGTTTTTTTCTCTGTATTGTCATGATATAAAATTCTTCATTAATAGTCAAATCATAGAGTTAATTTTATTATTATTATTATTATTTTGTAAAATTTAAAATGTTTTTATACAGTTTTAAATTCATAGATATCATTAAAAATATTATTAATTGAATATTATTTTTCGTGAAGAATAGTATTCGGTCGTATTAAAATATTTAATCTTCTTTCAGACACTTCCCCCAAATGATACTTCATTCACTCTGATTAAAAATAATAAATGATTGATTTGATATTGAGAAATGAAAAAAATTATTAACTTTGTTTGAAAAATTTAATTTAAATCATTAACTTTTTGGTGAAAGAGAAAAAATTAGTGATATATTTGTGCATTTTAATTAATACTTATTTTTAATAAGTTGAGTAGTTACGGCCGAATTTAGCCAGACAGACACATAATTCAGTTATTAACTTTAATATAGAAATAAGTAATAAATACAAATCTAAATTGATCTGTATATAAGATTTAAAAAAAGTTACAGATACTTACCACACATTTTGTCGTTATTTTTCTCTCTTAGCAACTCAAAGGAACTTGACCGTCTTATTCGACACTCATTGAACTGTCGTTTAACAATTGTTGTAGTAGTAATATCAATTTGTCTGTTATAACACTTCACTTTTGAATAAATTACTTTTCATGCAGATAAATAAATTTTACAACACTTGATTTGATGAAAAATTATTTAATATTATTTATCAAGATATTAACATTATATAAAAAATCATTTTACACACTCTTAATTAGATTATAAAAAATAACAGTTAAAAAAAAATATAAAGTAGAATTTTTTATTAAAATTTGTATTAAAATAATGACGAATTATAGTATCTCCTTCTATGACTGAATAAAAAATAATCAACAACTAGATGATTAAGCAATGAATCGATAACCCTTTTGAAGAATTATTCGGTAAAATATAAACTTTTATAGTGTGTTTGATTATTAAATGAAAAATATAAGAAGACGAAGTGTCCCGAGGTATAGCAGGACCTTGACTGACCCTAGTATCTCAAAGTCCTCGTGGCTGGCTTACCTGACCAGGTTCCTCATCCCTCAATAAAGCTCACCTGTGCTGGTGTAAACGCGCGCGCAGCTACTTCATAGCCCCGCCTCTTCTACGGATGTGCGATCATCACCATAATAGTGGGGGAAGTCTTTCAAAGAACTGGAAGAACATCAATAGACTCTTTTGTCAAGTTTTTCTGATATAAAGCATAATTCATTAAAGCACGGCAACAAATCGAATATTTTCTGTTTCACCATCACTTATATTCAGTCAGTCCTTCGTCAAGTTTTACACAAAAACGTGAAACAATTTCTTCTTTCTTACATTTTATTTGCTTTCAAGGTCATACGTAAGATTAAAAAAAATTCATTTTAATCTTTCAGATATTTATGGTCAAATGAATCAATGGCATTCGAGCCAAAGACAATCACTGATAATGGATCGATAATGTTTAGTAGTAATTTATTAGTTTTGAAAAAAAAAAGAAAAAAACCACTCGAAAGATGATTTTTAGACAACAGATGCTACATTTATTGAAAGTCCGGATAATGTAAAAAAAATTATTCACCTATTAAAAATCATTAATTTGATTTTTTTCTGAAGCATTTATTAAACAATTAACTTCAATAGAATGTCCCTTCATTTCATTGACTCAAGTTAGTGTAGATATATTGCATATTGAATGAAAGTATCTAATTGGACAGTGAACATCAAAAAAAAAACATACATGGCTATTTGTCATAAATTGAATTAAATGTGGGCGTCACAACTGAATGAAATAGAACGCAGGCGCAACTGATGACTGGTGATTCGCCAGGTTCACAATTGGATCCCACCTTTTACTAACATTCTATTCAACTCTAGGCTATTCTAGACCTCTTAAGTTATTCTGCGATTCAAGATTGCAAACGGATTCGCTAAGTGAAACGATCAAGTTTCTATAGAGCGCGTGCTTATTTCTCCCTCTTGTAGTTATCTCTTCTGCCGCATGAACTGGCCTTGAAATATAACCAATCGTGGAAAAGTTAAGAATTCAAAGGTAGTTGCGAATAACCGACTATACTGACCGATATTATCGCATCAACTAGTAAAGGGAAATTAGAGCACCAAGTAATTTTCCAAACGACTTCATATAGTCCTTCGTAAATATATTTCGATTATATCTTTGTAAGACAAACTATTGCTTTAGTGATAACTGTTTACTTATATGGATTATCTTAGATAATATTTTTTAATGTAATACGCTATAGAATTCACGACTTTATTCAAATAATTACAAGATAATTGTTCAATTAATCACCGCAGATACGGAGAGAAAAGTTTTTTGCTATCAACCAAGATTCGAGTATAGTTGACAGCGCAGGGTGAAGGTAAAAATTACTATACACATTGTTAAAATCACTAAACTGCATAGTTATTTTTACTTCAATTTTATCCTAAAAATTACTACGCAGTTTAGTAATTTTAACAATGTGCACAGTAATTTTTACCTTCACCCTGCGCTGTCACCAAATTACCATAAAATTTCGGGTAATTTTTACTGTACATTTCTCTACGTGTATTTTGTACTAAAAAAAAATAATAACTAAATTTACAAATATTTACATGACTTATTCGATTATATTGATTTATCTGATTATTTTTGAGCGTATTTCTTAAGTCTAAATTTTTTTTTATATGTTAAATAAAAATTTGATTTTTGGGGTTTCGAACCTGTGATTGTTAGAAACACACGCAGCCTCAAACAAATGCCTTAACTCATTTATATACTCCGATTATAAATTTTTTGAAAAATATATATCTATTTGTACATACACTTTTGTATCATAGTTGGTATGTATGAACCTAAAAAATAGAAATCACAGTAATTATAAAATTTAGAGCATAATTTAATTATTGTATAATAATTTTACTTGTATATGTTTATTTATCATTAAATTAACAAGTATTAATAAATTTCAATAAAGTTACACGTCAAAAAATTAATAATCGATATCGTAAATAAATTTTTCAAGTGTTTCTTAACTTAAGTTGAGTTAAGTTTAGTTATTAATTTATTATATAATAATTATTACAATAAATTAATGAATTATTTAAAGTGTTTTATTTTGTTTTTGCATTACACTTTACCTTTTTCTTCTCTCCGAGTCTCATCAACTAGGATTTGGTAATTATAACGAAATCATGTTTTGACTGAAAGTTCATCTATATTTACAAAATATTTTATTTTATTGTGTGAAATGACATAATTATAAAGGTAGTTAGTAGCATCTTTTTTTAAGAAATAACTGGCACCTTTTAACTAAGTTGGTAGACTTACGTATGTATCGGCCGTTTTTCTGAAGATTTATTCCTATAAATCAATTTCTTAATTCGGTGTCTGTATGTGTGTGTACGTTTGTGAATGGTTTTTGGTTTTAAAGAAATAAATAAATAATTTTAAATATAAGAGTATTTTTTTTTTTTTTTAAATAACGTACAGTTTGATTTTTCTCAACAGAAATAATAAATATTTTATGATCTAAAAACTAGTTATTAACAATTCTTTGGATATAACTTCTCTCTGGACTAATTATCATGTAAATAAAGCATAAACCGGCTAATGAAATAATTAAAACCTGCAGCAAGCATACTAATGAGTAATAAGTTTTGTTCTCGTATGGCTTACCACTTGTTAAAACAATGACAATACTGCGCTAGTTTCTTTATTCATTACACCAATGACATATTTGATCGTTGCATAATTGAGTCTTGTCACTTACGAATAATTTACTTCAAACCATAATAAATTATTATTAGATTTGTTTTTGAAAAAAGGAATGATATTCTCAGAAGACCATTTATCTTTATAGACAATAAACTGTCTGCGATAGACAGGAGTTGAAATTCGAGCTTAATAATTTGTAATATATATATATATATATATAGGTATATTGAGAAACATATTCTAACAATTTTTATTTTTAATTTTCACTCTCAAAAGTTTTCGACTTTAATCATTTGAATTTCGACTATTTTAAACGTATATGGAACCAATACTCTTTGAAGAATAATTTGTCGAATTATTTTAAAAATAACTAAATGTCATATTTTTATTAGAACACTTGAACAATCAGAATGAATGATATCATAAAAAATATTCTTGTAAAATCTAAATTCAATACATTTAGATTGTAGATGATTATTTAATGAAAAATTAATGAATATCAATCTAAGAGTATTTATACTTAACTCAGTACATTGACATTACATTAGAAATAACAACTTGATAATATAAAATAATAATACTCGCACTCTTATTGACATAAGAAGCACTTTTTCGTCTAATAATGTATAATAAACGAACTGTATGTTAACTGAATCTAAAGGGTCGAATGAAACACCTTCATGTGTATGTAAACTTTGTTGACGATATCTTGATAATAATTCAACCGATTTAAATAGTTTACTAAGCACGCAATCATTTTGTCTCATACTTCAACACTGTTTATTTGATGATCTATCGTAAAAGTAGTATAATATGTAAATACAAATGATAATGAATCAGTAGTGTTAATTATTATATAAAATATTTATGCTTTATTACAGAAAACTGTTATCGAAGTTTAGCCAAAGTTAGTAAAAAATTTAACCCAATATTGAGATATCCCATATTTCAATCCTTCACTCCTTTTTAATTAGAAATATGCATTGTCATGATTCAGAAGAATAATAATAAACATAATTATCCATTTTATTTCACTAGATACTCTTTCAGAGTTTGAAGTCGTTTAAAAAACTCACTAAACAGTGAGAATCGCTTAAAAACAGTTTATACTCATTCATTCATTTTTAGAGAGCATATCAACGAATTATTTTCTATCCCAGAATTATGCTCACAATCCACGGACCACTAGTCCAAAATGCTATCCACTTGACAACTTGCCAGCTAAAATATATTTTTTTTATTAATTGATGAACTTCCTACATGAAAAGTCAGTATTGTTATTGGAACTATGGATCGTGATTTTTCTTTCAGTTTGTTTTTAGAAAGTACTCTCTAAAACTATTAAACCGAAAATAATGAAATACACTGCAAAATCAGTGAATGTAATACAACTGATTTAATCAGTGATTCAAAAGCATTTTACTTTCTGTTTGTAAAAAATTCAAGTTTATTTAACACTATTTTATCCATTTAATATCAAAATATGACATAAAATTCAACTGATGAACAATAGATTTTAATTAATGTTACGTATTAATTTTGAAAAATAATAATGTTATTGATTCAGGTGAAGAATTAGTTTATTAAAGTGGATATATATTATTATACTCTAGATGATGCAGAGTAAGTAATGTAACCAAAAATTTTTTTGAGTTTATGATTGTTTAATAAAACTTTTATCTTCTTCTCATAAAACAAGTGTTTTCATCAGTTTTTAACCTATTTATATTTGATAAATACGTAAAAAATTGGAAAAAAGGTTTATCTAAAAAATTAATGCTGTTACACTGTAAATCTCAGTTTTCCAAAATGCATTATTTCAATGCGGATAAGTGTGTTAAATATGACGTCACCCATTTCATTAACATTGTAGTCACTTTTAACGCATTTCTAAGTGTGTAAAAATTTTGGAAAACTGGGATTTACAGTGTAATTATGTCTTATTCAATGAGCATCGTTTATAATGAATATATATATGTATATATATATATATATAGATATAT